AATAAGGCAAGTGCTAAGACTAAAGAGAGAACCCCTATAAAATTTTAGTCCACATAGTCAGACAGCTTGATAGTACATACAAGCGAGACTAATATTAGTAACCTCCTAAAAATAACAATAGATCATTAAAAACGTTTTTTGTTCCATTTTTCTATTTTATTTTATTGTATGTTATTTTATATTATATTCTACTTCTTTTTGTGATAATACCACGACCCTTAAAATCAGCGATTATTAAATATTATCTAATTTTAATATGAGGCTTGGTTATTAAAAAATTCGTAGATGTACAATTTCAGAAGTGGTTTAATTTTTGATGATGTTGTTGATGTGGGATTAATGCATCTGATGATGAAGAGGGAGAAAGTAAAAACAATGAAATATAAAAATAAAATTGAAATCCTCAAATCCTCTGATAAGTTTTCAGCCACCTTATACAATGAGCATATGAATTTTGTTTTTATTAATTGTATAATGTATATTGCTGACAATTTCCTTTGGATACTGATTCAAGTTGTAGCTATATTAGCTATTATTATTAAATTCGGTTGTGGATGATTTGTTTAGAATTTGCTAGCTCATTAATTAGCAATTATACCCATTTTCATTGAACAACCCTGAATTCTTGTTTTGTAATTTTGTGAACATCAAGGGATTTGAAAAAAAGGATTTTTTTTTTTTTACGAGGAGCGTTTTCTCGGTTACACAAATTGAAATGAGATAACAGTACACGACTTTCTTTTCATTACTATTTTTAGTTTATACATAATTATCAAACCCATGAAAACTGTACTTCTACACGCACACACACACATACATACAACCTACTCTCTAATGGATTACACAATAAATAAGTGGGGTTTTTTTCATGGAACAAATAGTATACAAATTCAATTCAGTGAAAGCTGGGCAGGGCGAAACTTATTCGAAATTGTTTCTTAAAAAATATAAACAATGTGTTGCAAAATTGAGAAAGTCTGAGTAAAAGTACCACCAAAATACAAGAATTGACTTGAAACAAACAATACTAATATCGAAATACAAAAAAGTATTAGATTTCTAACCGATATACGTGAAATCCATTTCTAGATAATAGACTACTTTATATTTTGGAACATTGATGACGAATATACAATTGTTTGAATGTTACCATATCTTACAACTGTATCTGATCCTACATAATGCAATGCAAGAGATTCCTTCCTTAATAATTAAATTTGCCATGGCAAATTATTTTACAGGATATCTTTCAATCCATTCAAAGTTTTTACATTAGACTCATCCTTATACGATGTCTTTTAAAGAAGGGATGGAAATAATCACACATCTCAATTCTATTGGCTGAACCTAAATCTCCCGACTGGTGTACTAACTCATCAAATATTGGCAGCCTTCCTTAAACATTTATATAAATTATTGATTCTGCCAGAGAAACGAAGCCAAATGTTTAGTTTAAGTTATATGATACTGATTGGCATCTTGAAATGGATATGTTTCTTATTAAATCATAGAGCTCTCGCTTCTATCTCATCTGTTTCGGTTCTTAAATCTTGATTCGAAATAGAATAAAATCAAATTTGGATTTTTCTTTTTTATTCTATTTTATTTTATTTTATTTTTCGGATTTATCCGATTTCTCGTAAAGCAGACAACAAAAAGTTTCTGTATTACAGTCACACGCTTTTTGGTTCAACAAAGTGGCTACATTTATTCATCTCCTTTTTTTTCTATTTTTCTTTCTTTCTTTCTTTTTCCGTTTGCTTATATTTCCGCACCACGGAAATAGGTCGAATGGGCATCTTGTATCAACAATAAGGGATCACCAAAGCAAACGAAAATTAAATGTAATATGCTGCAAATTGGTAAAGCCATCGCAATTGTGAAATATACAATTCTTAACTATTATGAAACTGATTGAGTATTGTCTACAAATTTTATGCGCTTTGGAGTAATGAGTGTAAAATTAATCCAAACTAAACAAAATAATATACCTGTATAATCTATGACCACAAGTTTATAACCGAAAAATAAAAAACAAAATATTCCCACGAAGAAAGGTAAAAAAATTAAAAGGAACATCCTGGCCAATTATCAGAAATCGAGATAACATGAAACCGAACTAGCTAAAACAGAAAACTCAAATGAAAGAATAGAATATTGACAACATATCGAAAAGCATAATCGAGTGCTTTTCACCGAAAATAACAACAATACGTAGAAAATCAAACTTATTCAACGGCATCACAAAATAATAGTCAATGTTCAAAACGAAAGAAAACAATACTATAGAAGATTGATTTATAGCATTATGAAAGCACAAATCAAACCAATGGTGATTTCAAGATGAACTCCAAGTCTTGCTGGACCAGCAATAGCTTCAAGTATAGATGGTGACACAACAGCAGGAGTTGGTGATGATTGTTGACCCTCGATAGTTGGCGTTGTCAATGTAGTAGGAGGTTTACCAACTGTTCCTGGGGTGCTTTCTCCGGCGACTGTGGTTTGTGTAGTGGTTCCTGGTTTACCATGTGTAGTCAATTTAGTAGAAACAATTTCATTAGTAGTAGCTTCTTCGCCTGTAATTGTCTTGGTAATTGTGTAACCCTGTTCGTTGGTAGTACAGTACACGATGACTTCGGATGTAATGGTTCTTGGTTGTGTCAACGTAGTTTCGATGGTGGTGGTATATTTGGCAACTTCGGTGGCTGGAACTGGGATCGTCTTGGTAACAACAACTTGTTGCTCATTGGTAGTAACAATAACAGCACATGTTTCAACAACAGTTTCTCCGATGGTTTGAGTAGTGTAAACAGTCTTTGTGTAATGTTTGGTATATAACTCTTCAATTGGGCAAGTCGTGGTAATAGTTTGTTCGTTGACAACAGTAGTTTGTATAACCTCTGTCTTTGTCTTTGTAGTAAATTCGTTGGTTACAATAATGCAAATAGCTGTTTCAGTGGTAACAACTCCGTTTGGACAAGTAGTAACATAAACAGTAGTCTCCTTAGTGACAGTGTGGTATTTAACTTCAGTAGACTCAACAGTATGCTTCGAAGTTTCTGTTGATGTTTTTGTTTTGGTTTCAGTTGAGGTTTTAGAACATTCAACACAGGTAACAGTCTCAGTTTCTGTTTCTGTTTCTGTAATTTCAGATGTCTCAGTTTCCTTGCCGGTAGATGTCGGTGGGATCTCTTCTGATGATGTTTCCTCTGATGAAGTTTCTTCGGCTGAAGTTTCTTCGGCTGAAGTTTCTTCACTTGATGTTTCTTCACTTGATGTTTCTTCAGCGGAGGTTTCTTCACTTGATGTCTCTTCACTTGATGTTTCTTCGGCGGAAGTTTCTTCGCTTGATGTTTCTTCGCTTGATGTTTCTTCGCTTGATGTTTCTTCGCTTGATGTTTCTTCAGCGGAGGTTTCTTCACTTGATGTCTCTTCACTTGATGTTTCTTCAGCGGAGGTTTCTTCAGCGGAGGTTTCTTCTGATGTAGTTTCTTCAGCTGATGTTTCTTCGCTTGATGTTTCTTCAGCGGAGGTTTCTTCAGCTGATGTTTCTTCGCTTGATGTTTCTTCGCTTGATGTTTCTTCAGCGGAGGTTTCTTCACTTGATGTCTCTTCACTTGATGTTTCTTCAGCGGAGGTTTCTTCAGCGGAGGTTTCTTCAGCGGAGGTTTCTTCTGATGATGTTTCTTCACTTGATGTCTCTTCACTTGATGTCTCTTCGGCGGAGGTTTCTTCAGCGGAGGTTTCTTCTGATGATGTTTCTTCACTTGATGTTTCTTCAGCGGAGGTTTCTTCAGCGGAGGTTTCTTCAGCTGATGTAGTTTCTTCACTTGATGTTTCTTCGGCGGAGGTTTCTTCACTTGATGTTTCTTCGCTTGATGTTTCTTCGCTTGATGTTTCTTCAGCGGAGGTTTCTTCTGATGATGTTTCTTCGCTTGATGTTTCTTCAGCGGAGGTTTCTTCACTTGATGTTTCTTCAGCGGAGGTTTCTTCACTTGATGTTTCTTCGGCGGAAGTTTCTTCTGATGATGTTTCTTCACTTGATGTCTCTTCGGCGGATGTTTCTTCTGATGTAGTTTCTTCACTTGATGTCTCTTCAGCGGAGGTTTCTTCGGCGGAGGTCTCTTCACTTGATGTCTCTTCTGACGACGTTTCTTCAGCGGAGGTTTCTTCTGATGTACTTGGTGGTGGACAAGGTACTGGTTGACCTTTAGATGTCCAATCACAACATGCGGTAACTTTGTTTTTATCATCAAAGCAGCATTTATCAAATTTTGGGTTATTTTTATTATCAAAACATTGAGGACAATTACCTGAAACAGGATTACCATTTTTATCCTTTTTACAATTGGAAACAGGGTCGGGGTCGGGGTCGTCTCTTTTATCAAGTTGATTTTCATTAATGAATGGTAAATTTGGAAGTGATTCTAGCAAACTAGACATCACAAATGATAACAAGAAGATATAACACACGATAGCAACTCGTGATTTCATTAACATCATTTTAACTTATTAGCAATTGGGAATGGAAGTGACTATAAAGTTTGATTATAGGACCAAAAAAGTTTATGATTGTAGATGATGGAATCCTCAAGTATTTATAGAGTATTTTTTTTTTTTTTACAAACTGGTTATATTTAGTATCGTCGGATTATTTTGTGGATTGATCAATTTCATCTTTACTTACCAATAAAAGGAATAATGTTTGCTAAACAATAAATATATTTAGAAGAATATCCAATTCCATTTCATCCCTTGGCAATTTCTCAAATGATAGAATTTATTTACATTATTATTCTTACTGTATAACCACCTAAATTTCATCAATCATTTTTGGTCATTTCTATTTTTATTTTGGCCATTATAGATTCATGAATTTCATCAATTAATGCAAAATTTGAGAGAAAGAAAGAAAGAAAAAAAAAAGTGATGAAAGTAACAATCAAAAATAATAATATTAATAATAATATTAATAATAATAATAATAATAAAACAATGAAACTAGATGAGCACAAGATACAAAGACAATATAATTAAAGAAATCAGCCTTTTAAGTACTAACTTAAAGATACTTTCTAGTTTGTTTTTTCTTTCTTCCTTCTTCCATTTTTGTTGTACCATTCGTATTACATTTTTCATAGTGCTTGTTTTTTAGAGGAGGAATTGATGATTTATTGTTTGAAGATTTTGCGGCAATTTAAAGTTTGTTTGTTTTTTTTTTTTTTCTTCTTTTTCTTCTTCCTCCTCCTTTTTAACTTTTAAAATTATCCCTTCCACGGCATTATGTACAATGTATGTTTGTGAAGCCATTTGTACTACAATTCAATTTTCTTTTAACCAAATATCATCCAAGTTTGATTTCATCTTCTTGAGTCTACTATAAGAATCGTTCATTTATGATTTTACAGAACAAAGACAGGTTTTTTTTTTGATTCTGGAATATTCAATATTTTTTTCAATGATTTGACTAAATCTCGGAGGGATTATTTGAAAAACAAAAGAGTATTCAACCCCATGAATACGTTTTCTTGTGGCGGGGATAATATACAAATACATGAGCAAATATAATTTGTTTCAATAGTTCTTTCGTATTCATTCATTAAACTTCCTATCTTGGATTTTTCTAATAAAATGCGTCTCTAGTTATCATTAACAATTGAACTGTGTAGAGTCAATTTGAATTAATGTTAACATTTGATATATGAATGTAAAAGTACACTATATTACTTACTAGGTCACTGAATTTCACTTTTGAGATATCCACAAATCTTTACTATTACTTTTTCTTAAAATTATTCCATATTATTCAAAATTTCATTACCAGGCGGTTGAGACACGATAATTGATGTTATTTATTACTGAGTCGGGATTTTATTTTTAATATTTAGTGCTATTTTGTGATATACTAGATGTTGGGTTGATTAAATTTTTCTCATTTAGTCAACTTCTTGTTTCTCTAATTTTAAGTAATGCTACATGTTATATCATATCATGGCAAATTGTTTCTATAATAAGATCGTTTTGTAACAAAGGGGGAGCGGAGTGTGAGAGAGAAGGTGGGTAATTTAAGATCATTCAATAGATTAAATAATGACATGAGATCTTTGATCTTCATGTCTTTTTCAAAATTTAGGAGGTTGACCAAGTTAAAAAGAAAGGAGAGATAATCTACTAGTTGAATTAGTAGCTGTTAAATAGTAAAACATGTTATGTAATATCAAACCATGACAAATGTAGTCAAAAACGTGAGTATGTGCGTTGTTGGTGATGTGCTGGTGGTTTATATGCGCCCACTCAAACGCAAAATCCAATATGTTGATTTTGCTGAACAATCATAAAAAGAAACTAATAAGGATGAAACAAAGTGTGTATGTTAAAGAAATTGCGGGACTAAGGTGATGGTTATAATGCTGGGGGCGTGACTATGCGCAATGAATACTTAAGTAATATTCAAACAATAAAAACAAAAGCATATACGTACAAAAATTCCTAATAATAGAGTTCCTAATGTTTATTCTAATTTTATATATTTGATGCAGAGTTGGGATATGTAATGAATTGTAAGAAATCACTTCTTGAGCACTGTTTAGAAGTGATATCAAATTACGGGAATTAAAGAACATGATACAACAAGTCAGACAAATGTGAAAAAAGAAAATGAGAAACCACCACCAAAAGCTTAGACATAGTAGTGAGACAGTTTGATAGTACATACAAGCGAGGCTAATATTAGTAAACTACTAAAAATAACAATAGTTTCATCCAGAATCTTTTAATTTCTTCTTTTCTTCTTTTTCTATTTTTTATTTTTTTATTTTTATTTTTCATTGTTTTATCTTTGAAGTGATTCAAGGATCCTTGAATTGAACCTTTGATAAATATTATCGAATCAGAAAACGATACTTCGCAATATAGATTTGGTGTATGTACAATTCAAGAAGTACTTTAATTTTGGAGTTTGATGATGTGTGTTGATTTTTGGAATAAATGTATTTAATGAGAAGAAGGTAAACAATAAATTGAATTAAAATGGATTAAAATGAATTAAAATAAAATAATATAATATAATATAAAATAAAATAAAATTTTCAAATCTCCAAATGGTTCTAAGATATACACACATACAATGAGCAATTGTATAATCCACATAACAAATAAGTTTTTTTCTAAATTTTAATTCATTTAGTTTAACACAGGCAATCTTTTGGTTATTTGAGTATCTTGTTTCTCAATTTGCTAATTCATTGATTAGTATTGTACCCACTTATGGATTACCCCTTAATTCCTGTTTTGCAATTTTGTGAGCCTCGAGAAATTCAAACTTTTTCATTTTTTTACGAGGATCGATTTTTTTTTTCAGTTACACAAATTGAAATGAGGCAACAGTACACGACTCACTATTTTATTTTTAGTTTGTACATAATTCCATAATTCCTGAAAATAATATATTTATACACACACATCTTATTATTGACTTTGCTTTTCTCCTCCTTTGCTATATTTATATTATTATTTATAACTTTACCATGTTAATACTTTTCATTGTCCGTGGCCTGCTCCATCAATACAACAGTGACACCCACTCACACCCACTCAATTGGACATATACGTGCGATGAGCAATCAGATTGCTAATCCGCTAATAGATCCTGAAAGTTAAGATTATGAGTAAAAGAAGATGTACTAAATTTAGTAATCTTGACGGAATAAAAACTTGGTGATGATAGTGATATTAACTGATCATAATGTACCTAATGAATTAGACAAAATAAAAGTAAATTGTACCCATCATTTTCAACATCTTCAATTGTTTTTCGATGACTTGATGATCATCGATGGCTACAAAATTAGAAGCGACTTTAATATAATTTCAGTTCATTTTTGTAATTATTTGGCAGAAAATTTTACACCAATAATAAATTTGATTGACTTTTATGAACACACAAGTAGGTATGTTCTCCTTAACAGTGATTGAACAGCATACACATCTGTTGAAGGTATTGACTGTTTTAATAGAAGTACAGATACGCGTTCAATACTGGATCTAGACCCGACAAATGGTTGTCTTGTATTTACGTGTACTGATCAAAAAAAAAAAAAAAAAAAAATGAGAGAAATCTATTATCTATTATTTCAACCCTGCCAAGTTAAATTTCCTTGTGAAATCAAATTATTATCAGTAAAAATATTTAACCATTTTGATGATAATATGAAATTTTTCAATTATTAAGGTTATTGACTGATTATATCCTGGGTTAAATCGGTATCTTATCTATTTCCTGAAATGGTAAGTAATATTTACACACAAGAAGGAATTTTGAGAAATAACACAATAATAGATGATAAGAATTATACAATCGGAGTTATTTATGACACAATGTTGGGAAAAACAACAAAAAACAAAAGAGGTGGACAAATGATTCTGGTAAAGCGAAGATTCTTATAGTAAGTATCCCTTACCATGATGTTTTAACTATTTATAGAGGAACCAATCACATTCGATCTTAGTCCGTGGAAATGCAATTAACATAATTTGTATATTTCAAGCACCATTGTGTTAACATTATTGTCACTCTATTCAATGTAGATTAAATAAAGATAATAATAATTGCAACAGCAACTCCACACTACTCCTATTCTAACATGGTTCATCAGAGTCAAGAAAAAAAAAACAAGCAATCTATGGTATATAAGTAAGTATTGTTTCATTATGATGAAATACAAAAAACTATTGACGCTACCATACCTTGGTCGTGCTGCCATTGTACATGTCATAGTGGAGTTTTCAAGATCCCCCTGTTATACCATAGAATGTTTTATTTTTCTTTCACTTTAGCGGGGATAGTTAAGAATTATTGAACGAAGGAAACAAAATAAACTTGTAAGGGATGAGTATGACATTGTTTGAATTTTTCAATTATACCTTAGTTTATTTTCATTGCCAAAGTTAAAAGAGAATTGAAAGATTAAGGATTGGGTAATTCTTTCAACCGGAGTCAATTTAAACAATCATTGCTATTATTTATGGTTATGAATATTGTATTTAAACCTTAGTATTCAAACCAATTTATCACATCTCTTTAAATTACATACCCTTTCCCTCTCTCTCTTTCTCCTTCCATTTTGCTTCATAGTTATACGGTATTGTTTTATGAAAGTTTCATATGTATGCATTCACCTCAATTTAGGATCAGCATAGAAAATACTGTATAATACAATCTATACTTTTTCATCTTTTCTTTCCCGCCCTTGTTTCTGACCCCCTATATGAAGGGATTTACAAAGACTGCAAATACACAAAAATAATTGTTCCCACCCATCATCATACACCCCTGTAATAGACCAAAACTATCAGGAATGTTACAATTGCATGAAAGGGTATATATAACTAGTCTTTGTGTGTGTGTGTGTGTTATTAAAAAGCTTAATGATTCTAGAACAATTCTTCAACTACATTATTTACAATCATATGTATACTCAGACCACAATATCACGTTTATTGGCGAAATTGGCTATACTTTATTTTTATACTTTTATTGTAGTACGTTTGAAAAATGACATGATTAGTTTTTGTGGAACTTCTTCAAATCAGTTACTGCTTTTGGGGGTAGCCCGGTATTTCCCATGTATATGAACCAGGGCTTCGATAATTTTTTTTTTTTTGTTTTTCTTTTCTTTTAGAGGGGAAGATAACTGTAATAGTATAATTTTAAATTACATGAGATGGGGGAGATGGAGGAGTATTGATGGTCAAGTTGAAATATGTTTCTGTAATACGATCATTATGGTTTGTGGTTAATTGCTTCTATCTTTTATAATAAAGGGTCATGATAGTATTATTGAATTGAATGACCCTTTCGTAATAAGAATTGATTGGTATGAAATATGCCAATTTGATAGAAAATGTGGAGTAATTGAATTATTGCTTGAAGATAATAATGTTTTATTATTTTTAGTAGTATCAAGTATTTTTTACTGAAGATATATTATCAAATCAACATAGGAAATAACCAAATTAGAGAATGAAAAAGCGAAGGAATTAACTGCACCATGAGTTAATAGTAGCCAACAATAAAAAAAAAAAATGAACAATTTGATTGTCATTACAACACATCTATGTAAACTATAATGAATTTATTAATGAAATGGCCAATCATTTTGTGGTCTTCATTATCGTGAAAATATACAACCTTGTTACTGATTTTTTCTTTTTGCATTTTCAATTCTTCTTCAGTCGTTTCTTTTAGTAAAGAATTTTTAAGTTCGGTTTGTATATTTGAACAGAATTCTTCAGAAAGTGGTTGACATGTGGATAAATTTAATGAACCAATTAATTGAAAATCTTCTCTAGATGATGAGGGTTGCGATGATTCGAATGATGAGGATGAGGATGAGGAAGAAGCTGACAAACAATTGTTTGAGTTGTTGTTACTGAATACTATTAATTTGTTGAACTTGACATTGTTATATAACTCTGATGATGACTTTATTGTTTCAATTGTAGTTGATGATAATTGTGGAGACATGTTGAGACATATGCAGTTCCTGAATTTTCTTACTCGTTTTATTTTTTTTTTGTTTTAATTTTTTTTTTTTTTCGTTCTGTGTGTAATTATGTGCTTGAAAGAAGTAAGGAAAAAAAAAAAATTAGTCTAATGTAGGGTGTAGTTTTTGATTATCTAGTAATACTTATTCGATACTTTTATTTTTCCCAATAGCCACAAAATGTAATGTAGAAGAGGGTGAATAAATGAAAAACTTTATCTAGTTATATATATAATGGGAAAGTAATAGTTTCTTATCGAAGCAACTAACAACGAGATAATATAATGTGACTAAGGGAGGGAATGTTATATTTACAGTTATACTGCTTATATTATTATATCGGCAAAAATTTAACATTCTTACCTAAACATTTTCGGCGACTATTGTTTAAATGGATGTAATTTCAATGTATAAACTAAAACCAAAATAACATCCATTTTACACAAAATACAAAGTCCAATTTAATTTTAATTAATGAAATTTTATGTATCAAAGGAGAGACAAAGAGAAACAGGGCTAACAGGAATTTACGTTACCCCCTAAAAGATCATTTATTATTCTTACTTCTCCACAAGGGGATGGTGACATCTGGAAAATAACGTATGACCTAAAATAAAAGGGAGGGGGCATTTAAGAGGTTCCAGAATTTCTTTAGTGTTAAGTTGTATCATCTTATATACCTAAATACTTTATTATCTTGATAGTATTACTTTGAAACAGATTGCAAAAAAAAGAAAAAGAAAAATGTACACATTAAACATTAAAGCAAAAATCATATCACGTCTCCCGATGGAACAATGCCAAATATTCACAAATTTCGCCCATCAATTGTCTACCACCCGTAAGACATGTAACGGAAAGAACGACAAAACAGGAAAAGCTTAACTAAAATCAGTATGTAGATTGGAGGGTTGTTAATTGTGATCACGAATATTGTCTTATCAACAATTTCAATTCGCACCATAGTTCTTAAGAGAGAAATAGCGGCAGATAACTTTACAACATGCATGCAGAATTGATATACCCGCTGGCACATGAAAATCCAAATTGTTCTCGAAATATACTATAATTGTTCTTCTTAGTTAACAAGGGGCGTAGTTGTTAGTAAATGTGTGGGTGGGGGTTTCATTTGTGTTATAGTATTTTGAGTTTTTCTTTGTGTCACTTTAATAGTATAAACTTATTAGAAAGGTAAAATGTTCTTTTAGCTTTTTGAAATTATAACTATAAATATAATTCAATTTCACCTTCATCGAATAGCTCGTTTTTTTCTTTTTGCATTCTTCTTATAATGTTTGATTTCCTTTTAATTGGAATTTTGTTTTAGTTGTTTTATTTTTATTTATTCTTTCCTTTCTTATATCGTAGTACTTTCTCTGCAATTTTTTTAGTACGATCAGACATTGAGACAATTAGGTATTTAATTCATTCAATTCCTTCCTTCTTAATTTCCTCCATTACATCTTCCCATCATATTGTTTATACTACCGATATTTCCTTTGATATTTTTTTTTTCGCAATCCAGTTTCACCCATACAAAACGATATCAAAGAATAAAGAATCGTTTATTTGTCTTCATTATTATCTGAGTGAAATTTGAAACAAACCTATAATTCACATTACATTTGATTATCCATACATTTCTTTTTCTTATTGGTCATTTTTTTGCCTATATTAGGAAAAGTTTTTGATATCCAAACCAAAGTCACCTCCCTTCCTCCATTTGTGAATTAGAAAGAGAGTGTGACACAAACTTATCATTGGTTGCACGACCCCCTTGAAATTTAATCATTCCCTCCAAGAACGGTGAAGAATATTAATAGAAGCAACCAAAAAAAGAAAAAGAAAGTTTCGACCCTTGAAACCCGAAGTGAAATTTTTCGTATTCTAATTAAAGAGAAATACAACCAGTTATATTTTTTAGTGGGATATAAGAGTCATCAGATAACTTACTTTTGTTTTAGTTACAAGTCACGTTTTTCTTCTTTTTTTTTGTCTTTTGTTCTTACTGTTTGCTTAACCCAACAATTTCAGCCAACACCCCACCAGAAAAAAAGCAAGGCTAAGTTAAGCAAAAGAAAGCAAAGCAAAGCGAAGAAATTATAATAAAACAAAACATTGGCAGTGTCATTAATTTTTTTCATTTTTCAGTTTATTTCCGGGATTACATAATCGAGAGTAAATTTACCACACGCACACGCACACGCACACGCACACGCACTACACAAGAAGCCAGAAGAAAAAAAAAATTGTGTCATTTTTTTCTCCCCACTAATATTTTTAATTAGCACTAAGATAAGCAACGCTAAGTTTGAAAAATAACAACAACAACAACAGGAGCACCACCACAAGAACCATTTATAATCCATTACTTAAACTCGTTGTTTTTTTTTTTTAATTTGTCTATTCATTCAATCATTGCCGAATATTACTATCATATTACATTCTGCTAATTTATATTAGGTTTCAATTTACAACCAGTTATCAGAGTGACATTTTTTTACCCGCTATCATATATTTATTTTCTTTCCACTTGTTTGACTTTAAATTAAAATAAAAATAAATTTATTTATCCCTTTTGGTTGAAAAAAAAAAAAAAAAAAAGAAGAGAATTTCAATTTTTTCATATTTTTCATTATCCGCCCAAAAGAGAATTATAACACGCTAATTAACACATACACACACCCACACAAACGATAGACGTACCCATTCAAAGTTTCCCTCTTGGTTTTGCCGCAGTTTGATTAAGGAAAAGAAATACAAAGCGAGAACGATAAATTGTTAAAAAGTTTAATAAAAGAAAGTAAGAGGCAATCAAACAAACAAACAAATAAAAAAAAAACAATAAAATTTCAGGACTCACAACCAACTTTATCCAATTTTTCATTATTACTCCTCCTCCCCCTATTCCGTGGAATTTTTTTTTTTTAGTATTCTTTACACAACTTGTTAATTTTCATTTACACTATCATAATGACTTCAAGATCTCCACTATCACTTGCTAGTTTGATGAATGATCCATCGCCTCCACCACCGCCAGTTACTTCCCCACAACAACAAATACCTTTAGAGCACCACAATCACATTCACCTCGAACAAAATAATAACAATATTTATTCGTTACAACAACAACAACCTCAACAACAATATATAATGCTACAACAACAACAACAACATCCAGCAACACCTCAACAGCAACATCACCTCCATCATGCTTCTCCAATTCCACCTCATATACAACAACAACAACAACAACAAGTGCAAAGTTCAACCCCCAAAAAAACTCAGTTGTCCACTTCTTCCCCAGAAGGTATACAGGTTGCCTCCAAGATAACATCCACTCGTTTGGCCAATTTATTGATTAGAAAAGGTCCATTACCAATACGTCACATTACTGCTCAGTTGGCTATTGAAGTACCTTCGTTTGATTTGTTATCTTTGTCTAAACAAAGAAGATTAATCATGGCTGCAATGGATCAACCCGATTCTGTCAACAACGTGGTGTTTGAAAAAATAGGTTGGGGACAATGGGCGGTCCGTAAAATTGATTCTGATTTTATTGTTACTGAAGGTACTGAAGCTGCAGGAAGTGGTAATACCGCCAATGGTAACAACAACAACACCAACAACTACCATCACAACAATGTCAATGGAAATTCTAATGGTGCTGGTTCTAACTCCTTAAATAATGGTCACGCAAATGAAAAGTTAATCAATGTGAATGATTTGCGTAATCAACTGAATATCAAATTAGGATGGTCAAAAAAGAAGAAAGCTCCTACTATGTCAAGTTCAAGAAGAGAATCCATTACTAATCATGCCAAGTCCTTACATAATCTTAAGTTACCAAATGAAAAGATTGATAATGTTTTGGCTTCTGAGGGTGATTCAGATGATGATGACGAAGAAGAGGAAGATGATTACGCATTATCTGATACAGAATCATCTGAAGATGGTTTATTTTCTTTTGATGAAAAACAACAAGACGAACAATTGCTTCTTTCTCAACTGGTTCCACAATCTCATAGAAATAGCAATGGCAGTCAACACCGTCGTCGTCCAAGTTTGAGCCAAAGACATTCCATGAGCTCTGGAACTCCACCTCCACCTATCAAATTTGCTAGAAGAGTGCCACTTAAAACTAGTCCTCCACCTCAAGATGGAACTACAAGAAGAAGAAGATCATCCTCCTCGGCACCAAATTCAATCACTAAACCATATAGACAACATATGTTTAATCGTTCAAGGTTGAATTCGTTAGAAAATTTAGATAATTACATTGTGTCTTCTGCTAAAAATTCCAGTGTTCTGATAAATTCCCCACCACCGGCAATATCATTCAGTTCATCACCAGCTACTTCGACTACTTATGAAGACCACCAAAGAAGAAAATCATCATTCAATGAATCTCATGTGAGATCTACATTGTCAAATGTCAAATCAAGTTCTGATGAAACAGATGATGAAGATTGGGCAGCAATTGGACCTGAATCTCTTCGAAAGAGAAAAGGCAGTATCCCAGCTGCTTTAAGAGATGATATTGATTCCAGTGGGGTTAATGAAGAAGAGAAATCCGCTGCTTTTGCATTAGTTGATCTAATGTCTGTATAAGAATTAAGTTATTTATTATTATTTTTGTTTGATTTATATTTATGATTTATGGGAGGTGTGGTTTATCTTTTCTTCTTTTCCAATATGGTAATTATTGTTAATGTTTGTTTGGTATGTAAATTGTATAAGTTTTACTTTTGTTTTGTTTTTGATTTATTTTTGATCTATTTTTTGTTTTATTTTATTTTTATTTTTATTTGTTGTATTTCTGTATTAATTTTAAAGTATTTACATTTATTTATGGGATAGGGTTGGTTCATAATAAAAATAGAAAATTAATTTACCTCAATTAGGAAATCGACGCGTGGTTGATTTTGTAGAAAATTTATTCGCAGTAGAATTTTTTTTTCTTTTGCGACTCAACAACGGAACGAAAAAAAAAAAATGTTTAACCAGCCATCACTTTGATTTTCTTTACTTTTTTTTTTTAGTTTGGTCAATACTTGAACCACAGTTAGGAATCAACTATAATATACCAATGTCAGCTACAACGACTACAGCAGCTGTTCTTCCAGCTGTTCAATTAAATGTCAATTATGGTGAGGTCAAGAATATAGTTAAGGATTTCTTGACTGGATTTAAAGATACAACAATTGATATTGATGAAGAAATTGAACAAGTCCATTCTGGTAAATATATGAATGTTTTACAACAAGTCGCTAATAGACAAAAATCTACTGTTTATATTGAATTGGATGACTTAAAAAGTTTTTTGCTTAATTATGATCCAGAAAGTTCAACTGCGTTTAATCAAGCACGTACTTTGTTACCAACAATTATTTCCAATACTCGTCATTTTGTTGAATTATTTAGCGAGGTTATTGATGATATCATGCCTGAACCAACTGAAGAAGTTAGTTACCGTGATGATGTTTTAGATGTTATCTTACACCAAAGAAGATTGAGAAATACTAGATTACAACAAGAATCAAATGAAGAATTTAATCAATTAAGAGAAGGTTTCACTCAACCAGAAGATGGTGGTGATGTTGAAAACCCAGCCGATCCAAATTTGTTTCCAGCAAAACTTACAAGAAGATATTGTTTATATTTTGCTCCTTTAAGTAATTCTAAATCATTATCAGTTCGACAAACTAAAGGTAAATATGTTGGACATTATATTACTGTCAGAGGTATTGTCACTAGAGTTTCAGATGTTAAACCAAGTGCTTTAGTCATTGCTTATACTTGTGATAAATGTGGTTATGAAATTTTCCAAGAAGTCAACTCAAAAGTATTCACCCCATTAACAGAATGTAGTTCACCAAGTTGTGTTAATGATAACAACAAAGGACAATTATTCATGTCAACTCGTGCCTCCAAATTTTCTGCATTTCAAGAAGTTAAAATTCAAGAATTATCAAGTCAAGTACCAGTTGGTCATATTCCTCGTAGTTTGTCAGTTCATGTCAATGGGGATTTGGTCAGATCAATGAATCCTGGTGATACTGTTGATATATCTGGTATTTTTATGCCAAGTCCATATACCGGTTTCAGAGCTTTAAGAGCTGGTTTATTAACCGAAACTTATTTGGAAGCTCAACATGTTAAACAACACAAGAAGCAATATGACTTGATGACTTTGTCTAGTCAGGCTCAAGAGAAAATCGATGAATTGTTGATGAATGGTGATGTTTACAATAAACTTGCCAAATCTATTGCACCAGAAATTTATGGTCACTTGGATGTCAAGAAAATCTTGTTGTTATTGTTATGTGGTGGTGTCACTAAAGAAGTTGGTGATGGTTTGAAAATTAGAGGTGATATTAATGTTTGTCTAATGGGTGATCCGGGGGTTGCCAAATCTCAATTATTAAAAGCCATTGGTAAAATTGCACCAAGATCCGTTTATACTACTGGTAGAGGTTCTTCTGGTGTTGGTTTGACTGCTGCAGTTATGAGGGATCCAATTACCGATGAAATGGTTTTGGAAGGTGGTGCTTTGGTGTTGGCTGATAATGGTATCTGTTGTATTGATGAATTTGATAAAATGGATGAAACTGATAGAACTGCCATTCATGAAGTTATGGAACAACAAACCATTTCTATTTCCAAAGCTGGTATTACTACTACTTTAAATGCTAGAACTTCTATTTTAGCAGCAGCAAATCCTTTGTATGGTAGATACAATCCAAAATTATCCCCACATGAAAATATCAATTTACCAGCAGCATTATTATCCCGTTTCGATATTATGTTTTTGATTTTGGATCAACCAAGTCGAGAAAATGATGAAAGATTAGCTCAACATGTTGCTTATGTTCATATGCATAACAAACAACCAGATATGGATTTCACACCAATCGATTCTAATACTATTAGAGAATATATCTCCAGAGCCAGAACTTTCAGACCTGTTGTTCCTAAAGAAGTTGGTGATTATGTTGTTCAATCTTATATTAATATGAGAAAAGAAGCCCATAGAAATGAAGGGTCAGTAAAGAAATTCAGTCATATTACTCCAAGAACCTTATTGGGTATATTAAGATTGGCCCAAGCTTCTGCCAGATTAAGATTTGATAACAATGTTACTTTTGAAGATGTTGATGAAGCTTTGAGATTAATCCAAGTCAGTAAGTCATCCTTGTATGTTGAAGATAATGGTTTCAGAGAAGATGAAAGTAGTACTTCAAAGATTTATCAAATTATCAGAAACATTGCTATTGGTGATGGTACTAGATTTAGTAAAACATTACCAATGAGTGAGTTGAGAGATAGAGTTATTGCTAAAGGATTCACCATCCAACAATTTGATGATTGTATTATTGAATATGATGGTGTTGGTATCTGGCAAAAAATTGATAATGGTGAAACATTGATGTTTACCAACACCGGTGACGATGACGATGAAACAATGATGGATTAAGAAGAGTATTTAGAAATTGTTGTATGTGTAGATTAGATTTTGGATTCGTGGAGACAACTCCTCAGGATCAATAAGTAAATGTATTATTAGATTTTTATTATTATTATTATTGATAATTTTAGCAACACATTCTTGTGCGAGTTTGATTATAATGAAAATTAAGATTATCGAGGAAGAAGAGCAAATCAAAAAAAGAAAAAAAAAAGGTCAAACATTTCAAGATTTATCAATATCAGACTTTGGTAGATTAGATCATCATTTAATATTATATATTGTTCACAATTATTAATCATGGAACCTAAAATGGAACTTTCTAGAGAAATCACCAATGAAAAACCACTGGATCAACCACAACCAGAACTACCTGAACAACAACAAGGAAAACAATCTGAATCAATAAAATCTACAACTTGCCATATTTCAAAATATTTAAATTTACAAATAATTTTAAAAAATAAATCAAGTGTAGCAAGAGATCATATGGCAAATGAAAGAACATTATTAGCTTGGATACGTACATCATTAACATTTTTAACATTTGGAATTGGTTTTTTACAATTTTATAGAATTGAAATTAAAACTCCAAATTATCAAATTAATAATGAACTTTTGATTATTGAAAAATTAACTAAACCAATTGGTTTAATTTGTATTATATTAAGTATATTAACTTTATCATTTGGTACTTTTAGATATTTTCAAGTACAAAATTCATTGATGATTGATAATTATCCTGCTACTAGATTAACTATTATCATTTTAATCATGTTTAATTTAAGTATGTTGATATTATTAATGATATTAAATATAAAAATTAGTATTCAATGATTATAATGAATAGAGTTATATATAAATATATAAGGGTTTGTTAATTATATGCATTTGGTTATATGATTTTGTAGCATTAGCAAACTCCCTTTTTGAGTCGCACACGTAGCAGCATACAATTTCATTTCTCTCTTTTTTGGCTCTACCAGCACTTAGATTTCCATACAGACAGACAGACAACCCAGAGAAGAAGAAGAAGGGAAAAAAAAAAACAACGTTGAAAAATCCAGCCAAAAAAATAAATAAATAAAAAAAAGACAACAGAAAGGTTCAATTAGTGGAAACAAATTAGTTCATTATTTAAACAATGTCAAGTGAATTATCTACAAAAACAGTTGTTGAATTGAAACTGTTATTAAAAGAAAATGGATTATCTACAGATGGTAAAAAAGTTGAATTAGTTCAACGTTTACAAGAATTTCAAGATCAAAATACACCTGTTGCTGCTACTACTGCTGCTGCTGCTGCTGCTGCTGCTGCTCCAGAATCAGAACAACAACAAGAACAACAATCAGAAGAATCAAAACCAATAACTGAAGAAGGTGAAACAGGACAACAACAAGAAGAAGAAGAAGAAGGTGAAAAATCAAATTCTAATGAAGGTGCAGAAGAATCAACATTGACTGTAATTCAACCACAACCAAAAGAAGAACCAAAACAACTTTCAGCTGAAGAAAGAAAAGAATTAGCTATATCTTTATTAGAGAAAAAAATTAAAAGAGCTGAAAAATTCGGTGATGAACAAGCTGCTAATGATGCTAGAAAAGATTTAAAAAGAGTTGAAAAATTTGGTGTTGAATTGGGTACTGCTTTAGCTAGAGAAATTGGTTTAGTAGATAAAACTTTACCAAATAAAAACAGACATAATCGTCGTTTCAATCGTGGTTTTAAAAAATCTAACAAGAAGAGGAGATAAATATTGACTTGATATAATGAGTCTATAATACATTTTTAGTTCTTAATTAGTAACTAAATAGACCACTGTATAGATATAAGTACTTAAATACAAAAAGAAAAAAATATACGATACTAACGGAAATAGATTTGAATCTGTATTTTCAATATTGTTTAAAACAAAAAAATTATTAATATAACAAAGATGGAACGAAAAGAGGGAAACTGATGTCATAATTACATTTATTCGGAATCACTGACATCAAATTGTGAAACATTGGCATATTCAATTGGATCATCAACATTACGATCAATAATCAATCCATTGTTGTCTTTAATCCAAATGAAGAAAATGGCTATAACAGCAGTGAAGAAATAAACCCATGATGAAATCAACATAGGTTCCATAACACCAGCAAATGTATTCTCTAAAGAAAAAAAGATAATTACCGATTGATAATCTTCAAATCGATCACTTGGTTGTTGAGGAATATCTTTAACTAATTTTTTGACACTACTAATAGCTCCAATTAAACCACCAATGAAAAATACAATGATTGGCAATACCAAAAAGATGATTATCGACTTTCTGAATGCAGAGCCAACTCTTTCAGTTGAATCGCTGTCATTAGCTGATGGTGGGAACTTGGCAATAGTTTTCTTGGTTTGGAAATAGTTGTACATTGTTAAACCAAACGTAATCATTGAAAATAATCCTGCCAATGATCCAAAAACACTAGTCCAAGTGGATGATTTCTCGTCAAATAATGATAAATTACCAAATCCTGATAAATATGGATACTGGTCTGAACGGTGACTGGCCAGTAATAAGAAAACATACATAATCAACACATAAACAACAAAGAAAGCAATAACTTTGGAGAAAGTTTTTTGAGGAAACATTCTATAGTTGTGAGAATTACCATTGTGATAATAAATGACCCCGTAACCCATAGAAAACAATAATAATAAACCTGAAGTGTAGATACTATATGTCTGAGTTATAAACTCTGAGAAAAATGTTGCCCAACCTACTAGCATTGAATTTTGACTTGAACTGATGAAATTATTCTTCAAAAAGAATAAAGCCCATTGATAAATATACACCATGATATAAGGAATTAATACCCAAAAGATAATGGCTTTTGAAATAACAGAAATTGAATCCAAATTTTTAAAATCTTCACCAACTTTGAATTGTAAGATGTAATTGAACAAGTATGCAAATAATGCAATAGCAAATATAATAACCCATTTCATTTGAGAATAAACCATATATGATGGATAATCCAAATTACCGTATGAATTTTTGAAATCAACAGGAATTGAAACTTTGGCATCCTCAACTTTACCAATATAAACACAATAGATACCTGATTGAGGGACAATAAACTCGGCATCTCTGGAAGAGTCAATGTATCCATTGTATACTTTGGCTGTATCAAATTCAGATTCTTTGGAAGGTATGATGTTAAATTTATCTTCAGAAAACAAATCTTCAGGCAACTTGTTTGGGTATTGGTTATAATAACTCTCTACTCTTGGGACATTGGTAAAATTTAAAAGGTCTATGTAGTGGAAAATAAATGTAGGTATTTTAACATCCTGGGGCAATTTTTGGCCATTGACTTTTATATATCCTTTGCCCTTGTGTTGTGTAACTCTACTACAAACAACACCCACTTTGGAATCTAATATTGTAGGATCTGAATCTAAACCATATATCAATGGTAATAGGAAAGAAATAAGAAGTGTGGTTACTGAAATTAACATTGTGCACTTGACAGGTTTGACAAAGTATCAGGAAAAGAAAAAGATTGGTATCAAGGGAGATTTTAAATCAGTATCAAAGAAAACGAGAAAATTAAATGTGGTAGTATTAGTAGCAGTAGTAGCAAGAATCTGAGGGAATCTTTGCATTGCCTCCTATGACGGAGAGAGACAAATAGAGAACTAAACTTACAAGGAAAAAGTTAAAAATAGAGGCTTTTTATTCTGCTACGGCACCAGATTTGCCATAAACTACATATTGGATGCATTATGAGCTCATCAATCACGTGGTATATAATACAAAGATTGTAAATGTTTCGGTAAAAATAGAACATTGATTACTCTTGTCATATTGGGGACAATTTCGTATCCAAGGTTATACTCTAATTAAGCACCTCAGTAATTATTTTTTTTTTTGTCCTCGTTCTCGGATGGAGAATGGACGGATTTTTAATTTCTCCCCACCTTTATATCTTTTCTTTTTTTCACTTTATTCAACACTAATTGTTGGAATACAAATTACTCATTTTGGTTTATCAAATCAATATATACAAACTTTAACATCAAGTAAGCATGAGTTGGAAGAGATTAATAAGATTTGTTGCTCAAGATGGAAAAATCTACCGAGGTGAGCCAATCTTGAAAGGGAATGATTACGATATTGGAAGAATGTTTTTAGAAGGTGAAAAGATCCAAGCTAGAGTTATCAAAGGAGATAATATATTTCAGAATTCTGTTGTCACTGATGATATTTTAGATGTCAAGAAATTACTTGGACCATTGGCACAATCAGATGTTCCAATTGTCAAATGTATTGGATTAAATTATTCCAAACATATTGAAGAAAGTGGAATTCCAAAACCTCCATATCCTCCATTGTTCTATAAACCTCGAACAGCAGTTGCTGATTTCAATGAACCTATTCCAATTCCAAGAATTGCTCAAAAAGATCAATGTGATTTTGAAGGAGAATTATGTGTTGTTATTGGTAAAACTGGGAAAAACATCTCCGAAGATAAAGCATTAGATCATGTTGCTGGGTATGTTGTTGGTAATGATGTTTCAGCACGTACTTGGCAAATGCATCCTGATTATGCTGGTGGTGCACCACAATGGTGTTTTTCTAAATCATTTGATAAATATGCACCATTAGGACCACAATTGGTTTCAACTAGTCTTATTCCTGACCCATCAGTTCTTCATTTAACAACTAAGATTAATGGAGAATTACGTCAAGATACATCAACTGGGGATTTGTTATTTAATGTAGCAAAAATTATAGCTTTTCTTTCACAAGAAACAACTTTAGAACAAGGTACAGTTATTATGACCGGTACTCCTAGTGGAGTTTGTCTTGGAATGAATCCACCAAAATATTTGAAACATGGAGATGAAGTTAAGGTTAGAATCACCGAAATAGGTACATTAGTTAACACAATGGATTTCCAATAGACTTAGAAAGTATAGGTCAAATAAATACAATAATCTAGTGCTACCAATTGATTGATCACCTGACTCTGAACATGAGGAGACAACAACAGCAAAAAAAAAATAACCTATAAAAGGGTACGGAAATACGTAAACCGAGAAATCAAATTTCATGTTTTTTTTTTTTTTTTTTCTTCTTCTTCTGTTTTTTTTATTTAACTACAATCGATATAGTAAAGGTAGACAGTTTATAGGGATCGTAGTAACACGGACGGTCTCATAACCTTGTCTACCTAACAATTATCGATTGTTACTACTAACCTTTAGTTATCGTGAAGTTGTTATGACTTTTGGTCTTCCAATCTGAATGAAATTTTGAGTAGATATTATTTTTACTAACTTTAATCTAGGAACTTGCTATTATCGCGTTTTGACTTCTAATCTGATGAGGTATGTATAAGATTTAATTTTATGACTACTAACTTTAATCTAGGAACTTGCGTTTATCGCGTTTGACTTCTAATCTGTATTACTAACGTTTATTACGATTATTCTAGCAATCGAGTTCTGTTTTTATATAAGTATTAGAATATATGTTTTATTTTTATTATGTTTGTCTTTATCAAAATTTGTTATTGTAGAATTTGCAATCAAGAAAAATTGAACATGTCTAGTGTTGCTATTGATGTCCTCTTGTCTTAGTCAAATCAGTATGAATTTACAGCATCAATCATGTTCTGTTATATATATATATATATATATATCTAATTTAATAATCTATTTAGTAGCTTTTTTAAAGAAACTATCTATAGCACCACGTTTCACTACTTTTTTCGTAGTTGATTTCTTTTTAGCTTGTTGAGTTTTATTTGAAGTTTTAAGTGAATTTATATTTGCTTCCATTACTTCAATATTCTTTTCCAGTTCTTTCAATTTTTGAAGATAATTATTTAAATCATCTAATTTATAATCAAATTTTTCAATCAATTCTAATTTAACATTACAATATGATGAAGTTATATAATCTAACGCATAAACCAAAGTTAATTCATGTAATTTATCATTGGGGATTTCTTCCATATTTGGAGATAATTCAGTTTTAATTTTATGTAAAATACTTGTATTATTTTCAATAATAAATGATTTCAATTGTAATATTTTATCATGAATCCAATTTAAACATTTATCATTATTAAACTTGTAAAATTCTTCACTATTTTGACATACTGTTTCACAAATTATATTTAATGAATTAGTTATTAATTCATTAGGAAGATGATAAATCCAATCAACATTTAATATATCTTTAAAATCTTCTAATGCAATAAATCTATCATCAAATTTCTTTTGTTGTTGTTTAATTAAGGAAATGAGTAAATATGTAAAATTGAATTTATTTGAAATAACAACATTAGGTGATTGTAATACATAACCTGGTTCAAAAATAAATGATTTCACTGCTGCTCCTGATTTCAATTTAGCAATATTTTCATCAGTTGATCCATCAATTATATTAAGTTCATAAAGTGTAGATTCTTGTAATAAATAAGATTTAAATGTGTCAAGGTTTGTAGATATTGGGAGTTTTATAATCTTGAAAGGAATATTAGACTCGGGTAATATGATCACTTTGCTTTCCTTATCCATTATGGGTTGTTTATGGTATTAATAAAAGGTCGAATTTTTAAAATGTTGGTCTTAAGATGAAAAAAAAAAAAAAAAATTCTGCAACTCATGGTTGAAGACGCGTTATATGGAGAACTAAAAAAAATGCTATGGGTGAGTGTTAATAATATGTATTTATACTTCTATTCAGTAATGAATCATTGATTATTCTTATTTCTATATACATGAATATATCTGTTTAATTCATAATGGTAACATTAAATCTTTGAAATGTCTTTAATTTCATATCTTATACATTCCACACCCCAATTTTCCAAACTAGCACTATTTATAAAATCTTTAATTTTTTCATTCAATTCATTTCTATTCTTAACAACATCATCAAATTTCAAATTACCAATTTCTGTTCTCATTCTAGTTTGACATAATTCATTAATGGCAAAATCAACATCATCGATATTATAAGTAGCTTTAAAAGTATCAAGAATTTTAATAAATGCAACACCATCAATAATTAAATCCTTTTGATCTATAGTTATACAATTATGTGGTTGAATTTCTAAAACCGATTCTTTAATTGAATGAACTGATCTAATTTTTTCAAAAATTGGAATAATTAAATGTGGACCTTCTTTAACTGTACGATTATATTTACCCATTCTTTCAATAACCCATTGTTGTTGTTGTGGAACAAAATTTAAAATAGTATTGGTTGGTGTAGATGAAATACCTTGGAAAAATTGTGGAATTGGTTTTGGTGTAGATGAAGTAGTTAAATATCTAACTTGTCTTGTTGCAAGTTGTCTAATACAGTTTCTTGAACTAGTTATCATTGTTTATAGGATTGATGTTGGCAAATTAGTACGATAGTGAATGGGAATTGGTGGTTTTACTTTTTTTTTGGATTTTCCGTGAGTTTTTTTTTTTTTTCTTCTGTTTTTTTTTCTCGGTTCTCTCTTTCCATTTCGTGGGACAACCAGAAGGCGAGAAATTGAAAATTCATACCGTGAATGATTGAGTGGTAGGAAACATCATATTCTGATAATGATTCGATCTAGGAAATTGGATACATGTCTAATAGATATAAATTGAGACTGTTGAACATCAGCTGAATCGTTGTTGTAACGACTCTATATATCAATTATCCTTTTCGTACTTACTTCTAATAGATATCATGATCCCAACTTTCAGTTTGTTCCAACCATCGCGAACAAAGGAATGAAATGAGCAACAAAAAAAAAATTGTTGCCGTTTAATATTCAAACTCATCTCTCTATTCATTTAAACAACGATAATGTCAAAAGAAATATCCAATAATCAGAAAAACTACTTATTTGAAGCATTAAAGAACAATATTCGATTATCAAATCGTAAATTTGATGAACTTCGATCAATAGATATCAAATTATCCGATAGTAAATATGGATATGTTGAATTAACATGGGGATCAACTAAATTAATTGTTAATATATCAGCTAGAATAATAGAACCTTATAAAGATCGTCCATTTGAAGGTATTTTCACTATAAATTGTGAATTACCAAATAATCTTAAATCAGAAGAAATTATTGATGAAAATTTACTTAGTAGAACATTAGAAAAATCAATAAGAAGATCAAATTCATTAGATTTAGAAAATTTATGTATTATTGCTGGTGAAAAAGTTTGGGAAATTATAATTGATTTAAATTATTTAAATTATGATGGAAATTTAATTGATAGTGGATGTTTAGCAATTATGATTGGTTTATTAGATTTTAAAAAAAATGATATTTCAGTAACTTCAAATGGTGGTATTAAAATTTTTGATTTAGATGAAAGACAACCTATTGAATTATCAATTTTACATATACCTATTTGTTTAACTTTTCTGTTTTTTAATTTAGGTTCTAAAGAAATGAATTTAAAATCTGATGAAATTAATGAAATTTATCTTTTAGATGCTGATTCACTTGAAGAATATTGTCGTGATGGATTTTTAACAATTACTTTAAATCAAAATAGAGATTTGATTCAATTAAATAAAAATGGTGGATTACCTATAGATGCTCAACAATTACTTCAATTATGTCATAATTCCATGGAAATTATTGATAAATTGACAAATTTGATCAAAACAACAGTTAAAACTCATCAAGAGAAGAGATACAAGTTGCAAAACTTTAAATTATTAGAAGCAAGTGCTGATAGATAAAGTACAGAAAATAAAGTCTATATATGTATATTTGTGTGTCTACAATGCAAATCGATTATCATTTTGATACTTTTTTTTTTAAATATATATATTGTATTATTTCATTATGCTAAATTTGTCTTTTCTTTTCTTTTTTTTTTAAAGGAAAAAGACTTTGGTTTTATGTATTATTTATACAATTTCATCATTCATTCTATTAATAGTTTCTGAATCGAGTAGCGGTTGAGTTACATGCGAAGGTGAACCTGGTGGTGTTGAATGAGGCAGTTCGTTAATGTCATTAATTGGTGATAATAAAAGACTATCGGTAGATTTGTTGCACTTGTTGTCGTTGTCCTCTACAACAATAGTATCAACACTGAGTTTGTCTAAAAGACCAATTTCTATTGGTAAATTGGAATCTTTTCTGTTTCTTCTTTTGATCTTAGCTTGATGGCCCACTATATTAAATATAGAAGATAATTTGGTTTTCTTGTCATCTTTGTGAGTTGGTAAAAGTTCGTTATAATCATGGCTACCTCCACTACTGAGTGACCCCTTAGTTAAAAACTTATCCAAATGTAAAAATCTCAAAAATCCCATAAAAACAGACCACATGATACTGAAAATTTTGTTGATCATCTTCTTGAAACTATTTGATGTTACCCAGCAATAGAACAAATATTCTGTAGCTAAAATAGCCATTCCAAGCAAGAAACCTCCAATAACAGCCAATACAAGATGATCTCCTAATCCTTTAATAAAATTTGCATCACCCATATGCCATGAGGAGCCAGAAGCAATGGCAAAATATGAATATGGGTTCCCTTTATAATGTTCAGTCATCATAACTCTAACCTTACCTGCTTCTGGGACACCCCAACGCTTGTATTGTTTCCAGATTAATGACAAATACAATGGACCTGTGGAAATCATAATAGTTAAATAAGGAATAAACCAGTTTCTTTGGTACTTTTCCAAATTTTGAATCACTTTCAAGAAAAAAGGATGATGTGGAACACTACCCATGACATCATTGGAGACCCCTGTTGGTGCAGTTTTTCTAACAAAGGCAGGCACAGTCAATAATGGATCCAATTTACGTTTACACCCGTCATCTAAATCAATATAGATACCACCATAATGATACAAGACAAAGTATCTAATAGCATCGGCTCTTTGAATTGGGTACATATAGTTATCCCAAGTTTCCAAAAACCATTCAAATTCTTTGCTAATAAATTCCCTGGCCATTTCATCTGTCCATAAAATATATTGGTAATCATTATGCAAATTAATACAAGCTTGTTGACCTTGCTTCCAAGCGTCTGGAATATCATTTGTTTTATAAGTTTGGTGGATAATTTTCGGTATAATTGCTTGTTTGTTCAAATTTGGACTATTTGGAGAAGGATTAATTTCAAAGTCTAGTAAGGCATCACTAAACATATCATCCGGAATAAGCGTGAGCAAATCAAAACATAAATATAACAAATAAATTACTAGAGCAACATGGGCCCATATTATGACTTTTAATTCCTTCTTCATATTTTATTTTTATTTAAAAAAAAAAGTAAAGCAACTGATCGTGATCTGGATTGAATTCTTTATCTATCTAGATTTTCAATTTATTATCGTGATATAATCTGAAATTAGATTGTTAGTGGGATCGAATTTCTCTTGTTGTTGTTGTTGTTGTGGTTGTTTTTTTTTTCTTTCTATCAGTCTGAGTCTCAATCTTCTCTTTCCTTAACTTAATGGGGGAAATTGGAAAGGTTTCAATTAATGCAAAACAAGGAAAGTATTAATACAGATGAAATTGAAGAATGAAAACAAGTTTCTTTGGCAAAATAATAGGAAATCTGAAAATGAATGAATGAAATGAAGCAAACAAAAAAAAGGTGAAGTTTCTTCTGCTAATTTATACCTTGTATTAAGTTTAAAAAAGATTTGGTTGTAAATATTAAAACAAACAAAATTGTTCGCTTGTTTTCTGTTTTTTTTTTCTTGGGAATTAGTTCAACCTCAATGAGTTGAAATCTTGGTTTGATTGGTTTTTTCGTATTGTAGACGATCTAGTGTCGAAGTATTTACTACGTGGGATTAGTAACTGTGGTAACTAAAGAAAACCAAATTGATAAGAATCAACTATTAATTAAATAAATAAAAAAAAGACAAGCAAGAAAAGGAAATAAAAAAAAAAAGAAAAAGGGAAGAAAATTAAATGAAATTGATTAATGTGGGAAAACAACACTAGTTTTGTATGGCAGTAAACCACCACCACTACCACAATTTTACCACCACCAACAATCAACAATCAACCAAAAAAAAAAAAAAATGTCGCAAACAAAAAAAAAATTCTTGTACTAAAATTCAAAAATGTAAACAGTGTAAATAGGAGAAGAGAAGAGATAGTGCGAAAGTCCAATAAAAGTAGGCGAAGCAAAATTAATACAAAACAAAAGAACAAAAAAAAATTTCGTGTTTGTTACTCCCCCCAAATTCAACTCAACCTAACTTAACTCAACAATAATAACCGTAATATTCCTCTACGCCACACTGTACACCATCATTATGATATGCATATAATATTGTATGTGTGAATAATAAAAAGAAAAAGAAAAAGAAAAGAAAAAGAAACCCATGATAGATAACTGTGTGTGTGTGTGAGCTATCCCGCACATGAGACTGTCAACTGGATCCCTGTAGCAAGCAAATATACTGTATCTCCGTAATCATATAATCAAATAATCATGATCAATTATCAAGCGCCCTGTCATTTCAAGCTTAAAAATAGAAATACAAGGGAAACATCAAAAATAGAGAGAGAGTTATAATACCATAATAGCCACAAGTGGCATTACTCTAGCTCACGAAGAAGTTAAAGTGAAAATTTACAACATAACCAGAGACATCAAAATTAAAATTAGAAAAATAGGGGAGACATATTGTAAATTCTTCACCGTGAATCAACCTACACCATTGTTGATATAATAATTATGTTACTGTAATAAATGGAAAGAGATTTTCTTTTGAATTTAATTTATTTGCTTTTTTCCCCTATTTTTCATGCATGATGAGTTCACTAATGTCGCAAAACGACATCATCTCTACAATGCCCATCAGCCAAAAAAAAAAAAAAATTTTTAATTAGTGCTCTGATTAAAAAATAAATTGCACCTCCGCCGACAACGAGGACGACGACGACGACTAAAAAAAATCATTCCATTTTTTGTTTACTTTTGCTTGTTTGATTTTTCTTTAACGCGAGAGAAACGGGTCGAGGATATATTAGTATGCTGATGACAATGATATGTCAAAGATAAATCAATGATTAAGGGACCCGTGAATCAACAGAATTAACAATTTAATTCGATTTTTTTTTTGATTAAGATCAAACGAGGCGCGGTGGAGGCAAGGGGGGATGAGGCCTGGCATGGTTATTGGCCATGATGAACAAAGCAACCAGAAAAGAAGAGAGAAAAAAAGAAACTAATCAAATTAAACTCGTAACCTAATAGCGTAAATTTTATGATTGGCTTATCTAATCATATATGCTGAGTAAATTAGCCGTGGGGTTGTAAATACAATAGAAAAGGAGGCAATGAAGATAATAACTACTGTCAACAAAGGGAAGCAAGATGTCTTTTTAATTGGGCCTTAAACTTGCTGTTCCTTACTGTTTGCTCATTAGATTTAGAATTTTTAGACCAACTATTGTAGAAGGATTATTTTGCATAGATATCCCATTACTTTTGTTTAGTCTTGTCTTTTCTTTTTTTTAAAAAAAAACAAAATGCTGGCTGGCTGGCCGGTGGTTTGTAGTAGTGTCTTTTTTTCCTTTTAGTATAGCCGATATTCATCATCAAATTCAAGGTTATTCCTGTCATTTATTCCTTTTGATTATAAGTTTTGAATGATGCTCTTCATCATCAATTCAAGTGTTTCGGAGATTAACTATACACTATCACAAAAAGTCAAATAGCGATTTAGACGATTTATAACAGTGTGACAAATACAAATTTGTGGTTTTGTTTACATAAGCACTCAAATTATAGTGAGCATGGATCTTTTTTTTTTTTTGTTTCATTTGAATTTGAATTTCAGTCACTCATGAATACTGAATGTGTCGGATATTGATGAGAATATTACTAAATTACAAACATTGTATATTGGTTCATCTTCTTTCCTCGCCTAAGATCTATTTCATTTAATAGCCACAGATCATTAAATTGAAATAAAAAAAAAAAGTTACAACTTCTGGAGGTAAATCTCAAAAATCCCTGTCCCCCGGAAAAACTATTTTTTATTTTTCTCTTGGCAAGCAGGTATGGGTTGACGGTTGTTTAAACTAAAATTGGCCCATATTTTAAAAATCAAACCAAAAAAAAATAGGAAATACAAACCTGGATTAATTAATTTTTCCATTCATTTGAAATGTGCATATTATTTCTACCATCATTTGATGTACAGTTTTCTCCGCATACTCCACTCGTTTCTGCAGTTTGTAATGTATACGAAGGTTAGCTCTGTTGAACAATAAAAGGAGACAAACGACAATTTCAATTAATAATTTATGGAGAGGCAAATATTACTTTAACTTACGAGATGAACTCTTTGTGCATTGATTTGGGCAATATTTTTATGTTTATTGATGCTAATAGATTCTATATTTGAGTATTCCAACCAACTAGGTTTGGCTGGTGAACTAGTATGGTTCGATATTACTTGAATTTAATAACAAGCATCTATCATTGACTGCATTGGGTGTAACAAATGAAAATACTTGTCTAATTTCAATATCCGTGGTGATGTTGGATGTTCCTTGTTTGGATCTAATCTAGCATTCAAAAATTTCCCAATACAGTATTTTACATAAATTATATCAGATCATTCTGATTACCATTATTTTCAAGACAGTTTGTTAAATTGGGATACATCAACTGACGTTGCAAACGGCTTCAGTTTAAATTCGCAGCCAGAAAATATTCCACTATCCACGACCCCACTATATTTCATCCACATCAGATACTTATTATTGGAAAACGTATATCACTACAATTAATAGACATTAGTAAAGACATAAAAACATATATTAACACTAATCATTATCACATTCTTTGTATTTCATTTAAGGAAGACGGTTTATAATCTAATGTTCATGTTCATGTTTGAAAACTGTTTTAGTACCATCAGCAACTTTATGAGAAGTTTTATCAGCACCTTTGTGTAAACCATGATGTATACTTTTTGGAATTTTCAATAATTTATCATTGAATTCATCCATTTGAGAATGAAATCCTTCATGTTTAGATTCGTGTTTAGAATCGTGGGTGGATGATGTATGTTTATCTGAACTCATGATTGATTTTAATTTATATGTTTTAATTGAAAGTTTTGGTATTTATTGGAATGATAATAAATAACATTCAAAAATCAAATAATCAAAGAAAGAAGTTTTTTTTTATCTATTTATAGTGATTGTTTCATATAGCTATAAGAGTTAAAATCATTGATGATCGGACAATCAATTGTTGCGAACAACAAAATCCGAATGGATAAACCGGGTGCAAAATATAGGAAATACAAACCTACTCTCACAGAAAAGTAAGAATTACCGAAATTATAGTATTACGCCTTATTATTGAACAGATTGTCTTTATATTATGGTGAAGTCTTCTATTTGTTTTTTTTACTAATGAATTACTGTTTAGATTGGTTTTGATAATGCGTTTAATAAAAGTATAATATTTCCGACTCGGTCGAAGATACATACCCAGTCATATCTCGAGAAACCTTTAAAGCCACGTAGGCAGGTATGAGACTCCTTTCGGGTAGATTTTACAAATTAGATTAGAATTATAGATGATTGATTATAAAGGATAAAATTTTATGATCAAGATGAAAAAGTATAATTAGACTTGGGTTGGATTCGTTAAGCCGTTTGACACTTTGGTGTGATAAAAATATTTATATTCATCCACATCTTAGAGAATATTACATGTCATATATCATTCAACTTTTGGCTATAATTACATCATTGGAATTGTTTTCTTAATCTGACTGGTTATATATTAATTTTGCTTTCGAACATGATTCAGTGAGTTGTCTTCCTGCTCGTGATCCATTTGTTATATCATCAGACAATGATAAGAGTCATGTATTCATTTCTACTTTGATGATCACTAGGTATTATGCGATTATTACATGTGATAGTGAACTGATATGATTTTTGATTATACTTCAAAACCAATGTTTTTTCTTGATTTCCTTCAAACCCTTACAAGCTAAGGTACCATTTAGAATCAATAGTTCCAGCCACTCGTACACGACCATCATTAATTTTTGGAGTGAGAGCAATGGAAAAAAAATCTTAATTACCAGTGTGTTGTTAACAATACAAAAAATTTTCATTATCAGCATTTTTTTTTTTGGTTGATTAGTTGACTCCACTCAATAATAGCAACTACTATTTACATTTAAACCAAAAGATGAAGTTCTCTGCCATTCTTACTGCATTGACTGCCACAATTGCTACTGTTGCTGGTTATGAAACCAGTGGTAAACCACATACTGTTGATATTCTTATTGACTACAGTATTAAAGAAACTCCAGAAATTTCTCAAACTGATGTGGCTAATTGGGTCAATGGACAAAAATACACTCTTGAATATGTTGTTAATAACAATGAAGAAACTGAAATTGCCGTTGTTGGTGTAACTGGTCAATTCAAAAACCCAGTTACTAACCAAATTGTTACTAATTTAACTACTGGTCAAGTTGGTCCAATTGCTGTTGCCCCAGGTGAATCAATCAAATTTGAACAAATTGTTGATGTTGATTTAATTCCAGATAATTATGAATTGATTCCTCATGTTTTCGTTGCTCATGATGATTTAATTAAAGTTATTCCATGTCGTGGTCAATTGGCTTCTATTGTTGATGCTGCTGTTTCATTTTTCGATCCAAGATTGATCTTTTTGGAATTGGTATTGTTGGCTACTTTTGGTGGTATTGCTTATTTCGTTTATGAAATCTGGGGTAAACAATACTTGAGAGGTACTGCTCCTGTTAAAGTTCCAGTCAAGAAAAGTGGTTCCCCAGTTGCTGTTAAAGAAGCTTCTCCTGTTGGATCTGCAAGTGGTTTCGATGAATCTTGGATCCCAGAAGCTCACTTGAAAAAGAACAAGAAAAAGGCTTAAAGAATATAAGCTAAATGTGTAAACAATAACATTTATCTTTTGTAATTTTATTATTAGTATTATTATATGAGTATATGGATCGTTAAATTCTATGTACATGATTCTATAATTCTTCAACAAAAGATAGGAATAATTCTGTCTTTAATACTCATTTCAACCTAATATATATATATGGCTAGGTTCAGTCATTTATCATTCATCAACTTGTTCCTTGACTAACTATCTTGCGGCTTGATGATAGTCCATTTGTTACATCACTAACATTACTCTTTTTCAAACTTACTTTTCAAAATTCTTCTAACGGCTTCAGGTGAAATACGGAAAATCTTACTTAGATCAATGGTTTTATAATTGGGGAAAATTTCCTTCAATTGACGTAACTTATCCATATCTTCTCTTGATAATCTTCTTTTAGGATTCCAAGGCGTATTCCCATGCTTCTTTTGTAGTGTTCTTTTCCTTTTTATATATTCTGGTAAATCATCTGGATTTTTCTTCTTATCATTTTGAAGTATTGATTGACGATATAGATCTAGTGGTACTTCTTGACCTAATTGGATAGTTGCTTTTCGTTTCTCTTTTTTAGCAGTATTCTTTTTATTATTTATCTTGGGAAGTGGAGGAGTTGGTTTTGTTGAATAGTATTGTGGTATTGTTAGTAGTTGTGTTTTGAAAACCTGTTGTGGTCTTGATAAGAGTCTAAACATCTCCGGTGGTATAGCTAGGGATAAGAAGAGCATCAGGAATAATTTTCTTTTTCTTCTCTCTCTTTTTGTTTTTTTGCATTCATGAAAACAAAAAATAAAAATCAACAAAATGCGAGTAATGACAAACAAAAAAAAAACTCAAGTGTTAGTAAGAAAGCCAAAAAAAAACCACGTATACTTTCTTCAAATCCAAATAAACTATCACATAACTAAGTAATAATGATAACGGATGATCAATTAAATACCATTGCTTTGACATTTGGATTTGCTTCTATTATTTTGATAATAATATACCATGCCATCTCAATTAATGTCAAACAATTAGAAACATCAAAAAGTACAGAAAAAGCCGCAGTTGAATCAGAAATTGCTGCTGAAGAACTAGTTGCCGGTAAAATCTCCAAGAAATAGTCAATGATATTCATAAAGAGCAGTGGGTATTATCATATTTAAAGAAAACAAGAAATGTTAGTAAAGTCTTTTTAGTTGATCTTGAAAGATGAGGAATTTATGGAAAGTGTTGGACTTTTCATGTACATCAAACAAAACTTGAATGGTTTGATTTTATAGAGAACACGAGTATATTCAAGAATATATCTATAATATAATCTAAGAGATACATACATCCAACCTCTCCCCTTGTAGATGACGAACCTCCCGTCATGGACCTTATGTCCATAACCCGGAATCTGTTTTGTGATTATATGCAGGAATTTTTCGCCATTGTTAATTAAGCAGAATTTAGTCAAAGAGAACGAAAAATTTTCATCGCTTTCTTAAAAAAAAAAAAGTCAAAGAAACTAGCCCTCTTAACATTGCAACCAACCATCGATTTATAGAGTTCACATTACACACACGGGACATATATATATATACCCTTTTACAATAACACATTTTATATACATACATATACATACGAACATATCATGTCTTGGTTATTTGGAAAACAATCAAATACATCTACTGAAGAAGATGCAAAAATTAAACAAACTTTAGGGTTTGATCCTAAAGAAATTAGTGATGTTAACTCCATCATATCTACCCCAGGTTCTAGTACTACCAACACATCTGCATTCAGTAAATTACATCCATTAGCTGGATTAGATAAAGGAATCGAATATTTAGATTTAGAAGAAGAAAAATTAAATACTGTTGAAGGTTCAAAAGGTTTAATTCCATCTAGATCTTGGACTGATGATTTATGTTATGGTACTGGTGCTGTTTATTTATTAGGTTTAGGAATTGGTGGTCTTTGGGGTTTTCAAACTGGTGTTAATACTTTACCAGAAAATGCTCCAGGTAAAGTTAAATTGAATCATATTTTGAATAATATTACCAAAAGAGGTCCATTTATGGGTAATTCAGCAGGTGTTTTAGCTTTAACTTATAATTTAATTGATTCAAGTATTGATGGAATAAGAGAAAAACATGATGATTTGAATTCTGTGGTTGCTGGTGCTTTAGCTGGTGCTTTGTTCAAAAGTAGTGCTGGTTTTAAACCAATGGCTTATTCTTCAGTTATGATGGCTGGTGCTGCTGGTGTTTGGTGTGGTATTAAGAGATTATTACAAGAGTCAGATTAATCAGATGAAGAAACGGTTTTTTTTTGAGTCCATGTACATATTTATATCTATTGTTATAAGAAGATGTGTAAAAATACATATAATATTTTTCAATTAGTTACAATTATTTATTAAGCTTTAATGGTTTCTATAGGTTTATCATTGGTGATGGTCGAGTTCTTGTTGTTGTTGTTGTCATTCTTCTTTTGTTTCTTTTGACGTTTGCTTGGCTGTTGCTGTTGTTGTTGAGCTTCTGTAGGTCTTTTTGGTGTTGGTGTGTCATCAAAGTCGTTTAACATGGTTGATTCGTTCCATGAAGTGAAAAATTCATTAATCATGTTGTGTCTTTTCTCTAAATGAGCTGGTAAATCATCGTGCTTCAAGAAAGTGGCTTTTTGACAATCTCTATTCAATATGTAGAACAATTTATCCTTTTCTTCTTTATCTTCCTTAATAGATTTAATGATTTCACCCATTTGATCGAAATTTTTAGTTCTTGAAATTGTTTGGAAATACTTGGATTTACCACTAATCATATTCAACATCATATACTTGGTACCTTGAAAAAGATAATATTTTGTTGATATATCATACAATTCTTGAATGATTTGCGATTGTAATACAGGTACATCACTGAAAACTGAAGGATTTGCTTCAGCAGCTTCACCAAACATGATACTCAATTTATCATTATCCAAAGCTTTTTGTACAATTTTCAAATCTTGTTTGTTTTGAAAATTACCATTAAGTACCAAACTAACACCTGATTTTTCAATTATTGGAATCAATTTTGGTAAGTAATTCCATACTGGATCTTGTCTATTTCTCATTATTGGAGTTCTACAATGAATAGTTAAGTTTGTAATCCCAGTTTGACAAATTTTTTCAATCAACTCTTTACTCTTATCAAAATTATTAAACAATCTGATTTTACAACTAATTGGTTTTCCCTTTGGTTTACCGACATTTTCCACCAAATTAGTTAAAATAGAACATAATATTTCTGGAGTTTTCAATAATTCAGCTCCCATACCTGAATGAGTTGAGAAATTCTTTGGACATCCACAATTTAAATCAATTCCATCAACATCATCAATAACCTTTTTAGCTGCTTCTACCGCAAGTTCAGGATCACTTGAACCTAATTGACAAATTAATTTTCCTGATTCTTCTGGATGTTTTCTTAAAATAACTGTTTTCTTATCTGGATTTTGATGATTTTCAGATATATAATCAATAGTATTTAAATCTTGATTCACTATTCTTTTTGATTGAATGACTTTTTTATCCACCAATTCTGGAGACCAAACAAGATCAGCACCATATTTCAAAGCCAATAATCTCATAGGTAGTTCTCCACTTCTTACCATAGGAGCAAGACATAGTTTATTAGTATACTCAATCATGGTTCGTAGCATGGACAAATGTTGTTTGAAGTTGAGATTATATGATCTGGCTTTGTTCTTTTTTATTGTTTTTTTTCTTTACAGATATTTTTTTTCATGTTCCTCATCCCTGCGAATGTCAAAACGGGTGTCGCATTTAGTGTCTCATAAACTCTGATTATTTGCGACACCAAAAGACAAAAAAAAATCTTTTGAACTCAAGAAATATCTTGGGTGCAAACAAACAATCCATAGAAAGGAAATTCTTCCACAGGCTTAAGCTACCATTGAATTGTAGAATTTAGGAAATATCAAGAACATTAGCATATAACAGATTCACTCTTATTTTTTATTTTTTGCCGTCATTCAATTTCATCTTATAAGCTGAAACTACTAGAATTTTCTTGATCTTGAATCAATTTGAAATTATGTGACTACAAACCAGTATCCGAGGCCTTTATCAGTAGCTAATAGAGAATTTATGTTGGTATACTTCTTATCCCCCCTCCCTCCCAAAAAAATTAATTAATCTTTAGGAGTGTTTTAATCAGTCATATGGAAAAGAAACGCAAATAATGAACATCTTATCATTGGCTGGATTAGTATGTCCGATGTGGGTCCCCGAGGTCAATTAAAAAAAAGTTCAAACCCCTCGACCGCTTGGTGCGTCCGGCTGGCTGAAGTGGTGGCACCAGATGAAAAAGAAATTTTTTACTGAGGCAAGGCGAACCGCTGTCGCGGTAGGAATTGAAAATAGTTATTACCGATGGACGGGGAGAAAAAAATATGAATTTCTGTTTGTCTGTTTTCTCATCCACTTATTGAATTGAGCCAATTGCTAATAGATAATTACTAAGTCGTGCATATGTGTCTGGTTGTCATTTGTTATCGGGAGCTAAACCTTTGTTTATTGTTTATTTTTATTTTTATTTTCCGTAGTCGCAAGAAAAAATTTACTTCATACAGATGAGATTAAAAAAGAAAAGTGTACCACCAAAAAAAAAAAAAAATCAGTGATGACTTTTGCCTTAAACCAAAAAAAAAAAATAGGACGTGCATAACGTGACAAAGTATAAAAAAAATCAGATGGTATGACACAAAGAACAGTTAAAAAAAATTTCAATGATTCGATTGGTCCTCTCCACCATCATCTAAGTAATAAATCTAAGTAAACCAATTGTAGGTTGGTCTTCACAGTTTTCTTCAATTGAACAACTCAATTGAGCCATTGGTACAACGTACAAATCAATTGATAAAACCGTTCGCGTAAAAATACAAAAAAAAATATCAAGTAGCAGGTATTATCTAAGCGATAACGGGTATGAGATGCGTACGTTTCCCCACCAAAGAAAATTTTTTTAAACCAAAAAAAAAAAAAAATGAGTCTTCGTGGTGATTTAATTTCAGACATTAAAGTTACATAAGAAAATGTCTGTCACATGACCCTTGCGTGAATCATAACTTACGCCGTGGATATTCTTTGATGTTAATATATTCTTGCTATTATCTAAAGAGTACATATTTCCGAGTGGCAAAGTATGACTGTGATACTCTAGTTGCTGTGTATGGGCCATGCATTGGTAAAGGAAATAAAAATAAAAGAAAAACCAGCAGTAATATTTTTAATAGTAGTGTATTTTGCATTGGATTATTTTTACTAAGTAGATTACAAATGGTATGTTTTATCCTCCCACACACGACTGACATTAAAAACTTTTTTTTTTTTTCTTATTTCTTATCCAAAAAAAAAACGGTTGTATTTATCTCTTATCGCCTTGCGCTGGGGTGTGTGTCTATAAGGTCAAAAAGAAAAAAAAAAAAGAAATCAAAGTTCGTTTACCAAAATGGTATACTTTCTTTTTGAACAAAGAGAATGTTGAAAATAGTACGTTTTTTTTCGACACATCCAAGAATGTAGTAATCAACTACTGGTGATTCTATTGTATTCTATTCTTTGTCTCAGCTACGGTTTAATATAATAAAAAGTTTAGTATTGCCAGGTCATTCTTTCCTAGGTTCAAAAAAAAGAATTATATATTCTTCGTGTCTCTCTGTTCAAAAAAAGAAAGCCCAAAAAAAAAACATACAAAAAAAAAGAAATTTTTGTGACATTTTTTATTTCTTATTTCGTACATGAAACACAAAAAAAAAATCAAAAAAAAAAAAATTTTTGTTAAAATGTCATTTCTTTACAACCAAAACATCATCATCACTAATATAGAAATATATATATAAGAAAATCACCTAAATTTTATTTTCCCTCCCAAAAAAAATATCTCTCTCTCTTTCTTCTTACTTGATAGTTTCCCTCTTTCCATTAAAGATGTCTATATTTTATCAACCAATGTCAGGTTCAAACGATATACCAAACTGTTTAACACCCAATAACAATTTAGAAGATCAATTCGGTCTCATCAAACAACAATTGGCTATTACTACCAGTAGCACTAGTAGCAACAGTAGCACTTCTTCCAATACTACCAATGCAAGTGGAACAAGTTCTCCAAGTGGGGCTCAACCATTATCTCCACCTTTATCTCCATATCAGAGAAGTGCTTCTTTGCAATTGATCAAACAACCATTGCCAATCTTACCTAAACTTAACAAGAATAACAAATCCTATTTGCAGAATAGTAATGCCGAATTTAAAATAGAAAACTTTAATGACTACAAATTGACTGTTGATATCAAAACAGTCGATAAAAATTATTATAATAAACAATTGGATTTTTTAAACAAGTATAGTTCTTTATCAAATAGTGAAAAAGCCTCAGCTGGTATTAATGGTAGCTCTTTACCACCAAGAAAATACAAAAAGAGATTAAATTACGACTCAAATGATGAAATTACTCATTCTGATACTGAAAGAGTCAGAACTAGAAGAGTTGTTAAAACCACCAACAAGGATTTCACCACTGATGATGAAGCTTTTACTTCTTTACCATCAACTCCACCACCAAAGAAGAAGAAGAGAACAACCACCAGCAGTCCTTCTATTCCAATATTGACCTTGCAACAGCAATTGATTGATGAATCTATTCCAGATTATTCACCAGATGTTTCTACATTACCACCAAAGAATGCCAAATGTTTAAAAATTGAATGGAAAGGTCAACCTATGGATTTATCCAACGATCCAAATTTGCTGAAATTGACACATCCAGCTGAGGTAATGTTGGCCAGTATTTTGAGATTGCCTGTTGCCGTATACTTGGATTCCAAGAGAAGATTCTTCTACGAAAAGGTTAATCGTATTAGAAGTGGGAAAACTTTTAGAAGAACTGATGCACAAAAAGCTTGTAGAATCGATGTCAATAAAGCAAGTAGATTATTTGCAGCCTTTGAAAAAGTCGGATGGTTGAATGATGAATTGTTTGAAAAATACTTGTAAAAAAAAAAAAAAATAGGAAATTGGATTGGATGATTAAGGGGTTCTTTTTAAGGGGTTTTTTTGTGACAAAGACACACATATTTATTTATTTTTTAATGGCTTAACTTTTTGTGGAACAGTGATAACAATATTTTTTTTAGTTCGGTTTTATTTCAATTTTTTTTTTTATTAGAGAATGGTTTGATTTTTTTTTTTTTTTTTATTTAATTTATTTAAAGGAAGGGAAATATTTGGTTATTAAATTATGTATTAATTATTAAAAGTGAAAAATTGGTTTTTATTAGAGGGTTCAAGAATAGACAAATTACTTTTTATTTCTTTCTTTTATATATATTGTATAAATTTTATTTGTTGTCATAAAAATATAATAATATTAATTGGTTACTAGAAAAGACACATTAATCAATAACTCTTATGGTGTAATCTCAAGTGGGGAATCATTGGCATGTTCCCTGTATATGTAAAATTGTAAGATAATAACTGAATCTTCGAAAATGGTACCTAATGATCCTAATAACCAACTCATGTTAAGCATAATATATTGGCTATCACTTCTAAAAAATAAAATTTGTCCAGCATAAGTTAAATTACCCAATGATGAAAATAAGAAAAACAAAAGACTCAAACCATGAACACTCTTTCTTTTATGGTTTTGAATGATTTGAGGAATTCTTGCTCCCAAATATAAGAATGCACTAAGGTATCCCATGACTTGTGGGCCAAATTTTATCTTATCGTCACCAGAATCTCCAGGAAGTTGACCATCATCATTTGATGAAGAAGATGGACCACTAATGAAAAATCCCAATACACCACATCCAATAACAAACAATATAGGTAAAACATATTTAATAAAAACAGAATGATATTCTGGTTCCAAGGCAATGTCAGTCAATGTGCTGCTTCTTCTACTTCTAGAAGTAGTCAATAATGGACTTTCTTCATCTTCGCCTGATTGTCCTTGACTAAGTCTCTTTTTATTTTTCTTATGGTTATGGTGATGATGGTGGTGAGCATGACGTTTTGGGTAAACTTTTGTATAGTAGAAATAACTGAAAATCATCAAAAAATCAGCAATACAAAACCATACGGCTAAGAAAATAACTTCCGGTAATAATCCAGCCCATAAAGCACCAATCAAATTAAAAACATCACCCAAAAACCATATGGAAATAAATCCAATGGCTATACCTTCAGCTGATTTCAATCTCCATTGTTCAATTAATTGAGGCATCAAAAGAACAATCCAACATGCCAATGACGTAGAGCCCATAACTCCGGAGACTTGTACTCTCCATGAAGTTTCTGCTATATTAGCAGATGATATAGATGTAAGTGTCTGGAATATATACGAAAACATGAATTAGCTTTGATTTATATAATACAGACTTCGGTATGTAAAAAAAAAGCAATAGTTATAACAAAGAAGAAAGAAAAAAAAAAGAGTCAGAGAATTTTTTTTTCGACTGATGTTGTTGATAAGATGGAAATTAATTAAAAAAAAAAAAATTTTCTTCTCTCAAATTTGTTTGATTTTCTGGAAGTCGTGGCTGGGTGCAGGTGCGGAACTTTCATTTAAAACAGGCGTTGTTTTTTTCTGTTCATTGCGCACGGTACCGCGGTTGTGAGATTACTTGATTAGGAAACGAGCCACATGGACAACATATTAATGTTTGACTTTAAACAATAGCCAAGTAGTGTACAACAAATTGCGTTCTAAGAATCAGTGCCTATGTTGCAAACCGCAAATCAACTATTGTTCATTGATCGTGTGATTATTATGGTTGAGTGTTGTGTCGATTCTCAAGAAGAGTACAATATTTAGTTGAAAATTCATACCAAAATGTGGGAAAAAAAAATACTATTCTACAAAGTTTTGTATAGCGGGTACCAACTAAACTGAATTTAAATAAACAATCCATATTCAATCTAACCATGATTTTACTTCAGACAATTTATTGAACGACAGTGCTTGAGAAATAAAAGTTAAATACTCTTTGAGTACCGTCACCAAAAAAGAACATCTCACAAAACTTGTGAGTGCACAAACTACTCAGTAATTTGAAAAAAATAAAATTGCAAGAACCGGGAATCGAACCCGGGGCCCAACGATGGCAACGTTGGATTTTACCACTAAACCATTCTTGCTGTAGGAATTGTAACCAACTGAGCTATAAGCTCTAATTGTTAGAGTTTGAAAAGTACCTGGTTACTTAAAAAGAGCGCCTTTCATGGATCCCACTGTGGCGTCGCTTCCAATCTCCGAGTTTTTATTCTTTAATTTTTTTTTCCAGTTTTGACATAATTTCTGATGGTATGTCCACGGGTTCGGCTTATACAACCTGATGCCACAGTAGTAGGAAAAATACTATAATTCCTTAAATAACTTTACACAATTTTCATTATTTGCAAATTCTTATGTCACATTTCGTGATTGTCAAAACGGGTTATTGCGTTGGGTATATAAAACATCCTCCGATTTTCCATATTTCTGACACCATGATTTCAATTTCTCTTTTGAATGATAACCATCTACCCAATAATTAACTATGCCAACTCATAAACGTCAAAAGTTACAATCTGAATCTGCTCCAAAACATCTTATCATTAATGCATTTGATATGATGTGTCCATCACTTCAAACTGCTGGTTTATGGAAGCATCCGAAGGATAAATCCAGAGATTATAATACTATTGAATATTGGACTAATTTGGCTCAATTGTTAGAACGTGGAAAATTCAATGCTTTATTCATAGCTGATGTTTTATCTGGATATGATGTTTATAATGGACCAAGAAATTTTGATGCTGCTGCTAGAAGTGGAGCACAATTTCCTATTAATGATCCTCATGCAGTTATTCCTGCCATGGCTGCTGTTACTAAAAATCTTAGTTTTGCTGTTACTTCAAGTACTATTACTGAAGCACCTTATCATTTTGCTAGACGTTTGGCTACTTTAGATCATTTAACTAAAGGTAGAATTGGATGGAATATAGTTAGTTCTTATTTGGATTCATCAGCAAGAAACGTATTGAATGGTGCGAATTTACCAGACCATGATGAAAGATACGACAAAGCTCAAGAATATTTAGAAGTTGTATATCAATTATTTTTATCATCTTGGGCTGATGATGCTGTTGAGTTGAAAAATGGAGTATTTACTAATCCCAAGAAAGTTAGAGAGATTAACTACGAAGGAAAGTACTATACTGTTCCTGGTCCATCAAATTACAGAACCAACTCCTCAAAGGTTGCCAGTTATTTTACAAGCTGGTGCTTCTACAAAAGGTTTGGAGTATGCTGCTAAACATGCTGAAGCAGTATTTATTAATGGTATGACTCCTGAAGGATTGAAATCTAAAATTGACAAATTAAAGAAATTGGTTGTTAAAAATGGAAGAAATCCAGACGATGTTAAAGTAGTCCAATTAGTCACGGTAATTACTGCACCAACTCACGATGAAGCCATTGCCAAGTATAAAGAATATAAGCAATATACTGACAAGGAAGGTGCGCAAGCGTTGTTTTCTGGATGGACTGGAGTTGATTTAGGTAAATTTGATTATGATGAGGAATTAGATAAAGTTGAAAGTAACGCAGTAAGAAGCTTTGTTGAAATGTGGACCAAACCAATGCCAGGTGATCCACCAAATTTAAAGAAAACCAGAGCTTCAATTGTTGATCAACTTGAAATTGGGGGTCTGGGTATTTTGATTATTGGAGATCCGAATGAAGTAGCTGATGAATTAATTCGTTGGCATGAAATTTCTGGTGTTGATGGATTTAATTTTACATATGCTGTTAGTCCAGGTAGTTTTGAAGATTTAGTAGATTATGTTATACCAGTACTCCAAGAAAGAGGATATGCACAAAAGGAATATCCACGAGAAGGAATTTCATTTAGAGAAAACCTTTATGGTGTGGGTAATACATTTTTGAAACCAGATCATCCTGCTTATGGATTAAGATGGAAAGCGGGTGAAACCAAAGAAGAGTTTGAAGAGAGATTACCAAAAGTATTGGAAGAAAATTTTTAAGAAAATATACACTGTATGTAATGGATATATGTATTTTGTTTTGTTTTTCGAATAAAATTAAACTAACGTATTTAATAAGAAATGTAAAAAGAAATGAAGATATAAAGATAGTTGCTCTTCTTAGAAGATGTATTTAATAAGACTGACCAAATTCTTGACAGCCCAGATGAAAATAATCTTTCTGTAAGTGGAATTACCAATAATGGTAGTAAAAGTGTCCACAAGTACACCAGAATCTTTCAAAGCATCAATCAAAATGCCAAAACTCAAAACACCTTGTTGAACACCCTTGGTAACGACTTTGACTAAAAATCCTCTACCATCAGAAGTACTAACTAAATCATCCAAAATAGACACTGCCAATCCAGATTTATTTAAAGATGAACAGATTTTACCTAAATCTGTAACAGCATTAATTAAAGTTATCAAAGATCCAAGAATGGTTTCTTGAGCAGTATTAATAACACTACCGATAAGATCACCCAAAATCCATCTTTTTCCAATACTAATAGTACCATTATTCCACAAGGCAACAATGATATCCCATAATCCAGGAAGTAAATCATAATTAATGAAAAATCTCATAACAATACTAACAGCCAAACCTGATTCATTAGCAGCAGATAAAATTTTAGTCAAACCAGTATTTTTAATATAACTGTTAACAATATCAACAGTACCACCTTGACTCAAAGAGTTAGTGGCCAAACCATGGACAATAGTAACACCTTGACCAGATTTATTCAAAGCAGTGAAAGCAGCTGTCAAAGCAGCATTATCTGGATAATCTCTTTTAGTAAGATTTTCTGGAGTTAAACCTGAAGCAACAACTAATTCTTGAAGATATTGAGCAAGTTCAAGTTGTTCTTGAGTTGGTTCGCCTGCACTACCATCATCTCTTACTAATAATTCTACTGAAGCAGGTTGAAGAGGTGCAACAATATCTGCAAGAGTAAACCATGCAAATAGCAAAAGGGATAAATATGTGGATAATAACTTCATCGTAGCAAGGTGTAGTAATTAATTATGGCCAACTTAAAAAAAAGAAAAAAAAAAGAAACACGCAGTGGTAAGTGGTGGCATTATATATATATATCAAACATAAAGATATCCAAACCACATAGTGTAATTGAACCTGTTTCCTAATTAGGAAATGCTTTTTCTCATTTTTAATTGCAAACATTTTTTTTTTTCGCAATTTAACGAAATGTGCGACAACTTTGTTTGTTGAACAACTCGATGATTTTTTTTTTTCCTAATATAGAAATAACTGTATTTGATTTGCATCACCGTCCAATTGTTATTTGTAGCGTTTACGAATCATCAGCAGATGAAAAAGAAATTGACAATATTTTGGGTGATTCTCTTTACTACTTTGGTAGTTGGCTGAGGATGTAGAATCTCGTAGATTAGCTGCTTTGATTTGCCTCATCGAATAATTGTTTATTGTATTCGATGATACGTAATACATGATGAATATGGATATAATTGCTTGTTAGACAAGGGTACTACAGCCTTCCCACACCAGATTAAAAAGAAAGTCTATCATTATACTTCTTGGTTTTACTTTTCTGTTGTTGTTGTTGTCGTTGTTTGAGGGGTTGGCTTATGACATAGGAGTAATATTCATATCCATTGTTCCCAACATGAAACGAACAACTCAGTGTATTTAACCAATTTATAATAAGAGAAAACAATTGATAATGCTTTGAAATTTCATAACTATATTTGGATAATATATTAAAATAGAGTGAACATTATAATATCAAAAAATCAACTACTAACCGTCAAATAGTCGTTAAAAATGTTTGAACCTAGAAACCAAACTATACTTCACCGGAAGCTCTCATTTGGTCATACTTCAATACAGTATTCAACAATACCTTGAACCCATTTTCAACTTCTTCAGGAGTGGAATATTCCTCTGGAGTATGAGATAATCCATCTTTTGAAGGAATGAAAATCATTGACGTTGGAACTCTAACACTTGTGAAACAAGAATCATGACCTGCCCCACTTACAATCTCTCTAACTTTATCTTTGCCAAACAATTCTTCAGCGGCACTTTTGACGGTTCTGATATTCTTCTCATTGAAATTGATTGCGGGTGAAGTGGTTAAATTGTCAAATGTCACCGACAATGGTTTAGCAAACTTGGAATTAATATTTTCTTGTGCTATTTCGCCTGCCTTCGATTTAATTTCATTCATTATGATGGACAACTCTTCATCTTTAACATGTCTTACATCAAGAGAGAACTTGACTGTGTGAGGAATAACGTTAACTGAACGCGGTTCCAATTCTAAAGTACCAATAGTTGCCAAGCCATCAAGTTTTGTAGCAGTTTCAATAGCCATAGTGATTATTCTGGAAGCAATCAACATGGCATCAGATCTTGTATTCATAGGAGTCGTGCCAGCATGACTTGATCTACCACTGACTGTTACCAAATTCCATTCAAAAGCTTGAACACCAGTAACCACACCAATTTTCTTCTGTTCATTTTCCAAGATGGGTCCTTGTTCAATATGAAGTTCAAAATGGGCTGCCAATGGGTTTTCCAAATATGAAGCTTTAACTTTTCCATCGTATCCAATTCTTTTCAATTCATCACCCATTGTAACTGGTATTTTATCTATTGATTCTAAATTCAAAGCATCTTCTAATGCAATCAGTTCTGCCCAAACACCAGAAGAAACCATACTTTTCGGAAATCTAGCACCTTCTTCATTTGTCCAATCAATAAGAGCTATAGGATAATTTGGAACATATCCATTATCTTTTATTGTTCTTAATACTTCCAATCCCAGCAAGACACCTAAAATCCCATCATATCGTCCACCATTAGGTTGTGTATCTAAATGTGAACCAATCCCAATAGGTGGTGCATCATTGTTTTTACCAGGATAAATGCCAAATATATTACCCATTTGATCAATTTTAATCTTACATCCCAAACTTTCTAATTCGTTAACAAACCAATCTCGAACATTTTTATCAAGATCACTTAATGATAAACGGCAAACACCTGTTTGTGTAGATTCTGGACCCCATACACCTTTAGCTCCCCATTTTGCTGTTTCATGTATTGTAGATATTAATCTTCCCTTTTGAATTGTCAATGCTGTCATTGTTGAATATTTATGTGATTGAATTATAGATTGAAGAATATGTCTTGATGTAGTAATATGCATAGGAATTATATGATTGATTATATATCACTGGAGGTTTACTTTTTTTTTTCTTTCTTCCATTGATATCCTCATAATAAGCGATAAGGAGAACTCACAGTCGGGTTTTGTTTCCACTTTTGGAAATAGCCGCAATCTAAATGCGCTTTAAGAAAAAGGGAAAAATAAAGTGGGAACATTGCGCCAATAATATTCAAGTATTTTGTAATCCAGTACGTAGATCTCAAATTGTAGGCTACCAAAATGGTTCTGTACAGACATAATGTGTTGAAGGAGGGGAGGGGGAGGGAGTTGTCAACACCCATCGGCATCTCTAATTGACCACTTCAGTTTCTTTAATCAAACTAACATCAATTTTATCGTCTTGAATCACTACAAATGGACAATTAATAAGATCCACAACTGTGTAGCTCATAGAAACACAAAATTGAATGACATTAGTAGGAGTTAAAGGTATAGAAAACATTTTTTGGAAACAAAATTAACTAGGAGTTAACAGACAATGGGTATTCAAAAATGCAAAAAAAAAAAAAAAAATTGATATTAGTAATTCTTAAATGGGCTAGCTCTTCCATGTATTATATAATTGTTCATTGGCTGATATCAAAAGGACAAATCATCACACAATTACTTACAACTTTACTGTCAATCATTTTCCCAATATACTCTTCTGTTACATCTCTGTATTTGTTGAAATTTTGAAATTATGTTTTGGGCGATTATCTGTAGCAAACATAATTGAAAAAGATTTTCAATTTCTTTCCATATTTCGTATTGACGAGGCACTAACAAATAGTGGATAATCGAGAAGAAAGAGGAGAATCAACACATGTGGTGATATCAAAGTAAAATAACTCATCAATTGATATTCCGATATATCCTCCCTCCCCTCTAATGCATTCATAATACACACAGAAACAAATAGTGTTTTATCACCGAAACGTGCTGCCATCAGACTAACGTTTGAAAGCAGTTTTAGATAATGGATATGTGAGCTACGCGTATCAAGATGTTATCAAAGTATACAATCCTCTAAATATACAAACAATGAATACAGTATAAATTCCGAGCGGATAATTTGTTTTTGCTTGTTTCTTTACATTCATTGTTAGATGGAAAAATATTATCTTCTTAGTATGGGGACCATTTATTGTTGAAAATGAGATTGAATAATAATAATCTCAAAAAAAAAAAGGAAAAGCAAATTTAAATTCCATACTTGGTAAGTGGTTGAAATAAGTTGGAATGTTTGGTTGAAAAAAAAAAATAGTGTAATAATATTTGTTTTGCATACACGCAATTTTTTTTTGTTTTTTTAGTTTGTTGTCTCTGGTAATTTTGTTACACATAATCGATGGGTAGTTTTATTCAAAGAATTTAATGAAATTCTTGATATATCATCTTGTGAATAATCACATGAAACGATGAGATATAGCTTTCATGTGTGAAACGGAGAAAACATGTATCACTTATGGTTAACAGAAGAGAAAGTATCGCCAACTATATCTCTCAATTATAATTCGGCTTGTTTAACGAGCCACGAAAAAAATAAAGAATACAAGACAGTGCAGCACGTTTTCTTTTCCTTTTTTTTGTTATTCCTTACTTATCGCAAAATATAGATTGACAGGAATCTGTTGGTTTAAAACCTAAGCATCGATTGCCCCCTTTTTTTTTCTTTTCTTACCAATTCATAAAACACGAATAACCCACATTTCTTTTTATCTATTTCTGTGCAACACGTCCTTTCCAATTATAGCGTCCTTAGGAAGGATTGTCGAAAATAGTAAAAACTAAAAATAAAAAAAGAAAGGTGTGGAATGGTAAGGTATAAAGGTTAATCTCAGCAAGTGGTTTCACTAGAAAACTGTCAATCTTTATTTTTTCGTGCTCCCGGAGACTGGGAGGGGAGGATTGAAATTTAAGCGACAAGGAAGGAAACTGCGCGTCGTGGGTGGGTGGGAGAAGCTCCGATCTCTGCGTCCGCGAAAAGTGAATGAAAATTGAACAAAAACAATGGAACGCGGTAAATCCCCACAAAAGCAAGCCAATAGTTTAGTTTACTTCATAATACAGTACGTATTGGTGAACAAAGTATTGGGTAACCCTCTATCACATAATGTTACAAAAAGAACTAGTTCAATGTGTAGGTACACACTTTTTTTGTCTGATTTGTTTTAGTTCAGATCAACCATGTATAATTCCCAGAATTCAACCCAAAATAATTTAGGTCCTTGTACACTTTCCAAGAAAACAAAAGTAGACCAACCATAACTACAGATAGAATTATAACAGATTTCACTTCTCGCAAAGTTCAAAGCTGAGTGAAACTTGTACGTTTTGTCAATTGATTTAGTTTGATTCTGATTGGATAGAAATAAAAAAATAAAAAAGAAAAATGGTTGCAATTTTTCATCTTAGCACCGCGGGAAGAGATAATGAACCTCAAATCTGAAACTTCACCAACCCTTGATAATCCCCCTTGTTAATCTTCCCATTGGGATTGAGATATTGATTGATGTTGATGATGATATCAATGTGAAGGATTGGGTAAAACAGGAAAAAAAACGTTTATTGATAATTTTTATTCTTTTCAACCATGCAACCAATACCAACGCAAACTCCCGCAATGATAAAACCTGAAACAAACAATGAGATTGTTTTCTTGTCCACGCTCTTTTTAGTAATGGATGACGAGGGGTGGAAGAGGAAGAGGGAGAGTAGAAGAGAAAGGGAGATTGAGGATCAGCACAATTCAGCGAGTATTGCTTGTGAAGTTACTTGATTTGGTGGTTCTATTTTTATCAAAATTAATTTAATTTCTCGTGATGAATAGATTATCCTACAAAGGCGGCAGATAGATGGATAATGGATTAAATAAATAGAAAAAGCAAAAGCAAATAAGAGTGCATAAACTATTCGCAATTATTATTTTCCGGGTATGAACATTATTTTGTAAAACAGCCTTTGTTACTGGATTAAGTATACGCAACTATCAACATTCTAGTATGAATGGAACGTAGATCAAATTTGTCTTTCTCTCTTTATAGAAAAAAAAATCTTGAGTTGGAGGAGGAGGAGGAGATAGAAGAGAAGGACGAGAGAAACAGATAGAGGCAAGGAGGAGATGGGGATTAATTTACTTGATCCCAGTGATACAGCGCCTCTTCTTTTTGTGGAATTAATGACCTCAACCTTGCCTGATTCTTAAGAAGAATAAGTTCCTGAAAACTTGGGTGAATGGATACATAAATAGAAACTCCAAGAGATTATTGAAAGAGGGAAAAAAAAGGGTGCAAAGTATAGGTGAGCATCAAATCTAAAACCCCCTTAACTCTGAGACACATACAAACACAAGGTTTTTATGCCACTTTTATGGCGCACATCGTAGTACTTTATCTACTCCTCTTCTTCCTTTTCTTCCCCCACAGAGAAGAAAATAATTAATAATAAATAGAATCATAGAATTAATATAGAAAAGTTTGACATAGGTCTGGGGTGAAGTGGAGGCTAGCCACATGATTGCTAGATTGAGAGAGGGGAGAGTTATAATTGAACCCTATACGGGAATTTCATCCCTTATTTCTATATTATATCGTCCATAATACTAATTTCATATTCTATCACTTCCCTTTATCCATTGTAGATCATTAAAATGAATATAGGACAAACCAATGACTGAAAATTTCATTTAAATTATATGATGGTAACCATAATCGGAAAATTGACCATCAGCTATAACAACCTGTTGATCAAAAAAACAAAAGAAACACCACAATCGATAAGCATATTATCTTGATCAATTGACGATGTTTGTGACGATATATCGTGACTTATGTCACGTAGGAAGCATAATACCCGAGTGATCCAAACATGTAAGTACCGGAAGAAAGAAAGAAAACAGAATCAAATAATTTGTGTACATCTTCTGTTGAAGAAATACTGAAATAGAAACGAAGAAAAAAAGAAATCTTGATCTACAGTCAATTGACTAAGGTTGTCAAGGATACGTCTATGTAGAGTCACACAGAGTCACCCACAGTTACGTAAATTATGAGACAGGCAGCAAAATAAATGAACAAAGCAGGCGTGGAATATTAGATGTGTATCGAAAGAGTATGTAGAATTTTTTTTTCCTTTGTTTCTTTCATTTTTTTTTTAGTCCATTTAATAATTTAATATTATTTAGCTTGATAATGCAATTGAACAATGATAGGTTAGGTTTATAATTAATGAGCAGCTGCTACTAGTAGGGAAGGGATTTAAAAAGTGGAATTTTACATGTAATGGTTAATACGCTGAGATAGGCTGTCGTAGAATGAAATTTTTTTATGTATATATTCCAGTAAACAACATTCTGATTGATTCGTAATATGTGTATTACCGTTGCAGCATAAGTAAGAACTAAAAAAAATCAAAAAAAATACTCACCTACCCCCAATACATTATAGTTGGAAGAATCAGTAAAGCATTATTTCTCCGAATTCACACATCTCTACCCTCAGATGGTTGGTTGGTCGTGTATGATCTTACAAAAACGAACGCAACCTGTATCGCACTTTAGGAGTTTAAAAATAACTCAGGTGATTATGACACAAAAGATAAGTATTAAGAGGAAAGGAAATACATTTGTGGTGGTATTTTAGGTAATTGTACTTGATGCTGGTTTTGCAGAAAGAAAAGAAAGAAGATATTGGGGATCATAACCGACACAAAAAAATAACTGTAATAATTTTCTTTTTTTTTTCAGAACGTGAACAGTATGTATGAAAAGAATACCACAGTATGTTGATGAATGAGGAAAAGCATTTTCCATTGTACATTTAAATTAACCCATTGCGGGATTGTCCATCTTCTTCATCACATTACGCATACTCTTTAGTACTACTAATCAAAGGGATAATTATTTTCTTTGCTACCTTTGTGGAAATCACCGTTGAAATTGCAATTGCAAATGAACCCAATTTTTTTTTTCTTCTATTTCTTTTGTAATATAAATTGTATGAAATATTTCCTTGCTCTTTTTTTTTTTTTTTTTACAATTATTGTTTTTATTATTTCTAGAAATCCAATTCTTATTCCTTCGCTGACATATTTATTAAAAAGAAGTACAATTGCTCCTTATTCCACAAAGAAAGATCTCTTATTCCATTCGCTTTATAATTATCGTTCAACCATTAAAGTAGCAATCTTTCGCTCAAGCTAAAAAAACTTTAACTGGTCGTCCTCAATTCCTGAGATTTTTCTTTACAATTATTAAGGTTATACATTTATCTTCAAACCAAGCCATAAAAAGTTAGTTTATTCCTGTGCCGGCCCTCCTTCCTACATACATTGCCTCGCACGATAGCTTTTTTTATTTTAATTGTTCAATTTCTTAATCGTTCATATTTTCATTCTTCCCTTTCCCCCTCCCCCTTCACCCCCCAAATTTCTTCCTTTTCAACATTTCCGGTGAAATTTTTATATAAGGAAGAAATTATTCACAGTTTGGTCAATTCTAGATTTACTATTCTTTTCCTTTGATTTGAATTTCACAAATTTTCACCATTTCTAATTTTCACAATTATCAAACTTACTTTATACGTTCGCTACTACCCCCTCACCTACTACTACTACTACTACTACTACTACTACTACCGTAGTATCAAACTAAATTATCCATCTATTTTTTTCCATCGCTTATTTTCTTTACACGAAGTACAACTACTAACGTACAACGATGAATATGAATGTTGATTTCTTTGCTCAGATGATTGCTGAAGCTTCACCATTGTTACAAAACCCATCTGGTTCCAATTCCAATGGGCAATTTATTTCTCCAAATCCAAACACTTTCGCTTCAATTAATCAAAGTAATTCTGATTTTACTTCCAATGCAGCTGACTTATCCAACGTTGATATCTTGGATTTTATTCCTGCTGCTGCTGTTGCTGAACAACATCAAATCCATCATTATCAACAACAACAACAACAATTGCAACAAGTTCAACAAGTACAACAATTTCAACAATATTTACAAACCCCAAAATCTGCTGTGAGTCCTAAATTTCAATTGACTGGTGGTTCTAACTTTTCAGCTAACCCAACTCCATCTTTTGGTGCTATTGCTTCTTTTGCAGGTAGTAGTGATGATATTCCAGCTGCAAGTGCTTCCATTCCTGTTACTGCTCAATTTTCTCCAATTACTCCCAATGTTTTAAACTTTGGTTCCCAATTGAATTTACAGGCTCATCAACAACGTGTCCAACAACAACAAGCTGCTGTTGAACATCGTGCTAGTACTCCAAGTTCAGTTCAAGCTATGGGTAATTCTCCATTGCAATTTTCTCCACAACAAGCACACTACACATCATCATCTCGTATTTCATCTGCCAGTACTTCAGTTGCTGATAAGAATAGTCCTACTATTGGTTTAGGTGTTAGTGTTATTGATCCTGCTCCTGTTCCTGCTCCACAACAACCATCATCTAGTATCATGAAGATTACTAAGAAACAACCATCACCACATGAACAAGCAGCTTTTCAATTTCAACAACAAGTCAATAATGAAGCTCATAAATCTTCATTAAACCATAAACGTGTTAGTAGTACTACATCTACTTCTACATCTAAATCTCAAACTCAACTGGATGCTCAATTACAAAAATTGATTGAACAACAAAGAGAAAAACAACAACAACAATTGTTATTATTAAAGAAAGGAGAGATTCCAAAACCTCCAGAATTGAAACCAAAGAGAAAATCAAGTTGTAGACCACACAAACAAAAAAGAAGATTGCAACAACAACAACAACAACTGCAATTTCTGCAATTGAGAAAAATATCTCCTCCTCCTTTACAACCAATCACTGGGGATTCTCCAACAACCATTGAAGTTGCTAGTCCTGAACTGGATATGAATAATAATGAATTAAGTTTTGCAAACAACACTAGTGCTTTTATATTTGGTGGTAATATTACTGCTGAAGAGTTGTTGAGTAATGATCCTTTTGAAGCTTTAAGTGGTAATAATAGTTTAATTGATTGCAAAGGTGATCTTTTATCAGAATTTGTTGATTTTGAATATGAAGAAACTACTACTGGAGATTTTGAAAAATCAATTACTGATGATGATTTTGATTTCTTAAACTTGAATAAAACTTCTAATGTTGCTTGTAATAATGTTTTAACACAACGTCCAATTTTGAAAAAGAAGAAATCTGTTGTATCATCTTCCAACATTGGTACTACACCAACTAAAATTGGTAAAAAAACCTTAAAGAAAGCTTCTTCATTTAGTGGTGGTTCTACTCCTACATTCATCATGAATCCAAAATTACAATGGACAAAATCTCAAACCAATGATCAACATCGTCAAAGGTTGATGACAAGAAATGTTTCTCATGGTCACACTCAATCAATGAGTGAACTAGGTGCTGATAATAATGGAATTGGTCAAGGTATGCCGGTTTTCACCTTGAGTAACCATTATCTGTTTGTTTATGAAACTGCTGATACCATTTATCAAGATGAAAGCATTGAAGACAGTTCAACTCAAACTACCCCTCGTAAACAACAAAATAATTCAATGTTAAGTGAGGTAGATTTGTTGAAGAATCTTGAATCTGGTTTAGGTGAATTCAAACTTGATTTGAACAAGAGAAAGTGATTGAGTCGTTTTCTATTATTGCAAGTTATGATTATTAATTTTTTTTTTATTTGTTACTATTATATATTTTATATTTGCTTGATTTTTATTACTTTACTGGTTGGTTATTTCTTTAAAGTGTTTATTGGTGTTTTTCCTTCCTCATATCTTTCAATATATGAGTGTTGGTTTTTATTACTGTTATCATATATAGTTTGCTTTTATTATTATTATTATTTGTTTGGTTTCGGTCATGTCATTCCTTATAAATATTACTCCTCGATCGTAATTATCTAATTGTTAATATATTCATATTTTTTATTTTTGCATAAATTTGATACATCTTTGGTGATAACCTGTACCAAAAATTGTAGCACAAGTTCACTGCCAACTGGGATTTTCTCTGGACCTTGTTAACCTCGTTACTCCTCTCTCTCCCATACTTCTCTAACCCCTTTAATTTTGTCCCTCCCTTCTATTCTTGAAAATTTCAATTGGGTTGTAAATCGTATCAGAAATAAATTCCAACATGTTGCAACAAAAATTAATACAAAACTATCACCAAGGACACTACTTTTTTCATTTCCAATTTCTATTCAAGTAAGTAATGTACTGTAATAGGTTTACAGTACTATCCAACTTCCTCTTTGTTTCTTTTTCTCTTTAAATCCTGTTTCATAAATTTCTATTTTCCTTGTTTTTTATTCATTGGTACATTATACATAACAAAAGAAAATAAAGTTGCCCCAGCAACAACTTTTTTCAATAAATTTTTGAAACATGAGAGTATAAGATACAATTGCATATCGGAGGAATCAAGGAGATAATAATAATTAAAGTTAGAAACTTGAATAAAAAAAAACGAATAATAACAGAAGATATCACTACACATGAATACCGCCTTTCTGCTTTCATGTAAGCGCAGGAGCAGGATATATTATGCTTATATTGGAATCCAGCAAAAAGGGAAAAGGACAAATATATATATGCTTGGTGATTACATGCATAAAACATTAATTGACCGCAACCAAGAGTTTCAGGTTCTATAAATATAAAACACTCAGTAACAAATCACATGATGGTGATTCTCTTACTAATAGTTTATCAAAAATAAAAATAAATTATACTGTATATTGTCAACCTATAGTAATTTCTTCTTTAACTATTTGGAAGTATTTCCTGTCTTCCTCCCCACATCAAATATTTACTCTTCGTCTTCAACTTTGACTTCTTTCTTAGATCTTGGAACATAATCTGTAAGTAAAACTGGTTCACTTCTGAATCTGTTGACACTAGAAATACGACCTTCATTAGCATAGGCAATATAGCAAAGAGATGCTGGTATTATACCCATCCATAATATATTGAAAAAAGCAGATCTTGGTTTGAATCTAAAATAGTGTCCCATTTTGTCCTTGGCGACATTGTATCTTTCAAATTGTTTATCTGGATGTAATGTACCGGCCATATTTATATAATATAATGTTGTGAATAGGAATAGATAGGTGAATTGACTTTGATTATTAGTCCTAAGCTATCTGTTTTCTAGATTTTTTTTTTTCTTTGTCTTGTTGATGTAAGTTTTTTCATTTCAATTTTGATTGGTAAAAAAAAAAAAATGCGACTAAAATGTACAGGACACGACTTTTGGATTTTTCTTCTTTTTTTTTTTTCGTAGGATATATGACAGAGAAGTCGCGACGAGAAGTTGTCATGAAATTGATTGCAATTTAAGCCACTGGTAGTAACAATAAAACCAATTGGTTCCGCATAGAAATATTCCTATAAAACAACTTAGGAGCATTGTTTTATATGAGAGTAACTAAATGCTTTTCATGGCTTTTAAAATATTGCGCGATTAAATTAAAATCTTGAATTTTTCAAAACAACAATATTGGACTTGTACTGTACCAATCTATTTTTTTTTTAGTTAGAATAAACAATAAGAAGCGAATAAGCCAAGAACCATAACACCAACTGTGTTTGTTGGTTCCGGGTCTCTTGTTTTAATTCTTCCTTATGAGGTGATAGTAGTTAAGAGTAATCTAAAATTGTGATTAGGGATGCCAAGACAAGTTTGATTATAGAGTTTTCCAGGACTCCAGATATCGCTGGCGCTATTAGTTATTACCAATGTTCATTGAAACTAAAACTCTGCAGTATACATCAGTTTATCAAATCGTTGATCTTAGTATTCAGCAGAACTGGAAAATTGTTAGCTCGGAAGAGAATAAGTATATATGTTGCTGCAAAACTGATACAGTTTTTCTGATCACGTTTTCAATTTATAAGTTGATGATGTCATTTACGATACAATTTTTTTTTTCTTTCCTACTTAAATTGCAATTCATTCAATGTTCGTATGCATTGGTTATTGACACAAGTCGAGAGGTAACAAGACTATTCCCATTTTTTTTGTAATTGCTAGTCGTGAGTCTATAACTTTTGTGCAAGAACCATTCCATAAAGTCAGCTGCAGAAGGACTTACAAAATGTTGCGCAATTTCTTTAACAGAGCCAACTTCCTATTTGGGATGTACCACCGTGAGCCATGGGCCGAGATCCAATTTCCCCAAGAAAAAAAAAAACAAGAAAAAAACTAATGATTGCATAAGCTCCACTTTCGGCATCGGGAGTCATCCCTAAATGATATATCCTTACATTTTGATATGTAATACCAGAAGGTACTCGTAGTTTGTTTTTTTATGTGTTATTTTCATGTTGATTTTAAATCTTGTGCAGTTCCATTTATTCATTTTGAATTCTGTGCACGATTCGAGTATTCCTTCAAACAAATGTATGATCAGTAAAGAAATCGCGTTCCGGAACATCGATTGAAATTTCATCCATAATTACAGTAGTTTCAGATCCGTATATCGATATGAAATCAAGAAAAAATAAAAAATACTTATCAACCAATAGCATCATGTATGACGTGTTTTGATTTATGGGCATGACTACGAAGCTCCTACCATTCATATCATTTACGTAATTAAACAACGTTTGTGTAGTTTTCTCTTGACCACAATCATACATAGGTTCTGATAATACTGAAAGGGTAAACCATAATCAAAGTATGGGCATGAAAGAAAGTGGAATTGTATTTGCAAGTGTGACGATGCATGGTGACATGGAAAGGAGGTGGGGAGCATGGCTAAAATACAGGGATGAATAGCAAGGAGAGTAGATCGAACATTAATTTCTTGGAGGGGATCGTGAAATTAATGATTATGATTATTATTATTTTTTTTATTTTTATTATTATTCGCTAATTATTAGCATACAATCAATAATTGTTAGTATACAATCGAATGGCCGTGAAATATTAAATTATAATAATACGATTAACACCAGGTACATCCATTTTGTATGATTCTTGTATTTGAAAGATCCTTTTCTCTTAAAGATGACAACACTGCGGAGATATTATTGCTGTTCAACGTGTATTTTTTTTGCAGCTCTTATCTTCAATGATAATTTAAATTTTGTTCCTCTCTCCTCATGTGAGTGTGTGTTAAAATAGTAGATGCATGGGTGGTTCTATTTTGTTGTTCGTTCATATGCATACTATTTTTTTTTTTTGGTTTCTCGTTTGCTTGTTTGCCTTTAATGCCCGTTTTAAAAATAGATTTGTATACCACAGTTTCAAGCAAGATGATAATAATGCAATGAGATCGATTCGCTCTATGCAATTTATTTGCATACGTTAGGATAATAAAACAGTGAGATCGCCAAATAAGATTCAATTAAGTACCATGACCTCACGCTCTTCAGATTTACGAGAAGGAAGTTTGAATAGCAAAAAAAAAGATAGGAAAAGTGTTTACAATCGTCAAGCATGTGTCGCAACTAATCTCTAAGGTGACAAACAACAATAGTTCTGTGTTTAATACAACAAAAATGAAAAAGAAAAGAAAAAGGAAACAATGCTTGAATATAATGATAGGCTTCTGTTTTTGAATTTTAGTTCTAGACTAAATTTATGCCGGACAATATGAGAGACCTTGCCACAGTACATGAAAAGTTATAGAAACTAGAGAAGCAATAAAAGGGCTTTTATGAGTAATAATAAACAACAAACTCGAGGTGTATCACACATTTACTTGTCAAACTGTTAAGCCATTTCAATGAAATCTATTGATCACATAAACGATCAAACAAGAAAGAAAAACTCCTGCAACAAAGACTGAGAAGATCTTCGATATCAAGCAAATATAATAATAGAAATAATAATAGCAACAACAACAACAAACAAACAAGCGAACAATACAAATGCTTTCATTATAAACATTGTTTATCATTTTCAATTGAAAAAGGTGATCATTTGCCATAGCCCATCCTCATTTACTTTCATGTTAATTCTTCAAATTATGATTCAAAATACACTATAGTTAGCATTGTTAAAGGAGTCCGGAATTGCGCGAATAATAATTCCTTGAATTTTTTTAATCAGTCAATTTGAGCTTCTGTGCTTGACTGTTTCACTTCCAACAACGAGTTTTTGTTTTTTTTGTTGTTGAAAACATTCAACTTAATTAGAATTAGACATTACATATCTGTGGGTCTAAAATGAAAGAAGAATATCGCCAGTGCACGACCATGAGCTTTTTTTTTTCACTCACTCTCACTCTTTTTTTCTCTGATTTGTTTTTGCTTGTTTAGTTGTTTGCTTTGTACACAGAAATGAAGTGAAGGGGAGAATTTCAGTTTGTACTTTAAATTAGATTAACAATGAGCATTCAATGTAAGAAAGGGAAAGAGAGAGAGAGAAACAGTAGAGAAAGAAAGAAATAATAAAAAAAAGAAAGAAAAATAAAAACTTACACTAACAAACACAATCAACAAAAAAGTTTTACATTTCTTGTACATAAATTTTTTTTTTTTTCAAGGATATATAAGAATCAACAATATCCCCCCATTATTATTATTCAATTTTAAATCTGGAAGGAAAAATAATTTCATTACAAAAACAAAGGATATACTTTCAAACACAAACAACAGACATTTACTTTTATAGGTAGCAGTATCTCCCCTAAACACACATAGTCTTACCCGTTTATACCCTCCCATCAAACAAAAGTAACATCACCACTTTTCTTCCCCATAAATAAAAATAAGGACATAGAGGAACAATTAAACTTGTGTTGAGAGCATAGTGTTTATATTATCCATCATCTTTCCTCATATATTTCTCAAATTCTAATCATTACACAAATGTCACATCAGCCATCTGTGATCAACAAGGGATCTTCAGCAGGTATTAAAAAGGAAAGAAAGACTCGACGAACCCACAAGAATTCGCGTGATGGATGTCCTAACTGTAAAGCAAAGAGAATAAAGTGCTCCGAAGAACTACCTTCATGTCATAATTGTATCAAGAAAAATTACCGTTGTGGTTATCTTGACTTTCCACCTGAAAAGTTGGAAATGATTAGACAAAAGAATAATAAACGACTGTTAAATGGAAGCAACAGTTCCAGTAGTCCAAATACTAATACTAATACAAACACAAACATCAATAGCAATAGCAATGTTGCCAGCGATAATCTAACTATGGAAAACCAAAATCAGACTTCAAATCAATTACTACAGAATAATTTCAACAACAATTTTCAACCGCAAATTCCAGAACAACAACTGTACACCTTTCAGAATCAAGAAACGTTAAACAATAGCGTCAACCTACAAGGTCCTCCAATACATTATAATTCTACTCAGCAGTATTTCATAAATGATCAGAATCAAATACTAACAGGAGACGATCATTTATTAGTATCTTCAGCACCTGGTACTTCATCATCATCTTCAAATTTCATTGCCAATCGTCCGTCATCATTGCATTCATCTCCAAATTCCGACTCTCCAAACCATATCAATCAAATAATGCCAAATTTCATCCCTATATCTATTCCTAACGAAGACCAGTCTGTTACCCCTCCAGATATTTTTCAAAATGTTCCACAAGACAAGATTCAATATTATGTGGAGCTTCCATCTGCAGCTGACGATTTACGAACTGCAGTATATAAGGATTCAATAAAAAAGATATCACATGTACGAAATGATTTTGATTTGCCAACATTTTCATCCGATTCATCTTATGATAATCAACCAGAATTCAACCCTCCACCACAAATTGATACATATGATCCACAACAGCAAATGCCTCCACCTCTATCACAACAACGACAACAGCAAAACTATAATAATGACACCAACAAAAGTGCTTCGTTTAGTTCTCAAGTTGATTTCGATGTCGGATATGAAAGCCAGTCAAGTGATGATTTTTCTCATTCTCGTGCCGTCTTTGCCGAACATTTTGGGGTAGTTATTCCAAAATCAAAACAAACTGGCCAAATGGATATATTTCCTTCACCAAATCAAGTTGAAATTGGCGATCCTTTACCCAATGCCATTAACTCTCCTGTCTCAATGAAAATGCTCAAATATCCAAAGGAGTATTTAAATACATCTGTCAAGGATTATTACACCAACAACCGAGAATTGCTCGAGAAGTCCTTATTATCACCAAGAAATATATGGACTAAACGTGATGATAAGTTAATTTGGACCTCAATTTTCAGTGGTGCCATTGCTCGCCCATTTCCAAATTTCTCCTTTTTCATTGATCGTGGTTTGAACGTGATTATGAAGGTGTGTAACCGATCACTTGCGTCTGTTACAAGTGATACGTGTTTCACTCCGGAAATCTTTGATATTTTAGTCAAGAAATCGTATTCATCATATGGTGGATTAATCAAAGATCTCAGACAGTCAATTGGTCAATATATTGAAAGTAGTACTGTCTTGTCATGGTTCTCATGCTGGTCATTATTTATCCATTGTAACAGTACTGCAAAGGTTTCTAATTTGCTTCTTACAGGTTCAACATCATTATTGAGGAATTCATTGAATGATTATAAAAGTATTACTGATATTCATCCGAGTATTGCATTTATTATTAGAGCTATTAGAGTCAATACCTTATGTGCTAGAGCTCCAGACTACAAATTTGACATTATTGAAGAGTTGTATCACGATGTTGTTCAGTATAAAAAATTTGTGATTTACAACCAAAATTTGACAACCAAAAATAATGGATACATTTTAAAATCGTTTGTTGATTTAGAAAATTTCTTGTATGATTTGATTAACGTCAAGTATCCAAGAATAAAAAAATTGGATGAAGCTTATAAAAAGAAACACAACTTGACTCTGCATGAAGGTGTTGAATTCATTTCTCCAAATGAAATTTTTTCTATTATTGTCGATTGGTTTAACACTGTTCCTAGCCATGCATTATCTGTTGGAAAATCAATGACACCACTTAAAAAGAATTGTTATTTATTTTTTATTTCTATTGGTGTTGCATTGGCATCTATTTTCCCATGTATGAGAAATGTATTTTTAGTTGACCCTTGGAATGTGATTTTTCCAAGAACTGATTTTGACAATGAATTGTATGAATTCACACGTGAAGATGTTGGAAATGATGATCAATTTGAATATTTATCTGTATTGTCAAAGAAGTTGCTTCGTATTATAAACTTTTTCTTGAATAGAAGACTTCTCATTTACAGTGTTATCAATCGTATGAAAGTTTTGCAACCAAATGAAACCTATCTTGAGAGTTGTGAACCCATTGAAGGTTATGATAATGTGATTCACATTAAGCCACCCAAATTTAAGTTTACTGAGATTCCATTGCCTGATTTTTCTGTCAACAATATCATCAATGTATACAATTATCCAATGCCGGATTTTAATGAAGAAGAGAACAATAAATGGAAAAGCATTATCAGTAAAGAAAACCATGATCAAAAGGCAAGAATCAATCAATTAAGAGGTAAGTTTCAAAACAATGATAATCATCAAAAACATGAAAAATCTGATCTTGATAATAGTGATGTTAATGCTGGCCAAGTTGTTGGTAATGGTTTCAATTATAGTTTAGGAATGTTTGCATATGATTTTAATATCAAGCCTTTACTTGATGAGATGACTGAATCAATGGTGGAACTGAAACCAATAAGTATTGAAGAAATAAAACAAGAACTTGACAATTTTGAAAATTCTCAAAAAGAAGTTGGTAAATGTGTATAATTGATTATTAACTTGTAATATATGCATATTTATTATGATTTATAATCGTGATGTAGAAATTCCATTACTTTACTGTGTTTTCTATCAATTAAATCTTACCTACTTATCACTACAGAAATGGGTAGAATAGCTATACCCTCCAAATGACAGTTTTGATAGGCGAATATATCACCAATACCCAACTTGATCAGTTTGATGGTGGAGGAAATATGTATAGAAAAACACAATTCTCAAAAGTACGTATACTGTTTTCTTCTAAATGTAAAGATTGTTCATCGCAGTTCATTCTTGCCTATCGCTAAACTTAATAAAAATAATTAGATTTACCCAATTACAAGGGTATATATTCACTTAAACAAATATTTAGACACTTTCTCTTGATTCTTCTTCGGCATCCACCTCCTTTGACAGATTCTTCTTCGGTTTTGTTATGGCCACTACTCTACTTAAACCTTCAGGAGTTTCACCAACTGAAATCTTCTTTTCGTAATATGTGATGTATGCTTCTATATCTCCATCACCAACAAACTTTCTGTAACGATCCCTCCAGGAGTTAATACTGTGATGTGGATTTTTTCTGTACAAATCTGAAAAAACACTGTAAACAACTCTTTTAGCATCTTTTAAAGCTTTACACAATATATAATCATCTTCTGCAGTAAACTTGTTTTTCAAAGTACCGCCAATATCTTCAATTCCCACTTTTATCTTTTCACCGTGCTTATCATAGACCAATCTATCAAAATCATCAATTTTATAAACATAATACAAACGGTGTTGTAAAAGTCTTCGGTAACGAGATCTTATGGAATTTTGGGTATGATTGTTAAGAATTTCCATCGTTGCCAATGTATCGTAAAATTTATGAGAATTTCTGAGTCTAGGATTTTCTCTGATACGTTCAAGAATAAATTCATCCTGTTCTTCAGTAAAACGGTTGGTTGATTTTTTGGCAGTTTTTGTTGTTGATTTTTGAACACTCGATGATGCCGTGCTAACAAGTTCCTGCTCTTGTACTGGCATTTCGTTTTGCTGTTGTTGTTGTGGTTGTATCTCATGTTGTTGGTTCTGTTGTGGTGGCGGTGTAAGTGGCAGTGATTGTTGTTGTCGTGGTGGGGGAAATTCTGCTTCTATTGCTGGTTCATAATGATGATGTAACGGCTGAGGTTGGAATAGTGGTTCATGCACCGACTCTTGTTGTTGCGGTTCCAATTGTTGTAGTTGTGCTGCAGTTAGTTCTGGTATCTGTGAGTTGGGATGATCACTTAGATTACTTTGCTGACTAATAGCTGCAATTCTAGGATCAATCAAATTGGGTTCTTCTTCAGTATTACAATTGATATAAGGCGCAATTGCAATAATTTGGCCTTGTTCAATACAATCATCAATAAAGTCAATACTAAACACACCATGTTGACCTAACAGAATGGCATCTTGTTGACCTAACAGAATAACATCTTTTCCAGGTTCAATTACCGCACCACCGTGTGTAATAATTTTCTGAACAAATTCAGCTCTACGTGGTTCTCCATGTTGAATAGTAAATCTCATTGAGCGTCCATCCGGTGTAACAAATATTGGTGGAGGGATATTTGTCTGATATCTGTGTCTTCCTGTAGTAAGATCCTGAGGGTTTGTAGCGATTTGATTACGCAGAACAGCCTCCATCTGTGTTCTTCTTGTCATATTATAATGACTTTGTTTCTGTGCAGCAGTTTGCTCAACATGCTCGGAATGCCCAGCATCAAAGAAAGCATCATACTGTTCACCATTGTCATATGAATTATAACTCATCTTCAATTGGTTGCAAAACAGGAAAAAAAAATCTAAAGGATTGTTTGTGCTAACTATCGATAGATAAGTTTTAATGAGTATGTATGTTTGGATGTTGTGAGATTGTTTGTTTATTTTTTTTTTTTTTGAAGATGTTTTTTGTTTTGTTTGGTTTTGTCATGAGAAATTGAAAGCAACGAAAATGAAAAAGTAAATAAAGTGAACAAAAAGGACTTTTAAATACCGCGATCACGTGAACTATCCATCACACACGACTTTTTTATATTAAGTTCAAATGTATTGATTCAAGCTGATAATAGTAAAGAAGTGATTGATATACATCATAGAATGGTATCACTTATATGCTGGATGTTATGTAAATATTTGGTGACCGTGAACTGGAACCTAGAGATGATCTAACCTAGGTGAGTTGTTACAAGGGTTAGCAAAGAGTTTCTAATCTATCTAATTGATATGGATAGCATTTAAAGTGAGATACTAGTAGTTACAGAAGAAGCACAGGATGTTTTAGATTAACCCTGTAACCGGCACCGAACATTCTTTGATAATGTGGTTGTGGTTTTGTATTTTTCTTTTGGTCCCTCTCGCTATCGTTATCTCAGAGCCCGCGGGTCGAGGTGGGGGGAAGCTAACAGAGACAAACGAAAAAAAAAATAGCATTAGTTGGCGGGTTCCAATGTTTGGAATCAAATCAGAACCGAGAAAATCAAAAAGATGAAGGAAAAGAAAAAAAAACCTTGTGCTAAAAACGAAGAAAGGAAAAAAAAAAAATCAAGACCTTTTGTTTCTTCTTCAATAACATTCTAATTTATCATAAGTTAACTACAATTCTGTTTATAATTTACAGGAATTTCCTCCCCTTGATTCAACTTTCTTCATTCTTAACGATTTAATATTACATGATAGAAACTAGTTATTGCTAATTATCGTTAATACCAAAATCATTACTAATTATTCTTATTCATTTATTTTTTTTTTTTTTTTTTTCAGATTACAAAATCTGAAGTGAGTGAAATAGCATCAATTATCGGGAACCGGATTCCATAATACTTACAACACCATAAATACAACAAAATCCAGATTTATATCTATCAATTGAAATGCAAAGAGATGATAACCACAAGCTAGAGGAGCAACATAATGATTTCTCGGACGTCGTTCAAGGTGAAGATTTGGAATTTCGTAAATCTCACGAACTTACGTTTCCCATAACTCATAGAATAGATACATTGGGAGAAATACCACCTCCTTCAATCCTTACAAAATTTTCAAATAACCAATTAATCACAATTGCAGGTGCAGCATCGGGTTTTTTGGCTGGTGTGGTTGTCTGTCCGCTTGACGTGGTAAAGACAAGATTACAAGCACAAGGTACATTGGGTAAGAATTTAAAATACAATGGGTTTCTTAACACATTTAAAACAATTATAAGAGAAGAAGGCGTTAGAGGGTTGTACAGGGGATTGGTACCAACTATGATTGGTTATTTACCTACATGGACAATATATTTCACAGTGTATGAGCAAGCTAAGCGATTCTATCCGGGTTTCTTGAAGAACTACAATATTGAGAACCCATCGATAATACATTTTTGTTCAGCATTATCAGCAGGAATGACAAGTTCAATAGCAGTTAATCCAATTTGGGTTGTGAAAACAAGATTGATGGTTCAAAATGGACAGGAAAAGAAAAATGAGGTTTATTACAAGGGAACTATAGATGCAATTAAAAAGATGTACAAAAGTGAGGGGATAAGAGCTTTCTATAGTGGGTTGATACCGTCATTGTTTGGATTGTTACATGTTGGGATCCATTTCCCTGTTTATGAGAAATTGAAGACCATTTTTCATTGTAATTTGAATTCTGGAGATCAGGGATCAACTTTGAAATTATGGAGTCTAATAGCAGCTTCTTCGATTTCAAAAATGATTGCAAGTACCATTACTTACCCACATGAAATTTTAAGAACAAGAATGCAGTTGCGTCAAGACACAGGAAAGCATAAATCGTTGTTAAAGACCATATCTTCTATCTTTCGTAATGAAGGATTGAGAGGGTTTTATGCTGGGTATTTTACAAACTTGACTAGAACTGTTCCTGCCAGTGCTGTGACATTGGTCAGTTTTGAATATTTCAAAACATATTTATTAGAAATGAGTGGGAAACTAAATAAAAAATTTACTCAATAAGTAAGTATTTCATTAATAGCATCTCATACATAGCATTATATTTATACAAAATTATTTATAGAATGTAATTTATTTTTTATTTTTGGATTATTATTATCATCCTACTGGACTTAATTAAATTAAATTGCAAATTAAAAATACGTTGTATTGATTATTTAGATTACGTGAGAAAATCAAGTTGAATCAAACGACAAGCAACAGACAAAAAGAAAGAAAGTTCGTTGATCGCCATTTTCTATTTTTTTTTTTTCATTGTAGGGGTTGTTTTCTTTGTATTTTCATTTTACTACAAAAGACAAACTCACAAAAGACATTGCTTACCTAGCCATGAAATTTCTGTTTATAACTTTGCTAGGGTTACTTTGTACTTTGGTAATATGTGAAGAAATCTCCAATGGTGATTCAAACATACCAGACACTTCAAATGAAGGTTCAGATCAGGGATCAGAAGAATCTGAAGTGAAGAAAATTGATTATCCTGATCCAATATCATTGAAAGAATTTGATAAAATAACAAGTAAGAAATTAGTTCTTGTTGAGTTTTTCTCTCCTTATTGTCATCATTGTAAAGAATTTGCTCCAACTTGGAAAGAATCATATATGACATTTAAAAAATTGTATCCTAATTATGACATTGAAATGAGACAGGTTAATTGTGTTGAAAGTGGTGATTTATGTGAACGTGAGCATATTGATTATTATCCAAATCTTCAATTATACGCCCCAGCTTTGAATAAAGAAGGAAAAAATACTGGAAAACTGAAAAATATTGATACTTTCCCTAGAAATCTTGATAGAACTGTTGAAACTATTATCAAGTATTTGAAAGAATCTTATGCTGAATATGATTCAGGAGCTATTAATTTGCCAAGTTCATCTAAAAAGTTGGATGTTGATTCTATGTTCAAGATCATTGATGGTGATATACAAACACCTATTTTTGTTGCATTCTTTCCGGCAACTTCAAAGCAATGGGACAGTGTTGAAAATAAAGGAAAATTATCATTCACTAATTGCCCTGAATGTATTCCAAACAAAAGAGTCTGGGATAGATTATCTAATCAAATCCTTTCTATTGCAGAAACTGGACACTTTATGTGTCGGGAAAACAAAGCGATCTGTGAAAACTTAAGAGTTGGCACTAAGAACTATCCACAGTTTGTAATGTTTTTACCAAAATCTGTCGGACTTGTTAGATTTGATTATGACGGTTTTGTCGAACTTGATGATATGAAAAATTGGGTCAATAAATTATTCAAAAATTCAAGGTTTGATGTTGTTTCTGCTCGTGGTATTACTGAAGTTATGGAATATACCAAAGTTTTATCCCATGATCCAATTGCACATTTCTATCCACTACAAAGCAAGATTGTGGTCTTGTTCTACTTTGATGTAGATAAAGTCACCCCTGAAGATGAAAAGATCTTACCACATTTAGTTCAAATGTTGCAAAAGTCACCATTCAACATTGAGTTACATAAGGCAAAACATCTAAGAATAGAAGAGAATATTGAGACTATGGGTAAGAACTTGATTGATTATATAAACTACGATGAAAATGACAAATATGAATATGATAAAGCATTACATGTTGCAACTACCTTGACAACAAAACCTGGTATATATGTATTCAAAGATAATTCATTAATTGCTGATGTCTATCAAAGTTTTGCTCCTGAAGATATGAGAAATCACGATAAAATTCAACAATTCATTAACCAAGTCCAGTATCCCTTGTATGGCCAATTAACCCCTGAATTAACTCCTTACTATTTCAACAAAGATGAAAACTACAAGGACTATAAGATTGTCGTGTTATTTGTGGACACAGAAAATATGACTGAAGCTGATAAACAATTATACAACTTGTCATTAATGGCTCACGAATACAATTATTTGAAACTGAAGTTCTACTTTGATGTTTTACAACACAACAGACAAGAAAAAATGGATAGAGTTGAAAAATTAAAACAACAAGATGCCACAACTATTGATATTTTAAAAGAAATGAGAAAAGAAATTCCTCATTTATGGAATACCAAAGATCATGTTTTGTTTACATTTATTGATAAGCCAAAGGCTAAAAAGGACTTTCGTTGGGTAAGAGGCTGGAATCTCGATCCACGTAAGTACGAAGTTGGTGATGTTGTTATATTGTCAAAAGACGGTAAATACTACACAGATAAAAATACCGAGGGTAAAAAATTGGTCAATGATCCAAAAGAAATGAAAAGAGTATTGATGTCTTTCTTGAACAAAGATAATACTGTGCCACTCAGATTACTTTCCACACCATATGGTGGAATTTTTGGATTTATGGACAATGTACATCAATACGGATTTTTGGGATATTTTGGGTTCTTTATTTCCATTTATGTTATAATAACTGTCTTACTCAAATTAAGGAGGAGGTTTATAAGAAAAGGTTCTAATTCATCATCTGGTTTAATTGGAAATTTTGAACCTAAGAAGGATTAAGTATGTGTAATTGTTTAGCTTCTAATTCAATGGATTTTTTATAACTATTGTGTAATGATTTAATAACAAAATCCTTACCTGGAATCCCACTAACTTCACTATATGGAGGTATAACCATCTTCTCGGGGATTATTGTACCTTTTTTGATCAAACAACAGTCATAAATCACACTAAATGGATGAAGTACACAATTATCTTCTATTATTACTCTATTACCAATGCTTATTGATTTAACCACAGAGTTTCGTCCAATTATAACGTATCCACCAATTGATGTTTTCTCACCGCTGGCAATGATTTCAGCATTAGGATAAAGATAACAATATTGACCAATAGATAATTTTGAATCATCATTGACAGATATTTTGACTAATGGATTAATAGTAACATTTCCATTAATTGTTATATTATCTAGACCTGATATTTCCGCAGTTTTGGAGATTCTATTTCCAGTGGATGTATCTATCCATTCAGACATTTAGTCTATTAAATTACTCTGTTTATAGTACAATTTTCTGACGCGCGATATTTTGAATTTTTCTTTTATTTTGTTTTGTTTTGCTCTGTTCTGTTCTGGTGCGTGCGCGTTAAGTCAATTTTTTTTTTTTTTAATTTCTTTTTCTTCTTTTTTTCTGTCGCGAGCAGGCAGACTTTTTTTTTTTCTCCCCTCCGACACGTAATTAAAAATATCGATTCTGATGACGTAAGCAGGGGAATAGATTGTTGTTAGTATTGTAGATCTTTTTGGTTATGACAACTCCGATGATTAATATTAATAATTGAATATAAACGCAAGTATAGATGGTTTATCTACTATTGGTTCTTTTTTTTTTTCAAGAACCGAGATTCTTGATACTGTTAAATACCATGGTTTTGAAGTGAACTCAGTTATCGGAGAAACACGAAAAGTTCTTATCAATTGCGGATAAACAAGCAGCGATAATATTAACAGCCAGTCGTGGGGTGACTTTGGATGCATTGTCATATACTCTGAAGCAGACAAGCAAGCATTCTATTTCATATCTACATTGTTTTAATCCAGATTGTACTTCATTTGATTTGCCAGCAATGTATGTGGGTAGGTGGGCTCCCCCAATTTCACGTCCCAAAAATAGAAAGCCTAAATTAACACAAACAAGGAAAAATCTTGCACTCCTCGAGAAAACTGCGTGTTCTCTTCGCCTCACCACGAGTGATGTTATTTTTTTTTTTTCAAGTATAAACAAGACGAGAAATTTTTCATAATTTTTTTTTACTTAACTTCTTTCTTTCTTTCTTTCTCTTCCTTTTTGCTCTTTGACAAAGAATATCTTTGTAAATCATTCATCAACTATGGCTACCGATAAGTTATTTAGAATTCAATGTGGTTATCAAAACTACGATTGGGGTAAGATTGGTTCTACCTCCGCTGTTGCACAATTTGCTCACAACTCCGATCCTTCAGTTGTTGTAGATGAATCAAAACCATATGCTGAATTATGGATGGGTACTCATCCTTCTGTTCCTTCCAAAGCTATTGATTTAGGAAATGAAACTTTAAGAGATTTGGTCAATGCTAATCCAAAACAATATTTGGGTGATTCAATCATTAAAAAATTTGGTGATTCTAAAGGTTTACCATTCTTGTTCAAAGTTTTATCCATTGAAAAAGTCTTGAGTATTCAAGCTCATCCAGATAAAGAATTGGGTGCTATTTTACATGCTCAAGATCCAAAGAATTACCCAGATGACAATCATAAACCAGAAATGGCTATTGCTATTACAGAATTTGAAGCTTTCTGTGGATTCAAGCCTTTAGATCAATTGGCTAGAAGTTTGACTAACATTCCTGAATTAAACTCAATTATCGGTCAAGAATTGGTTGATGAGTTTGTAAATGGTATTGTTGTTAATGCTGAACCAGAAACTGAAGATGACAAGAACAACAAGAAATTGTTGCAAAAAGTTTTCGGCAAATTGATGAATTCCGAATGTAGTGATTTGACTCAAAAGGCTGCTGATTTGGTTGTTAGAACTGAACAAGAACCAGAACTTTTCAAAGATATTGATCCAAGATTACCAGCTTTGGTCCACAGATTAAATAGTCAATTCCCTAATGATGTTGGTTTATTCTGTGGTTGTCTTTTATTGAACCACGTGCATTTAAACCCTGGTGAAGCTATCTTTTTACAAGCTAAAGAACCACATGCTTATATTACTGGTGATATTATCGAATGTATGGCTGCTTCCGATAATGTTGTCAGAGCTGGTTTCACACCAAAATTCAAAGATGTTGAAAACTTGGTTGAAATGTTGACATATTCTTCTGTTTCTATTGAAAAACAAAAAATGCCATTGCAAGATTTCCCAAGATCTACCGGTACTGCTGTCAAATCAGTATTGTATGATCCACCAATTGAAGAATTTTCAGTTTTGCAAACCATTTTTGATAAAACCAAAGGTGGTAAACAAACCATGGAAGGTGTTCAAGGTCCATCTATTATCATTGGTACTCATGGTAATGGTTCCATTCAAATTAAAGGTGATGATTCTACTAGACAAAAATTAGATACAGGTTATGTTTTCTTTGTCGCTCCAGATGTTGCAATTGAATTGATTGGTGATGAAAACCAAGAACAAGATTTCACAACATATAGAGCTTTTGTTGAAGCATAAGGTCCAATTCCTAAGAATTGAATGTGTAATATTTATGTTAAATAGAATTTAAAGAAACCAAACTAAAATAATAAAAAGACTAATAGATAATAAACTCAAAGTAATTGAACAACCCTATCGTGTATGGTCAATCAAACAACTAACCATTTCTCTCTCTCTCTCTATTTCTGTTCTTAATAATAGGCACGGGTAGTATTGGGGCGATAACCTCGTCTAATGCCGGGAGACAGGCAAACAATAAAAAAACCACGACCAAACACGATTCTCCTTTTTTTTAAAGGGGAAAACTAGCGAAAAAAAAATCAACAGAATCAAATAACCAAAAAAAAAAATAAAAAAAAAATCCAACCACCTTTTTAGATTGATTCTCCACAAAAAAAAATCAGCTGGTATCAACAAGGGGTTATACACTCATACACACTCACACACACACCAATTGATCTAGAAGAAAAACCAGAATCATAAAAATAAGAAAAGATGTCTGAAGAAAAACCAACCAGGGTTCCAGAGACCGAAGAAGAAAGACAAGAAAGATTAGAAAAACAACAAGAAATTGATAATCGTTCAGTTTATGTAGGTAATGTTGATTATCAAAGTACTCCTGAACAATTGGAAGAATTTTTCCATGTGGTTGGTGTGATTGAACGTGTTACCATTTTGTTTGATAGATTCAGTGGTTTACCAAAAGGATATGCCTATATTGAATTTGAAACTGAAGAAAGTGCTGTCAAAGCAATTGAAGAATTGGACGGTAAAGAATTCAAAGGTAGAGCATTAAGAATTAGTAAGAAGAGAACTAATTTGCCAGGTTTTAGAAGAGGTAGAGGAAGAGGAAGAGGTGGCAGAGGTAGAGGCAGAGGTGGAAGAGGTGGAAGAGGTAGAGATTTATAGGTTTTCTAAGTATATATATATATAAATACACTTTTTGGATGTCCTTTGTTTTGGACTCTAGCTAGTCTGAATAGGACGTTGTAAATAAGGAACTGATTCGTAACGATACATGGTAAAAGTGTCACTTGTAGAATAATGTCACATCATGCAGGGTGTAAAATACCCTCAGGACAACAGGTCAATTGGTGTTTGGAAAGTCATTTTCTGAGTAGTGGGGTTGTAGTACATGATTGTGTATTACAATTAGGAATCTTAATTGAAATGCAACATGGTTTAGCAGACTGGTGATATTAGTGGGATGTTTCATTGCTTTTTAAGATAGCTAACGGGATCAACCACTTCGGGATTCGACGGGGTTAATGAATACTCCTTGGACTGATGTGTTGAATGCAATAGTTATGCTAGAAAGTACACACAGTAACTATAAATATTTCCAAGTAAAGCCTAAATTTTTCATTCTATGTAGAAGTCCGATACCTCTTTGTACTTATAATGGAGTATGTATCGAGAAAGGGTTTCTTCCATTCCAAACCCATAATCGTTTTTATCATAAACAGCAAGGAGATGAAAAGCAATGTAGCATTCCTGCTGACTCTTGACATACTTTATAGAATTTTGCCATTGGCAAATCATCTTTAACTCGTAATTCAAAACATGAACTTTTGCTGTAACTTCAATGTGAACGAGGTGAAAACAAATCGCAACACAAAATCGAAAAAACAAAGTAATTTGCAACTAAAAAGTCAATACCAAACCTGTATAATTATCTTTCATTTCTCTATTATAAATAACATAGATATTGTCATATCATGTGAACGTTTAATTTCATCATTCCTTTTGACTCATAACAAGATATACAATATACAAAAAATCCAAATTTTCACCACTATAACAAAAGTCAAACTCAATAAAAGATATCAGCAATTCACTTTTAGTATATAAGTTTTTCTATCTTTCAAATGTGGCCAATGAAGGGAAATAAAACAAGAACTTGAGTGTCTACTCTGCATGAATCTCATTTCTCTATTTTAGGGTTTTAATGTTAATGTTAGTAATGAAATAAGTTAATATGATTTGTCATCTGATATTTTTTTTTTTTGCTTTACCAACTTCACTTACCTTTACGTATATACTTCGTGGTTCCTTTTTTTTTAAATGAGTTTATAGTAGGTGATGTATTAAAGTTGCATATATAGAAGAGAATATTGAAAAGTTTAATGTGCCACATTAACAATCAAGCTTGAAATGTGTTGATATCTTTTATTCATGTTTGCTTATTTGTTGTTCTTGTAAGATCCTTTGGTCCTTTCTTATGAGTATGTAATTAGGGTGACACCGTCGTTACGTTTCATTGATTTCTTTAATGAGATATAAACAATGGAAGACCAAGTACCGGAAAAGTCGTAGTTAATTAGAAATCAGTTTTTCCAAGGACTTTTTAGTTTTTTGCTTTAAAATATATATATAAAAAAGTGATTCATCATTAAAAGTTTAAACATATAATGAAAATGAAAACAAACAAAGCCAAAGGGCAAGGATTATACTTTTACTGATTTGAAAATAAAATAAGAAGGTTTATTCATAAATATACAATTTTTAAAGTTATTTTTCAACAACCTTGAAAACTCACCTTGCGTTATTCACTTCAAGATTAAGGACTTTTTGGGGGTTTGATATTTCTATTACGGTATACTTTTTTCTTACCTTCTTTTTAATTGAAAAGTATATATTCCCAAATGATTTATCAAATGACTACTTCCTTTTGAAAAAAAAAAAAGTATTTATAAATCTCTTTGAATTCCTTTTGCTGGCCTACTTTCCAAATTCTTTTTGATACTGTTTTCGTTATTAAAGTGATTATTAATATCATCATTTGCAGTATATTTATTAATTTGAATTCCTTGTTATTTATTTACTTGTTTAATCCAATGTCTGGGAGAGATGCTAAAATAGTTAAAATAATCAAACATAAATGGAAAAACTCAGAACAAGATTACTTCTTCTTTGTTCTATTAGAAGATGGTATTTATAGTTGGCAACCTCTAGATTATTTAAAACGTCATGAACCACAAATGACAAATAAATATATCAAAGATCATAGAGGTGAATTTCAAATATAATTCCAGCCTAACATTTCAAATTCAATAGAGTATTTCAATCAAAGTGATTAGTTATTAGTTGATTATATTATATCTTATATATAGAGATTATATGTTATTATTTATTCCCATATTGAAAACCCCCCCCAAAAAAAATTGCAAATTGTAGCAGCGCCGCAATTGATTTCCTAATTGGGTATGCTACTATGTAATTTTTTTTCCGTCCTTTCTCTCTGTTAACAAAGTCTCATCTCATTTTCAAAATTTTTTTTTTTTTTGCTTTGTATTTATCACTGCGATTGACATAATCCTTTTTTTTATTAAATCAACCACACTTAGACAACTCACATACACATACAACAATCATGGTATCTGTTAGAAAGAGAAAGATGGCTCGTTCATCTGTTAAGAAAAACACCAGAAGAACTAAAGATAGACAACGTAATATTAATGTTTATTCAAATCCAATCATTGCTGCTAATTGGGATAAATCATTGACTTTAAAACAAAATTATAAAAAATTAGGATTAAGGGCTAAATTGGGTACAAGTGCTGGTGGTGATGAAAAGAAAGTTGTTAGTTTATCAGAAATTCAAAAGAAACGAGAGAAGAAGAATAAGAACAATAGTAATAAAGATATTCCAAGTATTGATGAAATTGAAAATTTAGATGATCCTTCAAAAATTCCTGAAGGTGAAGCAAGATTAATTAGAGATCCTGAAACAAATGAAGTTGTTAAAGTTATTTACGGTACTATGAAAGTAAATGATGATGAAGATGATGAAGATGATGAAGATGATGAATTAGAAAAAGATGCTGAAAATCCAAGTGTGGTTGAACAATTAGAAGAATATGCACAAAAACATAGTAAAATCAAAAAAGAAAGACATTTAAGTGAAAGAGAAAGTGATTGGCTCAAGAGTTTATATGAAAAATACGGAGATGATTTCGAAAAAATGAAATGGGATAAAAAATTAAATATCTATCAACATACTGCTGGTGAATTAAAAAGAAAAATCAACAAATGGAAAAAATCAAACGGTATATAAATAAAACCATCTCTTGTTAAATCCTTGAAGGTAAATTCTTTTCTAATATTTTATCAACAATGTCACTCATTATAGGTTTTAATTCACTTTTATCATATAAATTAATCAACCTCTTATCTTTTTTATCTTCCTGTAGTTCAACCATCTCAACAAATTGAGGATCGATAGGCACATTACCCAAATATGGTAAATTCAATTGCTCACTTAATGCTTTCCCACCTCCACTTGAGAATATATTAGTACATTCAGCACAATGAGGACAAATGAATCCTGACATATTTTCAACAATTCCTAAAATATCAAAATTAACTTTTTTACAAAAATTAATTTCTTTACGAACATCAGCCGTAGCGACTTGTTGAGGGGTAGTTACAATTATTGCACCATCGATTGGAGTAGCATATCTTAATTCTTCAGCAATAGCAATATGTTCATCTGAAGTACCTGGAGGAGTATCAATTAATAAATAATCTAATTGTCTTTGAGAATTCCCCCATACAACATCTTTTAAAAATTGTTTAATCATTGCAGTTTTTTTAGGTCCTCTCCAAGCAACTGAATTTCCACGATCTCCTAATAAAAATCCTAATGACATAAGTGAAAGATTTCCACGGGTTTTACCATTTCCTTGATAAACTGAAACTGGAACCCATCCTTGAGTTGATTGAAGAACTTGTTTCTTTTCTACTCCAAACATACGTGGTAATGAAGGTCCAGTAAGATCTATATCTAATACACCAACATTAAATCCTTTGTTAACTAACGTAAGAGCAACCTGAGTAGTAACTGACGATTTTCCAACACCTCCTTTCCCTGATAATATTAATATTATATGTTTAACGTGTTCTATAGATTTAGGTATCTCTTGCACTTGTGAAGTCATTATTGATTACTAATGATAGATGGATTAGATCAAGCTTGATTAGAAAGAAAAAAAAAAATTAACAATCTGATATTTGCATTTATGACAACTACTGCTGTAATACAAAAGTACACGACTTTGTATCACGTGATGTGTAAAAAAAATATGTCAATGACGAACGACCTTAAAAACAAGAAAAGAAATTCTGGACACCTCATCAAAGGTTTGGAAATATTTTCAACTATAGAAAGGCAAAGAACAAGAAGAAGGTAACATTTTATTCCCACAATTCACTTCAGTTAATCTTTTTTTTTGTTTTCTTTTGTTTTGTTTTCTACTTCATTGATTCATATCCATTCAGATTAAATTGATAGCTATGACATCTAGATATTCAGCTGCAGGCGGCGCTCATCAACGAGATTTAAGAACACAATTATTTAGTTCACCAAATGTTGGACTTCGTACTCCATCACGAACACCACTGCGAACAGCATCACCGTATGATCCAACTCCTAATAATTCAAATCAAGCTAAATATAATGAATCTTTAATGAATTCATTAGAACTGCAAAATGATGATGAAATGAATATAATGGGTTCAAAAATTTCAATGTTGAAAAATTTAGGTGAAAAAATGGGAGTTGAAATTAATAAACTGATTAAATTAAATGATGATATAACTAATAATTTCGAAAAGGGAAAGATAACTTTAAAAAATACTTACAATAAAATGATTGTAATGAGTCAAAGAGCTGGTATAAGTTGGAAAATGTGGCTACTTGTATTTTTAATAGTTACCCTATGGTTTGTATACGTTTGGTTGTTCTAATATTATTATTATTATTATTATTATTATGAATCTTGATTATTTTAATGCACATTTTATGAAGGTTAGAAATAGAGATTAGATATATTCAATCATTGTACGTATGATTTAAGCAATGATATAGAACTTACCTTTCGTGGATTTTCTTCATCTTGATTCTCTGGAATAGCATTATATTCTTCAGGTGAATCTTCTTTCAATGGAAGAATAGTACCTTGAGCAGTAAAACTCGTAATAGTATTATTAGTTTTTGATCCATATGCATTATTCACCTGTGATAAGGCACTCACTTCCTCAGATAATTTATCATCTAATCGTTCAGTAACAAAATCTGCTCTTCTAAATGGAGAATTCTCTCTTGTAAATCGTTTAGAACTATTTGAGTTTGTTTTCAATATGGATTTCTTTGGTTTTAAAATTCGATGACTTGGGATATGTTTTGGTGTAGGTGATAGTTCTTTTGGCAGCCTATTAATTGATTTCCGACGTTTATTCTTTCTCTTATAAGAAAGCCTTTCCTTTTTCTTTTGTTTCAAGTCAGATTTTAGATTATAATAGTATTGGTTTGTCGATGATATGTGTGAGAACCCATCGGTTGATGAATCCAGGTCTGACGAATCAGATGAAAGCAAATCATCAATTGTATCGTCATCAGTATTAAACTCAGAACTTGTCCAAACTTCTTCTCCTTCATTATCATGATCACCTATATGTAAATTCGCCAATAGATCTTCTGCTGAGCGAATAGAGGAATTGGACTCCCCATTGGAAGGCGTACACTTGCATTTTTCCTTTTTTCGACGTAATGATTCTGATGTAATAGGATCTCCATTAATTCTAAGTTTCTTAAAATGGGAGTCCTGTTGCGTCAGCTCTGTAGTTGCAGTTGACTTAATAGTGACGATATTTGAGAATGGGAATTGACCGTTTCTTTGCGAATCGATATACTTTGGATTTGAGATAAGTTGGGAATATAACAATGTCAACGGGTTTGAAGGTTGTTGATAGCTGGCAGAATTACTAATACCTGGAATGGTCTTTTTCAATGCCTCCAGGTGTTTCTTATTCTGCACATTTCTGTATCTAGCAATACTAGAATTCATAAATGACTCAAATTGATCAGGATCCAAATCCTGAATACTCACTTCTTCGGTTTCATTAGTACTATTTTCAACCGGTTGTTCTTGACTTTCCTCGGGTGTGGCGAGACTTTCTTGTATTGGAGATGGCAACAGCTGTGGCGTCAGGATCAATTCTGTAACAGGAGTAGTAGGTGAATCTGCAGGTAGTGAAATCGATGTTTCTCGAGGACTATTATTATATGATTCATTTTGGTTATTCAGAATCACTGTATCATCATGATTTGAATCAAAATAATTTTCATTTGGAACAACAACAACTTCTTCTTCTTCTTCGACATCATCATCATCATCATCATCCAGTGCTTTCCCCTTATCCCCAGATTCGTTCTTATTCATCAATTTGTATAGATTAGGATAAACCTTTCTATTGGTTGCAACTAATGTGTCCTTATCGTGTCCTCTTAATTTCTTATCTAATTTAGTCAACCTTTCCATCAAATTTTTAACTTTAGAACTCACTTCAATGGTATTTTTCAATAGTTGATTAACTTCAACTTCATTTATTCGAGAATCAATTTGATCATTTTTTGAATTCATTAAACATTTAGTCAATTTTTTCTTTTTATTTAAAAAGATTTTATTTAAATTGCTTGCATTTTTAGCAATTTGAATATTTCTAAATTGAATTTTTTGTTCAATCAGTAAATTATATTTTATATCCTGTCGTAAATCGTTTTGATAATTTGAAGCTACTGTTAATAAATCAGATGAAACTTGTTGACTTTCTTTGGGAAATACCTCATTTAATATATAATCTAACTGGAAACATTCAATTGCTGGGATTTGTACTGTAGGAGTAAATCTTGGTTGGTATTCTTTGTATTTGCTTGATGACGTTTTATTCTTCCAATGTTGATAACCGGTACCATTACTGGGTGTGGTTGTAGTATTTGGCATTTAAATGAATGATTAATTAATAATGCAATAAAAGAGACAATATCAAACAAAGGATCGTGATAATGATGGTTGGTTGGTTGGTTGGTTGGTTGTAAAAAATTAATCTGTCGATTTATTTACTACCGTGGTTGTAATTCTTGTTGTTTATGTAATCCCTCTCCTCCTTTTCCTACTCTCCCCCTGATTAAATCCTTGTGGCCAATATGCAGGATATTGAAAAAAATGTCAGACTGCATACGCAACAGTAAATATATGTACGACATGAAATTTTTCAAGAAACACGAATCATCAACTTCTTCTGCTTCTTCTTCTTCATTCCCACGATTACACATCTTAAATACAGATATTAACCATAACTAATGAAGAAAGCGGTAACTTATATATCAATATCTGAATGGTTAAACATATTACTTCAGGTTTTTGGAGGATGTTGTACTAATGTGTTTGTATTAGAGAATTTGTTATCAAACAATGATTCGGAGTATTCATTGGGTACATTAATCACATTTTGTCAATTTCTAACCACTACCATACTTTCAATTCCAATTAATTCAAAAGGATTCATTAAACCAAAAGTACCTATTGAGAAATGGTTTTTACCAGTTGCATTATATTTCATCACTTCATTATTAAATAATCTTGTTTGGCAATACGATATAAGCATTCCAACACATATAATTTTTAGATCAAGTGGTACGGTTGTTACTATGATTGTTGGTTATTTATTTGGAAATAAAAAATATAATAAGCATCAAATTATATCTTCAATTATTATTACTTTAGGTACTATTAAAGCAACATTACCTGAAGATAAATCAAATTTGGTTGAATTTAATTCAAAATTTTTATTTGGAATTTTCATTCTATTCATCGCTTGTATAATATCTGCATTTATGGGATTATATGGTGAACAAATTTATAAAACTTATGGTAATCAATGGCAGGAAAGTTTATTTTATAATCATTTTCTAGGATTACCTTTATTTTTATTTGTATCTTCTACAATTTATAAAGAAATTAAAATTGTATGGAATAGTGAACCTTTAAATTTTGGGTTGATTTCTATTCCTAAACAAGTATTCAACTTATTGATGAATGTGTCGACTCAATATTTATGCAGTAAAGGTGTTAATATGTTGGCTGGAAACACTAGTGCATTAACTGTCACGGTGGTATTGTTGGTTAGAAAATTCATAAGTTTGATATTGAGTGTGGTATGGTATGGAAATTCAATGTCAAGTCAGAAAATGATTGGGGCTATTGCTGTATTTGGCGGGGCTGCATATTATAGTTTAAGTGGAATTCATACAATTAAAACAAAAAATATTGATAAGAAACATTTATAGATAATACACAAGATAGACAATTAAACAAAAATATTAATAAGAGGTATGGAGGGGTGCTAATCATAAACAGAATGATTGTTGGTCACGGCATTTCTATCGCCAAATGGATCGCCCTCAATTGAATCACTGGTTTCTACCTTGTCAAGTTTTGGTCTTGATGAGTAAGCATTTGATAATCCTGCAGGTTTTGAAGGTCTTGGTGGAGGTGGGGATTTTGGTTGTATTCTGGTATTTTGTAATCTTTCTGAAATTTCTTCTTCTTCTTCTTCTTCTTCATCTTCTTCACTATCAGTTGTATAATAACTTTCACCACTGTCAGATTCTTCTTCGTCATAATTAGGAGCAGGATTTTCTTTCGAGTATCCTGCCTTGAAATCAAATTTCTTAAATGCTTCAACTAATTGTTCATTGGCTCCAATTAAACTACCCAAAAATTCTTCATCCAATTTGGCAACTTCAGATGATTTCTCACTGGCAATACCAGCACCAACATATTGTAAATAATTCAAAACTTTTCTTCTAATCTTCTTACACTTGGCAAACTCTTCCAAAACTTTGTCATTATCCAATGGTGATTCATCAGCAGGTAATTGTAACAACAAGTTATTTAAAGTGGTTGTATGAGTATAACAATTAGCTATTAGTTCTCTTATCTTTGGTGCCTCAACCTTGTAATTAATTTGTGGGATTTCAAATTCTTCATCAGCATAAATGACACCCTTCTTCTTCTTTTTCTTCTTTTTATTCTTCTTGTCGTCTTTATTTTCATTCTTACCCACATATGGTGATCTGGATTTTGGTCGAGGTGGTGGAGGGCTTCTTCTGTTTGGAGGAGAATTTGAATCACTACGCAACCTATTCCCATTATAATTATCTTGATCTCCATATGGATCAGATGGTTCTTCATCATTGAAATCATCATCTTCAAAATCATCATTTCCACGATTACGACGTGACGGATGATTTGAACCTCTCTTCGATTTAGGTATATTTCTGTATAAACCTTGCATGTATTTATAACCATCCAAATCTTCCAATTCAGTTTTCCAACCAATTGCCATATTGACAACTCTTTTTTGTACTCTTTTATCGTATGGAACACCATCTCCAGTTCTACCATTGCCCGTAATTATACCTTTCAAAACATCTAATAATTTATCATCACGAGCAATTATAGGTCCAATTGAAGGTCCACCATTCAATACTAATAATTCTAAAATCTTTAATGCTCTCAATTGAACATATTTAGTATCTCCGTATTTAATTTTCTTTCTAATTGCTCGAGCAGCTTCAACTGCACCAGGATTATGTTGAATTTTGATCAATTCAATTAAATCAGAAAGATATAATTCGATTGAATCGTCAATTTCATCATTCCTATTTGGATCAGCTAATTGATTGATCTTGATTGTAATTGATGTATATGCGTGATCGCTAAAAAATGGCATCTTTTTGAGAGTGGAACTAATGATCGTAAGACTATAGTAATGGATGAGGAAAGTCAGCCTTGTCTATCACAATTGGTACCTAATTTAGTAATAATAAAAGAGAAAAGAAAGGGGGTGAGAGAGAAAAGAAAATTGTGTTGAGAATGTGGACTCACTCTACGTGGGGAGAGAGAGCGAAGCGGAGTGGGGTGGGTTTCGTCGTCCACCTCGACGTCGACCTCAATTTGGTCGTCGAAAGGCCGACTGATTTTTTTTTTTTTTTTGATTTTTTTGCTTGGTTTCGTTTTTGTTCCTTCGTTCATTTGTTCGGTGTGTATGTGTGTGTTTTGTGTGTTCGATTGCCTGACTCGGTTTGAGGTAAGAAACTTACGTAACGCAAATGGAGGGGAGGCAAACACAATGTACAACTGATAACCAGTATAGAATGGAGTGGTGTGTAATTACGTTTCAAAATATTAGTGATTGGCACACGACCTTGTGATAAATATAGGAAACAAGAACTCAGTAGTAAAGTGATAAGAAGAGTAGTAAAGTGATTAGTGAGTTAATTTGTTCATATCTACAACTTATAGTCAATTAGAATGTTACTGTTGCTAAGAAGAATTGACCGTTTTGGGAAATTGAGGGGAGGATTCAATGGTTTAATGTGATTGCACACTTTTAATCTGCTAAACCCATTATGAAGTTCTTCAAGAAATAAATATCATTCTCTATATTACACTAGTTTAGGCCAATAAAATGGTATTACACAGACGTAGAAACAGGCTTCTACTGTCGCACATAGATCAACCACCATGTCAGCCAATGTATATTTCCTACTCAGAAACAATATCCCACTTGAATAGAAGTCTATTTAAACTTATTGAGAGTATATTATAAAAATATTTCCAAACAGGTCGATAATGACTACTCAATTTCTGACTTTTCCCTCCCCTCTCCAATTCTTATCCTCAGATGGGTCACGTGATTCGTGTTTGTAAATTTTAAAACGAAGACAAAAAAAAATTTTTCAATTTAGCAATGGGCATGGAATGAAATGAGAAGAAGCAAAGAAAAAAAAAGTGAACAGATATAGAAATATATAAATTATTTTCTTTTTGAATAGATTCCCATTTATTGATCAAGAGATAAAACCAAAGAATATGTCTGACCAACAAAACAATCCAGACCAATTGGCCAACAACTTGGCTAATGCTTCATTAGGTGAAGATCAAAAGCAACAACAACAACAAGGACAACAAAATGCTTTCAATCCAAACCAAGCTCAATCTTTTGTTCCTACTGGTGGATACCAACAAAACTATAATCAATATCAAGGAGGTTATCAACAAAACTATAACCAATACCAAGGAGGTTATCAACCAAATTACAACAACAGAGGTGGTTACCAACAAAATTATAACAACAGAGGCGGTTACCAACAAAACAGAGGTGGTTACCAACAAAACTATAATAACAGAGGTGGTTACAACCAACAATATGGTGGATATAATCAAAATCAACAATATGGTGGATACCAACAATATAACCCACAACAACAACAACAACCTCAACAATCTCAAGGTATGTCATTAGCTGATTTCCAAAAACAAAAGGCTGAACAACAAGCTTCTTTGAACAAAGCTCCAGTTAAGAAGACCCTTAAATTGGCCAGTTCTTCAGGTATTAAATTAGCTAATGCTACTAAGAAAGTTGATACTGCTAAGCCACAATCTAAAGAAGCTTCACCAGCTCCAGCTGCTGCTCCTGCTAAGGAAGAAGAGGCTAAAGAAGAATCTAAACCAGTTGAAGCCAAGGAAGAAGTTAAACCAGTTGAAACTAAAAAGGAATCCAGCACACCTACTCCCGTCGCTAAGAAAGAATCAACTCCAGCTAAAAAGGATTCTACTCCAATCTCCGCATCTACTTCTGTAGCTACTGCTGATGCTATTGTCAAAGAACAAGAAGATGAAATTGATGAAGAAGTTGTTAATGATATGTTTGGAGGTAAAGATCACGTTTCTATTATTTTCATGGGTCATGTTGATGCTGGTAAATCTACCATGGGTGGTAATATTTTATATTTGACTGGATCTGTTGATAAACGTACTGTTGAAAAATATGAAAGAGAAGCTAAAGATGCAGGTAGACAAGGTTGGTATTTATCTTGGGTTATGGATACTAACAAAGAAGAAAGAAATGATGGTAAAACCATTGAAGTTGGTAAAGCTTATTTTGAAACTGATAAAAGAAGATACACCATTTTGGATGCTCCAGGTCATAAAATGTATGTTTCTGAAATGATTGGTGGTGCTTCTCAAGCAGATGTTGGTATTTTGGTTATTTCTGCAAGAAAAGGTGAATACGAAACTGGTTTCGAAAAAGGTGGTCAAACTAGAGAACACGCTTTATTGGCCAAGACTCAAGGTGTTAACAAGATTATTGTTGTTGTTAACAAGATGGATGATCCAACTGTTAACTGGTCTCAAGAAAGATACCAAGAATGTACTACTAAATTGGGTATGTTCTTGAAAGGTATTGGTTACAACAAAGATGATATTATTAACATGCCAGTTTCTGGTTACACTGGTGCTGGTTTGAAGGATAGAGTTGATCCAAAAGATTGTCCATGGTACACTGGTCCATCTTTTATTGGAATACTTGGATAACATGGATACTATGCATCGTAAAATCAATGGTCCATTCATGATGCCAGTTAGTGGTAAGATGAAGGATTTGGGTACTGATGTTGAAAGTAAGATTGAATCTGCGTCATGTTAAAAAAGGTACTAATTTGGTTATGATGCCTAACAAGACTCCAATTGAAGTTTTAACTATTTATAATGAAACTGAACAAGAATGTGATACTGCATTTAGTGGGGAACAAGTAAGATTGAAAATTAAAGGTATTGAAGAAGAAGATTTACAACCAGGTTATGTTTTAACATCACCAAAGAATCCTGTTAAACAGTTACTAGATTTGAAGCACAAATTGCTATTGTTGAATTAAAATCTATTTTATCAAATGGTTTTTCATGTGTTATGCATTTACATACAGCTATTGAAGAAGTTAAATTTGTTGAATTGAAACATAAATTAGAAAAAGGTACTAATAGAAAATCCAAGAAACCACCTGCATTTGCTAAGAAGGGTATGAAGATTATTGCCATTTTAGAAGTTGGTGAATTGGTTTGTGCTGAAACTTATAAAGATTATCCACAATTGGGTAGATTTACTTTAAGAGATCAAGGTACTACTATTGCTATTGGTAAAATCACTAAATTATTGTAAAAAGAATAATAATAAATGTATTACAACTACTAAAATATATATAGTTTAAAGAAAGTCTAAGGCTTTTTTTTTATAAATAAATAAAAACTCATTAAAAATCATTAATTAGTATGCTCTTTGATTAAAGATTCAAAAATGTCAATCAAATTCTCAATACCTTGAATAACATTTTCATCATGACCTTTTCCAGGAACATATTTTGCATGCGCAAAATCAATAAAATTCAATGAACTTAAAGGAGTAAAAGAATCATTGTCTTTGTCCACTTCTTCGTCCTCATCATCATCATCGTCGTCGTCGTCGTCGTCAAACTCTCTAACTAAAGGATCAAATAATTCATAATTATCGTCAGTTACTTTTTCCCATTTTGATAAATCTGATTCATAGATAAACAACAAAGATCCAGAAAAGATTCTAATTTCATAATCTAAAAGACAATTGTACAACAATTGTAATCTTTTATGAAAATTAATTAATAATCTTTTTTCAATTACTTTAGGTAAATGATTATTGAAAAATAATCCAAGACCATCTTTAATATTATCTTTAGTTAATGACCTGCCATAGAATTTATTGAATTCAAGATATTTATGCTGAGATTCATCATTAATATTAATGGATATTGAACTATCATTCATATTTTCATATAATTCAACTTTAGGTTTATCAATGGAACTACCATTATAAACTTTCATCCCACAAATTCTAAATGATAAACTTCCACTTGTTGTTGAATCACTAACTTTTTGTAATCTTTCAATTTTCTCCTTTGGTGTTACTTCATCATCAGTTAGTTTGGAACCTAATTTGATATCTAATATACTTGGATGGTTGAATCCATGATATGAATTCAGAAGAACAATGTATTGTTTATCTGATTTGGATACTTCGTCCTTTGCGATAGTGTCAGTTAATTGGTTGTCCTGTTTGGTGATGTCACCTTGGGTTAAAGTACCCATGTAAGTAGGCATCCAATGAGATAATAATGAACCTAATGGAGACTCGTCATCTTTAAGCTGATCTTTCAGTTGAGTTTGAGCATAAAAATCAATTTCTTGTTGATTTGTAGATTTAATAAACAATGAATCGGAAATTAAACATCCATCATGACCAGCAGCTTGATGTTTTGATGGTGTGAACGAAGTAGGTTGTTTCATGGTGATGATATTTGAAAAAAAAAACACGAACCCTGTTGTAAAAGTGTTGTAAAAAAAAAGAGTTGGTTTTAGATTTCGTGTATAATTTTTTTTTTCTCTTCTGTTTGGTTGTCTTGTTGTGTTTAGATCTCAGATCAGAAATGGGATTAAAATTAGAAACAAGGGGACAGAAAGGGGAGGGCGAGGCGAGGACAGGCGCAACATCGAGTGAATGTCAGACGGAGACGTAATGAAACACTTACACATACACACACACGCTAACAAGATGAAAGGGATATATCATAATCGTTGTTGGATTACAATGTAACATCCACGTGATCAAAACAAGTGAGAGAGGAGGAGTAGCTGGATCTATAAATAGCATTGTTCGTTTATTTCCTAGAGTTCGTTTTATATTTGTTTAGCTTTCGTATAATTTTCTCTGCATTCAATTTCATTTGAATCGGCCAAAGAGTAAGAAGAAGAAGAAGAAGGGGCTATGAAAGATGACAACGTAGGAGCCACAAAGCAGTAACAACAACAACAAACAAGGTCATTTCCCATGTCTCATACGAGTAGCCAATAATGAAAAACTAACAAAAAATAAATTTGGTTAGGAATTTTTCATCTCTTATGTTGCTCAATCAATCAATCAATCAATCAATCACCGCCTCTGTCTAAATACAAAATAAAAAAAAAATTGGCTAATTCGGTAATAAAGTCTTTAAAGGAAAAAAAAAGAAATGATCATTGGACATCGCAAGACAATTACTCTACAGACACTTGTCCGATATCTGTCTGTCTCTCTCTCTTTCTCTCTTTGATAGCCATTCCATTTGATGAAATGAGTATTCATCTGTTTTGAAATGTTGCTGATCCATAGTCACAAACATTCCACTATAATCATCATTGTCTATTGATTGTAAACAGACAACCACCACTGATTACATAAGCACGCACTAAATAAAATTGTTCGTCTCATTCTCTCTCTTTCTCACACACACAAACAAAACAAAACAACAGTGCCTTAAAAAAAATTTACAACGAAAAAAAAAAAACTTTCACCATAAATTCTTACAATCCATATTACCATTTCATCTACTTGGATAAGGATTGATACTGTTTATTTAACCTTGAATCATCATCTGTTGTTATTGTGCATAACTACATCCATATATATTTAATCCTCATCCTCCATCACATCCATCGTCATCGTCACTGTCATTGTCATTGTCATCCATCATGAGTAATCCGTATCAGAATGCTAATCAATATCAAAACAATTCTTATGAATTGAATGATTATAGTAATAAACAATACTCCTCATCTAATGAAGACGATTTTGTTCAATTCATGAATGAAATTCAAGATATTAATTCACAATTAGATAACTACTCCAACATAATCAATCTTATTGATAATAAACAAAGAAATTTCTTGCATGGTTTAGATTTAAACGATGAAGATACTGAATATGATTCAAAACAAATTGAAAATTTAGTTAACGAAGCTCAATCTTTACAATTGGATTTGAAAAATAGAATTAAGAATGTTCAAACCCAAGCTGTTCATTCAAAGGATCAAACCAAAGTGGATCAAGCTGAAACTTGTAGAAAAAGATTTTTGGATTTGATTCAAGATTATAGATTAATTGAAGCTAAAAATAAAGAACAAACAAAAGATCAAGCTGCTAGACAATATCAAATAATAAAACCTGATGCTACTGAAGAAGAAATTAAAGCTGTTGTAGAAGATGGTTCTCAACAATATTTCCAACAAGCTTTAATGCAATCAAATAGAAGAGGTGAAGCTAGATCTGTATTGAATGAAGTTCAAGTTAGACATCGTGAATTATTGAAATTGGAAAAAACCATGGCTGAATTGACTCAATTGTTCCATGATATGGAAGAATTAGTCATTGAACAAGATCAACCAATTCAACAAATTGAAGAACAAGTTGCTGCTGCTCAACATGATATTGAACAAGGGGTTGGACATACCAATAAAGCAGTTAAAAGTGCAAAATCTGCCAGAAAGAAGAAATTATGGTGTTTGGGTATTTGTCTTCTTATTGCTATCATCTTAGCTGCTGTTTTGGGTGGTTATTTCGGTTCTCGTTAGTCATGACCAATTTGCCATTGAAGGTATTCTTGTTCATTGTATGTGTGTGTGTGGGAAGAGTTTTAGTATTCTTATCATTAGGTCAATTGTGAATCCAAAAAATAAAAAGAAAGTTAAAGAGTGAAAGACGTTTCAAAACAAGACTCTAAATAACTTATATTGTCCTTAAAGTTGGTTATTTTTATATATATATCATTATTGATAACTCCTTTTTATTATTATTATTATTTGTTATTGTTAGTATTAATTTTATTCAGTTTTAATTTTGTCTTTATATCCTTTTTTATTATTATTCCATTATTTAATATAAATTAATGATAATTCATTAGAGATGTAGACGATAACTTTACTTTAGCCGTGTGTCACAATAAATGAAAGGTGAAATTATGATTGCAAAAAGAATTGCGTTAGTTTATATTATCGTCTTGGCTTAGATCATAAATCTTGAGATGTAATGTGTGGTATATTTCCGCTTTGCTTCGAGTAAAACACCATCAAGTGATTTAAAATTAAACTACAATAAGATTAGAGTAGAGAAGAAATGTAGCAAATGATGTAATGACAACTATGGAAGAATACAAAGAATTATTGGTCTGATGGTCTGTTGATTTGTCACTCCGTTCGTCCTAAAAAGAAAATTCATCAAATGCCGTAGTATGAGTAGAGGAGTTTCTTCAGTAGAATAAACCCCCTTAAAATAATATGCCGATAATAACCGATTTATAGAAAATTCCATAACTGGGGGATTCAAAATAGAAAGATTTCGGGTTGATCGTATAACTTTGTGTTTCTTACATACAACAAGATTAATCATTCACTACCAACAGGTAAAGAATATTTTATCTTATTTTTTTTAAAGAGGACGGCGAAATTTTTCATTTCTCCCGTGGCGGCGGTGGCGGTGGTGGTAGCGAAGGCGATGACGGCCGGAAGTAAAACACAGGCATACATACACACGCACACGCACTCACACTGACTGGCTCCTGTACCGGGGGGTGCGTGATCTCTCCTCCCAATCAACGAAGAAAATTTTATGATGACAAAAAGCAAAACCCAAACCAATGGGTTAGTGTGGGGAGACAGAGGGATGAAAAAAAAAAAAAAAATTTTCAACAGAAATAACTCCATGCATAAATTACTCATTTGAATTTAATTTCCTTGACTCATATTTTTACCTTTTACCTTTTTCCTTTTGGTATATAAAGTTGATTCAAATTTCCTAGATTTTTATTTATTTATTTATTTTTTTTTTACATTTCCTAGTATAGTTTACCAGATTTCATTGTATTTTAAGATCCCCTGTTTGTTCCCTCAACTCCGACTATTTCAAAATGCCAATGTTACAAGATCCATCAGTGAAATATAAGAAATTTCCAAATGTTAATTTACCAAATCGTCAATGGCCATCAAGATCATTAGATAAACCACCAAGATGGTTATCCACAGATTTAAGAGATGGTAATCAATCATTACCTGATCCAATGTCAGTTCCTGAAAAGAAAGAATATTTTAAAAAATTAGTTGATATAGGATTTAAAGAAATTGAAGTTGCTTTCCCATCAGCTTCTCAAATTGATTTTGATTTCACTAGATTTGCTGTTGAAACTGCTCCTTCTGATGTTTCAATTCAAGTTCTTTCCCCTTGTCGTCCTGAATTAATTACAAGAACTGTTGAATCTTTGAAAGGTGCTAAAAAGGCCACAGTTCATATTTATCTTGCTACTTCTGATTGTTTTAGAAATATAGTATTTGGACTTTCAAAAGAAGAAAGTAAAGAATTGGCTGTTAAATGTACTAAATTAGTTAGATCTTTAACTAAAGATGATCCTTCAACTGCTGGTACAGATTGGGATTTTGAATTTTCTCCAGAAACTTTTTCAGATACTGATTTGGATTATGCAGTTGAAGTTTGTGAAGCAGTTAAACAAGCTTGGGAACCAAGTGAATCAAAACCAATTATTTTCAATTTACCTGCAACTGTTGAAATGGCCACTCCAAATGTTTATGCCGATCAAATTGAATATTTTGCTACTCATATTACTGAGAGGGAAAAAGTTTGTATTTCTTTACATCCTCATAATGATAGAGGTTGTAGTGTTGCTGCTGCCGAATTGGGTCAATTAGCTGGTGCCGATAGAGTTGAAGGTTGTCTTTTTGGTAATGGTGAAAGAACTGGTAATGTTGATTTAGTTACTTTGGCTTTAAATTTATATACTCAAGGAGTTGCACCAAAATTAGATTTTTCAGATATAAATTCAGTTATTGATGTTGTTGAAAGATGTAATAAGATCCCAGTTCATGCAAGAGCTCCATATGGTGGATCACTTGTTGTTTGTGCATTTAGTGGATCTCATCAAGATGCAATTAAGAAAGGTTTTGCAAGTCATGAAAAGAAAAAGGAAAAAGCTGGTGGGAAAGAAGTTCATTGGCAATTACCTTATTTACCATTGGATCCAGAAGATATTGGAAGAACTTATGAAGCTATCATTAGAGTAAATTCACAATCTGGTAAAGGTGGTTCAGCTTGGGTTATTTTAAGAAATTTAGAATTGGATTTACCTCGTGGTTTACAAATTGCATTTTCTAAAGTTGTTCAATCAAGAGCTGAAATTAAAGGTCAAGAATTAACTAATGAAGAATTATGTGAATTATTTAAACAAGAATATTTCATTGATTATGATGATGAAGCACCAGAACAATATTATAAATTAGTTGATTATTCTATTTCTTCTCCAAGTAAAGGTATTAAGAAAATTCAAGCTGAATTGGATGTTAATGGTGAAATTGTTAAAATTGAAGGTGAAGGTAATGGTCAATTATCTGCTTTTAATAATGCCCTTTCTAAATATTTGAATATTGATATTGATGTTAAACATTATCATGAACATTCTTTGGGTGAGGATTCAAATGCTAGAGCTGCTACTTATATTGAAGTTTCAGTTGATAAAAAAGTTACAAGATGGGGTGTTGGTATTCATACTGATGTTTCCCAAGCTTCTTTCTTATCTTTAATTTCCATCTTGAACGGTTTACATAAAAATAAAAACATTTAATTCTAATAAATATCCAACCATCTATCCACTTGTCCATTTGTCTGTATAGTATATTATAGTATAGTATAGTATAGTTTACGCTTTTTGCCATTTTTCATTAAAATAAAAATTTCGTATTTATTTATTTATTTTAAATTTTGCAATTCTCGTTGTAACCCAAAAAAAGGTTCAACACGAGTAACGAAAAAAAAAAAAAATACAAAGAAAATTATTGCCAATCAATTTATCAACACTTTAAACTGATAACAACACGTGAAGAGATGACACAGGATAATCCGGGAAATATAGCTGATGCTTATAAACAATTAAATGAAGCTGAAAAACAAGCTGAAAATTTAGAAAAAATGTTGGATGCTTTTGAAGCAAAATTAGATTCAATTTTAAAAGAAGCTGAAAGTTTAAATATTGATCACGAGGTTGATGGACAACTAGATGAGGATGTCGATGATAAAGAAGAACCAACGGAATATAAGAAAGAAGAATCCAAGGAAGAGGAACCAAAGGAAGAAGAATCAAATGAAGATCCGGTAGAGACGAAAGAAGAATCAAAGGAATAATCAAGATGAATTGTACATTCTTAAATACATAAATCAAAACTAGATATATACATATATATATATCTATTATTTATCAATAGCTTCTAATTCTTTCCTTGATACGAATTCAGGTTCGTTGGTTTTTTCAAATGGATTAATTGGTCTCCATGGATTCATCACTAAATAATTTCCATTAGTACCACCACCAGAACAAGAAGAAGAAGAAGTAGTTGGATCATCATCATTATTATTAAGTACAGGTATAGATACTTTAGCAGGTTTACCACCTTCTAACCACCATTTTTGTTTATCGGAACTTGGAGGTGGTAATCCTGAATTTTCATCATTTAAATCTTTATCAGTATAAGCTTTAATTAAAATATCATAAATTCCATTAGTACTATCTTTATAATTTTCATAAATTTCATTAGATAAATTCTTTTTAATTGTTTGATTAATAATTTTAACAGTTATTTTGAAAATTCCATAAACTGGACGATGATCTGAAAATATTAAATCTTGACAACTATTATATTTCAATGGTTGAATTAAATTTTGCATTGAAAGAAATAAAATTCGATCTGTCCAAGCTGGAATTCGTTGTTTTTCACTAGTATCATAAATTTTGGTTCCTTTATCAAATTTATAAGTTGGTGGGAAATTAATCTCTTGTTCTGAAAAGAATGGGAAACTTTCACCATTTGCCATTTGTTGATTTAATTGATCAAATTCAAAGATTTTACCATACATTTTTTGTAAAATTAATGGTTTAACTTGTTCATTAGTTAAATCAATTCTATAATTAAAATCTCCTAACCAAATTATGGCATCATGATTTTGAATACGTCGATTTTTAGAAAATTGAATCCCTTTAATTAATGATTTATAATTATGATGTCTTTCTTCAATATTGGTTAATCCAGCAGCAAAATGTGATGATACAAAACACATGGCAGTATCTGAAAATTTAAAACTAACAGCAATTGCACCTTTATTTGCTGAAACTCCTCCAAGTCCAGTTTTTTTAAATGAACATTCAACATTTGAAATATATTTAACTTGGGATTCTTTAACAAAAAAGAATAATGCAACTCCACCTAATTGTCCACTCCACATAACCATATATTTATCATGTTTTAATAATTCATGAAGAATTTTCTTTTCCCATTGGGTTTTATTACGGAAATCAGTATTAACCATCTGTCCAGCATTAAGTTCAACAATTTCTTGTAACCCAATGAAAATTAAATCATACTCTCCACCTCCTGTACTTCCTCCTTCAGGTGGATAAATCCATTTCGTGATATCTCCTTCATAAACGGATCCATTGACATTAAATGTAGATGCAAATACTGTTAAATCTGTCTTTGAAGTGAATTCTTTAGCATGTTTGTTTAATTCTTTATTAACATAATTATGAAGCGGATTAAATATAGTAACCGGTGATTGATCTTGCATTCGACCTAATAATTTTAACATGGCAATTTCATTTGGTTTTGATTCAACAACTCCACCAAAATATTTTTTAGTTAAATTTGATTTCACTAATGCTGATTTGATAGTTTTATTTGATTTATGTAATTTATCACTTGTTGAAACATAATTTAATGTTAATTTTGAAATACATATATCATTTTCTTCCCATAATTTTGCATGTTTAATGAAAATATCTCTATCTAAATCAACTCCAATATCTCTAAATGCCAATTGTATAACTTCTTGACTAATTACTTTTGATAAGAAATTAGCTTTACTAAGACTATCAAATGAATTGATTCTAAATACTCCCAATTGTTTCCCAATAAATGAAGTTGAAGAATTATCAAAAAATAAAGCACCAAAATTAACTATTGAATTGGAAAATAATGATACAATATCATACGGATTTTGACCTGAATATCCAATTTTTTTAACTCTTGAAGCAGTAATTGGAACATGATTGTATAATAATTTGAATCCACTATCTTCAGATTCTTTATGTTTCATATAATATTTAATTTGTTCTTCAAATGCAGAATTCAACACTCCTTTGTAGGATTTGTCAGATAATGCATTAAGAATATGAATATCACCATATTGAGTGGCTAATCTTTCGATATGTCTAGTAAATGATTCTTGAGAAGCTTCAAAAGATCTTGGAAATGTTAAATGTCTACCATTAGCAGCTAAAATATTCTTTGAAGTAAAAGTATTATCCAATTCCCAATACATTGGTACATTACCTCTTAATATAACATAAGAAAGACAGAATTTTTTAGTATAAATGATGATTTCTGATTCCAAATAATTTGAAACAAATCCATTTCCATCACTTCCCCAATCACCAAATAATGGACCTTCTTTAGCACAACTTTGTTTTGAAATTAAAGTTAATAAAGCTTCATCATTTCCAATCATTGTATTTACAGTTTTAGCATAACCTCTTATAACAATAACTAATAGACCAGATTTATCAATAATTTTTTGTTCAGAAGTTGACATTCTATTTCTTGATTCAATCAATTGTTCACTCATAAATCCATTCCACATAAATCTTTTAAAATAATCAGAATCAGCAATTAATTTAAATTCAGCTTCATTTGAATGATTATAATTATTAGCAGTGCTAGTAGTATTAGCAGAATTAGTAGTAGTGCTATTACTAGTCGTACTACCACTATTACCACCTCTTTCTTGAATATTTGAAGACATATCAAAAGTTTTAGAATAATAAAAACCTCCACTTGATAATAATCTTTGTACTGAAGCAGCAGGATATCTTAATCTTTCACGTTCTTGATGACTTAATTTTTCAAATTCTTTTTCCAATAAATAATCATATTCATCATTATTTAAACAATAAAATTCAGTATTTGTAATTCTATAAATTTTATCATTTATAGTAGCAGAAGCAATTAATTCATCCCTTGTTATAAATCCAATAAATATTTTCCCTTTAACATTTAATAATCCTAATAAACCTAATAATTTATTGTTGTTCTTAGGAGTAATATCTCGATATGAACTCAAATCAAGATATTCTTTACGAACAAATTCCACTAATACATTATTATCTTTATTATTTGAATCTTTTGATTTACCATGTCCACTAACAAGTCCTTTTAAAGTATAATGTTTATAAGAAGGTGAAGGATGTCGTATAATAAGTGCATGAGTAGCTGTAGTGACTATGAATGTTCTTGGTCGTTCTATTAAATATAATTTCATTATCTATAAGATCAAATCGAATTTGGAAGGTAGGTAGTAGTTGGTTTCGAGAAGAAAGAAAGAAAGAAAGAACGATGTATGTGTATGTGTGTGTGTGTGGTGAAAGATGGTTGATGAAAATCAATTACGTCAAAGAAAAATCAATTACAAATGGCAATATTGCGGCTACCTTTCATTTACTTACTCACTCACATTCCTTCAAGCACTAAAGATGATAGTTATGAGATGAATATCTAGTAGTTAAGAAGAAGATATGGCTATAGTTGTATATCCACATGAAAAGGTTCAAGAGAATAAGGCGAAGAAGAAGCAAAAATTAAGAGGTTCATGTGTAACTCTCTACAAAGTATCAACAATACTCTTTAATAAAAACTTAAATCATTTGTATATTTAATAAAATTGTCTGCTAGAATGAATTAAGGTGAGTAATTAGAAATAAAATAAAACCATCAAAATAAAACCATCAAACTAATACACACCAAACTATTCCACCCTAACACAAAATATTTGGATCACTTGATGATTGTTGAACAAGTAATTCTTTTTTTTTTATTCTTCATTAAAATTTAAAAGAAAAAAAAATTCAGAATTGATCAAATTTTGATCAACGTGCACGTCTGATTCTTACACAAGTTAGTTACAATATACACGACTAACAAAAAAAGACATTCCAACTGGAGTAAGAAAATCACCGAACTATTGACAAGTGATTTATTCCTTATACACTCGTTACTCTATATATCAAAGTAATTGAGAGATAATAATACGACTTGCAGTTTCTTGTTGGTGTTATTCACGTGAAGGGTTTATCAAGAATGATTATGATTGATGATATATGTGTGATTTAACAATTAGATGAATTTTTATTCATAAGTAGAGGTATCTGTTGGATTAGTTAGGACTGAAATAGATGGTTTACATTGTTGAATTATTCTTATAAATTTTTTTAACGTGTATTCGATCAGTCGTGATATTGGCCATACTCTCAAATGACTTGTCTATCAAACCCAGAGGAGGAAAACTATCAAAGTATGACTTTTTTAGGGTGTATCTCTATAAATCAATTATAATTCATTTGAAATTAGTGGAGTAATACAAACTTTATATTGTAAATGTTATTTTCATCTGGTAGCGCCGGGTGAATTCTCAATGAATAGTTTTTACTTTAAAATAGCGACAAAATTATAAAAATATTCATGACAAAAAAAAACTCATCAAATCTGTCAATTGACGGAACTCTGTCTTATATTATTGTATAATTATTACCCATTCATTATAATTTGACAAGAGAGAAATTTAAAGAGACAGGAATTAAAGAAGGTGTCAAATAGAAAGTTCACTACATTTGACGTATTATTTTTTAGATTCAATGCATTGTTTTCCCAATTTGTCAATATCCGCTAGCTAGAAGCCAGAATTATAAACCTATGTTTTTCAACTTATTTTTGGTTATCAGTGTAAGATACAATGGAAGTAAGAAGGAGCAATGAATTACGGATCAAGAGGAAAGCTTGGGTATGGGCAAATTATAATTAGAATGTTAGTAAAGAGTTTTTCATTTCACGTGGTTTGCAGTAATTTTTCTATCCTACTTGACACGACCTTGCCTTTCACTGTAATGATGATGAAGATGATGAAAATTTCCAAATGGATTAAAAATAAAACAATAGATGTTTCTTTTTCCTGTTAACATATATACATATATATATATCCTAACCATTATTCTCATATTCTTATACTTATATTTATCTAAAGAGTATTTATATATCTTTGGTGTACCTATTATTCTGGATTGAAATCCACAGTTTTTATTTTTTTTTTGTCAATTTTTAGTTTCTGTATCACGTGACAAATAATCACAAAGTGAAGAGAAATTGAAGTTTTCATTTTTATTTTTTGTTTGGTACATAAAAGAAAAGAAGAACTCGACCCACAATTTTGTTTTGTTGTTCACTAAATTTGAATTCAACCTCATAGGTATGTATATTATCAATTGCTCATTGATGAATCTCGTTGATATTTGATGCCATTTGACCAGGATGCACGATAATAATAAGGAGAATTGGATTGAAACAAGAACAAGAAAGACGAAATTATACTTGTTGATTACTTATTGACGCCACACTTTTTTTTTTTAGTGAGTGAGGGAGTATGTTACCAAGATCAGCCCCAGATTTCTCGCATTATCAATTTATGGCGAGCGGCATCTCATGGGAGCAATCAGAGGGGTGGAGGAATAAGAGGAGTAGGACTATGTAACAGGATCTACTATTTTTTTAGGTGATAATGAATATCAAATACAGAAATTGTTTTAACACCACAGTTTTTTTTTTTGTTTACATTTTTTGGTTGATAATGATGAATTTCTCGGAAAACTTTATTGTTATATATACTTAAAGAAATCGTTATTATAGTGGTGATTTTTCCATGATAGTTTTTATAATAATTATTTTGTTGCTGATATTCTTAAGAAGAAAAGTTCTTTATTTATTATTAAAAAAAAAAAACGTGGTTTCACATTATAGAAGAAAGTGTGAAATATAAAGGCAATCAAATGGAAGTTAACGAGATAATATCATCATCATATGGGAAATACTAACCAAAATAGTGATAAGACAAAATTACCACCCTTGAAAAGAGTTCTATCTAATCAAAGGTTAGTTTTACCATCACAAAGATTAATAAGAATACCTTCAAAATCTTCAAGATCAGTTTCTCCAACAAGAAATATGTTTTCACCTAATCCAGTAAGTCCATTATATCCATCTTCATTATCACCGCCGCTTAAGAAACCTAGAAAGGATTCTGAAAAACAAGAACACATTCAACAAAAGCAGCAACAAGAACAGCAACAGCAGCAGCAGCAACAACACCAACTACGTCAACAACCAGAAGAATCTACATCAAGTTCATTTCTAGGTAATAGTTTTGCTAATTTAAGTTATACAAGAAGTCAACCACTTAAAGATCAAACACCGCCTATTGAAAATGAAGATCAGAAATTTTTTCGATTAGCTAAAGAAGCTTTAGTAGCAACTGCAAAAGGTGCAGCAGCAAATAAAAATAAAGATGGAGGAACAAATAATGGAGAATCTTCAGGAATAATTGATTCTACATTACAAGATTTATTAACTAGATTACAATATGCTAGTGCTCCTCATGGAAATCCATTAGCTCAATTGAGTAATTTACGTAGAAATTCAATTGGTATGGTTGATATACTTGATGGTTATGATAATTTTCCTGATTTTAATAATAATATTTTCAGAAATACACCTAATGAAGCTATTGTTGATTCAACAAGACATCATCCTTCAGGAAATGAACCTGGTTGGAATTTCCTACTTGGAGAAGAATCAATTGCTATTAAACAATCCAATGAGGATAATAATAGTGGGCATCAAGAAGAGCAACCCGAAGAAGATCAAAGAGAACGATCTATTGGGAAGCAAAGAAAAAAGAAACTATTTCATATAGAAGAACCAGAACATGATGATGATGATGATGGAGATTTTATAGAAGGGACATCTAAGAAACTACCGAATTCATCAGGACGTAAATATTCTCAAGATCCAACTAGGAAATTTCCTTGTGATAAATGTCCAATGTCATTTAGAAGATCATCAGATTTGAAAAGACACGAAAAACAACATTTGAGTATTCCACCAAATATATGTGAACATTGTGGTAAAGGATTTGCCAGAAAAGATGCCCTTAAAAGACATATTGGAACATTAACTTGTAAAAGAAATGCAGATAAGAAATTATATGTTGAAAATTTAAATTATCTTCAAAATAAATCAAATATATCTCAATATGAACAACAATCAGATGATGAAATGGGAGATGATGAAAATGAAAATGACGATGATGAAGATGAAGACGAGGATAGTATTAAACGACAGTTTCCAACTTATGGATATCAAAAAGATTGGTAACAAATATAGGTTATGTACACATTTAATAATAATAAAACAATATTAGTCACTTTTTTCTTCTTTTCTTTTTGCAGCCAGTAGCAACTTGTCATTTAAGGATAGAAAAGAAAGGTTGGTTATACGATATTTTAGCCATCACCAGGTTTAAAGTGTAACACGTGATGGCCACAATTATTTTGTTGTAGTTGTTGGATATTGGGTGCAAAAGAAATTGACACAAAATTTTAAGACGTACGGATGAATGGGAGACAGAGAAAAAAAAAATTTGGTGGAAACGGTTTTGGTTTATAGATTTCATGTGCAATTATAACTCAAAAATGAACCATGAACATATGAAGATTTAAATCAAATTGTTTAAATGAACTAAGCCCAATGTGTCATATTTTGTGTATAATATAGAAAAGCAACAATAAATGACAAGCTACCGTGGGATAATAATAATAATAAGAGATACAAGTCAAGAAACATTTAGAATAAAAGTCATAAAATACCATCACCAACAGATAACAGATAGCAAACAAACGAGGGAAATTTTAAAAGGTTATCAACCAATGATTTCACTTTACAAACAGCAGGAGATGGTTATATTTCTTAAAATAGTTCCACTTTTTTTTATGTTTCTTACGTACTCAACTGTAATTTCAACGGTTATAAAGTAATTAAGGGGGGCGGACAAAGCGATGCCGAATTAGGAAGAATGCGCTGTTCAAATTTTACAATGGCTGATCCTGCATGCAGTTCCCAATTTAAAAGTGAGTCAGGTGAAGGTACAAAAATTATCTAGTGATGGATGGATGATGGGATGAGTTATTTAATTAATTTCTCTCATAGAGTAACTTTGTTCTAACTCTGATTTAATCGTCTTGTGATCATTAAGAAATTAATGAAAGATGATGAGTTGAGTAGTGATATCATCATCGCCTCTACATTGTCCACACAGGATGAATGGGTAGAATGTATGTATGAGACAACTATGATGTAATAATTATTAACTATTATCCACCTCTGATATCCTCCTCGGGAGTAAGGGTTGATAGTATGAATTAGTATGATCTGAAATAGCAAATCAATGAGTAGAGTAATTTGTCTTAGGTCCAACTGTCAGGGGGCGATCAACGCGCGCACTGGTGTGTGCCCCCTCGCCCGTGTGGTAGTCCCACGAGCCGACTGAAGCTGTAGTGTTGTTGGGTCGACAGAACTTGTGATTGGTTGGATCTGCGGATGGTTAATCTCGTGGTGTGCAGTGCACCGAAAAAAAAAAAAAGAAATTCGTAAACCGAGGTTGATGTTGTAATTAAATGTGTGAGTGTGGTGCTTACATAAGCCAGTAATAGTAGTAGTAGTAACACTAGTTTACAGTTATCAGCTAAATACAAAAGAAAAATTTGGTGGAATTTCTTTTTTCGTAGTTAATTTCTGATGATGGTGATGGTGAAGGTGATAAGTGTATAAATTAACCAACATATTTCCCAACTTTTTTTTTTTATTCTATTATTTTGTTACAAGTTTTAGTTTTCAAATAATTACCTATTCATTTAAGTATCATTCACTACTACTACTACTACTACTACTACCATATCAATAGTTAGTTAGTTATTTATTTATTTAATCATTTGTTCCCATTCAACCGGTTTGATCTAAAATTTAGTTTAATTTTTTGAATTTTCCAACAACAACGAAATTCTCATCAACCTCATCAATCCTTGTTCCAACAAATTTCTTACTCCCCCCAAAAAAGTTTATTTCTTTTAGTTATCACAATTAATTCACAAGAAAGACACTTTTTTTCATATATTAATCAACAATAATACTTAGAAGAAGAATATCATTAATTAGACACTTCACCATGTGTACTTCAGCCAATAATAGATTAGATCAATTAACTCAGATCTTACATCCTCACAATATTTTAAACCCAACCAATGCTTCCCATCCAGAATCATCTTTAAAACCAGAACATCCGTTTAAAATCGCTGTCATTGGTTCTGGTAACTGGGGTACTACCATTTCTAAAATCATTTGTGAAAATGTAGCTGCTAGACCTCATTTATTCTCCCATTTTGTTAATATGTGGGTATTTGAAGAGAAAATCGATGGTACCAACTTGACTGAAATTATAAATACAAGACATGAAAATATTAAATATTTACCTGGTGTTAAATTACCTAAAAATTTAGTTGCTGTCCCAGATATTGTTAAAGCTGTTCATGGTGCCGATTTAATTGTATTTAATTTACCTCATCAATTCTTACCAAGAATCTTAAATCAATTAAAAGGTCACGTTCCAAAAACAACAAGAGCCATTTCTTGTTTGAAAGGTTTAGAAGTTACTCCTGATGGTTGTAAATTATTAGCTACCGTTATTTCCGAAGAATTGGGTATTCCTTGTGGTGCTTTATCCGGTGCTAATTTAGCTCCTGAAATTGCTAGAGGTAATTGGTCAGAAACTACTATTGCTTATAAAATCCCTGCTGATTATAGAGGTCCAGGTAAAGATATTGATAAATTAGTTTTAAAAGCTTTATTCCATAGACCTTACTTCCATGTTAATGTCATTGATGATGTTACTGGTGTCTCAATTGCTGGTGCTTTGAAAAACGTTGTTGCTTTAGCTGTTGGTTTTGTTGAAGGTTTAGGTTGGGGTGATAATGCAAAAGCTGCAGTTATGAGAGTTGGTTTATTGGAAACTATTAAATTCGCTCAAAGTTTCTTTGATGATTCTGAAATTGATACTTTTACTGGTGAATCTGCTGGTGTTGCCGATTTAATCACCACTTGTTCAGGTGGTAGAAATGTTAAAGTTGGTAGATATATGGCTGAAACTGGTTGTTCTGCTGAAGAAGCTGAAAAGAAATTATTAAATGGTCAAAGCTCTCAAGGTATTGTTACTACCAAAGAAGTTCATGAATTTTTATCAAATGTTAATAAATTGGAAGAATTCCCATTATTTGAAGCTGTTTATCAAATCACTTTTGGTTCTGAATCAATTGAAAACTTGCCTTTCTTATTGAACAACCCATAATTATTATTATCATCATCATCATCCACTACCTCATAATTTATCACCACCACCACCACCACCACTACTACCACTACTGCTACAATTTATTATAGAAGTCCTTTATTGAATAGAGTTTATTATTTGTTAATGATATTGTTTAGAAATTAACGAATATATTTTAAATAAAACAATGTACTATATATATATATTTACTATTACAACTAATGTTACTACACTACTTAAAGATACCTCCGTATAATATTGGTCTAATTTTTAACACGTTTATCACCATTATCTACTTGTTCTTCCTCATCATGTTTTCTCTTCTTGGATCTATATTTGTTCATAAATTTCTCCATATAATCATGAGTAAGTTGTTTAATTTTTTGAAGTCTTTTACTATCTAATTCAACAGGAGCAGGTGAAGTTGGATTTAATTTCATTTCTCCTCTTGTTACTGTAGCTACTAATTCTTTAGCACATCCTTTAATATTATCTTTACCAATTTCTGATTCATATTTTTTTAAATAATTAGGTATATGTTTAGCTAGAAGATATTTCCATTGTTTTTCAACTTTTTTAACATCCAATTGTTCATTTCCATTTCCATTCCCATGTTTATGTTTATGTTCTTTATGTTTATGCTCCTTTTGGTGATTATGAACAGAATGATGTGGTTTATTAGTTCGTTGTTTATCATTTGATTCAGGAACAGGTGTGCTATTTTGAGATTTATTCTGTTCAATAATTTCTCTAATATGACGTTGTCTTTCTTCAATTTCACGTAATTTTTGTTGTTTTTCTTGTTGTAATCTAAGTTCTTCTCTTCTTGCTAAATCAGTTTCATTATATTTATTGATTTTCCCATTTATCCCTGGTCCAATTGGTGGTTTTGGTCCTAATGGTAATGAACCTGGTGGTCTATCCCACAGTGATTGTTGAGTTACTTTATGATAATAATAATACTTCCCTGATCCAGCATCATATGCACTTGTCCAATTCATTGGTAACCCATAATTCATATCCCCAGGTCGTGGTCTCATTCCTTGTTGTGGACTAGTGGCATTAGGAATAACAGTGGTGGTAGTGGAAGTAGCAGTAGTAGCAGTGAGGGGTTCTGGAGAATTAGAAGTTCTTGCAATACCTGAAATATCAACAGTATTGATTTCCAGTTTTGGGATTCTATAAGCCATTTCTAAAACTGACCATTTTTTTAATAATTCATCAGCCAACTGTTTTATTTTTTCATTATTTGAACCAGATTGAATATCTTGAACAACTTCTTCAATTTGAGCTGATGATATTTTATTTTTACTTAATGCTGGCCATTTAAGAAGAATTTCAAATATTTTACAAATCAATTCATCTTTATCTTGTTGTAATATATCATCATTATTTTTAGATAAAATTTCTTGTAATAAATTTGACATTGTTTTATAACCATGAAATCTAACCAACAGTCCATTAATATCTGAATCATTAGTTTTATAAATTCTTTCAACTAATTTATCAATAATTAAAATCTCTTGACATTTCATTAATGCACTCATTATTTTACTAACATCAAATTCAGTCAATGGCAAAGCTTCAATACTTTGAACAAATTTTTCATTAATTTTACTTTCATCACTTTGTTGATCTTTACGAATTGATTTATTCTCTTTCAACCATTGTTTTTCTTGTTTTGGAGTAACACCTAAAGCATCAGCTAAAACTTCAGGTAATAATAAAGCAGCATCTGTTTGAGTTTTACCACCCATAAATTTAATACAATTTGGTTCACCACAATAACAAGGTTGAGATTGAGCTCCGTATCTATCAACATTATAATCAAATGTAATTTCTTCACCTTTTTCAATTCTTCTTTTTGCAAAAATCCCCATTCTTAATTTATCTCCAACTACCCATTTATCAACATATGCATTTGGATTACATGAATGGTTTGCAAATCTTGCTAAACATCCTTTTTTTGTAGCATCAATAAATGAATCATGATCCAACATCATAAAATAAAAATGTTTATAATTTTCTAAATCATATTCAATCATTCTTTTTCTAAAATCAGTTTCATTAATAACTTCACCAATATATTCATAAATAAATTGATTTTCATTAATAATTTCTTCACTTTTTAATCCATATCCTTTTAATTCTGTTTGAAATACTGATACTTTTGAATATAATTTTTTTTGAAATCTTTGATTTTCACAATCTTCTCCACATGAACAATGTTTATTAATACATTCAACTGATGTTATTCTATTAATACAATTTGAATCTTCTCCACATGCTAAATTCTTCCTTAATTCTCCATCCCATTCTTCTTGACAATCACAAGTCATAAATTCAGGTTTATGTTTATTAATTGTATTCTTCTTCATTGGTGCTCCAATATTTTTCGTATGATATATACAATCACCAATTTCAGTAAATGTACCTAATGCTTCTTGTGTTTTATCTTCAACATCATTAAATAATTGAATATTACGTTGTTTCATTGGTTTTATAGATGATGTTGATCTATTAGTGGATGTAATTGAACTTTCATTCTCATATTCTTGTCCTTCAACAACACTACTTGACAGTTTGGTATCTTCAGGTGTTAATGATGACATCTTTTTTTTTTACTATTATTAATCAAGTCAAGTCAAGTCAAGTCAATCAATGATAGTTTGATGATTCTTATTTTTGATTTTAATAGGTAATACTACTCGACAGTAATTGTTGTTGATGATGAATTGAAAAAAAAAAAAAAAAAAAAGAAAAAAAAAATTCTGACAAATTCTGACCATTTCTCAACACTGAGAATTTAAAATAAAAACGAAACTTGATTCAATTATTGTACATTAATAATATTAATAAAAAAAACAAAAAAAAAAAACTAATTAATAAAAGGTAAAATAAAATAACACTGCGGGAGGGGGTTAGAAATTGTGTTAATTGATTCAATGAGTATTGTCCTTTTGTTCATCTCCTTCTTGATAATTAGAAACTTTGTCTTTATGAGCTGTGGCAGTTTTAACTAATTGAACGAATGCATTTCCTGCTGCTGGATTACTCTTTTCCCCAACTCCAACTTCAGTTCCTCTATTTGAATGCGAAAGATCATATGGTGATTTGAATGATGACAATGAAGCTCTAGAACGATCGTTATCTAATGAATTCACTACATCATTGAATTTCTTCCAAGTATTTAATGGAGAAGATGAACGTACCGGATGTTCTTGTGGCACACTTAAACTTGAAGCTGCATCTTTTAATTCATGATGAGATCCATGATCATTAAACAAATTAATTTCTGAAGGATCATCATCTTCATCAGTTTGCCATTCTTTCAATTTCTTGATTCTATTATTCAATTTAACTAATTCAATAGCTTGTCTAAATTTCTGTTTAGCATCAAATCCTTGTTTCAAGTTTGGTAACAAATCGGTGTCTTTATATTCACGAGCAATAGAAACCAACCATGGATCATTTAAAAGTTCACTTGCTGTAGGACGATTGTCTGGATTATACTGTAATGCCTTGATAATGAATCTACGTGCATCTTTTGAAACATCTTTCCAATAATCAGCATGGAAAATAACTGCATTATTATGTTTAACTTCATTAATAAAATCTTGAACATTTTCTGATCTAAATGGAGAATATCCACATAATAATGTATAAGTAACAACACCTAATGACCAAATATCACAAGGTTTACCATGACCACTGCCCAAAATAACTTCTGGAGCAGCATATCCAAATGAACCAGCAGATGAAGTCAATTTTTCATTTGAATTTTGTAATCTTTTAGCAATACCAAAATCTGCTAAAACAACAGGTGAATCTTCTGCAGGAGTTAAATATAAAATATTTTCTGGTTTAATATCACGATGAACAATATCTTTATTATGTAAATATTCCAAAGCTTCCAACATTTGAATAACAACTAATGAAGCATCATGTTCTGTAAATTTCCCCTTTTGAACAATTCTATCAAATAATTCTCCACCAGTGGCTAATTGAGTGACTAAATAAAATTTATCTTTACTCTCAAACCAATCTCTAAATCCAACAATATGAGGATTATCCAATTGTTCCAATAATTGCATTTCATCAATAATCATTGATTCATTACCTTTCAATGCTTTTTTAAGTATGATCTTCACCGCCACTTCTTCATTAGTAACGTTATCCCTAGCGTATCTTACAATACCGAATGACCCAGCACCCAAGGTTTTACCAAAGGTGTAATTTTGTTTGCGGGCATAAGATTCTGGTTGTCCACTTAATTTGTTGAATATTTTCTTCAATTGATGGCCTGATTCAGGATGTGGTTGTTCTAATGACATGTTTCTTGATCAGAAAGTAACAATGATTATGAAAAGTAGTAGAAAGAGTTGTTGTTGTTGTTGGAGGTTGTCTGTTGGTTGTAATTTATCTTTTTGTTTGATTTTGGAGGCAGCAATTTTTTTTTTGTATAAATGAGAACAAAGAGGAAAAACAAAAAAAAAGGGCAAACTTTTGTTTTAGTGAGACAATACACTCAAGTTTTGATTATGTAATCAACTATCGACAATTAACGAGGCACATGTCAACAACCACAACAACAACGACAATGACAACGACAAAAAATCAAGTGACGCGGCAGTACAAAGCAATTGGGTCATTATACTGCTGGAACTAAAATTAAAAAAAAAAAAAAATCATAAACCAAAAGTAAACTCTTGACTCGGCATAATAATCAACATAACTCCTACTTCTCCCCCGATAGTTTTAGTTTGGATCTTCTTTCCTCGAAAGCTTTATCTTCTTGTTGATATTATTAATTTTTATCTAAAATCTGTTCTGAAATTCTTAACGCTACCATCTGTGATTCCATTTCATGACATTGCTTCGGTTTATAAATTTTTTTTTTTTTTTGGGGGGGGGGGGGGGGCAGGGTTTCTGAAGGTCCTGAAACCCGGGACCATTCCGAAAATTATTACCGGTCATTAAAATTTCTATACGCTATTTACCAAAACCCTCCAGAAAACTTGGAAGTGGCATCTCAAAAGTTCTCTTAAAGCCATAGTAGCATAAGAACTTACCCCTAATTGCATTTTCAAAACAACTGCAAATTTATCACCACCTTCTTCATTTGGAATTAATCTTGGTGCATCTTCATTTGTTTCTTGTTTGATTTGCAACAATTCTAAATCAGTTCTAATCAATGGTTTTTCATCATCGGAGTATTTGACAATTTCATAAGACAAATTATTTGCTTGAGCCATTAATTTTCTATAAGTACCAGTTAATGAAAATTCTTTAATATTTCTGGCCATACTAAATGGATCTAAATCATCTTTAGCCATGGTTTCAACATAAACATTCTTCAAAGTTTCATTACCGGGATATTTGATCTTATACCCTGGACTTGGTAAAATAACATCAAAAATAGTATATTTCCCTGATTCGATATCCTCTTTAGTTAATGATTTAACTTTTGCTTCATTCAAATATGCAACATCTTCATCCAAGACTTGTTGAGAATCTTCAAACACTAAATCTCCTTCAACTAAATCTAAACCATAAAGTTCTATTCTCTTTGAAGCCACACGATTCCAAACATAAGCTTGATATGCATGTCCATACATCATACGAAGGTTTCTTGGAATGGATTGAATACATTTGAGATATACGTTTTTAGTATATTTTTTATCTTCATTTTGAGTTTCATTTTTCAAAGTTTTCAAAATGGCTGTTTCGGCAACAAAATAATGAGGTAAAGCTTGCAAAGCTTGGTCAGCATTTCTGGTTTCTTTCCAGATTTTTCTAGCATCAATAGAGGCCGGTGCAACTGATTCTTGTTCAGATAATAACAATTCAACAAATTCTTCCCATTTTTGACTCAATACTAATCTTCCATATTCATGGGTAGAAACACTAAATGATCCAAATCTTTGCATACCAAAATAATTGATAAATCCATTATTTTTTAAACTTTCAAAACATGAACTGACAGTACTCTCAAGATCTTCACTTCCATCAATAGTTTTTGCATCTCTTATAACAATAGTAAACTCATTTCCGTTTGAGTCTCCTAATTTTAATGGATAATCTTCATAACTAAAAGATCCAAGAGTGAATCCATACTTTCTCAGCTTATTCAATGCATTGACTCTTAATACTTTACCGTTATGGATACTAAATTTTTGACAGGTTGCACCACGACGATCTTTAGTACCGGCATAAGTGATGAACTTGTTATTAATTCTCAATAATTTAGCCATGTTATTGGCAACTTCCATAGTATCACGGTTCTGCTTATATACGGTGAAATGCAAGTATGGTTTATAAGGACCTAATCCATAATTCAAAACCCCATGTTCATCAACATGATGCATACTATCTTGTTGTCTTTGTGGTTTACGATTCGAACGTTTAGTTCCAATAGCAATTCTGAATGTATTTTCAGGAGAAGTAACAGTTTCTAATTTCCCTTCAAATGCTTTTCTTATCAATTGGTGTAAATCAGTACGTTGTTGTTTATCATCAAATTTGGTTTCTGTTTCCATATTTCCTCCACTTTTAAACAAATCTTCAATTTGAGATAATTCTTTTGGAGTTACAAATTTTAATAACTCTTCACGATCTTCATCAGCCAAATCAAACTTCTTTGATTCTTCATTCGCTTCTTGTTCTTCTTCTGCTGTTTTCTTTTCTTCTTGTTCTTGTCTTTCCTTTTCTTTTCTTTCTTCCTTTTCTTGTAATTTTTTAGCTTTTATTTCTGCAATTTCTTCTTCAGTTTTTCCTGCAATTTCTTCTCTAAATTTAGCTCTTTCTTGTAATTTTAATTCTTTCTTAGTAGGTCCAACATCAATCCCCATATCAGTTAAATGAACAACATTTCCATTTGCTTCAATTTCATTAACTTGAAAATCAGTATGTAAAGTTTTCAAAGATCCTGAAAATCCAACTACATTAGGATTAATAAATTGGGTGATTCCTGCTTTTTCTTCACTTATTCCAATAGAAATAAGTTTTGGCTTCTTGGAAACTTGTAAAAGTTCTTGTGATGGTGATCTTTTAAGTGTATCTGACATTATTCTGAAAATCTTTCCTATCCAATGTCTATTCATGTACAACTGAAAAGATAAATAGCTGTTTGTAGTTTTTTTTTTTTCACTATTGATTTTTTTTGGGAATCTTCGATGAGGAAGAGAAATGGCTGCGAGTTTGGATTTTCATAAAAATTATGTATGGTCTGTACATCATTGTCTATCAAGTATGAGATCTGAATGGTGAACATACTCCAGAAATAAAATTTAAATAGATGAAAATTGGATTAATTTCTTAGATAAACCTGTACAGTAACTACCGGAGTTTTATGAAAAGAAGCTAGATGATACAGATTCTAATATCAAAAAAATAAAAAAAAATCAACTTCGAATGTTGCAGCAAAAGATAACAAAGTATAACAATTTTTCGATCCAAAGCATATAAACCCGTTGGAATCTCCAAATTTTTACCATGCTATTGAAAAACAGACATATTTATTCATTTTAATCTAAGTATAAACCATGCTAAAATCAATCATGCATTCTGATTCATATTTACTTGAAAGTTCTCCAGCCCAAATGGCATCAAATTCAACCACCACCGCAACTAACAATTCTAGTCTTAGAAAATCAAATACGTCAACTAATCATCACCACCACCACCACCACCACCATCATCAACATCAACAATATCAACAGCAACAACAGCAAACACAACATCAGCAACATCATGGTAGTTCTATCAGAGCACCTAGTTTTACATTTTCAAGAATGGTATCAGATGATGGACAAACATATACTTCACATAATCCTAAATTTTCAACTATCCATGGAACAACAACAACTACAACCACCACTACTACAACATCTTCATCAAGTCGTAGAAATAACTTTTTAAAAGTTTGTTCTTGGCCATTTACAAGAATAGAAAGTTTTCAAGATCAAACTAAATCAGATGAATTTGAATTTCGTGATGATCAATCAACTCTTGGGAATGATGAAAAAAATCTAACTATTACTAATTATAATATCAAAAAAAGAAATAATAATGGAGGTGGTGGTGGTGGTGGCGGTAGTGGTGGACCATTAACTGGGATAAATCCAAGTCTTGAAAATATTAATCATGTAGCCAATGATAAATTACATAAAGTGTTTAATAGGGTTAGAAAACCTATTAATGAACAAACAAGTAAAAGAAGGTGTGTTGTTTTATCAAATATCAATGAATCCATGGGATTAAATAGCATTTTACAACAAGTTTGTGGAGGTCCTTTAGAAAAATTGGTTGTTTTACCAAATGGTAAAATTGAATTGTATTTTATTTTCCCAGAACATGCTAAACAATTTTATACTTATGGGAAAGCTACTGGATTATTGATGGTTAATGGGATAAAACTTAGAGTTGAATGGTTGAATGATGAGAATAATTTAATTAATTTTAATTTACCAAAATCTTTAATGACTGATATTTTACAAAATGGATGTAGAAGATGTTTAATAATCTCAAGAAATATTCCAGGTAAAAGAATAAGAAATGGTGATAAGATGTTTTATCCAGAACCTGACATACATTATTCTGGAAATTTAAATCTTGATGAGATTAGAACTGATTTTGTTAAATTTGGTAAGATCATTGATATTGGATCGGTAATTAGTAGAAAATTATGTTTTAGTATTTTCTATTATGATATTCGTTGTGCTATTTTAGCTAAACAAGAATTGGACCAAGTTGGTACTGAATTAAGTAAGAAATACAAAGATTGGTCTGTTTGGTACGGCAAAGATATTACTGATCGTGCCTGTTTTGTTTTATAGTTATTATTAGCTAGTGTTAATACACTTCTATGATTCAGATTAACAGTTGTGCTCTCCTCGGTCGATGTGGTACGGCCATTGGTGCAAAATCCTTGACCGCTTCTCTTCTGTTGTGCCCTTTTTCGCAACCGTACACACAAACCTAATTTCCTTTGTGGACAAGTGTCCCGATTCGGACGGAATGTAAACACGTCTAATTTTCACGAAGAATGCCAATTTTTTTTTTCCTCTTTTCCAATTACAGGACCACAACCAAAGAATCCCAAAAAAAAAGAGATTAAAAAACTCTTGAAGTTTCTTGTGGAAAGACGAAAGTAAGATATTTTCCGATATCAACTAGATACCCTATTGAATAATTAATTGTTTTCAGTTTATTTAATTTCATTTCAATCCGATCTAGTTATTTTCTTCATTGCTAATATTATACAGAAATGTCTCATAAAACACCTACAAGTGCAAGATCTTGTAATGCTAATACTACTATGAATTCAACACCTTCGAGAAACTCGTTTAGACCACCTTCAAGAATATCAATGGTTCCTAAATCTTCGTCTCCGATTCAACCACCAAGATCAAGACCTGGATCGGCAATGTCAATTAGTCGACCATGTACACCTTCTTTTAAACAACAAGAACCTTACACAGGATCAATTTCTGTTTCAATACGACCAAATCCAAATACAATCGATAATAGAAATTGGATCATTGATGAATTTGATAATTCAATTACTAATGCAGAAGATGGAGCAAGATTTGTATTTGATAACGTGTTTCCTATGGATTTTCAACTAAGTAATTTCCAAGTTTACAATAAATCTTGTTTAAGTATAGTGAATAAGTTCCTTCAAGAAGGTTATAATGGAACCATATTTGCATATGGTATGACAGGTTCAGGTAAAACATTTTCTATGAAAGGTAGTGATGCCGATCCAGGTTTTGTTGAATTGGCCATTAATGATATTTTCAATAAAATTAATGATAGTACGACAGCAAAAAAATATTCCATTGAAGTTTCATATCTTGAAATTTATAATGAAAAAATCATTGATCTATTATCTACAACTAATAGTAATCAAGATTTAAAGATTAGAGATGATTCCGATTATGGAACTAAAGTTATTGGATTGACTAGTGCATCAATAACATCAAAGCAACAATTATTACAATTGATTAAACGTGGTGATACTAATCGTAAAACAAGTGCAACAGATTTCAATGCTAGATCTTCCAGATCTCATTCCATCTTACAAATCAAATTAAAAGTTATTGATATATTGACAGAAACTGAATTAAAATCAACTTTATCATTGTGTGATTTGGCTGGTCTGGAAAGAGCAGCTACAAGTTTGGAAAGAAGAAAAGAAGGTTCTTATATTAATAAATCTTTGTTGGCCTTATCAAATGTTATTAATAAGTTATCTAGCTCCACATTGGAACATATTCCATACAGAGATTCTAAATTAACAAGATTATTACAACCCGCATTAAGTGGGTCTTCTTTGGTCCTGATTCTTTGTACTATTCACATGGGTGGTAATCAACAAAGTGTACAACAATGTGTGGCTGAAACGTATAAAACTTTAAGATTTGCAGCTCGAGCTAAAGATATTGTCATCAATGTTGAACGTAATACAGGACGACGTATGGATGGAGATTCGGCAAAAATGATTCAAGAGTTGAATAGTATAATTGAACAACAAAAACAAGAAATTATGAAACTACAAAGAAACAACAGTCCAAATTCCATGTTTGCTCCATCTGCGGGTATTGAAGGCACCAGGGTTGTTGAATTAGAAGCAGAAAACAGAGTATTGCGTGAAAAATTGGATCATTTTTCCCGATTGACTGATTTGCAGAAAACAGAAACTGTTATTGTTAAAAATGATATACTTAATGATATTATAACTTCTGGGACAGATAATCTGCAAATGTTGATGACTAACATTGAAGATTTCTACAAGAGAATGACATTTGAGACCAATGAATATAAAGCCTATATTGCACATTTAGAAAACCAATTGAAATTGGAGAGTATGAACAGTGCCACCACTGCAACTACAGCAACTATTCCAACTAATGATTCATCTGAATTGTATGATGTGTTGAAAGATCAAGAGGAAGAAATAGTAATGTTGAAAGAACAACTCAAGGATAAAGACCAAATAATTAAAAGTTTGTCGAAAACAACCAGATTACGCCGTTTGGTGGATAATAATGCGAGCCTTGCTGGTAATGCCAGTAATACCAGTGCATCAGACAATGATTTCAAGAGATCCAATACCATTACATCAAGTTTACTTCATTTAGATAAAGAGAATTATGCACCTGATTTGAAAGAATTCAAATTAAGTTCCAGAACAACACAATCAGATTATGATTTGTTACTGGGGTTATAATTTTATATAGCGATCATCTTTATCTTACTACTACTAATAATAATAATATATATCCTCTAATTTGTTTGTCACGTGAACCCTCCATGTTTGATGAATATAGGACAATAATATAATCTGTCATTTTAGATTTTGTGTATTGTATTATATTATCTTTCTGTTATCAGCAAATAAATTGTCACCTTGTACACGACCTTCTCTTACGCTCGCTTTGTCTTTGTTTAATTATCTATTCGGCTGAAATCAGTTTCTGTTTAGCATGTAATATATGCACAAGTACTTACAGAAACTGAATGGCTAGCATTTTTTTTTCTTTTTCTTCTTCTTCTTCTTCGTCTTCCTTGCTCTCTTATTAATAATAACATCAGGGTTTTTTTTTTTTTTTTGATCCCTCTTTTTTTTTTCATAATTATTAACTTCACATCCGACCAATCCTTTATTCGAACACACAACCATAAAACAAACCATGTTTAAGAAGTTAAGGTCCAATTCAACGTCTCATTCAAAGACTACAACAGATAATAATCGTGCTGCAATTTCACGAAGATACAGTTCCCCAAATCCCGTAAATTTTGAAATCCTTCATGTGGGAAACCGTAGGGTTAGAACAAATAATAACACCAATGGCACCAATGATGATGATGATGATGATGATGATATGTCACCATTGGCTACTACACAGTCAAACAAATCAGCTACTTTATCAGAAGCTGAAACTTTATACATCGATAGACAACAACGATTGGAATTACAAGAAAGTTATATCGACAATTTCACAATGTACTTGCCATTTGTGATCCGACAAATGCGACTTCTTGAATCAAGAAGGTATTATGATACTGAACATCCGCTGCATAATAGTAATAATAATAGTGAAAGTAGTAGTACTAGTAATGGTAACCATAATGAATCAGAACCAAGTCATATTATTGTCCCCATAGATGACAGTTTTGATGATACTTCTACTATATTTGAAGAAACACATATCCCCATGGAAGCTTATGCTGCTACTCATTTTAAGATTCTAGATAAAAGTTTAACTGATTTCACAATCAAACGGCTGTTTATAATGGTAAATGGCATGTTGAAACATAACATGTATATATTCTCAAGTGAAGAATCATTTGAATTATTCAAATCGCTACGACTGAATATCAAGAGGGAAAGAAAAAATCTGATTGTGGTCTATGACCAGCATGGATCTATTAAAAGAACATCATCAGCAACTAAAAGAGAAGATTTAAACTATGATGATGATATTATTATTGATGACCGTCCACATATTGTTCCATTGGATCTGAAATTGAAAGGATTGGGGTTACCATTATTCAAAGTTATGATTCCATATTTGTCTTCATTCAGAAAGAATACTCCATTGATTATATTCAAGAAATATAAAGAAGTTCCATCTGCTCCTGATCCAAATATACAAGATGAAATGGAATTTGAAACATTCAATTTTTGTTTAGTTTATTCCAAGTACTTCCAGCCTTACCGAAGATTCATCTTTGAATTTCATCCCCCAAATAAACCAAGTTTTAAAATTGTCATGTTTCAAAGTAACTTCCGTCCATTTGCTGATTTCAGTTACAAAAATACAAGATTTAGAGTTGTTGGGCCGTCAATTATTCTGGGTGTCGTGCAACATTATAATCCCCACATGAGATTATTAGTCATCGACGAGGATATGCCATCTTTAGTTGATGATATAGTTAACAAAAAGAGTAGTTCTGGATTTATGAAGAGAAAATCCAATGTTCCATGTGTTCCATTTGATATGAACGATCCAGATACTTATCTAAACCCAATTCCAAATAATTCTTTTGCCAATGTAATTAGTTCTTCTCAGTTACCGCAGCCCCTGTTCATTAGTAATGATCTTCCACCGTTTGGGTCATTTAAAGATTCTATATTATATCAAAATTCACAATTACTTCCAAAGAAGTACAATGAAGTTGGTAAGATTCAAATATATCAAGACAAGAATAGTGCACAAGGGAGAAATTTGGACAGTACTTTATCTGTGGACATTGATTCGTTGGTACTTCTTTGTATTATGAGTACATTACGTGAAGTTTCTATCAGAAATTCAGGAAGAACTAATGCACCAGGATCAATTGGATTTCCAGGTGCTTTAGGGCGTCAATCTTATGCATTTGATCCTCCAAGTCCAGGCGTTTTTGGTCTTTAACAAGGATTAAATAATTATTGGTTGCAAACTTTGATTTAAAGTTTTCTTGTTCATTTCTTTGTTTTTGTTTTTTGTTTTTTTATTTTTATTTCATTTTAAGGCTATAGAATTCTACATAAAGCTATTTACTGTTGTTACAATGTATTAGTATATTTTGTTTTTGATTTTTATTTTATTGTTGTGAACGGATCTGTAGACTTCTTAAAAGTGTTCTGGAGATCTGGATCTTTCTCTTCTTGGAGGTGATCTTGAAGGAGATCTACTGTATCTTCTTTCTTCGCGTCTACCTGCTTCTTCTTCGTGGTTTCTTCTACCTTCATCTTCGAATCCTCTTCTACCTTCATCTTCATAACCTCTTCTACCTTCTTCACGGTCATAGCCTCTTCTGCCATCATCACGTCTGTAATCGCCGTATCCACCACCACCACCATCTCTTCTTCTGTCATCTCTGTAACCACCTCTTCTATCATCTCTGTAGCCACCTCTTCTGTCATCTCTGTAACCACCGTAGCCACCATAACCGCCTCTTCTACCGCCGTCTCTATAACCACCGTCTCTGTAGCCACCATCTCTGTAACCGCCATCTCTGTAGCCACCATATCTACCTCCTCTGCCACCATCTCTATAACCACCATCACGGTATCCATAACCTCTGCCACCATCACGGTAACCGTAACCTCTACTACCACCTTGATATTGTTGTCTGACACGGTATGGATCTGATCTGGCAACTTGAACGACTAAACCATCCTTAATTGAATAAGGAAAAGTCTTTCCGTCCATTTCCAAGGCACGTTCACAACTTTCAGCATCTTTATATTCAACAAAAGCGTATTTTTCGCCATCATCAGATCTTGGAGGAGGAATGTCTAATCTGACTAATTCACCGTATCTTGATAGGAAATTGTGTTAGTTGAGGGAAATGAACTATTAATGGATTTGAAAACTAAGTTGAAATTGTTGTTGATTGTCTTGAAGGATAATTTAGGGGGAAATAATATTAGAATTACATGAAAATAAAAGGAAGAATTGAAAAGAAAGAAAGAAAGAAATATGGAAATTGAATTGCTGGATATAGGAAAAGGATAATGAAATGTAATGAAATAAAGGAGAAATAGAAATAAACAAATGAAATAAATCCTAGATTTAGGAATGGAAGGAAAATAAGGGATATGAAAATGGAATGTTCATGAAACTGTTGAAAATGCTGACATGATGCATAGACTAGGAACAAGGAGGACAATGAAAATGAGTTGAATGGAAATAATAAGAAAGGACAAAATAATAATAATAATAACTCAGGATGTATTCTGAATGGGATATGGATTATATACCCTAGAACCGTTTGTTAATTAGAGATATTATTTTGGTAATAGAGTTTAGTTTTCCCCAACCATAAAACATAAAACAATGAACATCAAAAACTTCAATAATTAGTGGGATACATACTTTTCAAAATCTGGAGCTAAATCAGCAGCTTTTGATTCTCTGCTAAATCCTGTAACATATAATGTATTCTTTGGCATTGTTGGATCGGATGTTTGCTAACAAAGAGGTTTTGCCCTTTAAGTCGTTGTTCTCTAATTTTTTTTTTTTCTTTCGTTCTTTTTCTGTCCAGTCAATCAGTCAGTCAGAGAAAAAAGCACAAGTGGTCTCGTTTACACGACCATATTTCATTTTAGGCAGTACATCATGAGCCGCGTATAGCCACACGATTTATTTTTTTTGTTTGTTTGTTTCTTTTCCTGAGAATGAAAAAGTAAAGAAAATTTTTTTGGGTTTTTTTTTTTGATTTTATTTTTCGTTATCATCGTCGTTTAAAGTATACGGATTAAAAAACAATAAAATCTACTACATCAAACCCTTTCCATTTGACAACAGTAAAGTTAGTTTAAGTTATTAAAAGCAAATTATAACTATCCTCCCCCCTGTTTACCATTCGTTAGATAAATTTTCCAATTTTTTTTCGTGGTTCCTTTTAATTTTATTATATTTTTTTTTTTTTTTGTTATTCATTCTACAAACCATTTTATCTTATATCCATAATTATCATCATGAGCCAAAAGGTAAAACAACATCAATCAAGTGTGAAACCATACAAACAATCCTTATATGATTTATACTACTTTCATTTCCCATTTACCATGCTCACGCCAACAGAAACATTTTTACTTCATGGGTTTCTTTTCGGTCTTATGTCATTAGCTGTGTATGGTATTTACGCGTATTTACCATCAAGTATCATGTTTACACTTTCACGAGCTTACTATTACTTATTTGGTGCTGATTTAGGTACAGTGAGTGGCTATTCTGATTACGGTTTATAAGGCGTGAGTAAACTTTTGCATAATGCCCCCCCCATTCTGGGGTGAGAAAACAGTTGATTAAATGAGAAAAGTGGTTGAGGTGTGTTATTGGTGATAATTCGTATTTTGTATCAATTCGCTTGTGTTTGATTTTATAGTTATGAGTTAGTTACAGAGTACTTCAAGGTTACTATTGGGTGTTAATTCTATTTTACGTAATATATGATTTATTAAATTCTCAGGGATGATTTCACTACCAGTTACGGTTATGAAATTCATTGAACACGTTAAAACACATTGCGGTATGAACTGGATCTGGCCAGACGAAAAATTAAAAAAAAAAAAAAATCAGACCAACTAACCAACCAACCAAAACAAACATCAACCGACGCGTCTTTTCTAGTGATTATGAATAATCGACCTAATGCACCATTTAAAGCGCCGAGGTTGATGAAAAATACTGGCCAATCAGTAGTCAGACCAGTATTATCAGTGAATAAACCAACTATTAAAAGATCATATTCTCGACCAACTGTTGGATCAAATGCTGCAACCACAAATCCTCCTATAAAGAAATCCAGACCATCAACACCCAATGGATCCAATATAGAAAAATATATCATTCAATGGAGAAAGAAAACTACAAAAAAGAATAAAACTTGGGATGGAGATGGCCATGCTACTATTCATCACCTTGAAAATGGTGGATGTGAGATATTTGCAAAGAACTCAGACAATAAATCCCTAGGAAAAAGATCATTCAATGTTCTGCCAAATTTCGAAGAAGTGATAAGTTTAGGAACTTTTGAAATTGAATTAGATGAAAAAGTATCTGGGTCTCAAGAATCACAGGAAGAAGCGCCTCGAAAGCCAGTTTTAAAACGCGTGTCTCCAGTACCGACTACTACTGAGAATGCAACCAATCAGTTCAAAAAAGTTGCACCTCCTACTTATGTTGAAAGACCTACTTCCAGAAAAGCAATGTATGATGATAATCCTAGTGCAATTTCATTACCACCACCTCCTGGTACGTCAAATTTTGTCAAGGTAAATATAGACCCACTTTTGGCAACAAAATTGCGACACCATCAAATTGAAGGAGTGACGTTTATGTATGAATGTCTTATGGGATATCGTGATTTCCAGGGACATGGATGCTTGTTAGCTGATGAAATGGGGTTAGGGAAAACTCTAATGACAATTACTACTATTTGGACTTTACTTAAACAAAACCCATTTCCTGAACAGAAGAAACCTGTTATCAATAAAGTTTTAGTTGTATGTCCTGCAACTCTTATTTCAAACTGGAGACAAGAGTTCAAGAAATGGTTAGGTGCAAACAAACTAAATGTCCTCACATTAAACAATGCCATGTCAGATGAAAAGAGAGACATTTTAAATTTCGGAAAATTGAATGTGTATCAGGTTTTGGTTGTCAATTATGAAAAAATAACTATTCATTATGAGGAATTATCCACTATAAAGTTTGATTTGTTGGTTTGTGATGAAGGTCATCGGTTGAAGAATAGTGCCAATAAAGTCTTAAACCATTTAATTAAATTGAATATCCCAAAAAAGATTGTGTTAACTGGTACTCCTATTCAAAATGAATTGATTGAGTTTCATACCTTGATATCATTTCTTAACCCGGGAGTTCTCCCTGAATTAAAGACTTTTCAAAGGAATTACGTGAATCCGATATCTCGAGCTCGAGATGTAAATTGTTTTGATCCAGAAGTGAAACGAAGAGGGGAAGAAATCTCACAACAGTTGATTGGATTAACCCTGCAGTTTATATTACGAAGAACGCAATCTATATTGTCAAAATATTTAACTACCAAAACTGATATCCTATTATTTGTTCCTCCCAGTGATTTGCAAGTCAAGTTATTCAAATATATCACTAATTTGAAGAAGTTCAATCAGATCAATAGTGGTTCAGATTCATTTACTTTAATTAATTTGTTCAAGAAAATTTGCAACTCGCCTTCTTTGTTGATAGATGACGCATTTTTCAAAAGGATTGTTGAAGAAAAGTTTCATCTAACTTTATCATCCGGCAAAATTAACGTTTTGATACCTTTATTATTAGAAATTGTTGCACAAAAGGAAAAAATTGTTTTAATTTCAAATTATACCCAAACTTTGGATCTTTTGGAGAAGGTGTTGTCAAAGATCAATTTAACATTTTCTAGATTGGATGGCTCTACTGCTACAAATATCAGAAGTAAAATCGTGAAGCAGTTCAACAGCAACCCAAATATTCATGTATTTTTATTGTCATCAAAATCAGGTGGTATGGGAATAAATCTAGTAGGTGCATCAAGATTGATTTTATTTGACAACGATTGGAATCCAGCAACTGACTTACAATCCATGTCAAGAATCCATAGAGATGGTCAAACGAAACCTTGTTTTATTTATAGAATTTTCACCACCGGATGTATTGATGAAAAAATATTCCAACGTCAATTAGTTAAAAACAGGTTAAGTTCAAAATTTTTAGATAATGATTCATCAAGTAAATCGGATATATTTGATGAAAGTGATCTAAAAAATATATTTGAGGTTGATACAAACACTATTTCAAATACACATGATTTATTAGAATGTTCATGTGATGGTGATGGATCAACACTAAATGAACAATTATCCCAATCTCAAGAAAAATCAGGTAATGAACAAGAGGAACCACCATTTGCTACTCAGTCTTGGGTGTCTGCATTGGAGCTTCAAAAGAAAATGGTTGATAATGGTGATATCTTGAAGAAATCAGCAGTTAAATCGGCATTAAGTGATTATCAACATTATAATCCTAATGTAAACAAAAACTTGACTTTTGATACCGTTCTAGATCGTCTTGCTAATAATCCTAGTTTTCGTGATAAAAAATTACCCATTACTTTTATTATGCTGAGAATAAGTAATCAAGATCAACCAAATACAGAATAATCTATTGTTTTTGCATCATTTTCATTCTTGCTTCTGCTGCTCTAGCTCTTTGTTCTCTCATCAATCTCATTTTTTGTTGTTCACTTAATCCACTCAAATCATCAACTTTATGATTTGCTAAAACTCCAGTAGATGAGAATTTAGGTTTTTTCAATTCTAATTTAGTTTTTTTAGCTAATTCATCTTGAATTAATTTCTGTTTTTGTAATTTAATTTGTTCATTTTTAGATTTTTCAGCTTCATCAATTTCTTTTTTAGATTTTGGTTTACCTACTTTTGCAAGATCCCAATCACAATAATCTTCACCTAATTTGTGACGAACTATCTGGAAAACTTTTCTAGATTCAGCATCTGAGATTTCAGCAGGAGTTCTATTGACACTGTTAAGAACTAATGGAGATGCTTTAAGGTTGACCAATAATACTTGAACCATATGACCAAGACCATTTGCTGCTGCATAATGTAACAATGTAGGGGTATGAGCATTGTCCAATTTAAAAGTATCAACGTTGATCTTATTCTGTTTGATAAAGCTTATTAACTTTGGTGCCTTTTGTCGTTTTAATAAACCAATTAATTCGTTACTTACTTGTTCATGTTTGATTTCTTCTGGAGATTTAACAATTTTTGGAGTAGCTGATCTTTCTGGAGTAAATTCTTTTTGTTTCTTCTTAATTACTTTTGGCATATCAACAACATGTAGATGCATTAATTCGACCCAAGCACGTTTCAATTCATGAGTAGTTGCACGCTTAGTAGTAAATGGGAAACTTCTTAATCTTTCATCTTTATTTTCAATAACTGCTCCTTCATAACCAACTAAAATTTTTCTATTTGATGCACCATTCGCACGAATATAAATTGAAGTACATTCATCAAGATGATGTTTCCATTCTTGTAATAATTCTCTAACTTCTTGTATCAAAGCTTGTTCATTATATCTTCTAATACTTGACCCAGCTGAATTTGCTTTACCTCGAGCATTATCACTGGCACTTTGTGATCCACCTTGTTTTCTTCTAGTTGTATATCTATGGAATGTTTTTGATACGACAACATCAACGGCTTGTTCTTGAAGAGATTCTTTGGAACTAGGTGCATTTCCTCTGGTGTTCTTCTTCATATGAGATACAATAGCTCCTGCAAAATGACCACCTCCAATCATAAATAATGCTGATTTACCAGTTTTTGGGAAACTTTCAAGTGATTTAATAGGATCATTTAATTGAGTTGGTGAAAATACAGCCTTATATACACCAATTGCTTTATCTGATGGTACTAATGGTGATTTGAATAATATGAATGGTGATTTTGTATTAAGATAACTCACAGTTGATTCTTCTTCTTCTTCTTCTCCGTTAGCATTGGTATTAATGTCTAATTTTTGCATCAAACTTTGAAGTTTATCTTCTTCCTTATCACTCTCATCTTCATCTTCATCGTCGTCTGATCCTGATAAACTTTCAATGGATTCTTCTTCGAGTAATTTGTCAAATTCTTCTTCAGAAACAGGAGGCAAATCTCTAAGTTGTCTTTTTAAATTGTATCTGTATAAATCAGATTTATAGTAATCTATATCATGAACATTGGAGGTCGATGTCTTCTTAGAACTTTCTGTTGTAATTGAATCGTCTACTTCGATGGTTTCTAGGGTTTTAGAATCAAAGTATAATAATTCAAATTCCTTGGTTACTTTCTCTTGAAGGTTGTATACGTATAAGTCGTCTTGATTCATGATCCGCTGTTGGTCAAAATGAACAAGTAAATTCAATGAAAAAAAAAAATAAAAAGATGGCGAAAATATGCGAGAGTATTTCATCTTTATACGCGGAACAATCTATGTGTCATAGTTTTTGTTTATTATTGTTTATATTTACCAGATTCTAGATCTCTATAATGACTCACCTACTTTATGACATTGTTGTAAGAAATATTCAATCTTCTTTGGGTCCATGAATGGATGAGTACCATGTCCGAAGTTAATAATATAGTTTTGTTTACCAAATCCTTTCAACATTTTTTCAACTTTTTTAGCAATAGCTTCATCTGAACCATACATAACACCAGGATCCAAGTTACCTTGTAAAGTAATTCTTCTACCATTGACAACTTTAACGGCGTCTTCAGGTTTGTATAACCAATCAAGAGAAACACAGTCATATCCAGAGTCACACAAATCATCTAAAGCGTACCAAGCACCTTTGGCAAAAACAGTCATTGGGATTTTTTCTTCAATACCCAATTCTTTCAATCTAGGTGGTAATTTAGCAGAAATTTGTCTTAAATAAGGTAATGCAAATTCATTAAATTCATCAGGACCTAATTCGCCAGCCCAGGATTCGAAAATTTGGACCATTTGAGCACCAGCAACAACTTGTTGAGCTAAAAATTCAACACATGCATCAGAAGTAGCTTGTAAAAGTTTATGAGCAGCTTCAGGATATTTGAAAATCCATTCTTTAGCAAATCTAAACATTTTTGAACCTTGTCCTTCAGTCATATAAACCAATAAAGTCCATGGAGCACCAACAAATCCTAAAAGTGGAACTCTACCATTTAATTTTGTTCTAGTTAAAGTAATTGCTTTATAAGCCCATGCTAATTTAGTTTTAACGTCTGGGTTTAAATCGATTCTATCTAAATCTTCTGGTTTTCTTAATGGATCGGAGAAAACTGGTCCTTTACCATCTACCATTTTTATATCAAAACCCATTGCTTGTGGGATGACTAAGATATCACTGAAAATAATAGCAGCATCAATTAATCCATCAAAATGGTCAACAGGTTGGATGGTAATTGCTGAGGCAATTTCTGCATCTTGACAACATTGGAAAAAATCTCTATCTCCTTTGACTTCATGATATTCTGGTAAATAACGTCCTGCTTGTCTCATGATCCAAATTGGAGGTCTTTCTACTTTTTCCCCCTTGGCGGCCCTAAGAATTAAATCGTTTTTCAATGGTGCAAAGTTTGACATTATGATTGATCAGTATTTATAAAATAGTAAGTTCCTTTACGTAGACGAGTCCCTAATTTCTCTTAAATTGATTCACAGAAGGTGATTATCCTTTTATATATACTTTAAGAAACGCCTGTCAGCAGAAAGAGATCTTCGATATTGATTGAAAATTTTGCCTTTTCGTGGAGCAACAGAGAAATGCGCGAGTCACAGTGGAGAATTTAAAATTAAAATTCCCCAATGAGGGCAAACCAAACAGGAATGAGAGAAATAATAGTAGTCAGCCAGAATGTGATACAATCTATGTTGTTCCTTAACGGTATCTTAGATACCGTTCATGCATACGTCTTTATTGGTAGTATTATTTTTATTATTATTATTATTATTTGCATCTCTTAAGATATGAGATCTTGTTGACTAACTAAAGCATAGTTACAACCAATCATCCTTCCTCTCCATCTACCGTGCCGCACCGTACTAAAGTTGCAGCGCGATAAAAAGTAATTAATCTCGAGATTCACAACCAGCACCAGCAGACAGAAGGGGAAAAAAAAAGGTGAGATAAAATGACCATGGCTTCTTTGAAACAGACAAAAAAAACAAGAACTGAAACTGACGATAAGTTACTATAAGTTCATCATTAGTACTACAATATGACACTGGGAGAAGAAGAAGAAGGTACTCGTGAACAAGTACCAGTTAGTCAGCCAACGGGCACTACCTCAATTGTTTCAACCAAGGAGAAACAACCAAATATTTTTATTCGTGCTATTAGAGCAACATTTGGATACCGCAAGACGTCATTAACCTTATTTGTATTGTTAACTATTTTCTTTACAGTCGCCTTTTCTTCATATGATAATAGTCTTGATTTTACAATTGATCTACCAGAAACTAAATTTGAAAAGCAATTGTTGGATTCATCATGGTTGGATTTACAGAATATTGCTCGTTATCCACATTCTTATGGTTCTCATGCCAATGATAAAGTACATGACTATTTAGAATCTAGAATCAGTCAAACAATCAAGGGGAAACCTTTTATTGAATTCGATAATGGAGATGAAAAAATTTTGTACAATTCATCCAAGAAAGTTGTGTCCTATTATGAAGGCAACAACTTATTAGTCCGTGTTAATGGTACTGACAGTTCACTTCCGGCATTTCTCCTTTCAGCGCATTATGATTCGGTTCCTTCCAGTTATGGTGTCACTGACGATGGTATGGGAATTGCCAGTTTACTTGGGGTTCTTTCATATCTTGCTAATAATAAACAACCAAAACGTACTGTGATTTTCAATTTTAATAATGATGAAGAATTTGGGTTATACGGGGCCCAAGCTTTTGTCACACATCCATGGTTTAAACAAATTCAATATTTCTTGAATTTAGAAGGTACTGGTGCTGGAGGCAAGGCCATCTTATTCAGAGGTACTGATTATGGAATTGTTAAACATTTTGATAAGGTACGCTACCCATACGCCACATCAATTTTCCAACAAGGTTTCAATAACCGTTTGATTCATAGTGAAACTGATTATAAGGTCTATAAGGAGGCAGGACTTCGTGGGTTGGACTTGGCCTTTTATAAACCAAGAGATATTTACCACACTGGTGAAGATAACATTAAGAATATCAACATTAGATCTTTGTGGCACATGTTATCCAATTCAATTGATTTTACTAATTTCATTTCAAACCTGATAATAGACAACGACACTGGAAAAGATGAGCCTGCTATTTACTTGAGTGTTCTCAATTACTTTTTCTCAACCTCGGTCACTACTCTCAACACCATTAACATGGTCCTTATTGTATTGTTCCCAGTACTCAGTGGCCCATTGTTGTTTATTACTGTTAGATACAAGAAATGGAATATTGGAACTGCCAATTTATTTAGTCTTCCATTGGCAATTGTGATAACCAGTCTTGTGGGTGCGGTAGTTGTGAACCAGGGATTTAGATTGGTGAATGAATTCTTGCCGGCTTCTCGTCCAATGTTATTGGTTACTACTACCACTTCTATTTTATTGTTAACTTATTATATTTTGTTGAATGGCATTAATTTTGTCAGCCCTTCAGGTGATCAAAAATTGGTTTCAATTATACAAATTTCATTCATATATTGGATTGCATTAATTTTTGTTACAAGAGGATTAAGTCAAAATGCAATTGGTGATGATCACACTGGTGAATTTGCTTTTACTATTTTGTTTTTACTTGAAGCTACTGCGTCTTTGTTTGGCTTGATCGGATGGACATTTACTAGAAGTGTCAAAGAACCAACTGGTGATGAAGAACCTTTATTGAATGGACGTATGGAAAGATATGTTGACGGTTCAGATGATGAAGATGATGTTGAAGAAGAAGACGATGAAGATCAATCCGAAGAAGAAAATCATCAACATGAAATGACTGTTAAGCATTTAATGCAACATTTTGGATACGATTGGTCATTACAATTCTTGCTTATTGTGCCAATTTCATCATTAGTTATTTACAACTCAGGATGGTTGGTCATTGACGGTATTAATAAATCTATTCAAGAGTCTTTAGTTGCTGAAAACTTTATCTACTTGATTATTCAATTATTCTCTCAGTTTTGGATCTTGCCAATTTTACCATTCGTTTACAAATTAAATAGATTTATGGTGTTGGGATTGATTGCTTTTGCCCTTGTTGGTGTCACGTTAATCTCATCTGTTGATCCATTCAATCAAGATAATCCATTGAAGTTGAGATTTATTGAAAGAGATGGTGTTGCCCACGTCTATGGTAGAACTGGAGTTGGTATTTCAAATATATTAGGTGATATGCCTTCAGTGAAAGAGTCTGGTGTCGGGATCAAGTGTGACAGTTTACCAGATGGTAATGAAGACTGTTCATACAAGGCATATTTACCTGGAAACTCAACTATCCCTTCACTCAGTGTTAAATCTATTAACTCCACAGCACAACAAGCTTACATCAATTTTGGAGCTATTCAAATCAATGCCCCAGAAAGTAGAGAGTGTAGTTTAGAATTTAAGAAAGTCAAAGCTATTGTTGTGTATTCTGGTGAAATCACTGCTAAAAATTTCAAGGCTATTCCAGATGGCTTTTCAGAAGACTCCAAGGGTAATTTGTATTACAAGGATGTGTCTGGAATTGATGTTGCACAACTCAACAAATTAGGTTGGAATAAGAAATTCAATTTTGGCTTTTATTGGTTACCAGATATTGATGACGATGTTGCTGCATTGCCAATCCATGTTGAATGTTTTTGGTCAGATATAACTATCCCAGCTTATGATGAATTATTACATTACACTCCGAACTGGGTGACTTGGGCCAACCGAGAAAAAGGATTGGTACTGTTGACTAATAGAATTGAAGTATAGATATAATGTTTTTTTATTATTATTATTATTATTATTATTCCATCAATATATATGAGTGATCGTAATAAAATAACATTCTAAAAAAAAAAAAAGAAAATGAAAGTGATTAATAATTGCATATCAATTCATTGCCGTTGCTTCTGTGTTTGTCGGGTGGTGGAAAAAAATAAATGCAGCTTCTGTGGCTCGAACACAGTACCTCCAGATTACTAAAGAATCTTCAGTCTGACGCTCTCTCAGATGAGCTAAAGCTGCGTATGTTATGGAAGGGGAAACGGACTAGATAACTGGGATGTGTTTACTATAAAAGGAAGAAATACTCTTCATTAATGTCCTGATTGGTCTATTCATGTTGTAGGGTCTATATGATAACCTTTAGAGTCGTGCCAGCGTAGATAAATAGTGAAAACCGTTGTTTTTTTTGGAGTTCTGGTGATACTAGTAAGTTTGTTCAAGTGTGGTAAATTCTATACATGATGTCTAATATGATGACTGTACACTTGGTATCGCATGTTAGTTTCATTAATGATTAATAATGAATTGTAACAGAAATTTTTAGTTAGTTTTTATTATTTCATATAAACTTTGTTGGTATTTGCAACCAAAATATCCATCACAGTTTTACAAATCATTGATTGAGTTTGTTGGAACTACCTGATCTTTAAAAGATACTATCCTAATAAGAACCCATAAATCGAGTCACCTTTACCACTACTTCATATAGTGAAACGAATTATATGCCTTGGGCGTGAACAACATGTTCACATTGAATGAGTGATGAAAAAAAATGAAACTCACAAATGCCTGATTCATCACCGCGCAGAACACAGCAATTACAAACATATTCAAAGCAAGTGCAAAAAAGTAAGCCCAACGCGGGGCTCGAACCCGCAACCTTTTGATGACTAGTATATCTAAGAGTCAAATGCTCTACCGATTGAGCTAGCCAGGCTTGTTGTTGTGTTGTTAAAACCTGTACAAAATAACACTTGGCCGGTTGAAGGAAAGAATCATCTTCCACTTCATCGACACACCGTCACACCATCACATCCGACAACAAGATGGTTAGCAATATAACAGCAGATGACTACCACTGTTAAGTACCACTTCCAACAGTTCCTTAGAGGCTGTACTATATTTCTCGAGTATGCTTTATTAATTTGGTTTCACTCTGTTACCAACAATTACAATGAATCCATAGGCAACTAGTCAACTAAGAATTGATTGTCTAATCATTTCTCTATATGTTTTTGGATAACCGGAGCATACCAAATGAGTAGACTTCCATAAAGAATTTTCATTACTTTAACGGATATCAAACTCTGTATTGTGGTGAGTACAAAACCTCAATGCTTATTAGTCGTATGATTCACTAAGGTTAGATTCCTCTCAAATACCATTCCATTGCACAACCTATCTCTTCCAACAATGTCAATCTAATTCAGGATTCTATATCAATTTTCACTCCACTTCCTACTCTCTTTAATATCGCATCTCAATACTTCACGCATACACAAAAAAAAATTCAATTCATTTCACAACATGAAAATTTACACAGAAAAGAATGCACTTATAACAAAAAACTAAAAAAAAAGAACTAATAATCAACTTCATACATATATTCGTTGAAAGTTGCAAAAAAGAAGCCCAACGCGGGGCTCGAACCCGCAACCTTTTGATGACTAATGTTTCTAAGAGTCAAATGCTCTACCGATTGAGCTAGCCAGGCTTTCTTGTTTTTGCCCATTCAGGCTAAAAAATGACCTTACAAAAAAGATCAAAGCATGCCCAATAGATTATTCTGGATGCTGATGATGAACGAAATTAATACATATTTGAAACAAGACAAAACAGCATTATTAGCAATACCATGCCATTGATACCTTTATTAAATAACCAAGTCATTTATATCTTATATGTAGAAGTTATCCCCTCTCAGTTATTCTTTATGTTATGACATCTATAAACGACATTAATAGTGATATCTTTTGTACATCTATCTGAATAACAACTATATATCTCCTGACTAGTTTACGCTCACTCACATATCCCATTCAGTCCAGGCTTATCATAAGTTAGTTTTTTTTATTTCATTTCTTTTTATTTCACGCTACCACATCGCAGCACAGAAAAAAAAAAAGAAAATCTCACACAACACAAATGCTCATCTCGTCGATATACTCCAAAATTTAACACTAAACAATGAATCAGAACCACAATAAAAAAAAAAAAGAAATAATACACAAGTTTATACATGTATTAGATATCAAATTAACAAAAAAGAAGCCCAACGCGGGACTCGAACCCGCAACCTTGAGATATCCTTTTAATTTCTATTAAAAGTCTCACGCTCTAAGCCGATTGAGCTAGCTAGGCTACCAATTGATGTCTGTCCATTTTCAGAACGAAGGTCACTCTGAGTGGCAGGGAATCTAGCTAGATGACACTATTCTCATTAGACACCACCGCATATTATATTCGCTACAGAGAGAACATTCAGTTGTTGTACCAACACACTGCGACAATGACCCATCACTTCAGTCGATGCTATTGCCTACATTTAAAGTAGTCATAGTTGATAGTAGACACAGACAGAAGAAAACAGTAGCACTTGTATCAGTATCTTCTCTTTGATGGGTGGTTCTGCTTTGGCTCTAGATTAGCACGCGCTACCATTGTCCTCTGACTAAATTGACGACCCTAAAAATTTTTCTCGTAGTTTTCACACCCAGTTCATCTCATCTCATCTCTAAACTCCAAAAAAAATGAATAATTGACTCTATAACATAAACTGAAAAACATCAATCACAAAGACAAAAAAGAAAAGCCCAACGCGGGACTCGAACCCGCAACCTTGAGATTAAAAGTCTCACGCTCTAAGCCGATTGAGCTAGCTAGGCTTTGTTGTGTTTTCGTTGAACACCAACAATGACCACACTGGGAATATAGAAGAGATGTTACAAACTGTTTACTGCTTGACTCTAGAACAGTATACATCGATACCACCTACTAAACAAGAGAGACAAAATTAGGAGCATCTATACTTCCAAGTGATTCCCTCTTTACATAAAGCTAATACTAGTATGTACTATTCATTGAAGTACTCGTCATGGATGAAATATCTCACGAGAAAATCGAATTGTTCATAAAGTAAATCATTAGAGTGAAACAACGTTAACTTGGTGATCAGAATTCTTACAGAATAAAGTCGTCGGCTGTTACAAATGAATATTAATATAATCCAATGAATACATTAAAATACTTCTAAACTTTTGCCACTGTGAGTGTATGATAATTGTTAGCAAATATTTTTCTCCAATGTGACTTTTTCATCAACCTCTACTTTATGTACAAGACAATAGACAGACAAAGTAACCTGACTAATTAAAGACAAACAGAATGGTTACATCTCGAGGCATCCCACAATACTGATTTGGGATTTTATTTGAACAACTTGTGTAGCAGGTTTATTTTTTTTTTTTTTGATTATTCCTCTTTTCAAAAAGTTGGGTAGCATTTCAATGTGTGAACAATCATTTTCTTCTTTCTAATACATATTTGAAAAATTTCTAAAATCAAACATAGCATAGTATCTAACAACAATTCAACCATTTATCATTACTTATACGCCCACTAATATAGCAAAAAAAAATGTTTGAGCCGTTAAAAAAAACAAAAAAATATGTGACCAAGGCGAGGATCGAACTCGCGACCAATCCGGTGTAAACGGATTATCCTAACCTCTAGACCACTCGGCCAACTTGGACAAACGCCCAATTCGTTGAAGATCTCAAAGTCTGAGGTCGTCCTACGATGTAAAACACCACGATCACCAGATTTTTAAAAGAATTTTGTTAAAAAAGATCCTTTAATATTAAACAAATCAAAACCCAGTAGATTATTCATTCATTATACATTCCTACAACTTAGATGCATGTACAAATTCAGTACCTTGTTTGATTGAACTTTGCAATCCCTTCAAAGCAACTTCAACCAATTTCTTTTCAGCTGGAGTGACAGTCAATTCTTCGAATGGATTGATAAAAGATCTAATTTCTCCCTGAGATAAAACAACTGGAACAGAAAAGAATTCAACACCACCCAAGTATTTTTCAGAAAATTCTTTACCTCCTGGTACACCTGGCAAGTAGATGTAAGAAGAGTCTGGGATTTTTCCACTTGGAGAAGGACCGCCAGTTACTGAACTGATCACATATTCGGCAAATCTATAACCAGCATAAGCCATGGATAAAGTGGCAGATCCAGCACCATTTTTAGCTTGAACAACTTCATCACCACCAAATTGAACTCTGTGGACAAAGCTAGTGTAGTCCTTGTCACTCAATAGTCTGACACTTGGATCGTATCCAACCAATGGAACAATAGTATCACCTGAGTGACCACCAATAACAGAAATTTTACCCTTCAATTTAGTTGGGTCAGTGTTGGTCAATTCACCCAAGAATGTTTCGGCTCTGACGCTATCCAAAGTAGTGACACCAAACAACTTAAGTGGGTTGAAAACACCTAATTTTTTCAAGACCTCGGCAGCAATTGGGACAGTAGCATTAACTGGGTTTGAAATAATCAAGATAGCAGCATTTGGAGCAACTCTACCGATATTTGCCACCAAATCTCTAATGATTGAAGCGTTGATGTTGAACAAATCTGCTCTAGTCATACCTGGTTTTCTTGGAACCCCAGCTGGAATGATAACCAAATCAGTTCCAGTCAATGCTTCAGTAATGGCAGTTTTATCTTCCTTATCTTTAGGTTGATGTCCTGTAACTACGGCTGGAGTGTTGATATGTGACAAATCAGCAGCTACACCTTTGGCATTGACAATATCAAATAATGCCAACTCTGTGACATTTGGATTTAATTTCAAAAGCAAGGATAATGGTTGACCAATACCCCCAGCAGCTCCTGCAACAGTAACTTTAACCATGATTGTTCTTTAGTAGGATTATTCTCTAATGATTACAAATGAAGAAAAAAAAAAACAGCAACAACAATAATAAAGAATACTGTGTTTGTTGAAAAAAAAAATGAATAGAAAACAAAAGAATCGAGATATAGGGGATTTATTTAATATAAAATTTTTTCTTCTGTGTTTCTGCTGATGCAAATAGTGGGGTCTATTTGATATTATGACTTGTGAAAATTTTGTAACCCTCGGCACCAGACGCAATCTTATTTTTTTTTTTAATAATAATTTGTTTATGTAATAAAACGTGACACGGAATTTCCCTAATAAAAATGAGACAGCAAGCGACAATAGCAACAACAGCACACGCACGGAAAATTCGAAAGAGGTCAGAAAATTTTTTTTTTTTTTTTAATTTCAATTGATTTTTTTTTCTCTCTTTTATCGGAGAAAGTGAGAACGATAAACCTACTAATCATCTTAACAACCGTCAACTCAATGATCTTCACTACTTTACTAGCTTTTATCACAGCTGTTTCGGCTATTGATTGCAGTGCTAACGAGCTTAAACCTTATAACCTTGAAAGTATCAAGGGGATCTATTCATTTTCCACACTCAAGAACACTCCACCATCGACTACAAATCTCACTTGGAATGTTGGTATATGTGAACCAGTTAATAATATTCAAGATTGTCCTCAAGATTCCGATATCTGTGGTGTTACTACAATTCAATTAAAGGACGCAAAACCCATTGTGTCCGAAGTTATCCCGTTTAGTGGTACTTTACAAAAGAAATACGAAACCTCCGATAATGGTGTCAAGGTCATCTACAATGGTGCTCATTGGGGTGACGCGCTTGTAAATGCCGAATTGAACTTCATTTGTGATAAGGAATCCACCGACAAATCACTTACTTTGGAACAATGGGATGGTACTAATTTGAAACTTTCCATGAAGAACAAAGCTGCCTGTATTACTAGTGATGAAGATAAGAAAAAGAATGAAAAACCAAAACCTGATGGAGGTGAATCTTGGGGATGGTTTACTTGGATTTTCATCTTTTTGGTTTTGTTTTTGAGTATTTATATTGTTGGAGGCGCTTGGTTCCAATACAACAAAGGAAATGCCATCGACTTCCAAAGCGCATTAAAAGAAGTCGTTGAAAACTTTATCGAATTATTGAAGGGATTGCCAAGTTTTAGTAAAGAAATCATTGAAAAATTCACTGGCAGAAGCAATAGAGGTGAATACAGTGCTGTATAGTTAGTATTTATTTTATTATATACTACTTGCGTATGTACTTCGTTTCCACAACAATATAATCATTCCAACACGGCTTAAGTACGTCGACTATGCCACAGATTGTTCACCCTCGACCATGAGTCAACTGTCGCGCGGAAGTTGTAACCATTGTGGCATTGGCAATCGACGTGCAAAATGAGAAAAATTAAGAAATGAGCGAAATAAGAGAAAAATATGAATGAACCAAAAATTAAACTCATCTGTTTCAACCTTTTTCTCTCCCCCCACTAACAACAAACCATGAGTACTGTATCAGAGCGCATATCATCGTTAAAACCAGATGAAAGATTTGTTTCATTTGAATTCTTCCCACCAAAGACCGATTCGGGGTTTAGAAATTTACTAGCCAGATTGAATCGTATGCTGGCTTTCAATCCATTATTCATCACAATTACTTGGGGAGCAGGTGGTTCCACTAGTGAAAAGTCTTTGGATTTAGCAGCTACTTGTCAAAAAGAAGTAGGTATAACCACAGTGTTGCACTTGACATGTACAAATACCAACAAGGAAATTATCGATGAAGCATTGGCTCGTGCTAAAGCCAATGGCATAAGAAATATATTGGCGTTAAGAGGTGATCCACCAAGAGCAGAAGAATACTGGACTCCAAATTGTGATTTCAATGGGGCAGTTGATTTAGTGAGATATATCAGACAACAATATGGTGATTATTTCTGTATTGGTGTGGCAGCTTACCCTGAGGGACATGTTGATGGTGCCGACATTTCAGGACAAGATCCAAAGAAAGATATCCCATTCTTGATCGAAAAGGTTAAAGCTGGTGGTGACTTTATTGTGACTCAATTATTTTATGATGTTGATAAGTTTATCGCTTTTGAAAAGTTGATTCAAGAGCACGACGAATTGAAGAATATTCCTTTGATTCCTGGGTTAATGCCAATTACAACATACAAAGTCTTCAATAGAGCAGCCAAGTTATCCCATGCAACTATCCCTAGAGAAATATCTCAACAAGTTGATAAAGTTAGTCACGATGATGATGCTGTTAAAGCTCTTGGGGTTGAAATCTTAAGTAATATAATCGACAGAATTGACAAAGAGACAAATATCAAAGGTTATCATTTCTATACCTTGAATTTAGAAAAAGCTGTTGCCTCCATATTGGATAAGTCTGATGTCTTGAGACCTATTTTAGAAGGCCCATCTACTGTCATGGAACACGATGATGCAATTGCTTCAGATTCTGATGATGACGAGGATATGAATACCGGACAAGCTGTTAGTGTCACCCGTAGAAGATCATCTATAAATGACAATAGTTTGATGGGAAGTAAAGCTCTTATTGGAAAGGCATTATTGAAGGATAAGAAAACTCTTGTTGATATCAGTACTGGTAAAGGTGCTCTTGGGAAAGATGCCACTTGGGATGATTTCCCTAATGGTAGATTTGGTGACTCCAATTCTCCAGCGTATGGTGAAATTGATGGTTATGGTCCAACTTTAAAGATTCATTCTCCTGCTGAAGCTGAAATCAAATGGGGTTCTCCAGAAACCACAAAAGACTTAGCACAGATCTTCATTGATTATTTGTCGGGTAAAATTGACGTTATTCCATGGGCTGATCAAGCCTTATCTCCAGAAACAGCATTGATTCAAGAAGAATTATTCCAATTAAATGAAAAGGGATGGTTTTCAGTGGCTTCTCAACCAGCTGCCAATGCTTGCAAATCAACTGACAATATCTTTGGATGGGGTCCACGTAATGGGGTGGTGTATCAAAAGGCATTTGTTGAATTATTTATGCCAAAAGACGATTGGAATAAATTGAAGCCATTGGTTGAAGCATCTGATTCAATAACTTACTATGCTGCTGATAAAACCAACAAAATTGAAGCTAAGGTGCCGGCTGGCCATGATATTAAATTAACAAAGAATGCAGTTACATGGGGCGTTTTCCCACTGAAAGAAGTACTTCAACCAACAGTAATTGATTACGAATCATTCAAGGCATGGAATGAAGAGTCCTTTTTATTATGGCTCGAGTGGTCAAGATGTTACAAGAAAAATTCAAAATCTTTTGAATTGTTAAATAAAGTTTATGAAAATTATGTATTGGTTTGTTTGATATATCATGACTTCCCAGAAGAACATGGATTGTGGGATTTTTTACTTGACGAATAGCAATTAGCTTATAAGCTTTAAAGTTGTAACCAATCTATATGTTTTTTAATTATCCCATCATTTAGTATAGATACATAGTCCGCATCAACTGAGTTAATTCCTTGATATTGACAATGTTTATTTGAAAGAAGTAAAACTCCATTGAACACAGGAGTTCCTTCCTTAACGCGTAGTCTGCCACCTAATTTTAAAGGTAATGGAGTTCCAGTTTTACTGACATGTAAAAATCTTAATGGTTCTTTTTCATAACCTTGAATGACATTTTTGTTTGATATATCCTCTAGTATTAGTTTATAAGTATCATTTGTAATGGTTGATTTATCATTATCATTTTCTTGGTCATCATCTTTATCAAGGTTCACTTCAGTGATGATCTTACGTTTGACTCGATCAACGGATGACTTATTGGGATCATCTAATTCTTTCCATTCCTCAAGTTGTGCAACTCTTGATTTTGATATGTTTTCGATCCAGATGATTCGATATGTGGTGGGATTAGCTAATGTAGATTCGTCCATTGAAGATGATGTATTATGTATACAAGTGGATTCAATGAATCAAAGTTCTACGCAGCAACATCAAAAAAAAATAAAACTTCAAAAAAAAAAAACAACTCGTAGAACAACATGATCTACTTTTGTTACACCAACAATGTCATTATTTGTGGAGGAAGAAGATAAACAACCAGAAAGTAATAACTCAATCCCAGTAACATTTGTTGATCAAGACGTAATACCCGTTTTTCCAGAACGAGAAATCAATTGTGCATTACCATTGAAATATCAACAAGATATTGTGAGAAACACGCTTACAAAGGATGGATTATTAGTTTTGGGACATGGTTTAGGATGGGAGATCATCACTTCTAATTTAATTCACGCATTAAGTACACCATTTGTTAACCTCGGAACCAATATTAAGAAAAAATCTTTGATAATTCTTCTAAATGCAAATGATAATGAACTTTCAAGACTACAAGAAGAATTAATTGATCTTTCAGGTGGAGATGATGATGATAAACTAATAAGGATAGGTGGTGAAACACAATCCCATAAAAGACTGAAAATATATAAAGAAGGTGGAATAATATCAATTTCTCCAATGTTGTTAATAAATGATATATTATCATTCATGATTTCACCTAATGATATTACAGGGTTGATTATTTTCCACGCGGAACGTATTAAAGAGTTTGGCAACGACGCGTTTTTGATTAGATTATACAGAGATAGAAACAATTGGGGCTTTATTAAAGCATTTTCAGATAAGCCAGAGAGCTTTGTTGGATTTACTCCGTTGGCAACTAAATTGAAGATACTCAATTTATCGCATGTATTCCTTTGGCCAAGATTCCATATGACAATTTCAGAATCCTTCAACATTAGAAACAAGAAAGATACTGTTGGAAAACTTGTAACTGAGGTTAAAGTTGGATTAACACCCAATATGAAGAAACTACAGTCGCTTATAACGTCAGTTATTGAAGGATGTGTGCGAGAACTTAAGCGACATAACAGCGATCTTGATCTTGAATACTGTCACGTTGATAACATATATGATGATGGCTTTGCCGACAACATAAAAGCTAGTTTACAAAGTAACTGGCATAGACTTACTCCAATCAGCAAGAATTTGATCTTCAGTATTGGTTTCCTTTCAGATCTTTTGGGAGCGTTGTTGATCACAGACTCAATAGGGTTCTACCATATTCTTAATGAAAGGATTGAAGCCGATTTGATATTGCAACGAACTCAAAATCGAAGCAAAGAGCCTTGGTTGATGTCTGATGAGGCTGGTGCAATAAAGTCAATTGCGGCAGCGAGAGTGTTTGGAACAGAACGTGGGACATATGCATTGGAAGAATTGCCAAAATGGAATGAATTAGGCAAACTTGTTCATGATATACTGATTGAGAAGGAGAAAGCTCAAGAAAAGAATTGTGGTCCGATTTTAATTGTGTGCAAGAACAAAATTGTTGCTTCTGAAATTGTGTCGGTGTTGAATACAATGCAAGAAAGAAAGGTTGCTGATAGACATGGGTTCTCCTGCCGCAAATACATGATTGAAAAGCTTAGGACATATTGTGAATGGCAAAATAATATTAGCCCTCGAATTAAACAAATTAGTGAGGAACTAGCTGGTAAACAAAGTGATACTGGTGGTGATGTGGGATCTAGTGTATCGCCAACATTTTCAAGAAATGGGGAGCCAAGAAGCAAAAGAAGACGAACTAGAGGTGGATCTGCGACAGCAGCAGCAGTAGTACAATCACATCAACAACAGATTAAAGATTCTACAAAAGTTGACATTCAAGTTGTAGATGAACTTGAGGCAGAATACGACCAAGAGGTTGCAGAAACTAGTATCCATAATGATGATGGTGATGATGATGATGATGATGAGATTTTGGAATTTACAGAGATTGACGACGATTCAGGAATTCAAAATGGTTTTGATTTTGCTCATATAAAGAAGGAAGATCAAGTTATTGTTGAAGTTTTTGATGAATTTTGGAATACTGCTACTATTCAAGAGTTGCATCCCTCACATATTATTATGTATGAACATGATTTGACATTTTTGAGAAGAGTTGAAATGTATCAAGCTATTAATCGTGAACATCCAGCAGAAGTTTATTTGATGTACTACCGAGATTCCGTTGAAGAACAAAAACATTTACTTAGAATCAAAAAGGAAAAAGATGCATTCAGTAAACTTATTAAAGAGAAGGCAGCACTTCCTAAACGATTTGATACTGAAGCGGACAATGCCAAATTTAAGATTCGTAAACCAGATGTTGTTAATACTAGAATCGCAGGAGGAGCTAAATTTAGAACCGAAGCAGATGAAATGCAAGTGATTGTTGATAGTAGAGAATTTAAATCCTCGACACCATTCCTGATATATCTTACTGGTATGACAGTTATTCCTAGCATGATTACTGTTGGTGATTATATTTTATCTCCAACAACATGTGTTGAAAGAAAATCCATTCTGGATTTGATTGAAAGTTTTAAAAACGGGAGATTATTTTCACAATGTAAACAAATGTTTAGACATTACAGGAATCCTATTTTGTTGATTGAGTTCAGCAACAATGAATCCTTTTCATTGCAATCATTTAGTACCTATAGATTTACAAGAGGTGTGAAAGAAGAAGTTGACAATGATAATGCTGTTTCCGATAAGAAACAAGTTCCTGTTCAAGAGAATATAATGAAATTATTATATCAATTCCCGAAACTACAAATAATATGGTCATCTTCACCACAAGAGACAGCCCAAATATTTTTAGAATTAAAGTCAAATCAAGAAGAACCAAATGTAGCTGAAGCACTTGATAAAGGTGTTAACAAGGCAATTACCACTGGTGATGGATCACCAGCAATGTATTATGATGCTGCAATCGACTTTATTATGAACATACCTGGTATTACTGTTCATAATTATGAAAAAGTGATTCAACAAGTGAAAAACATTGAAGAATTAGTATGTCTTCCATTAGAGAGATTTCAGGATTTACTTGGTAAAGAAAATGGTAGAAATGCATTTAAGTTTATCAATCATGAATTTGGAGTTTAACGCAGGGACTTTTTTTTTGTCTAATAAAGTTTTTCACAGCCGTTGAAAACTATATATTTTTTTTTTCGGTTGCTAAAAATTTGTTTATATTTTCGCTCAAAATGGATATAGTGTAAATATTGAATATCGTCACTGCCTCACCTCTTGACAAGTGTAAATCAGGTCTGAAACTTTGAAACTTGATTATGGGTTTTTCTTTCATTATATATATATATATTCTAATCCAAATAGTTATCATTGTATCATGTTGAGATATACCATTAGTCGTAAACATGATTTTAAAACTCATTATTTTAATATTCAAAAACTAATAAATTCAAAAGTTCAATTAAGTCTTAAATATGAACAATTAAAATCACCAGAGATCCATTCAACTTTGATGAGACCAATAACTCAAGAAATACTTAATATTTCTCATGATAATGAATCAGATCAAAAGATATCAAATCATATTATATTTATATTGTTATTATTACGATATGAATATTTAATTCAATCAGAGAATAATTTAATTGCATTTGATTTATTAATTACAAAAGCAACAGTTTGTGAAATATTATCAATTCGAATGTTAAGAGAATATAAATCATTTAATAGAATTAATATGTTATTTATTAAACCATTAATTGAAATTAAATCAAATTTAAATTTTAATACTTTAGAATTATGTGTTTTATCAGATTCTAAAAAATTTTTATCACAACCTATTATAGTTAGAATATTAGAAAGATTTTATAATGGAGAACTTATAAATAATGAAGATTTAAAAGATGATGAGAAATATTTACTTGATGATGAATATATTGCAGATTATACATTTGATAAAATTTTCATGAAAAGAATTATTCAAAGAGTTAATACTGTTCCAAAATATCAATCACTAGTTATAAATTTTAAAATTATGATGTTTCTGTTTTTATATTTCTTATTAATGTATGAGAAACCAGTAGGGTTAATATTTTGGTCATTTGGTATTAGTTTTAATGTTGAATTATTTTTGAAATTATATTATATTGAATGGAAATTTATGAAGATGATAATATGGAATTATATTGATTTTTTATTAATTATGTTAATTGATATTTCTTTGGTATTAAAAATTACAGGTAATTCATATTTCAAAGATATTTTCAGTTTAATTGGGATAATTTTGTTTCCTAGAGTACTTTCCATATTCAATAATTATGTGTTTTTCAATTTGATTGTTCTTTCATTTAACAAAATGATATTCAATTTGATTGGTTTAATATTCTTTTTCTTTACTTTGATTAGTGGGTTTTATTTTAGTTTTGTTACATTGAGTGAAAATCAAACCAATGGTGAAATACTATTCAATATGATCAAGATATTTTTTGGTTTTACTCCTTCAGTTTGGAATAATTGGGATAATTATAATATGTTGGGAAAAGTTATGCAAATGGGATATTTGTTTTTAAATGATTTCATTGTGGGGACCATATTGGCTATTTGTTTAAGTGGGATATTTATAAAAGTTAGAGAAAACAACCACGAGGAGTTTAATTTCTTCAAATCTACCAATTTAATATTATATTTTAAACTTGCTAAATTAAACCAGCAAACTTCAGTGTTTAACAATTTTTTATATTTGTTCAAATTACCAATGGTTGTTTTACTTTTTGGATATGAAATAATCAAATCTAAAAATTATGTGCAGCCATCATCAGAATTGAAAAATTTCACATTTTTAAAACCAGAAGAAGATGAAAATGTATCATATTCTAGAAGACCTAGTCAAAGGAAGCCAACAAAGTATCAATCATTGAGTACATTAGGTGGAGGAGGACATTTAAGAACAGCATCTACCGATTCATTTTTCATTAATGAGTTGTTAAACAAAAAGTATGGTAGATTGGAGACAACAAAGACAAATTTGAATACAACAGAAAGAATTACATCAATGAAACTTACTCAACCATTTAGCATACCACGACAGAGACCATATCCACCACCACAACAACAACAACAATTTCAAACATCACCTGCAATGTATGTCGCGTCACCACCGCAGCCGTCAACAAGTAATGCTGAAATTTTATCAAGATTTACACACTTGGAGAATATTATTGCGAAACATTCACTTGTAGCTAATAGTTTAGACGATAGCAGGTCTGTAATGATGTATGATATTAGAGAAATGGAAGATAATGATGAATTACTGATTAGTAGTGGGACGACAAATGATCAAGATGTTAGAGACGAGCTTGAATTGAGTAAAGACAATAATATGGAAGATATTGACCAATACGATAGTGATGAAACATTTTAGTAAGCCATCAAATAGAGTTTAGTTTCTAATGTATGATTTTACTCTTTATGTAATCAAATACAATTCCCCTTGACGAAATTTTCTTGTCCAGATTTAGCGTAAACCTGATGATGATGATGTTGATGATGATGATGCAGAAAAAGAGAAGACGTTCAGTCTAGATTTAACAATCTGGTTACTAATCAAAGAAGAGTAGAAGAAACAAAGGACACTGTGGAATAATCTCATGTTTAGGTTTATCGCATTCTAGGTGAAGAGAACATTGACACCAACCAAGCCCACCTTGGTTCATATTCCATTAGATTGAAATAGAACTGTCAAGAATGTGAATGTGTCGATTAATTACTCCTTTGGATATCTCCATCTTATGAAACAAAATAGAATGATTGATTACAACAAATGTAGATCTTTTTTTACTTCCTTTCAATGTATAAATGTTTGTTGCAGAATGTTGGTTGCCTTTTTAATACGGCAGATCCTTTTTTTTATTTTTTATTTTTATTTTTTCTTTTGTGTGCTCTTGGGCTGCGATCGAGCTGTGGAACCACACACTCTCTCTCTCCCACGACCCACCCCTCGCTTGTCTGGTGTGGGGAACAGTGCGACTGTCGCCGTGGAAGCAAACAATCGAAAACGCGAACCATTAGCGGGAAATAACCAAAATGCAAAATTCCGCCAATCACTGTCAGAAAAAAAAAAATTTTTCGAGTGTTTACAAAAAATTTTTCTATAAAACAAAAACATCTATTATTTATTCAATCACACTTCCCACCATCTTGAGAATACTAGATTGGGGTTTGTTATTACTATTGAAGATTTACTATTAGTAAACCGTCGAATTGCTTTTGTTTTAAATGAAATTCTAATTTTAGATGTTTGGCTTTTGGTTGGCCCTTACATACGTCTAACCAATCAGAGCCGAGGAATTGGTAATTTTTTCAAGCAATATAATTTAGTTTCAATTCGATATTTACAATTCATGCCTCCTCTGCTTTTAAAAACTGAAAGATTGTGCATGTATGGTTGCAAATAATAAACAAACGTCAATCTTTAAAGGTAGAGAATATGTAAAAAGGAAAAGTGCTCTTATTCAATTGAGTATGATTTGCTTGAGCGAATTACATGTTTCACATTATATATAAATGAGAAAGAATATCTCCTCGTTTTTGAATAATTTTATCTCCTCTTTTTCTTCTTCTTCTTATTCTTCTTGTTAATTATCACATTTAGTGTTTAGAGAACTTGGCTACTTATACAAAGTCTTAGTTGCAAAATAGTATAAAATTTCAGAAGCAATTTATTAAAATCATACACAAATTTTGCCCCATTTCAAATAATCGTTCCCTCATTGGTCCATTTTACTCAATTCGGTAAACTAATCCGTGTCAACAGCAGCAGCAGCAGCAGCAGCAGCAGCAGCAGAAAAAAAAAATTTATTAGTGGTTTCTTTTTCCTGCTTTTTCCCTGGCTAACAAAATAAAAATTTCTCTCCCCCATCACACTTACAAACAGAGAGAGGAAAAGAGAAAAACTCACAAGATTTTCATACCAATTGAATAAAAATAAAAATAAAAATAAAAAGAAAGAAAATTTTTTTGCTTTGCAATTTTTATATTTATTCCCGACAATTTCCATTTACCTGAATTTTTTTTTTTATCACATTTATATATATATTCATTCCATTTGATCTTCTTTTTTTAAAAAATTTTAAATTTTGAAAAAGAATCTTGTTGAATATTCATAGTTTTCATTTTTGTTTATCCTTCCCAAATACTAGTCATTATTTTTGCAAAATTTAATCAACCATGCCTCACAATATTATGTCCATCAATGATTCAAATCATGTGCAAATTGGTGGTAGAAAATCAAAGTTGGCTGTTGTCCAATCTGAATTAGTTAAAAAGGCTATTGAAGATACTTTCCCAAACTTGTCCTGTTCTATATTGGCTTTATCTACTTTGGGTGATAAAGTTCAAACTCAACCTTTGTATACTTTTGGTGGTAAATCATTATGGACTAAAGAATTGGAAATTTTGTTACTAGATAGCATCGATGAATATCCACAATTAGATCTTATCGTTCATTCTTTGAAAGATATGCCAACCAATTTACCTGAAGAATTTGAATTGGGTTGTATTTTCCAAAGAGAAGATCCAAGAGATGCTGTTGTCATGAAGAGTGGTTCTCCTTATAAACTGTTGAAGGATTTACCTGCAGGTGCTATTGTTGGTACTTCATCCATCAGAAGACTGTCACAATTAATTAAAAACTATCCTCATTTGAGATTCGAGCTGGTTAGAGGTAACATTCAAACTAGATTGAACAAGTTGGATCAACCAGATAATGAATACTGTTGTCTTATATTGGCCAGTGCTGGTTTGATCAGATTAGGTTTAGGTGACAGAATAACCTCTTTCTTGGATGATATGTATTATGCCGTTGGTCAAGGTGCCTTGGGTATAGAAATCAGAAGAGGTGATGATAAAGTTAAACCAATTTTACAAAAAATCGAAGATCCAATAGCCACCGTGTGTTGTCTTGCGGAAAGATCATTAATGAGATATCTTGAAGGTGGTTGTTCAGTACCATTGGGAGTCAACAGTAATTACAATGAAGATACACAAGAATTGACATTAAAAGGTATAATAGTCAGTCCTGATGGTTCAGTATGGATTGAAGACGAAGTTGTCAAAACCATCAATTGCAATGAAGATTGTGAACAAGTTGGTATTGAATTAGGAGATAAATTAAAAGCCAAAGGTGCCAAAGAAATATTAGACAAGATTGATATGACCAGAAATATTAACGCCAGACCAACTGAAGTATGATCCAGTTATCATATGCATTCAATATATTCATATATATATACATATAAAGGGGGGACATTTATTTTTACTATTCATTTAATTTTTAAAAGAAAAAGGTTGATTATTTTATTTTGTTTATTCATAATTGGTTGATTTTATTCTTATTCTTTTCATATTGGTTTGTTTTATCATTTTTTATTTTTGCATGTCATTTAGTTTGAAATTTTTTTTTTTTATTTTGCTTCGTTATTATTTTTGTTGATAAACAAGGTCAATGTATATATTCCAGGTTTGACATTCTTTTGTTGTTTATTAGATTTTTATTTATACAATATTTTTATATATTTTTGTTTTTACTATATTTTAATGAAATACGATTAATAGATTCAAAAAATAGTAATGTAGAGATGCAAATGTGGTTGATGATTGACTGTTGGCTCGTGTTGCCAAAATATTCAGATGTGTCAAATTCACAAATCACGGGCTTTGCTGCTGACAATTAAAGTTGGCAACGTTTCTTGTCCTTGATTCATTTGGCAGGACTAACAAATCAACCAAGAGATTTTTCTTTCTTTCTTTCTTAAACCGGAGACCTAATTAATAAAGGTGTTAAGTTCCCCCTGAACGATAAATTAGATTTAACCAATCGATTAATTAGTTGACTGAAACATGATAGGATGTATTTTTTTTTTTTTTCAGGTGGTAATTATTATGTTGTAAAACCTGTGATTGGTTATATTCTCGGGAATAATTAATTTGCACAATTTCGCTTTCGTTTATGTGCGTCTCAGCCAATAGAACAAAGATATCTCAAGGCGTTCTTCTTCTTCTTTTTTTTTTTTTAACACACTGCCGTAGAGGGAATAACCGTTTAAAATGAAATAGACTTAGTCAAACCACATGATTTAATGTTAAATTGCCTATTTTAAGCCATTCTTCTTATCATTGATGAAGAGATGAATGAATAGTTGAATAAAGAAACTTATGGGGGGTTCTACTGGAGTGGGGCAGGACCCACACATGATTTTTGTACAAAACAGAAAAGGTTACTTTAAAATTTAAGATCCAGTTTTCCCACCATTATAATCTGTTCCTCAAAAAATTATCATGATTAACACCATCAATGCCCCTCGTTCATTAATGACTTTTACTAGACAGGTTACATTAACTAACATTATGCCAGAGTTACTTTGATTAGATGAATCGTAAGATTATTTGGTTGCAAGTGTGTGTAAATGATTTTTTCCCTTTGCCCTATGCATTTTTTCCCCTTTTTCCATTCCACTTGAATCAACCTTGATAACGTTAAAACAGAATAAAAAAAAGAAACAATCTATACTCAGCACTCTGTACTCAGCTCTCTATAGTCAACACTGTATCACCATCAACACCACAAATTATCTACCTGGGTAGTAATGCTAAGAAAAAATAATAAAACAAAACTCTAGGATTAAGGAGGGGGAGGAGTAATTCTACCAATTATGAATTTTCCATTTCCGCTATGTAAAAAAAAAAAAGAAAAACGTAAACTCAATAAGTGAGTAGGTAGTGGTGGTGGCGGTGAGTCAATGGTGGTGTAGGGTATATATATTTTTTCTTTCTTTCTTTCTTATTCTTCTTTTCTTTTACAGTACTCTTTGTTATATTTTTATTATCTTGATACATTATTGGTTTATTATAACGTTTGCAATTATTTAATTGGTTGGATTTTGTTCTTTGTGTGTGTATATTGTGGGTTATATGCAGTACTTGATTTTTTTCTGTCTGATTTTTTTTTTCTTCTGTATATTTGAAATTTTGTGGGGTAAATTGTCTTCTTCAACAACAACCAAAAAAACTCCGAACGATCAATTGCTAATAGAGCTACTCCGAGCATTTTCTTTAGCAACAATAGCTGTATGCATATATCAGAAGCCACCAATATACACGAGTTTATACTGTGATACCACAAACAATTGAACAGGGTATTAAGATGGAAACAAAACAAAAGGGCACACAAAAAATAGTATGTTCTCTGTAGCAGGTATGTGCTTGTCTAATTATCGTACTAATAATTGACGAACTATAGACCACAATATGCCGTGATAACCCACACCAATCTAGAAGGTATTTCGTCCCACAAAATTAAAACTAATCAAATGACAAGAAAAAAAAAGAGACCCACTATCGATGTAAAGTGAATAAATACCAGGAACCCCACAATTTTCCCAATTGCCTTTTCCTAATTTCATATACAATTCGCTCTCACTTGAATTATGTTGAACTTCATCACAGCCTAATGGTTGGTGAATACTTTTTGCTATTTTGCAAAAACTTAAATGAAAAACCCCGTTTATTTTATAGAGTTTTGACTATGAACCATTTGATGTCTTTTTGTTATCGCTATTATTGTGGTTAGATAATGATAATGATAACTGTATGCATCGTAAAAGGACACTTTATTGTGCACGGTTGTATGGATGAGTGTCTGATAATTTTTCTCATACGTACACAAAAAAAAGCAACATTGCAGAAACAAAAAAAAAAATGTCTGCTAAACTCCGAAGTGGGTCAAGTGGATCTCGAGCTTATTTTATTTTATTATAATTTTTACCCACTTTGACAAAAACGAATTGAATAATGTACAGTATGAAAAGAAACAAAATACACCAAAAAACAAAAAAAAAAATACCCAACAACCATATGCACCACACCTTTCGGAGAATAGTGGGAGAATTTACCATTTAGTTTAATTAGAATCAAATAAACTAACCTCCAAGAATAAGAAAACAAAAAAAAAAACAAAAAAATTCAGGTATAAATATCGTCCCAGTTTTCCATTTATCCAAATCTCATTTCTTATTCTAAAATTTTTTTTATATATTTCTTCTCTCTTTTTATTTTTGTTTATTTATTTATTTAAGTGATAAACTACTATCATATTATTGTACAGTTTTTTCTTTAAAAAGAATATTCAATTGATTTGAAACTATAAAGAACAAACAGTTATTCAATTCTATTTATTTGCCTTTTGCACCCGACAAATCTTATTTATTTCCTTTAGCATTTTATTTTTGTTCGATTGATTAATTGCCAGATTATCTCGTGATTGGTTAGTACACGCTATTGTTAATATTTTATTTTTTTTAGAGACTCAAAACTAAGTTCCCCGCTATACTTACGAAACTACTCCAAGTAACACCCCAAACGAAGCAAACGAGACTATTCGACCCAAAAAAAATTTCTAAAAAAAAATGCCAGAATCTACTCAACAATCTCATATTTCTTTGGATCATGAAAAGATGCAGCAACCTCCAGCTGGTTTCACTGAACGTTCCACTTCCAAACCAAACTTACCAGATTTCGACACTTACAAGAAATTGTACCAACAATCTGTAGAAAATCCAAATGAATTTTTCACCGAACAAGCAAAGAAGAATTTAGACTGGTTCAAACCATTTGATTTGGCTAGATTCCCTGTCGATCCAAAAGATGATTTCAAGAATGGTGATTTGCCAGCTTGGTTTATCAATGGTCAATTGAATGCTTCATACAATGCTATTGATAGATGGGCTATCAAGAACCCAGATAAGCCAGCTATTATTTACGAAGGTGATGAACCAGATCAAGGTAGAATCATTTCTTATGGTGAATTATTGAAAGAAGTCAGTAAATTGGCTCAAACTTTGACTAAATTGGGTGTTAAAAAAGGTGATTCTGTCGCTGTTTACTTACCAATGATTCCTGAAGCTATTGTCACTTTATTGGCCATTGTCAGAATTGGTGCTGTCCATTCTGTTGTCTTTGCTGGTTTCTCTTCTGCCTCTTTAAGAGACAGAATTTTAGATGCTGACTCTAGAATTGTCATCACTGCTGATGAATCCAAGAGAGGTGGTAAAACTATCGAAACCAAGAAGATTGTTGATGATGCTTTGAAGGAATGTCCAAAAGTCAGAAATGTCATTGTTTTCAAAAGAACTGGTAACTCACATGTTCCATTTTCTCCTGGTAGAGATTTATGGTGGCACGAAGAATTGGCCAAATACGGTCCATACTTCCCACCAGTCCCAGTTAACTCTGAAGATCCATTGTTCTTGTTGTATACTTCTGGTTCTACTGGTAAGCCAAAGGGTGTTCAACATAATACTGCTGGTTACTTGTTGGGTGCCGTTTTAACCACCAAATACACCTTTGATGTCCATGAAGATGATGTCTTGTTCACTGCTGGTGATGTTGGTTGGATTACTGGTCACACTTATTGTGTTTACGGTCCATTGTTGTGTGGTGCCACTACTGTTGTCTTTGAAGGTACTCCAGCTTATCCAAACTTCTCCAGATACTGGGAAATTGTTGACAAATATAAGGTTAACCAATTCTATGTTGCACCAACTGCTTTAAGATTATTGAAGAGAGCTGGTACCAAGTATGTTGAAAAATACGACTTGTCCTCCATTAGAGTCTTGGGTTCTGTTGGTGAACCAATTGCTGCTGAAGTTTGGCACTGGTATAATGACAATATTGGTAGAGGTAAAGCTCATATTGTCGATACTTATTGGCAAACTGAATCTGGTTCTCATTTGTTGACTCCATTGGCTGGTGTCACTCCAACCAAGCCAGGTTCTGCTTCCTTGCCATTCTTTGGTGTTGTTCCAAAGATCTTAGATCCAACTACTGGTCAAGAATTAGAAGGTAACGATGTTGAAGGTGTCCTTGCTATTAAATCTGCTTGGCCATCTATTACTAGAGGTATTTACAATGATTACAATAGATTTATTGAAACTTATTTGGCTCCATACCACGACCACTATTTCTCAGGTGATGGTGCTGCTAGAGATAACGATGGTTTCTACTGGATCTTGGGTAGAGTTGATGATGTTGTCAATGTTTCTGGACACAGATTATCAACTGCCGAAATCGAAGCTGCTTTGATTGAACATCCATTGGTTGCAGAATCTGCTGTTGTCGGATATGCCGATGACTTGACTGGTCAAGCCGTTGCTGCTTATGTTTCCTTGAAGAAAGATAAGGTTAATGATGATTTGGAAGCTGTCAAGAAGGAATTGATTTTAACTGTCAGAAAAGAAATTGGTCCATTTGCTGCTCCTAAATTGATTTTGTTGGTTGATGACTTGCCAAAGACCAGATCTGGTAAGATTATGAGAAGAATCTTGAGAAAAGTTTTGGCTGGTGAAGAAGATCAATTGGGTGATATTTCCACATTATCTAATCCAGGTGTTGTTCAACAAATCATTGAAGTTGTCCATGCTTCAAAGAAATAAATCTAGATATGCAGGGGATGCTTTCTCATTTTGATTTCTTGTGTTTGTTCTATATAATTATATTCTACTTTTTTTTTTTTATAAGAAAAAGTAAACATTAATTGTAGATTATTTATTTGTTGTCGTATTTATATATACATTGAAATAATGATTCCGGTTCTGGTTTTGTAGCAATTACATGAGGTTTAATATCGTACTCTAATAAATATTCTTCAGTAGTTGGACCTATTGAAGCAATTTTCCAATTAGTATTACTATCATCACATGAACGTAAATGTTCAACTATTTCTTTAGTACCTTGAGGACTGAAAAAAACTATCCAACCTTGATTAAGTAATTTAACTTGATTAAAATTTTCCACTATATCTTCACGATTTTGAGTTTTATAAATGATAAATTCTTTTAAATTATAACCAAAATTAATTAATTTTTTGGGAATAATATCTTTTCTAATTTCACCTGTGAAAAATATAATAGGAGTATTAATATCAACTTCTTTAATTATTAAATCAGCTAATTTAGATCCATTACCTGCTTTTTCACCACCTCTAACATCTTTAAATCCTGAATTTTTCAAAATATTAAATGTTGCTGGTCCAACAGTATATCCAGATTTTGAATAAATTTTCTCTCTTATTTCAATATCTATTTCTTCAATACATTCATTAAACATTTCAACTGCTCTTTGTGAAGTTATTATAAAAATTGGAATATTATTGATAAATTCATCATTCATTAAATATGATATAGTATTTGATTTATCTTTATGTGTATGTGTTAATAATGGAATAAATCTAGCATTATATTCAGTCGAAAATTTGATCTGATATGGATCTTGAGGTATACTTGGATTCTTTAGTAGTATTATATTCTTCATGACTAATCTTTGATACTTGATTGGTGAGTACAGTTTAAACTGATTAGAATTTTTTTTTTCTTTTCTTTTCTTTTCTCGATAAATTTTTCTTTACTCGGTTTTTTCTTTGCGAAATATACAAAAAGTCGTGTGAAAATTGACTAGTTGGTTTTAAGAGGTAATTCATAAAACATTCCATAAGAGTTGTTCTTAGGAATGGATTCTTGTAATAAATAGCTCTGATAGTGAATTATGCTTATAGTAAAAAAAAATCCAACTATTTACTTTATGAACAATTCGATTTTCTCGTGAGATATTTCATATATGACGAGTACTTCAATGAATAGTATATACTAGTACTAGCTTTATGTAAAGAGGGAATCACTTGGAAGTATAGATGCTCCTAATTTTGTCTCTCTTGTTTAGTAGGTGGTATCGATGTATACTGTTCTAGAGTCAAGCAGTAAACAGTTTGTAACATCTCTTCTATATTCCCAGTGTGGTCATTGTTGGTGTTCAACGAAAACACAACAAAGCCTAGCTAGCTCAATCGGCTTAGAGCGTGAGACTTTTAATCTCAAGGTTGCGGGTTCGAGTCCCGCGTTGGGCTTTTCTTTTTTGTCTTTGTGATTGATGTTTTTCAGTTTATGTTATAGAGTCAATTATTCATTTTTTTTGGAGTTTAGAGATGAGATGAGATGAACTGGGTGTGAAAACTACGAGAAAAATTTTTAGGGTCGTCAATTTAGTCAGAGGACAATGGTAGCGCGTGCTAATCTAGAGCCAAAGCAGAACCACCCATCAAAGAGAAGATACTGATACAAGTGCTACTGTTTTCTTCTGCCTCTGTCTACTATCAACTATGACTACTTTAAATGTAGGCAATAGCATCGACTGAAGTGATGGGTCATTGTCGCAGTGTGTTGGTACAACAACTGAATGTTCTCTCTGTAGCGAATATAATATGCGGTGGTGTCTAATGAGAATAGTGTCATCTAGCTAGATTCCCTGCCACTCAGAGTGACCTTCGTTCTGAAAATGGACAGACATCAATTGGTAGCCTAGCTAGCTCAATCGGCTTAGAGCGTGAGACTTTTAATACCAATTAAGAGGATATCTCAAGGTTGCGGGTTCGAGTCCCGCGTTGGGCTTCTTTTTTGTTAATTTGATATCTAATACATGTATAAACTTGTGTATTATTTCTTTTTTTTTTTTTTATTGTGGTTCTGATTCATTGTTTAGTGTTAAATTTTGGAGTATATCGACGAGATGAGCATTTGTGTTGTGTGAGATTTTCTTTTTTTTTTTCTGTGCTGCGATGTGGTAGCGTGAAATAAAAAGAAATGAAATAAAAAAAACTAACTTATGGTAAGCCTGTATTAAATAAGAGACGTGTAGAACAGTGGGAGCAGTAGTTGTAAAATATCTTGTTATTATTTGTATCCTCTTGCGTAAAAATCACTGAGCTTTAAAATTTTTCTACAACAAAATATGGTACAACTGAAAGTAAAAATTGAAAATTCTTTATGGAAGTCTACTCATTTGGTATGCTCCGGTTATCCAAAAACATATAGAGAAATTATTAGACAATCAATTCTTAGTTGACTAGTTGCCTATGGATTCATTGTAATTGTTGGTAACAAAGTGAAACCAAATTAATAAAGCATACTCGAGAAATATAGTACAGCCTCTAAGGAACTGTTGGAAGTGGTACTTAACAGTGGTAGTCATCTGCTGTTATATTGCTAACCATCTTGTTGTCGGATGTGATGGTGTGACGGTGTGTCGATGAAGTGGAAGATGATTCTTTCCTTCAACCGGCCAAGTGTTATTTTGTACAGGTTTTAACAACACAACAACAAGCCTGGCTAGCTCAATCGGTAGAGCATTTGACTCTTAGATATACTAGTCATCAAAAGGTTGCGGGTTCGAGCCCCGCGTTGGGCTTACTTTTTTGCACTTGCTTTGAATATGTTTGTAATTGCTGTGTTCTGCGCGGTGATGAATCAGGCATTTGTGAGTTTCATTTTTTTTCATCACTCATTCAATGTGAACATGTTGTTCACGCCCAAGGCATATAATTCGTTTCACTATATGAAGTAGTGGTAAAGGTGACTCGATTTATGGGTTCTTATTAGGATAGTATCTTTTAAAGATCAGGTAGTTCCAACAAACTCAATCAATGATTTGTAAAACTGTGATGAATATTTTGGTTGCAAATACCAACAAAGTTTATATGAAATAATAAAAACTAACTAAAAATTTCTGTTACAATTCATTATTAATCATTAATGAAACTAACATGCGATACCAAGTGTACAGCCATCATATTAGACATCAGATATAGAATTTACCACACTTGAACAAACTTACTAGTATCACCAGAACTCCAAAAAAAACAACGGTTTTCACTATTTATCTACGCTGGCACGACTCTAAAGGTTATCATATAGACCCTACAACATGAATAGACCAATCAGGACATTAATGAAGAGTATTTCTTCCTTTTATAGTAAACACATTCCAGTTATCTAGTCCGTTTCCCCTTCCATTAAATACGCAGCTTTAGCTCATCTGGGAGAGCGTCAGACTGAAGATTCTTTAGTAATCTGGAGGTACTGTGTTCGAGCCACAGAAGCTGCATTTATTTTTTTCCACCACCCGACAAACACAGAAGCAACGGCAATGAATTGATATGCAATTATTAATCACTTTCATTTTCTTTTTTTTTTTTTAGAATGTTATTTTATTACGATCACTCATATATATTGATGGAATAATAATAATAATAATAATAATAAAAAAACATTATATCTATACTTCAATTCTATTAGTCAACAGTACCAATCCTTTTTCTCGGTTGGCCCAAGTCACCCAGTTCGGAGTGTAATGTTACAACTGGTCAAACTACAAACCACGCAATTCTAATCTAAATCCTTTCATCATCATCATACTCTAAATAGAAATATATATTATCATTATCATTAACTCAAGTAGTCTAATAGATAATATGTATAAAAAAAAAATCATACTAATTAGAAACAAACACATTAAAATTAAAATAAATTAGCTAAAAGAAGAAATTACTTGTACAATCTTATCAAAAACAATATTACTGTTCAATTCGAAACCCATAACATAAACCATGAAAAATATGGTGAAAATTGCCACTAGGGCTGGTATCCAGAAAAATATCAACATTTTATCATTTTCCACTGTTTTACGTGGATGATTAATATAATTCACCACCATGTCTTCAGAAGAATCAGATGTCACCTCAGCTTCAGCTTCTTGTGTTGTGCTTTGTGGTTCTGGGAAAATAGACTTGTAGGACGGAACTGCTTCACTATCAGCAAAGTATTCTTCTTCCTCTTCGCCAAAGATTTCTGACGTCTTCATACTTGACCATTTCTTCAAATCAGCATCATTATTGGTTCTGGATTCGAAGAATTCCACCAACTTATTCAATTTGGCAAGATTCTTATTATCAGAATCAAACCACTCACTAGTATTCGGAGAAGTTGTCGACGATACATAATTACTGTTGTTATTGGAAGTGGCATCAGTACCAACTATTCTCCTGGCAATGTTTTTAGCATCATCCAATTTACCATTCATCTTCAATCCAACAATTTGCAATGCCAATTCAATCAACTGTCTATCGGTATCATCAGTATAGGTGAACACTTGTTGCTGTTGTGGACCGCCATACATAACATTAGTATCTTGATTCTCAAAACTAACCAAAACCTGACCCGGTTGAGCGGCTGGTGGTAAGTAAGTCACGATGGTAGTTTCTGACCAACAATGGGTAGCCAAGGCTTGATTGACACCAAATTTAACCAGTAAACCGGGACGAAAGTTGCATCCCAAGATTGTCACTTCAATACCTCCTCTAATCAGACCTTGTTGCGGAATAATTTTCTGAATCATTGGAGTTGGGAAATGTGGTTGCTGACTAGGCGATGTAAATTGAAACTGTTGATTGTGTAAACTCAATGACGAGTATTGACGATTGATTGAAGTGGAAGTATCACTAAACGGACTTGTAGCATCTGTTGTATTCGAAAGACGTGCCTTTTTAAATGTAGGTTCTTCAGATGCCGATGCTGACTCTGGAGGAGAGAGCTGATGGAAGATTTCCCCACCCGATTCAGGAAGTACTGTCTTACTTGTGTTAGGTGGACTAGTAGCAGATTTCTTTCTATCCATAATCAAAATAGGAGTAGTAACTTGTTTAGCAACAACATTACCAGTGAAGTCCTTCAACACAATAAGAATTTTAAACCCCTCCAGTTCCTTGTGGTGTCTACAGTAACAAATTATTCTTGCAGACAAATCAAATTTTAAATCACATCCAGGAACAACAGTTAATGGAACCAATTCTTTGGAATTAAATATAATTGCCTTCTTAGGCTGGTCACTATCCCACATCTTACCAGATGATTTGGTTCCTCTTGAAGATCTTTTTCTTTCTCTTTCAGTACAACGTTCACATATCTGACATGAGTTTTGTAAGTCACTTGTTAAGACATATGCATCCAAGAAAAGAGTGGTAGGCTGTAATGATGCTGGAAGTTCTTCAGCCAAACAGTATTTGTTTTTGCTAACTAAATCTTGAGCAAGTTTAAGGTGATTGAAAGCTGGAGCTGAAGGGTTTGTTGTGTGAAGCTGCAATTCCAATTTAATCTGTGTCTCTACTCTGGAGTATGCAGGCAATTTGCCAATGCGTAAAGAATACGCTAAATTCTCTGGAGCAATGGAAAGGTAGCTTGGATCTACTTTGATTGTAGAAGGAGTAGTATTTGGCAGAGGGTTGCCGAATTTTATATTGTCAGTTGAAGGAGGGACGTGGACTGAAGGGAAGTCCATGTCAATAAATTCACTAAAAATGTCCATCTTCCGTTCAAATAATATATGATTACTGTATCTTAGATGAAGATGATGGTATAAAAATTATGGAAGCAAACAGGAAGAAAAAGAAAAAGACAAAAAAAAAGGAGGTTGAATGAAATTAATTATTTGTTGATAGTTTTAAGAAAATTAAAAAAAGAAAGACGAAAATTTAATACTGTGTGTGTGTGTGTGTGTGTGTGAATGAGTGTGTTTTGTGTGTGGCAGTATAGAAAAAAAAATTTTCCCTTCCTTTTTTTTATTTTCTCGCCTCTTTCTTTTTTTATTTTGGCTTTTTGTTTTATTAGAGTGAGGCAGATAAAAGTTGAGTTCTGGAATTAATTTGTGAGTATGCATGATACTATTTTTTTTATTGATTTCATACTTTGCTAATAATGACTTGCCCCGCTTTGAGCTAGAATGACAATGACCTTTCACAGTTGAAGATAAAAAACGTTGGCAACAAAATAAGTTACGGTTGTAGATTATCAACAACGGATCAATATCCTTTTTGTTGAATTGTTCCGACATTTTTACCAGAAACACTTCTCTACACAGCATCTGCAAGTGTCTCAGGGGATGCATGTTGAATGTGCTCGCAAACCCCAAAAAAATAATTAAGAATGCAATTGTCTGATGTGTTCAAAACTTAGACAAGTCAAAATAAAATAGAAAATAGGGGGCTAGCACTAGATTCGATAGAAAAGGAAATAGACCCATGCAGGATCACATACACTACAATAATTATAAGAATACAATAGAGTGTTTAATCAATCTGCTCTTTATTTGCTTTAAGCTACCTTTTCTTTAGATGAAGAATTGTGCTTAAAACCTATGCATGTAAGCCAACAAAGATCTCTCAATCTAAAAAAAAAACATGTCTTACATCATTTCAACACAATCACACTCAACAATTGAATACATCAAATGTTTGTGCATGTAATTAGTCTAGACTAAATTGTTGACGCCATGGTTCTCAACATTTGTCTTCATGAGTTCCATTTATCCCACGGCTCATGTAGATTTATTGATTGATTGCAAAAAAAAAAAAAATTTGATGAGGGGCCGCACAAAACTAAAGGTTCTTCACATTATCCCAAATTGGAAGCGCGACAGTAAAATCTGATCATTGAAAATTTAAAATGTTAAAGGAGAAAAAAAAAGAAATTTCTTACGAGAGCTCAACAAATTTTGTTGGGGAATCAAACACACGACCAAGGTCGTGTACATGAGAAGCAATTACACGTGACACAACACACGTGATAAGTTATTTCTATTATTAGTATAGATAATATACGACGATCCTTGGGAAAGATCTAGATTAAGAACACTGTGAATCATTGTTTCCTTCTCTCTTTTTTTTTTTTCTTTCTTTCAGCTCTCGCTGAACCCAAATACGGAGAGGATATATCCCCACGTTGTGAATAAATTTCCTTTAAATCTCTCCTAATCTTATCTGAATCTTAAACTGATTCCAAGAATTTGTCTATCTACCGATAAGGATTCGTTAATTAGGATTGCTAACTACATTGATTAATCAATTGTTCGGCTGTTATTATATCTATGGGTTATCAAACAATGGCTAACTTGTACCACATCGCGTCGTAGTAAGAAAATTTTTTTTTTCTTTTTCATTTCCCTTGGTGATATTTCATTTTGCAGACATGGTTTTATAAACACAATGGATGTTGCAGAACTTAAGACTGTTAAGAAATCTTTAATTGAAACGAAACCACCAGTTGAAGAAGATGTTAACATACATCTTAACTATCTATTGAATTTATTTAATTTGAAAGATGGAACAGATAAAGAGAGAGTAATATTCAATGATACCTTATCAATATGCTTATTACGATACAATACATTTAACAATACCCTTGAAGAAGTTGACAAAATCTTTGATTATTGCTTGAATTATATCAATAGCAATCATTCTCCATTACAGAATTCTTTGAACGGGATCATAGATAAACTACTACATTTTAAGAATGTTGATATCCATTCTTGGATTGATATGATTATGCATCAACCTTTGACTAAGAATCTATTCGTACTTCTTGAAAAGTTGCTTAGAAAACTCGACAGTATTCACTATTTTGTTGAAAAGTATCCAGACTACCCTCAGAAAGCAATGTCCATGTTTGATAACAACATAGGAAACGCTATTAGTAAAACATTGGTTGTGATTTACAATGAGATTTATACACAGCTAAACAAAAACACTAAAGAATGGTACAATTCCTGGATAGGATTGTTAGATTTGGAGAATATAGCATTGAGACATAGTTTAATTACTCATTTACTTCCCGGTTTGATTAGTATTGATCCAAAGTCATTCCAATTTTTGGTTGAAGATTGTAAAGATAATCTTCATGCACTTATTAGTGTTCTTAGTATGGGTCAAAAAATGAGATTTATTGAGTCATTAGAATTAATAGATCAAAAATCGTTGATTTCATGTTTAGTACATTCAGATGCTAGAATTCGTAATGATGCATTACAGTTATTATTCGGAGGAAAGAAAGAACCATTTTCAAGCTATACTTTTAACACGATTATCGACAATCGTATAATGGAAATCAACCTTAATGAATCTGATCAGCAAGATAAATTTATTTCAACCATTTATCAGTTCATTAATGGAAAATTGGCAGAGTCTTTAAGAGGGAAGTTGGGTAAAGAATCCGAAGTTGTTGCGAGGGAGTATTTACTCAAGTTTAAAGCTCTTTTATTCAGACATTTGGAAGCTCAAAATAATTTCCAACAAAAATTGGGAAGTATTATGATACTCAAATATCTTCATGAGAAAATAGAAAATGTATTTGATGAGCATTTAATTGAGTTGTTGATTGATAACTTATTTTCCAACTATAAATTAATCCGTGAGTCAAGTTTGCAATTTTTAATTCAATGTCAAAAGTTTTCTCAAATGTTTAACAAAGTCCAGGCGTTGGAAGACAAAACATTTGCCATTTTACCGAGGTTATCAGGACGTGAAAGTGAAGGTGCAGCTTTGGCAGTAGCATTTTTGGCCAAGTATCACAAAGAAGCTAATAGTTTGGATAGATTTATGAACAAGTTGTACCGAGGTTTGGGAAAAGAATCTGGTGAACATGGTTACCTTCAAGCACTGGCAGTAGTTACTAGCAGACTTGGTATCTGTGGTGATTTTGAAACGTTGTTAGTAGCTGCAAAACAGGCAACTAGAAGAATGACTGACATATTATCAACTGAGAGAATAGCTTATGCTAATGAACTCGAATTTGTGAAATCAAAAGAGGTTGTTAATTATTCATGGAAAGTTTTACAGGGTGCCAATGATTTATTTCTTGCGTTGTTGCAAAAACAGCCAAACTTACAGGACGTGGATGAGTGCTTTCATCTTGTTGTTGCACAACTTCATAATATCAAGTTTAGAGCTGCAATCTCATCACTGTACCCAACAATGATTGCTATATCAAGATTACTCCATTCATTGGATAGTACAAGAATTGAAACGTACGTCAAAAATGAAATAACGTATATCAGAAGTGAAATTAAACAATTGGTTACTCGAAGATCTGGTGGGTTATTATATGTGATTCCATCTATGTTAATAGCCGCCAAGGATAAGAATTTGGGAGATTTCGTTTTTGAACAATTATTTGAGATTGCAAACTTGCCGTATGAGTCTGAATCCAAAGAAGATTTACCACAAGTACACGCATTTAACACTTTATCTCAATTATTTAAAGAAAGCCAATTAACTGGAGAGAGTTCACCTTTTATAGAAAGAGCTTTATTCCTTTCTTTACAAAACTTTGATGCATCAAACTGGTCTATCCGAAACTGTGCCTTGATGTTATTTGGCCATTTGGAAAGAAAAATATTCTCAGGAGCAAAGGTCAATTCCAATAGATTTTTTGCTAGATTTAAAAAGATTGAACAAGTTTTTGTTGAGTATTTAGTTAATGGTCAAGATCAAACCGTGTTTCCTATATTGATAATATTAGAACAATTAGAGTTCACTTCAAGTGGTAAAATAGAATTAAGAGATGCAGTCATTAAGTTACTTGGTAAAAAGTCTTGGAAAGTTCGTGAGTTTGCTGCAAAAATCATTGCTCACATGTTGAAACCAAATGAATTGCAAGCATTTATCACAAGTGCTTTGGAATCTAAATTACAATTGAATTCTTTACATGGTGTATTGATTTGTTTAAAACATGGTACCTGTAAGATCGATTTCCCTATAGAAAAGTATTCACACCTAGCATTTGGTGACTACGTTATTGCTAATGAGTATATCAACATCTTGGATAGAATGGGATGTGAAGTTGATTCGAGGCTTTCATCATACTTTGAGGAATTGATCACTAAAAGAGAAACTTTAGACGGCGGAAGACAATTGTTTCTTGAATCATTTGTTGTTTATCTATTGAATAATGACAAGGCAAATAATTTGGACTACATCAAGTTGGCATTACAATCAGAATATGATAATGTTCACGACAGAGTGTTGGATTATATTTCAACAAACACTATTGCTTGCCCATTGTTAATTAGAAAGTTTATCATATCACATAATTTTCACTACACAAAGGTACATGCTTTGAAATTGTACTCTACTATGGATGACATTACTCCCCTTCCACCAATGCAAGAAAATCAACCAGGATTATTTGAATGTTCTGCACGTTTTGTTGATGATGATAACAAACAGTTTTTTGATCAATGTGTGAAGTACACAGCTAGTTTCGAAGAGATTGATACTAGGATAATGGGATTCAACGCTATTTTTTCGTATTTAAAGCGATGCACCAATAAAAAAGGATTCCTTTACTCAGCTTGTTTGTCACTTTGTTTCGAAAGAGGCCTCTTTGATGATGATGAGGACATTAGACAACTGGCCAATCAATGCATTTCAGAAATTATCAACTGTGGAAATGTCGCTACCACGCATTTGACTTATATTTTCCCTCCGTTGGCCAAATCTTTATTGAGTGGTGAGCATTATGATGATTTAGTTAGTGCCATAATTCAAAGAAATACCCTTGATCATTCTAGATTGGAGCATGATTTGGAAGAAGCACAAGAGGGTAGTCTTTACTCTTTCGAAAGAGATAATTTTTACAAGAATGAAGTTGATTTCAGTATGATTTTGGGTCAATTCCCAATTAACAACAATAAACTTGATATAGTAAAAAACAAAGTGTTAGATGATATTGAGTTCATTAAAAAATTTAGACAACAACATGCTGATGAAATAGAGTACATTCCTCGTGATTATATACTTTATGATTTTGTTCAGAAGACTAGAATTAATGCCGAAACAGTTGGTATCACAAACCTAGATGAAAAATTGTTTGCCCTAACTTTTTGCAAATTGGGATGAAACTATCGCGAGAAGACAAAAAAAAAGTATAAATAGAGAGGGAAAGGAATCAAGAGAAAATTTTTTCCATTTAGTTTTTACTTTCTTTTTTTTTTCTTTTTGTTTTCTTTAATTTCTACTTTAACCAAGCCAGGAATACATAAAGGTATGTGAATAATTGGAAATAATAAATTATTCAATTCTTGATTCCTTTTATTTTAATGATGAATGATTATTTTAACAACAACGAATTTCTTCACCTGAAATACCATGTGGAAACAACAATAATTTCAGAGCTTTTTAACACTGATTTATAATGAAAAGATCAAGAATAGATTAATTAACTAATTGACAATGAATTTAATACTAACAAGAACTTATTAGCTTGTATAAATAATCATTAATAGACATTAATACAATTTTTTTTTGTTCGTACAATTGTTTTTAAATCTGTAAGGTTCATCTCATCACTCTTCAATTTTTTTTTTTTTTTTGAATCTCTATTGACAACATCTTCTTCTTGAATAACACCTACCACCATGAGTTCCGACACGTTTTCAATATGTTCTAAATGTTTAGGTAATGACAAACACATAAAAATGATCAAACAAGTCGATGGAGATGAGTGTCGTCAATGCACTAGACCATTCACAGTGTATAGATGGGGGAACCGAACAGCATCCACTAAATTACAAAAAACTATAATTTGTATGACTTGTGCCAGAGCCAGAAATTGCTGTCAATCATGTTTGTTAGATATAACTTATGGAATACCTACAGATATTCGGGATACTGCTTTGAAAATGGCAGGTCTTGAACCATTATGGAATACACCAAATCCAACAAACCGTGAAGTTAAAGCTATAATGGCAGATAAACTAGAACAAAAATTCAAAGATCAAGAAAATAAATCCAAAGACATATTATCTAAATTGGCTGAAAAATTGAATTTAAAGAAAGAAGAAGAAGAAGTTGTGAAAGTGGGGTCAGATGGGCCTATGGATATTGGAAAGCTAGCAAAGAAACTACCATTTAGTAATCTGTTGGATGTAAATAAATATACTGAAATGACATCGTTTTTCATATTTGGATTTCCATCAGATATACCCAAGAATTTGATCTCCAGTCATGCATCACAGTACGGTAAATTGAAATCAATTGTCATTAATGGTGAAAGTCGATGTGGGTTTATTTCTTTTGAAGACAAGGAATCCGCCAATGCATTTGCAAAAGCAGTTGACGAAAATGAAATGAATGAGAACAAAGCTACGGCTGGATTATTATTATTGGATAATAACCCTATGAGAGTTTGTTTTGGTAAACAGAGACCATTACCAGGGAAAACTAATGATATGAAAAAATTGAGTGCTGTTGTGGCCAAAGTAATGAAACAATTGGCTGAAAAGGACAAAGGTGGTTACAATAAACCACAGACATCATCCAAACCTTCTAAGAAGAAATACAAAGCATTGCAAGATGATTATGAAGAGTAGAGTAATTATTATGTGTAATCGTATAAATAAATTTACGTAACAGCAGCGTTATGCAAACTGTAACGTACGCAAAATATCAACCTTGAAAAAAAAAATAGTGACAACCAAAAAATGACAACGACCCTCTGTTTAAACAACAACTTGAGACCAACCATGGATGTTGAAACATTCTATTGTATAATCATTGGATTAGTGTTTGCACCAGTATTTTTAGTATTAATTAGATTACTATACATTCTTCCTGCATTAAGATTACCTCCTTCAACAACAACTCCAAAGAAATTACTCGATGCGGCTCATATTTCAATTTTGTTAGGGTCTGGAGGACATACTGGAGAAATGATGAGAATTGTTTCAAAAATGGAGATGCCTAATGCAACTAGAACATGGATTTATTCAGATGGGGATAATTCTTCTTTATCTAAAGCAAAAGAATTTGAAGAGAAGAGAACTACCGCCACTACAAATTACATTTCAATTCCTAGAGCAAGACAAGTGGGTCAAAATTATATTTTAAGTATTCCAACTACTTTATACTCATTTGTTATTTCAGCAATCAAATTATTAAACCATAAACCTGATGTTCTTCTTTTGAACGGTCCCGGTACATGTGTTCCTGTGGCATATATTTTATTCTTTTATAAATTCTTGGGATTATGTAAAACAAAAATTATTTACATTGAAAGTTTGGCTAGAGTGAGTAAGTTGAGCCTTAGTGGGTTATTATTATTACCTATTAGTGATAGGTTTATTGTCCAATGGGAGAATTTATACCACCAGTATAATAGAGTAGAATATTATGGTGTCTTGATATAGGGATATACATTTCGTTTATAGATTTTAAAAATGCCAACAGCTCTGTGTTTAAAACATCAACTCTTGAAAGAATTTGACTTCTCTGTAACTTATTCAGGCTAGTAGTCTTTGTTTCTATTGCGGTAGCTCCCTTGAGTAACTTTAAATATATGGTAAAGAGGTGGCTTGCATATTTTGACTGGATCTTGTTCTATAGGAGTGGCAGTAGCCATACTGGCGGACAGATGGCTACTATTGGTTGGTTCTATGGGCATATTTCTTAACACTCCATTATACCTGGCCACACTAGCCCTATCTAAACTGGCATCCAAAGTATAAATATTATTCAAGTCATCAATATCATCGATATTGTACTGTGATCCAAAGAACAAATCAGATTCCATTATTTTGTAACAACAAGCAGCTATTTTGACCACACATTCTTTGTCAGCTAGTGTACTATCACACACTATAGTCAACAGGCCATAATTCAGAACTCCCACCAAACAAGCACCAGGTAAGCCTTGATAGTACAAACATCTTAACAAGTTAACAGTATCTATGCCAGTAGATTCATCTGTCTCAAGAAATTCAATCTCATGAAACATTGCCCGAACTAAATCATCATCTGTGCTGCCACCAGACGTTGCATTGATGAGTTTGAATTGCATGAAGAATGCTGTAAACAAAAATAGAAGAATTTGGTAAACCATTGTCTCAATTAGTTGGATAAAACAATTTAATCACAAATTGTAGGAATATTCAAATGGCTTCTACATCTGAGGGATAATTTAGAAACTAAATAAACTTCAGTAAATAAATATTTTCTCGTTTTTTGGGTTAAAATGACTCATGATGGAGTTGGTACATTTATTGTTGTAAAGGGGATGTTAGCGGATATGGTGTTAATATGCTTAAATTTAGTCTATGATAGGTTTTGAACTCTTCTTTACGATTTCAAAAAGTAGTGCAACGAATACAAGTAATAAATGTAGACACATGAAACATATTGTGCTACACACGATATGTGTCAAGAAAAAGAAGAAATTCTAATGTCTAGCATATACTCTCGTAACTTGTTCACAAGAATAGATATAATCAGAAAAAGGCTAGTAACATTGTATATATTGAATATTATATAGAAATTGCACAGTTTATGTCCTATGTTTTTATGACTGTTATTTGCTTGAAAAAGACGTATGCACAAGACAGTAGTGGGAATATTCATTTCGAAGTCTGAAATCAACACGCATTTGAAACTCACAAAAATATCCTGACTTTTTGCAAGCACAAACAGTACTCCATATCAAGCAACATTATTTTTTTTTTAACTGGAATGAATCTGGGGAATACATTTCATGGAGAGATTTATGAATTCCCTGGGGTGCACCTTGATAGATTCACTAGTAATGGTGAAGTTTTTCTCCTAACACACAGCCATCAGGATCATTTACAAGGATTGTTGAATAAATCGTTCTGCAACCGCGTTTACTGTTCTTTGTTGACCAAATGTATCATTGCATTGGAAGACAAGTATCTGACGGTATTACCTTACTTGGTGGCAAAAGAGTACAACGAACCATTTGAAATTGAAACTCTGCAATGCAAACTTACTGTGACTTTGATTCCTTCATATCATTGCCCTGGATCAGTGATGTTTCTACTAGAAGGAATAGATAAAGCAGTGCTAGCCACAGGAGATATTAGAGCAGAATCATGGTGGGCATCAACTTTGATAAAAAATACATATTTGTTTCCCTACATTACTGGATTGAAAGTACTTGATCAGATATATATTGATACTACTTTTACATACCGAGGTGAACCGTACATTTCAATTATGCCAAATAGTGAAGGGATATTTGCTGCAATGGAGTTGTTGAAATTATATCCAGTAGACGACGAAATACAGTTTATGTTTGTTGATTCTGTATCGGGATCCGAGGAAGCGTGGTTCCAAATCGCTAACTATTTTGATTCCGAGCTACGAGCTAATGACTTAGTAACAAGGAGAAATGAACTACTACGAAAGCACCGTGATTTCTACTCACCGATCAAGACAACATTCAAGACAGGACCAATATTTAATGTTGGTTATCCTAAATCTCCACCACCAGTACTAATAATCATAAAACATGCTATAAATTTCAATGTGATCGACTATGCTGGTCAATGTTTACCAAGGAAGATATCAGAAATTGATCCCCGTGATCTTAAATGTTTATTCACTACCATAAGAGGTCATAGAGTTTATGAACATGATGAAAGACAGTGGTTGTTACCAAAAAACCAAGATGAACTACTACCAATGGCAATCATGTTGATGTTTTCCCGTCATTCATCATTCGAAGAGACCAGAAATTTTATTGATTTGTTTCGACCCAAACTGGTTTATCCATGTACTAAATCACGAGTCACTTGGTTGAATGGATTCACTGTATCTCGAGTATTTGGTGATTTGTGCGTTGGCAACTCCAATCATAGGTTTGATCTCGATAAGTTTAAGAAGTTTGGATATCCATTACCACAAATCATGGATAGAGAGGTTACATCCATCAATAGATGGTCATTTTCACAATGCTTACATGAAGTAGATTTTGTTCACATTTCATCTGAACGACCATTCAAAGGACAAATACCCTTAATACCTAAAAGTATCAACAAGTCTGTGACAAAATCGTCAAATGAGTTTAATTTACAATCATTAATTGCTGGAAGAAATGAAGAGAAGTATAAGGAGGTGATCAATTACCATAAAACTTTACGAGCTAATCCAGTCTTTCATAGACTTGATTACAATTCCAGTAGTTATGGTTCACAGTCAAGCTACGAAGAAGTGAAAACATATTCTGATGAAGAGGAATATTATGAAGGAGATGATAATCCAGGAATCGAATCTCACATACGACCTGATGATAGTTGGGGACAGGTTTTCCCTCATCCTGAATCGTGTATGTATCTATCACCACTTCTTGATACCCAAAAAATCAACGATATTACAGCCCAGTTAACGAAGGATCAACGTAATTGGAATCAATTTAGGTTAAAATCCACAACCAAATAATATGATATATACATTTAATTTTCTTTCCATCTATGTCCACATTTTACACACTTGTAGAAAGTAGTCATCGGTTCATCTGCAGATCTAATTTGCAATTGGAAAAAGTATGCCTTATCACCACCACATGAATCTATTGGACATTGGGCAGCAGTTTGATCAACATTATCCCAAGTACCTTCACCACCAAGAACATCATCAACTTCTTTTCTATGCAATTTCTTTCTATCATACATCTGTAGACCACTTATTTTGAAAACATAGGGACAAGTGGAACAATAAAATCTATTAAGACCATCATTGCCAGTGTTGATAAGTAACATATTAGAACAGTTGGGACAGAATGTCAACATTTTTTTTGAAGTTGTTATATGTATTACTCTAGGATCAGAAGTGATTCGTAGATATTGAAACTAACGAGATGATGCAAATGATGATGAAGATGATTTTAGTTTTTTTTTTTTTTTTTTTTTTTTCTTGTTTTGAAATTACAACGCGACCATCAAAGTTTTAGGAAATTTTCATTTCAATTTCATCCTGTATTGTTAACTAGGTTCAATAATTACATATCAACAAAAATGTCACAACCAGGTACTCCTCATAGAAGTCCATTTCGATCACCTACCAAAAGACGAATTGAAACACTTGTATCTCCTGGAATCCCCAAGTTTAAGTTTTCACCAGTTAAAACTCCCAATGGTAGGGCTGGCTTAGCTTCTCCAGAGAAGAGATCAATGGCAGATCTTGACAAATCTGCAAGAAAAAGAGCAAATACCAATCTATACAACAGATTAATGGATGAATATGATGATGATAATAATGATTTTCTTGATGAACAAGATCGAATTCTTGCAGAAAGAATCATCAAACAATCACGTGGAGAACAAGATAATAATTTGTTTAATTATGCTCCTGATGTTCAAGTAGAAATTGACTTAACAAAAGTGGTCCCAATTCTAAAAAAGGAGAGTAAGCAACATAAAAGAACATCATCAAGACCACGAAGACAAGCTGCTCCTAAGAAAATTGTGAAGGAGTTAACTTACTCCAGTGATAGTAGCAGTGAAGAATTCATCGATGACACAGTTGAAGAAGACGAAGAAGAAGAAGAAGATGATGTCGATGAACTTGTAAGTGAAGACGATAAGGATGATGATTTTGAAATTAAGGAAGAAGCCCCAAAGGTAGTCAAGAAGAAATCCGAGTTCAGGATGCAGACAAAAAGCAAATCAGGTGTGAAAAAGAAGAGAGGCAGACCAAAGAAGAGTGAACACGTTGCCGATAGTGTCAAGAGTATCTTCCATCAAGATGATAAATTGTTCAAATCTGAAAAGAAACAAGAAAGTGAACCACCAAAACCAAAGGAATTAATAATCCCAAAACCTCCAGTGAAGTATCTACATTCAATTTTCGACCAAATTTATGATAGAAACTCCGTACCGACTATCAGTGGAATAGCCAAATCCAAAATTGAAGAAGATGATAGTATGGTGTTTGAACCACTTCCTATTCCAAACCTAGATGAAAATGGTAACATTGCCGATGAAGAGTACATAAAGAAGTATTTTGATGGAGTTGATCCGGCCAAATACAAAGAAGGTAGATTTTTAGATGATAAGGTCTTTTTCTTGGAAGGATCCGAAGGGTATTTTGAACAGCAAAGTAGGAGACACAAAGCAAGTGGCAATTTATTATCATCGGTTGCACCAGAATTAGATTTTAGTGAGTTTTACAAACTTGTGAAGCTTGGGGATGCTGTTAGTTCTTCACAGAAACAAGAACTTTGGCAATTACACAAATACTTGTATAATCAATGGTGTTTTGAGTTGACTCAAGGATTCAACCTTAATTTTTTTGGTATTGGATCGAAGATCGATATTCTTAAAGATTTTGCTCAGAACTATTTTGGGTTATGGTGGAAAGAAGTTGTTGGTAAAGAAGAACTACCTAAGGTGTTGGTGATAAATGGGTACAATCCTAGTGTGAATATTAGAAAAATGATCTTCGACATTGGATCAATTTTAGTACCCGATGTTATCATTCCTAAACACGTTGCTGGTACTGTTCCGTTTGTGATGAATTATTTAGAAGAGTCAAGAAAACCCGTACCTAAATGCGGTTTTCATATCCCGAAAATTCTATTGATTATTCACAATCTTGATGGGGAAGTCTTTAGAGTAGACAAAACCCAAACATTGTTGTCACAACTAATGAGTCTTCCTGAGGTGTGGGCAATGTCATCTACGGATCACATCAATGTGCCATTATTGTGGGATCTGTCAAAATTGAAGAATATGAATCTTATCTGGCACGACTTGACAACGTTTTCCTCGTATCAACGCGAAACATCATTCAAGGATGTTTTGAATATCGGAAGATCCAAGAAATATGTCGGTGGTTTAGGTGCGAAATTCGTGTTACGTTCGCTTACTGAAAATCACCGTAACTTGTATAGAGAATTATTGATTGCTCAATTGGATAATATGGAGAAATCAGCCCCATCAGAGGGTGCAAGAGTTGGATTGAAAGGTACTATTAAGGTTGCAGTTGAATTAAAAGATCTTTACAACACATGTTTGAATGAATTCATTACATCCAATGAAATTACCTTCCGTACATTCTTGAAAGAATATGTGGAACATAAGATGTGTCAATTGGTAAAGAACTCTTCTGGGGTTGAGATGATATTCGTCCCTTTCACTTATGAAGAGATCCAAAATATTTATAAACAGGAATTTGAATAGTGTAGTTTACTAACTTGTGTAAGTTTGTGATAGTTGATGTGTCAGAAAGGAATGTACCGTTACTCTTCTCCGTAGTAAAATTTTTGTATCGCAATACCGTATAACACAAGAGAACGAAATCGAGAATCGTTAGTACGGTATTCCCCTTAATTTTTACTACCACCGTGTGAGGTCCGCAATGCATTCTTTTTGTCGTTGTACACTCAGGTGGGTAACGTTATATAAGTATGACCCGTGCTAATGCATGCGTGTGTTGGCTCTAATTTTATTGTAATTAAAAAGGGATTTGATTTGAAAAAGTTGAATTGAATTGAATTGAGCTTTTCTTTTTTGGCTTTTTCTTTATCGGCTGGATTGATTGTGATTTTAGTTCTGTTGCTGTGAAGTTGGACCCGAAATAATTAATTATCAATTTTCTTCCGCCCCTGTCTCTCTCACTAGCTCGCTCCCTCTCTGGTGGTAAAAAAAAAAATAATAATAATTTTCGATTCGAAAAATCATTTTTCTTTGTTCAACTACGCCACTGTTTAAATCTTAAAACCATCCCAATTTTTTTTTTTCTTTTCAATTGGTTTCCCTCTTTTTTTTTGTTTTTTGTTTTCGGCATTTGGTCCTTTCCTATATCCATTTCATTCTGTCACCGATTTTCAAGATGGGGAACATCCAAAAGCTTGCCGAAGGCACTGTCCTTCAGGTTGGGAAACATAAGGCCACGGTAGTAAAATATCTCTCTGAAGGAGGGTTTGCTCATATTTACAAAGTTACCATCGATCCCTCGGAGAATGATTCTAATATTGCTTGTTTAAAGAGAGTACTTATCCAGGATAAAAATGGTTTAAACGAACTAAGAAAAGAGGTCGAAGTTATGAAGACCTTACGTCATAGCCGAAATATTGTCAAATATTATGATTCTCATGCCGAAAGATTGGAGGACGGAACGTATCAAGTTTTAGTATTGATGGAATTATGTCCCAACGGGTCTTTATTAGATTATATGAATCAACATATAAAAACTAAATTGACTGAATCTCAGATCCTTAAAATCATGTTGGATATCTGTCAAGGGATATATGAGATGCACAAATTGAAATTGATTCACCGTGATATCAAGATAGAGAATGTATTGATCGATTCAAAGAATGTGTTCCAATTGTGTGATTTCGGATCAACAACAGTACCCACGATGGCGCCACAAGACCAACAACAATTCAACTACCTTAGTCATGATATTCTTTACCATACCACACCTCAATACCGAGCCCCAGAAATGGTTGATTTATATAGGGGTTTTGCGATTGATGAGAAGGCGGATATCTGGGCATTGGGATGTTTCCTTTATAAATTATGCTATTACATTACTCCATTTGAAACCAATGGGGATATCGCCATCTTGCATGCATCCTTTCAATTCCCACCATTACCCGAGTATTCTGGAGATCTTAAAAATCTAATAATCATCATGCTTCAAGAAAACCCATTTTTCCGTCCAAATATTGTTCAAGTAACCATGTTGGTTTGTAAAATAATGAAACTTGACTTTAATGAATTAAAGTTGAAGGATTTCTACAATGCTGGTTCTTACAACTTCCAAGCTTTGCATGAATACCAAGTCCAAAAGCAGAATGAGCTTTTAAGACAAAAACAAATGTATTACCAACAACAAGCACTTGCAAATTCAAAAAATGCATTACCATTGAAAGACCAACCTACTGTATTATCTGTTCAAGCCACGCATGCATCACCAACCCCAGGGCCTGTTCTGGTTCAAAAAGAAAACAATAAAGAAGCTGCCAATGAACATTATCAACCACCACATCAACCACTACCAAATAATGAAGTTACTTCTGAATTGTCATCAACGGTTAAGTCAGATAATCTTCAAGTTCCTACAAGTTTGACAGCAGGATCTTCTGCAGAATCACTTGCAGGATTTAGTCTGGATGATGACTTGGCTAAAGAGATTGCCGAAATCGAAGATTTGGAAGATGCCGAGCAAAGATATCCATCATTGGATGAATTTGATTTACCTGATGGAACAAGCCAAAAGAGTGCTATTCCACTGAGACTGACAAGTATGAAAACTTCTCATTCGGATGCCATTTCATCCAAGAGTATTGAGGTTTTTGAAAAAGCCAATAAAGAGGAGCCATGCACGAAGAAAGAACAAGCAGAAAAGTTGGCAGATGATATATTCTCAAATGTTGTTACTTCACCTGTTGTTGAGAGCCATGATAAGTTTGGTAATTTGGAAGTTGCTAATGACAACGATTTACTTGGTTTATCTAAAGATGTGGAGAAGTTAGCAGTGGAAAATACCAATCCTCAGCAAATACCAACTATACCATCGAATAAGAGTGGCACCAGGAATCCATTTCCATATATACAAGCTACTAGTATTCCGAAACAAGAGGGGAATTTTGAGCAAATTGAAGTTACAAAGAAGAATAACCCATGGGGAGGGTATAGAGCTAAACCAGAAGAAGATATGTCTCCAATTCAACAACCATTGACTCAGAAAGGCCCATCACCTCCACAGAAGACGGTACAAGAGGGTTCAATTCCTACACCTCCTCAACCACATTTACCAACAATGATTGCATCTACACCCCCACAACAACCGGCTCAATTGAATCAACAAATTCAACCACAGCCACAACCACAGCCAGTACAACCGCAACAACCAATTGTCACAGAACTGGGTACAGTGCCAATTTCAACATCCAAACCAGCACCATTTTCTTACTTACAGTTTGCAAGTGGAGCACCTTCTGTGGATGCTGCCGTTGCCCCTCCTAACATCATTGTTCCACCTCTTACAAACTCCAAACTGTCTGCTAGTATTTTGCCTACTGGAGAAGCATCGGAAAAACCCAAAGTAAGTATTCAGGAATCAAATCTAATTGACTTAGAAGTTGGTTTAGATTCTGCTAGTACATCACCATCAGTTGTGTATAGTAAACCAGGAAACGAATCATTTGTTTCACTTATTGATATGGATGACACCCAAATGAAACAACCAGAGGGAAGACCTAGTACTGAACAAACTAAACCATTTAAGAAACGAGTAGTATCAAGTACTCATACACCTTCTCAATTGAGTTTACAAGAAGAAGTTATCGACTTTGCATCAGATGATGAAAGTCCTGAAAATGGGTCTCACATGAATCGTCTTAAGATAAGAAGCTCTTTGAAAAAACCCAGTCGGACAAGAAGATCTGGCGAATACAAGAGAACTGAAAGTATTAATGGAGAAACATCTAAGAAGAGGCTTTCCTTCTTTGGAGGCAGCAGTTAGATTTTGACTATCGTTGAGTTAGTGTTTCTTTTTAATTTCATTTAATTATTATAGTTATTATAGATTTAAGTTTTAGTTTAATCAATTTATTATCAGTTTTTTTTTTTGGCATTTTAAATATAGATTTTAGTGATCGTTGGCGATATACGTGCTGTAAAAAAAAAAGTTGCAAAGTCTTTTTGTTTAGTTTTGTCAACGGTTGTTGCGGCGGAAGCTGAACGAAGACAACCCAGAAGGGAAGAAAAAAATTTTTTTTTTTGCTTTCTCTTTTTGGCTGCTTTAAAATCATCTCTCTGCTCTATCAATCACCAAGAAGGGTACACAAACCAACTGCAAACCATGGAAATAGTCAAGAAACAATTAAGTCAGTTGTTGTTGTTAGTCCCACCTGAGACTTTTCCAAGTAATTCAACCAACCGTATTGAATTATCGATTGCTAGAATTTTAGAAGGAAAATCCGATTTTCTTTTAGCAGTCAGTGATTTCAAAGAAGTTTCTAATTTACCTGAATTAAAAACCATATGGAGCAAATATCCAGAATCTAGTTTGATTGAAGTATTAGTCGAATATGTTGATAAATTAGTTCAATTACAAAATAAGTTTTTCGGGGATGAAGGGGTTATTTGTTCCCAGCTTTTGGGTGTTGCATGTTTGCAATTATTTATTCAAGCTAATTTCACGGGTCCACAAGTATCGACTACTGCACATTCTTTGTTTTTCCCAAATTTTGATTCATCAAGATTACAAGCAGATGCTGTTAACTTATTAAATATTGAAGGTCAACAAGCATATGATTTGATGCAAGAACCATTATATTTGGTCTTCGCAGAATTGATTTTTGAAAGGTTATCAGATATACCATTTCAACTCTCATTATTTAACAAAGACGTCGCAAAGAATAGCAATGAAGTATTGGAATTTACATCCAATGGTTCCAGAGTAATTGATCCACTTAAAGCTTCACTTAATTGGTGGAGAGTTAGAGCATTACAAGTTCATTCGTCTGTTGTTTCCGAACCCCCAAGTATTATACTGTCTGTTTGTGGGTTATTACTTAACAATTCGTTGATTACTGTTCTTGCGTCTTTAGATTCAGCCGAATTAGAAAGATTACTACAAATTCAATACTTGTTAGAAGTAGCAAGAATTCATATTCATTCATCAACAGAACATGCTGCAGTTCTGCCATTAACAAAAGCCAAGACTATTTCCCAATTGCAAGTATTATTATCGGGGGCCAAGGCAAAGAGAACAAAGTTTCAACAATTCTTCACTTCCAATTTGATTGTATTGGCTAAAAGTAATATCTCCACCATTTATGATGTGGATACGGCCACTCCAGAAAGTTTCGCATTGGAATCTGATTTGCTTTTAGAAAAACCACAGTATGAATCTTTAGAAGATCTTGATATTGATATTGAACAAGACACCAAAAGAGTAAAAGTTGATTCATTGTTGTTGGATAATGAAGATCAAGATGCAAAATTACTTCCAATTGCTATGAGGCAAGATGATATTCCAGCCGAATTAAGAGAACTTGATCCAAATGACCAACCAACTTTGAATAATCTTGATAACTTGCAATTATTATTGAGGTTGACTGTCTTGAAACAAACTTCTCCAGCAAATGATCCATTAGTGGAAGAAGAATTGATGGCGTTAGTTGGTAGAGTGTTGTATGCCACTGCAGGCAAGGTGAACTGGACAATTTTCTCACGTGCTCTTTGGGAAAGATCTATCTTGGAAACAGGCAAATCTCGTACTATTGAGAGAGGTATTTTACAAATGACTTCTTTAATTGAAGAAATGGGTATCAAGATTAAAACTAGAATTATTCCAGAAACTCAAAAAGAAGATCCAAATGCTGTTACTGCCCTGAGATTAAGATTTATTCATCAATTACCATTATTACCACAATGGGCAATGGATGCAAAATTGGCGGAAAAATACATGTCCTTGGGTGTTTTAAAATCTGCCATTGAAATTTATGAAAGATTACAAATGCATTGTGAAGCTGCATTATGTTATGCAACAGTGGATAACGAAGCTGAAGCAGAAAGGATTTTACTTAATCGTTTGGAAACTCATCCTGATGATGCCAGAGCTATTTCAATTCTTGGAGACATTAGACAAGATCCATCATTATGGGAAAAAGCATGGGAAGTTGGTCATTATGCCAAAGCTAAGGCATCATTGTCTCGATTCTACTATAACCAAAAGAATATTGAATTGGCTATCAAGCATATGTTTGAGTGCCTCACTGTTAACCCATTAAGTTACGAAAACTGGTATTTCTATGGTTGTTGTGGTCTTGAGTCTCAGCAATTTGAATTGGCGTCTGAAGCTTTCACGAGATGTGTATCTCTTGACGAAACCAATTCTTATGCTTGGTCAAATTTAGCAAGTGCTTTATTAAAATTAGATAAAACTAAACCAGCATTTAACGCTTTAAAGAAAGCGATTAGATGTGGTGGTGAGAATAGAAAATCCTGGAGAATTTACGAGAACTACATGCTTGTTGCTATTAAGCTTAATGAATGGAATGATGTATTATTAGCTTGTCGAGAATTGATTGACATTAAAAAGGATCAAGGCGATGGTGCAATTGATATTCCTGTTTTGGAGAAATTAGTTGAAATTCTTGTATCTGAGCAATACCCAACTGAAGACAACGGTAGATTGACTCATTTCCAAACTGGATGTATCGATTTAGTATGTAAGATTTTGCCAAAAGTCATAACTTCATCTGCACGTTGTTGGAGAATAGTTGCAAGAGTTGAATTATGGAGAAAGAGACCATGGGCTGCTTTAGAATGTCATGAAAAGGCTTATAGAGTTATGGTCCATAATCCTGAGTTAGAATCTAGTGAACCAATTTGGAATGAAGTCGTTGACGCCTGTGAAGATCTTGTTAGTGCATATGAATCACTTGGTGAATTACCAGGTAAACACGGAGCTGGCGATTTAGTTTGTAAAGATTGGAAGTATAAAGCTAGAACTACAGTTCGATCATTAATGTCAAAGGGTAAAGATATGTGGGAAGATTCACCGGGTTGGGAAAGATTGCAAACTATGAAAAGCGACCTATCTAATTCTAGAGATTAATTAACTAATTGACATCGCTAATGATACTGAAGCAATCGAATCCAAATGATGCAATACGTTTCGTATTCTCTTTTTTAGGGATTTCGTCTCGAATCAAGAACCGTGATACCAAATTCATTGATAAAAGTACTGACTGTCTAGCTGTATTACCATACCATTTTAATAGATAACATAAGGAATATAGAATAGCTTGACTTTTCCCATTCTCAATCCAAAATTGTAATAATAACCAGTTTTCACAAATGCCAAATACAAATAAAAAGTAATTTCTATACGGGATAGATCTCTTTGTAATTTCAAAATCAAAGACACCTAATAAACTAAACACAGAATGAATCAATAAAAAGGCAATTTTCGAAGGACTTTCTTTAGTTTCAAATATTAATTCTGTAATAATCAACATACAAGTATTATCTTGTTGTACAAATTGTAAAATAGGTGGATTTGCTCTATATCTTGGTGGTGGTATTGGTGAAGTAAATCGATATTTAAACCTGAATGATTTAATATAAGTTTTAATTTGATTAAGTAATACACTTGAAAATCGACAAATTGAAGTAATTATTAAAACCATAAATGCATTATTTGATTTTTCATCATTTGAATTTATTTGATTAAATTTTAAGAAAAACCAAATTATACTAGTAAAAATTGAAATTATATTACAACTAAACCAAAAATCATAAAATGAACCTTCATTTTTGTAAAAACTAAAAATGATTTTTGATATTTCTTTTTGAAAATTTTGAAACTTGAAATTTATAATTGAATGATATAAATTTTTTAAGAAATATGAATAAAATTGAAAAATTGGAATCACAATAGATAATTCCGGAACAAATGTAAAGATATATTTAGTTAGGGATTGGAATGAAATCATGGTTTTTATTTTGTAGTATGTATGATTTCGAACAAGAAGTTGCAAAAAAAAAAAAAAAGAAGCATGGAAGTATTTTGCATTACTTTTTTTTTGCTTATTTTTGACGATTGCAAGCGACTGTAATAACAATACAGAATGTAGTACAGAATCAGAAGGGAAATTTATCTTGCATTACAAGATTCTTTAGTGTGGAGGTATAAAATATTCTTTTGCAGCATCTTCCTCATTTATTTCTTGTTAATTAGTTGAGTAGAAACGAATAAGAAATATAACCATTCAATGTTATATAATCAAACTGGGGGCTATGTAAATACAGCTGTTAGAGAAGTCTCATAATTAGTAGCACATGATTATCAGTGGCTTATTATGATGCATAGTTCGTCTAACAATATGAACACGTCTCATATTTTTCGTCCATTCATCGTGTCCCACACAATATCCTGCAGATAACACATATTTTTGGGAACTGAACACGAAATCAGTTTCACATTAATTTAATATTTTTTTTTTTCCTTTCCATCAACAGTTTATTGTTTACACTGTGTGATTTTTTTTTTTTTTTTTTTTTAGTTTCTTCCTTAATAGGGTAATAAGACCACCAAAACTTTCTTTTTTATTTTATATATTTAAACTATCAACTGAAAGGTACCAAGTTAAACTTGATTCTTATTCATATTTGAAAATATCATCATCTAGTTATATTGCTTGTCTTTTTTTTTTCAAATCATTATTGTTGACTAGTTTTACTTTTCGTTCACATTACTATACAACTTTATCAACAACAACAACATGGAGGATAAGTATATTGGACTTGCTTTGGCCATGTCATCATCCTTGGCTATTGGTACATCATTTATTATAACCAAGAAGGGTTTAATGGATGCATCAGCACGTTCAGGTAATACCAATGGAGTTCAAGCCCTGCAATATCTACAGAATCCAATTTGGTGGGGTGGTATCATTACCATGGCCATTGGTGAAATTGCCAATTTTGCTGCATATACATTTGCCCCTGCCATTTTAGTTACTCCATTGGGTGCATTATCAGTTATTATTGGAGCTGTTTTAGCAGCAATTTTTTTAAAGGAAGAATTGGGAACTTTAGGTAAAATGGGTTGTGCTATTTGTCTTATGGGTTCAGTTATAATTATTTTGCATGCTCCTCCTGATAAAGAAGTTGAAACTGTTGATGAAATTTTGGGTTACGCTACTCAACCAGGGTTTTTATTTTACTGTACTGTTGTTACACTTTATTCATTATTTATGATTTATAAAATTGTTCCAAAATATGGTTCTACTAACCCAATGATTTACTTATCTATTTGTTCTTCTGTTGGTTCTATTTCAGTTATGTCAATTAAAGCATTTGGTATTGCTCTTAAGTTAACGTTGAGTGGAAATAATCAATTTACTCATGTTTCAACTTATTTGTTTTTAATTGTTGTTGCCTTGTGTATTATTACACAGATGAATTATTTCAACAAGGCATTAGATCAATTTGATACCTCAATTGTCAATCCATTATATTATGTTACATTCACCACATTCACCCTTGCTGCATCATTTATTTTATTTAAAGGATTTAATACTTCATCAGCAGTGGATATCATTTCATTATTAATTGGATTTTTGATTATTTTCAGTGGGGTTTACTTATTGAACATTTCCAGAACCGAAGATCGTGGCAAAGATAGAGAAATCTTTGGTGTTCACTCTTCAAAAGACATGGCTCCACTAGATAATGGTGTTGGTGGATTCTCAACTGTTCGTAGATCAATGCAAGTCAACAGAGTTGGAGAATATGACAATGAAGAAAGTGTGGGATTAAGAAGATTTGACAGCTTTGAAATAGATAGTGGTGATGAAGATTCAAGAAATTATAGACATTAGTGTTATGTGTATAGACTAAACCAGAAAAAGATATAAGAATAAAACCAACAAACTGTAAAAAAAATAAAAATAATAATAAATAAAAAGATAAAAGAATACTATCAATATATTTATGTATATATAAAAATGTAAAAAGATTTGTTACATGTATTCCTCTAGATGTCTTGTTTTTTAAGTAAGAAATATTAACATTTCTCTATCTATATAATAACTAATATTTAAAGTTATATAATTAAAAACAAAGGAATAAACATCGGGAATATAAGATACAATTAGTAATGCAATGAATAGTAATATAAAAAGTAAAACATGAATTAAGATATCATTGAAAATTGATTAGATATCATCAATATCCAATTCTTCATCTTCTTCATCTTCATCTTCATCGGCTCCACCGAATTCGAAATTGACATTTTCATCATCATCACCACCAAAAGTATCAGTTTCATTAATTTTAGCATTTTCTGGTAATTCACCAACATTTTTCAAAGTTCTTGCTTCATCTGAATTATATTTATGAACAACATCACATTGATCATCTTGGAAATCTCTTAATGAAACTAAAATAATATCACCTTGTCCCATCCAAACTTTCTTTCTTAATTTACCTCTGATATGTCCCATTCTTTTAATACCATCAAAACAACTAACTTCAATTCTACCATTACCTAACATTTTAGTGATTTGAGCATATTCTTGACCTTCTTCTTTGTAGATCAATTCTCTCTTTTGTCCACTGTTATCGTTCTTTCCTCTTCTTCTGTTCTTACCTCCTTTTCCTTTACCTGATGATTTACCCATGGCTAATTAATAGATATCTGTTGATTAGCAAGAAAAACTCTCTAACTGGTTATGTTTCACACTGAAGACCTTTCTTTTTTTTTTTTTGTCTAAAGTGAAAAAATTTTTTTTGCTTCCCTGCATAGAAGAAACATGTCACGTGAAATATTTTTTGTTGCTTTTTTTTTGTAAGAATTGGAACTTGATATCAACAGGAAAGAAAAAAAAAAAGAACGAGCCATTAATTAAAAGAGTGAAGAAGTATAGATACCTAACAACGGTATTTCATCAATAATAACAGGCATTTTATACATCATGGATTCATTTGATACGGCGGACCCAATTATTACAAATGTTACGTAATTTAACACCTCAATTACAGCATATAACCAAAGTAGTTTATTTCACATTAAAGAATTATAAATTAGAAGATTATTTAATACCTATAATTATAGAAGTTATAAATGATAAACAATTAGATACAACTGTCAAGAGTAATATATTCCAATTTATTGAATTATTAATAACCGAATCCTTTAATAATAAAGATAAATTTAATGGTTGTTATATTCAAGAACTAATTAAGAATTTACCATCTATTATCAATCAAGTAATTATTAATAAATCAAATTTATACAATACATATTTAAGTTTATGCAATATTTCAAAATTATTTGACATTAATTGTGATGATTATATACAGAAATTTAATAGTGATTTGTTAACTGAAAAAGATCTAGAAAGAATAAACAGTAATGAAGAATTTGTACCAGATGAGGATGAACAACAAGAGGAAGGAGAAGAAAAAGATTTGATTAAATGTTGGAAGATTTTATTACAAAAGAAAAGACAAAGTCAATTTGAAAGAGTTAGGTTATTAAAACATGGAGATACAATAGTTGACATAGTTGATGAAGACCAATTATTTAGTACAAGAGATAAATCAAAACCCGAAACGGCAAAATTCTTATCGAAACGACAAATCCTAGCAAGAATGGAAGATGATAGAGAAGCTCATAAAAGGTCAAAAGAAAGTTCTTGGGTTGTTAACAGAGATATGGATAAGAATGTTAATTATATAACAGAAGATGAATTTCTTAATCATTATTGGAATAGATTCCAGCCATTGGGAAAACAAGAGAATAACGAATTTTCAGAATCTTTAAAAGAAATGAATGCTATGGTTAAATGTAGCTATAAAGACAAGTATTAGGAGTTTAATATACAAAGTAATTCATTAATACCACGAACACCATATGTAGCGGCAGTTTTAGTCTCTGAAGATGAAGAAATCAATGTCACAGTTAAAGTATGGCCAATCTCGTCTTTCAAGCTATTGACATATTCATAATTGGATTCATCAATAGAAGTTAAACCACCACTATAAAGAATAGCGGCTACTTCATGATTTCCAGCCAAAACGGCATCATCCTTAATTGGCTGTTGGAAATCACTAATATGGGAAACAACGTAATTTTCATCTTGATTAGAATTATAACAAGACAAAATAAGACGGATTGCCTTCAAGTTAATTTGACTCTTTTGTACAATGACCAGGTTTCTTACTGATGTGGCATGAATTCCATCCCCGTCGTATAAAGTATTAATATGTTGAATAGTTTCACCCATTGCATCTAAAGAACGCTCACGATCTTCAACAAACGATTTACCAGCATGGAATCTAACAGTGGCATCTTGAACTTCACAGAATGATCCCGGTAACCTCTCAACCTTGGATTCAATAAGTTTGGCAATTTCAGGCATCCAGGAGTTCAATTCCTCTTTGTCAGTTAATGAAATCCAATCCTTGGCACCAATAAGCTTGACAAAACTACCGTTTTCGGCAAGTAACCCAATCTTAGGGAATCTCTTAAACATAATGTCCAAATCTGGTCTTTGTAAATATGACAACAAATAAACATAAGTATCCGGAGTTTCAACCAAATCAGATAATAATCTAACCAATCTGGTTGGTTCGACAACATTAACTTTACCAGACACTAACCCAGTGCTATTACCTCTTGTTGATGACGTTGACGAACAAATTTCCAATGCCAAAATGATAATCTTTTTACCATTTATAGTGGAAAATGTGTTAAACACTTCTTTATTAAATGGAACCAAATTACAACTCTTGGCATGATCCACATTCCATGAACTGTCAATAGTATGTAAACAACTTTCAACCCAATGAATTGAATCACGGGTAAGAACAATGTTGTAACAATTGTTCCAGCGTTTCTCCTTTTCTTCTGGCGACATAGTTAACAGTTCCTTAAATGTTTCTGAGAATTTCTTGATATCCCATGGATTTATCAAGAGAGCTCCATTGCCTTTGCACAGCAACAAATTAGATGACCCAGTAAATTCAGAAAGCATCAATGGGGACTTTTTATCTTCAGATGCAGTGATAAATTCATGACAAGTTAAATTCAAACCTTCTCTCATGGAACTGACAACAAATACATCAGCTTCGCATTGCAATGCCAAGTATTGATCAAAATCGATATCTCTTTGTAGTAAAACAACAGGCTGTGTGACAGAAATATTCTCTGGTAATGAATTAATTCTAGAAACAATCTTCATAACTTCCAGTTCATAATCTGGATCGGTGGCTGATCCCATACAAATTTGAATAAGTACAGTTTTTTCAATATACTCTGGGTTATTTGTCAAAAACATTTCATAAGCTAATAATTTTTGTTTGATACCTCTTAATTTATCCAATTTATCTCTACTAACAATCAAATACTGATGAGACCATCTTTCTTTAATAAGTGTACGCCATTCTTTAACCAGAGAACTATGAACTGTCTTCAACACTGATGGTGCATCAATACCAACTGGGATGGTATTGGTTACTGTGAAATTACCATTATAATTAACACCCAATTCACTGGTATCTGCCAACAACAAACGATTACAAGTTTGCAAGAAATGACGAACATATTCATTGGTTTGGAACCCAATACAATTAGCTCCCAACATCCCTTCCAATAATTGATTTCTTTGAGCAAAGCAACGGAAAACTTCAGAAGAAGGGAATGAAACATGCAAGAAAAATCCAATTTTTGCATTCGGTAATTTTTCACGAACCATTTTTGGAACAAGCAATAAGTGATAATCGTGAATCCAAACTTTCGTTTCTTCATCATCCAACTTATTATACGTTTCAACAATCTTATCGGCAATCAATTCATTCATTAAAACATAATGACCCCATGAATGGTCTTCAAATGCTTTTGATTTAGGATCATCAGGGATTTGATAATGTAATGTTGGCCATAAAATTTGTTTACAAAAGGATTTATAATGACCTTCAAAAGTAACATCATCTGGGAAAACAGCTTCACAAGCAAACTCTTTGGACAATTTATCAGAAATGTCATTTTTAACTCGTAGCGAGACATCATCACTTGGCATAGCCACAATACCAACCCATTTTGCCTCATTAATGATTCCTGAGTCAACAGCCATGTTCACAGCTTTAGTCAAGGACCCATTACCTTGGTCAGTATGATCGATAGTCCACGGAGCCACATCAAATATGTTTTTTTGAGAAAGAAATTGTGCTTCAACACCAGGTCTTGAAAATCCACCAAATGGAGCTAATTTGGATCTACCATGAACCATATCATTGAAATTTTGTTCAAAATCGTCTTCTTCTAAACTTGATGGTAAAATAACAGTACTATCCATAGTGCCATCTTCAGATATTAATGAATTAGCACTACTATTTCCATGAAATGTAAATAATGCTTTACTAAAAGAGCCACGACCAGTCATTGATTTGGTTACGGCTTCCATGGGAAGATGAGGAGAGTGGAGGGGCCAATGGGAGTTGGGGGCGTGGGTCAAATTAGGAGTTGAATTTGCGGCAAGATTGACTTGTGATCTACTGAATCCAGGGAGTCCCATATCATCATTTGGCTTTTTCCCATCAACTATAGAACTACCCATTTTAGCATACCTTGATTTTGGCTGGATAAATTGATGTTCTGATTTTGCTGAAGCTCTACGATTGTAGAAAAACCCTTCGGGCGTATCCGCTCTTTCAAAAGGTTTATTGTCAGATAAAGCTGAATTTGTAGTTGAACGAGGTTGAGGGGTTGGCTGCTTTGATAAAGAAGGAAGAATTGACAATTGAGTTGAAGAGGCCGTAGTACTAGGAGTTGAAGTGGAAGGAGGAGGGATTTCAAAACTTGTTGAATCCTGTTGACAAGAATCCAAATCACAAGAATCAACCTCAAATTGAACGGTGTAAGGTAAAAATCTAGTGAAATTTGTTAGTATATAAATTAAAAACTGCCATTGTTCTGGTTAATTGTTGTCAGGGGTGATATACATACAATGATGCTATAATTACAGTCATAATTAATTGATACCAGATGGTCTTGGTTGTAAAGAAAATGCAATTGGTAAAAAAGGAAGAGAAAGAAAAAGGAAAAAGAGGAAGGAAGGAAAAAAAAAGTAAAGGGAGGGAGGAATTTACTTGAATTTATTGTTCTCAGACTGCCATTTCTGTCGGAGTCCGAATTCACTACGCAGCGAGCTAACGAAATTATCTGGCAGAAATAGCAGCACCTGGTAGTACGGAAGTTAATTGCTCTTATGTGACAGAATAATTAGAGAACGAAACAAAGCATAAAGGAAGGAAGGTCAAAAGAAAATAAGATTGTACAGCTACACCCATGGCAATGCTTTGTTTTACATTGTCCAATTGATGCTATTTAATGCATAAGCAATCTAAAAAAAAAAAAAAATTAAATTCAAAACTAACTACACGTGACGTTTTTTGTTTGTTCTCTCTTGCTTCAAACAATGATTTCCATTTCTTCATCTTCATCGCTACCGCCTTCCTCTGACGAAATATCAGATAATTCTTGTGTAGTCAATGGGATATTATTGCTATTGCTATCACCACCAAAGTGAGCATTTAATTCATTTTCTAAATTAATATCATCAAGTGGGCTGCCACTTTTTGACAATGATTGTTGATCTTGGTTTTCTGTGATTTTTGTATCATTTGTATGTACTTCCGCGGCAGCAGGTAAAATTGACAGCACCTGATGGTTTTCATTATCATCATCAATTTTCATTTGTTGATTAGATTCTCGAACATCTTCTCCATTATGTACCACAATTAACCCACTTTTGTATTCCTGGGGTTTTTCGGGGACATCAAAATTCAATTCCTCCTTGCTAACAATATCTTCATTGTTTTCATCATCACTTAAATCACTTTCCGATTGATTTAAACTTGGGAAACTAAATTTAATTTCATTCTTTTGTTGTAATTCTTTTTCACGAAGTTCTTGTTCCAAACGTAATTGTTTAATTTTTTCCTGTTTAACCAATTCTGCTTTTCTAACAGATTGAATAACTTGCTTAAAACCGTCTGAAATTATGTTTTCAAAGTATTTATTAATTTCATCGGTAGGCTTATGAACTGCATATGGAGAATAGTACAATTCTGCTTTCATGAAAATATCATTTTCTCTGGCTTTATAATGGTCTTCAAGTTTTTGTTTCTTTTTAAGCTTTAATCGTTTTCTCTTCTGGGCATATTCAACAATATCAAACTTAAAGTCCTCCTTTGTTTCAGGTTTTGTTGTAGTTACTGGTACTGTCGGCGTTGTAATAGGTGCCACCGGTGTTGTTGTCGTTGTTGATGTTGATGTTGATGTTGTTGCAGTTGCTGATTCTTCCTTTATTGGTACTGTTGGCACCTGTTTATCAGGCTCTGCACGTGATATATCTTCTTTTATTGCATCACTTATAGCCGTTTTAACCTCTTTCTCCATATCTTTTCTTTCATCTTCAGATTTCTCCACGTCTTCCATATTATTAGATTCGTCCTTCATTTCCTTCAATTCATCTTCGAATTTCTTTCTCCATTCAATTTCATCATTTTCAATTAATTTATACAACGAATCTTCAGTCATTCTTGACTCTTGCACCAATCTAATTCTTAATTCTTTTAAATCCGTCAATGGCTTGTTATACTCAGGCGTTGATTGATAAGTATAATCAGGTGGTAAATCAGGTAAATATGATGGAATATATCTTGGTTTATTATCAGTATTTAATTTAGGTAATAATTGCATGATTGAACTTTGTTCAAAGAATACCAGTTGATCATCTTCATCTTCATCTTCATCTTCATCATCTTGTACTTTTGTTGATTTTGGTTTTAGAAGATTGCTTAAATCTTTAGTGTATGGAAAGGTTTTACTATTTTCAATTTCTTTAATTAATTCATAATTTTTAATATGTTTAAGTTTAAGTAATAATTTAATATCTGATATTGAAGGTTGATGTCGACGTTGGATTCTTGTATATGTTGATAATTCCGAGGTTAAATTTTCAAGATATTCTAATGAAAGTTCAGTTAATTGATCTAAAAAATCTTTTGAATATGAATATTCCTTTGATTCTAATATCGATCCTATAGTCTTTTCTAATATTAGATCCATTCTTATATGCTATTGGTTATTCGTTAGATGAGTTTGTTGATAATCCTCGCAATGTTTATTTCTCTCTATGGAAGTTTTTTTTTTTTTCTTACAAAATTTTTTTTTTTTTTTCATCATTTACTCGCAACTCGCAACAAAGGGTGTGTATATTTCAAATCAAATTCTCAATTATTGACACTGACTTCAAATTTACTACTTATACATATTACAAAAATCAAAACAGCTTAATTTCCTCCTAATAAATATTCAATAGCACCTTGAACACTACCACCAGTTCTTCTTAAAGCTTCTACATTTCTATCAAAATCATAAAATCCCATATCATTCAATTGTCTTAATTGATTTTCATATCTTTCTTCTGGTGGTCTGTTGTCAACAGGAGCTGGTGCTGCAGCTCCAGCACCACCAAATAATGCCAGTGGATCAATTGGAGGAATACCATTAGGGAATAATCCTGCAAATGGATTACCAGCTGGTGGAGGGTTAGTAGCATTTGTATTATCACCAGTAGTGTTAGCAGCATCAGCAGTAGAATCACCACTGGTAGCAGCCGGATTTGCACCTGGAGCTGGAAAAGCGTTGGTAGCATTACCAGAAACATTACCACGAGTCATGTCCATCATACTTCTCATCATTTGAGGGTTTGAAATCATTTGCCTAAAAAAAGGACTTTGTAACATTTCTCTTGCTTGTGGACCCATAGCTCTTAATTGAGGATTCTGTTGAATCATGAAATCCAACATTTGTGGATCAGATAACATAGCTTGCATTTGTTGTTGGAACATTGGGTTTGACATCATTGAGTTTAATTGTTCTGGATCAGGTAAGTTACTATTCATACCACCATCTGGTCCAAACATGGAAGCTGACGGTAATTGACTATATCCTGCATAACGAGCCCCTGTTAAATCGGCCAATGGGTTAAAAGAACCTTGACCGGCTGCTATATTTGAAGGAACTGAAGATGCTGAGTTTGTATTGGTGTTTGAAGAAGGGTTTGCATTTGCAGCAGAAGGTGAAGTAGTAGAACCAGTAGTAGATGCATTGGCATTTGAACTTGAAGCACCAGCACTTTTAACCAAATGTATAGTATGACCATTTTGGACCTTGTAAGAAGCAATAGTTTCGTTATCTTTTAAAACTTTACCAGAATAAATTAATCTTTGACTGGTGGCAGGTATTTGTGATTGTTCAGCAATTAAATTTTTTAATTCACCAACTGTAATCAGTGGATCAAAAGTAAGTTCATATTTTTTATCACCAGATGATTTGATTGTAATAGAAATTGATTCAGACATTATGTTTAGTGTGTGTGTAGGTTTATTGGTCTCCTTGATTATGTAAAATGAATGAAATTGGAGAAGTTAGTTGAAACTGGGAGAGAGTGGAATGAAGGAAATGAACAGAAAAAAAATGAAGTTGATTTTTTGATTTTTTTTTTTTGCCATTCAAATTTTTTTTTTTTGGTTGAGTGTTGTAATACGAGGTATAATGGCCAAAATTCAACAAGTTTTAGCTTTTCATAACAACACAAGAAGTCATTGAAATTGGTACACAGAGTATGATATAGTGCTCAACATGTAGTTCTAGTTTTATAATTACAAATCAATCGAATCTAGTCATTTTATGATTTGTCTGATGAATTTGATTGAGTCACTATTGTGAACAATTTACACGACCATCGTGACAGATGAATCGATGGATTAAATTGATGATTTAAGTTATTAAATTCGACTAATGATGGTTCTATGTTCATTAAGGAAACATTAAATCTCTTGGGTTTTTGTAGTGCTGTTCTGTGTATGGATTATTAGTCTGATTTTAATTGCCCCGGCTGCAAAATATTTCTCAAGATTTGGCAAAAAATGTCCCTGAAAAATATAATCACAGATATGATGGACTCATATAGTGATATAAACGTTATTAATAACATCATATACTGCCTCATTGTAGAGTAAAAATCCACCATTCACACAAGGCGATATATATTCTCAATAATTTCCTACAAATAATCGATTATCTAATATGCCCTTTAAATTTATTAAAACACTATACAATACAAAGTAAAAATGAATAAAACTAAACAAAATAATAACATAATCAAAAATAAATAAATAAATAAAAAAAAAACATGAACTAAAATAATAAAACATAATACCCTTCCCAATTTCAAATACTTATACTGAACTCAAGATTTGATATTATTTGGGAAGTACTTCAACTCTCCAACCACATGCAATACAACTATAACCTTCAATACCATCTTCAAATACTTCTTTACCTTTACTTTGCATCAAAGTCCATTCACCTTTAGCTGGAATTTTTTTACAATTTTCATTTAAACATCTAGCTTTTGTTTTCTTATATCTTAAACCACATGAATTACATAACTGTCCTTCTTTAATTGACCATGATGGTCTCCAACATGGAGATTGATCTGATCCACATGATATACACACTCTTGGTGCATGATGATGATGGTTTCGAGGTGGTGATTTCAATAAATCAGATCTGGATTTTTTAGATGAAGAAGGTGGAGTAATTGGAATAAATTTATGTGTAGAAACCATTGTTTGTTCGGGTTCTGGCTGTTGTGGTACAATAGGTGGTGTTTGTTGATGTTGATTGTGATATGCAGGTGCGGTGTTTGTGGTATTTGGGGTGGTGGTGGTTGATGGAATACTTGAGTTATGCAAGAATGTATATGGAGCTAATTGTGGTGCAACAACTGGAACAGCTGTAGATTGAATGGGGAGTGCTTGGATTGGCGGTATAACGGTAGCATGCGATGACTGCGATTGTGAAGGAATCGATTGTATATGAACAGGTTGTTGTTGTTGCTGTTGTTGATGATGATGATGATGCTGTGATGGTTGCATTTGGCGCTCTTTCAATTGTAGTAATGATTCTGCAGCCAATTCCAAATATTCTGGATAGTGTTTGACATCATTTAAATAAGTCTTATTTAAATAAGTATAATTTGATTCATAAGGAAAGTTAATTTTCTTATAAATGTTTCCACCATTGTTATTAAGTTGAATTTTTGAAGATATTTTTGAATCAAAACTTGGTTTAGTATGATCATTTAAATAATTATATTGATTCAAATGGAAATGCTTTGATTCTTTAGTAATTTTATCTAATAATCCATATCTCCAATTTTCATCATTTGGTTTGTAAGTATCAAAATAATCTAATGAAACAGTTGGAATAATTGGTTTTAACTTAATTGGAGTCTTGGAATGAATTGGATCTAAATTATTTAAAGCATCAGAAATACTTGGTAGTTTAATTCCCCTTTGCGAATTGGTAGTTGCTGTTGCTGTTGTTTTTGTAGTATTATTGGTGGCTGGTGTTTCTGGTCGAAAAGTAATTGGTGATTTTGTAGTGGCAATTGGAGAAGAAGATGGTGATAATGGATTAGCAAATTTCTTATTTGGAGAAAGTGATCTTGATCTTAATTTAGTGGTGGTCGGTTTGACTAAATTTTTAATCACTAATGGATGAATGTTACTTCTTGATGTTCTGGTAGTGTATGAATCCAATTTTGCAGTTTCATAAGGGGGAGAAGGAGGAGCCGTTCTTGCTCTTTTATTACTATTGGTGTTATCAAAACTGTTTGTGTAACCATTACTGTAATCAATGACGTTGTTATAGGAAACAGAATTGGATCTTAAATCGTCACTGTAAGATCGTTTACAATTGTTTAATCTTATGACTTTTGCTTCTTGAAGTAATTCGAAACTTCGAGATCTAATGTGAGATGTGGCTGAAGCTGTGGAGGAAGTAGCACTAGTTGTTGAATTAGTAGTTACAGGGGTTGAACCTAAATGATTATTAAACATGGCTGAATGTACTAAACTCATATCGTTTGAATTGCTTTTATTGGTAGTGTCAGTTAGGAATATTTTTGGTAGCTTGGAAAGCAGTTTTTCAGAATTACTTTTTTGTGTGTGAATTGTGAAAGTAAGTTACTGTAAACGAATGGAAGCAAAAAATAATAATGTCAAACCAAATAAAAAAAACGGAAAAAAAGAAAGTTTTAATTATAAATAACTATCAATTGGTGAAACGAATGAATTAAAATAATTAAAAGAAGATCTTTATGTGATAATTGATAGTTGATAATTGAAAAATGTGAAAAAAAAAAAACAAAATCCAAAAAAATTGAAAACAAGGGGAAGAATGATTTTTGGTGTAATTCAATTCAATTCAATTTAATTTTTCTTTGATTTCCCCTTTGTGTGAAAATTTGAAAAATTCTTTATTTGGAAAATTAATTGACTATTTAAGGAGTGAAAAGAACAGAAGAAAAAAAAATTGTCTCTGTGTATGTAATGTAACAAAATCACGGAGAAGATTAAATAGTTAAAATTCCTTCTTGTTGTTTGGTGATAACTGAAATAAACAAATGTTTCCCCTCGGAATTGATTTCCTTTATTTATAGAAAGAAATGCAAATGGAAAAAAAAATTTGTAGATTATGGGTAGGTTGAAGAAAGGGGGGTAATGAACAAAAAAGAAAAGTTATTCAATTGTCTTCAAATTTAGGGAGTGCAGGAATTTCTTTTTGATGATGTAGATTACGACGATGTGTAATAATATAAGATAACAAATGAAAAAAAAAATCAAAAGATTATTAAATATGAAATAGTGATCTTTGTATTAAACGAATGAACTAATTGGTGATTGAACGAATGAACAAACAGGAATGAACGAATGAATGAATGAACAAAAAAAAAAAATTTAAAAATGTTGAAATATAGATCAGTAAACCTAACGAGAAAAAGAATTCAAAAAAAGGGAATTAACTTTCCTATTTATATATTCAATTATGATTCTTAAATTCAATTTTGATTTTATTTTACTTGCAATATGAAGTAATTGTTACTGACTCTAATGGATGCCCAATTGTAAACGAAGGAAATTTCTTTTAAGGTACAAATAAATCAAACTAAACAAAGTTGATTTTGTTTCATTGGCAAGCCATTTTTAATTTTCGGTAGATCAATGGGAAAAGAATTTGTTTATTCTTCTTGACTTCGTGTAAATCTTATTATGTACTGTATGACAATGTATTCTATTAATCACAAAATTCTTTTGGTATTATTCCTGATTCAGTTGAAAATGTTCTAAAATTGGCTATTGCTTAAACTATCCAGCAATTGTGCAAATACTGCACACTACTGTATGTACGTAATAATTGATAATTACACATAAGCCTTTTATTTTTTTTTACTATAGTACAAAATCAAGATCTGAATCCTTCTTTGACCAGCACTAATAGTTTGTTAAATGCAATGAAATTTTGCTACCACCAATTTGATTTAGTACAATATGTACATAAGTAACCAGTATCATCATACAAACCAACTATCCCTGTCTTTTCTTTGTCAGTACCTCCTTTCAGGGCTCAAAAATCTCAAGTTAGAATTTGATTCGTGCCAATGAGTCAAACTTTTTGGCTGTCTTTCTTTTCCTTCTTTGCTCACGCAAAATCAAACAGATCACGTGCACAAAATCAAAAGAAAAAAAAATTGGGATCACATTGTTGTAGAGGGAAAAAAGATGGCTGGTTTCAATGCAAAATAGAACAAGAACAATACACAGATCAAAAAGTAAAATATATTGCTGGTTAAAAAAAAGGGTTCTAAATGATTTTGTTACCTGATGATTATGTCAGTCCATACATTCCTGAAATTATAGACTATCTCTAATGTAAGATATACATGTGTAAGTGTGTGGTTTGACTTTACTAATGTGAATATATATATAAACTGATGATCTAACTCTAACTAAAAATAGCAATAGATAAAGGCTGTATATGCATTGTGCACTTATTTCTTCATCTTTTCTTCTGCCTTGTGTTCAGCTTCTTGTCCACCAATACTACCAGCAACCCCCAAAGCAATGTGTGAAGCAGTGCCACCTCCAACTTTATCGGCAACTTTATTACCGGCAACACTTCCAGCAACGGATGATGCAATATCTTTAACAAAATTTCCTTTATCTGACATATTTAAATTATAAAATGTTGTATTGTAGGAGTGGATAGGTAATCATTTTTAAAAATTTGTACCTTTTGCTATCTATTTATATTTGAACTGAAAACCCCTATCAAATCAACTTTGGTTGCTATCAATTTCATATTTCACTCACGCTCACACATTTTACTCACAATTTACTCCCACTAATAAGATTGCTATGAGCTCGGAACGAGTAAGGGGACAACTTGAATGTAAATCTACGTAAAATTGCAAATTAGGGGAGGGAGGGCACACTTCCCATGAGACTCTATTTTTTGTTATACTTTACGAATGGTTGTCAATTCATGAATAATTTGACATTCCTTCAATAACCTTTATCTTTGATGTAATACTGCGTATTGTTAACTTTCGATTCTCATCATTTACAACCAAACTGGAAAAGAAAAAAAAAATTTTTTTTTTGGTTGATATATTTTTCAGACAACCAACTAGAACAACTACACATCCACAATGAATCAGGATCCAAGTATGTGTTTCATCAACTAGTATTCATCTAATATCACTTGTTCAAAAAAAAAAAAAAAAACTAACATGAAATTTCAGCACAAAAAATTGAACCATTTCTTAAGAATTTCCTAGCATCTCTTGATACTCAATATACCCCAACCCCAAGCACATCCATAGAACAATATGCCATTCAATTAGGCTCATCATTGAAAAGAACAAGTAGTATCATAGTCAATGGTAATCCAATAATACCCACTATGCAAGAAGATTCAAAATTACAATTCCAAAAGAAATGGCTTTTAACCCCGTTAAGTTTTCATCAATTGACAAGTTTTGATGCTCATTTAATTCCAGGAACTGGGTTATTCATGATTCAATTTTCAGCAAAAGTTAAATTTGATCAACTGGGGAAAAACCGATTAGGTGAATCTGCTGATTTAATTCATCCTCAAGAAAGTATTTTAAATAAATCTTCAACTTCTCAAAGAGCTGTTTGGGGTAGTTGGTTTGGTATCAATGGGAATGTAATCATTGATGAAAATTTTAATGAAAATGGTATTGGTGAATTCATAAACAGTTTGGATTATAGATTTACTTATATTCCCCAAGATTCTATTATAAAATTCTAAATAATATTTTGATTTTTATTTCATTTTGGGGGCAACAGATACTATATATTTTTATTGGATGATACATAATTGTTTAACAAAGTACCTAAATAGATTTCAGAATAAAAAGTAGGTGATATTTGATCATCTGATAACGTATAATTCAATTCATTCAATGCCCAAAGAATATTCGGGGTAATAAATGTATAGAAAACGACATTAACCGGGGTGTTTTCATCATACAGATCACCGTTTTTAATCTCAACACTTTGAACAACATTAGGAACTGGGAAATTAACAACTGGTTTATGTAAAGTATCATCACCATCAATCCCAAAATCATCATGCGTTACATATCCTTTAGGAAGCTTATCACCGCTGAAATAGTACTGATCTGCATTTTTCAATTGGAATCCAGATGAAATATCATATTGATGCGGTGGTTTTAATCTTGATACACTTATATAATCAGCTTCATTTAACTTATCAGCAATTTTAGTAGCCACTCTCTTTGGAATAGTTAAATTAACCCACAAGTTTTCAAACGGTGATACAATATATTTGGAATCAACCGTATAAGGACCTTTATATAAATCATATCTAATTGAGCCAGTATTGATAATAATAACTCTATTCTCTTGATCACCCCCAGGCAAAGTTTTAAGAACTTTTGTAGTCAATAAATTGAAAATACTATGAGGATGATGAATAGGAACATAGTCAACATAATAATTTTGGTTAACATATCCAATCAAATCATCTAACCTCAATTCTTGTCTTATTTTCTTGATCTTTTCTGAAACCTCAATGCCCTTTGGAGTATCAAAATTCTTATCTCTATTAGTATGATACTTGAATGAATCCAAATTAAAGTCAATATAAGATCTCGAAAATCTTTCTTTCACAGGAAGTTTCACCTTGGTCATATTTACACTTGACCAACCAATTGTTTCACAATATCTACCACTTTGTAAACCAGTTGATAAGTCATCAAACACAGAGAAATCTCTAATATGACTATGACCTCCAAAATACTGAATGATAGTATTCGGGTAAAATTTTCTTAAATATGCATGAACTCTATAAAATTCTTTCCAATTATGAGATATTGGAGTATGTCCAAGAATAACAATCATATCAACTTTCTCCTGATCATATTCCTTCAACACATCATTAAACCACTTTTCTTGAATAACTTCAATCATAGGAGTAACCCTAGTACCTTTATTAAATCTTTTAAAATCAAATAAAAATCCAAAACTTAAAACTCTCACTTTTTGATTCTTTGTTTCAAAATATCTATATTTTTTACCAAATCCAATCCATCCTAAATCTTTAACATTAATTTCAACATTTGAACAAACATATTTTTCACCAAATTCTTTAACAACTGATTCATATTCCATTTTAGAATTTTCCCATTCATATAATTCATGATTCCCAATAGTTAATAAATCATAATCTCCTTTATTAAAAATAGGTATACTTTTAATCCCATTAGGTTTAGTAATATCACTAAATCCATTCCCATCATGTCGATCCCCACTATCAATAATTATCAAATCTTGTCCTTTCAGATCTGCTATTTCACGTAAATGTGAAGTAAATGATATAAAATCTCCCCAATTACCATGATATATAGCTTGATTAATATGGCCCAGATACCATCCGTGTGTATCTGTTGTATGAAGGAAATTAACATCATTCCAAGTGAGGTTTCTATGAATATATGATCCAATTACACTTCTTATAGAAATGATGGTTATTATTATAATTTGGTATAGGATCATGATATTGGTGTGTGGTTCTTGTAGACTATTGTAAAAAAAAAATCTGAACAGAATAAAAAGTGTGTTTCGTTATCGAATGGTGGTTATCAACGCAGAGAAGGGGAAAAAAATTGATCGTGATGGTTATCAACATACCCCAGACGCATAATATGCAGGAATTTGTAAAATGTGGAAGTGGTGGAAAGAACCAAATGATGAAGGGTTGGCTCCTCCCCTCTCTTCACTTACTACCTCTCCTAATTAAAAGGAGAGGGTCGAACTGGGCCCACGTGTGTATGTGTGGGGCCGACCCAGCCCGACTATGGCCCTCTTCTTGAGTTGCCATATCGCGTCCGCCTACTGACCCAAGGGGGAATAGATAGAGGATGAACCAGGAGGGAAGGGGACTGGTCACTTTTAGCCCCCAATTGCCTAGTCCTCTACAAGTGTGGTTTGCATTAAACCACCACTACTACTCATCGGGATAGGTTAGTTCAATATCCCGATGAGTAGCTTTTAAAGATAGTGATGACCAGTCACTATCTTTTGAAGAACCTTCTCTAATCAACATTGCTCCTTTTTTGTATATGTTGATCCCTCTTGTAAGGTTCAAGATAACATGTGTTCCCAATTTGCTATCTTATTTGGAAGGTTCTTCTAATGTTTGTGCATCATACCAAAGGAGCTAACAGTTGTTTGAATTTCTTTTCAATAACTTAACCAAGTGACACAAGCAACAACTAGTAGGGAACATATAACAATAACTGATGGGGAACATATAATCTCTAATTCTTTGTGAACTTGTTATGGATAATGGATTGCAGTTCTTTATATTGAAGTTAGTATTTGCAACCATGAATAAAACACATCAATTGATACTCACTTGTTAAAACTGATATCATATTATAAGTAATTGATACTAATTGTTAATAAAAACAAGAAAGAAAAAGAAAAAGAAAGTCTTGCTAAAAAGATTTTTTTATTTTTGCAATTTGTTTGCCCTTTTATAGTTGAGTTTTTTGGGGTATTTGTGTAGGTATTTTTGTTATGTTATATGTCGAATGCTACCATATGCGGGGAAATCGAAGAGTATCGGAGTATACTTCTATTTGTGTATGCACAATTGATTGACTCATATTTGATCACAATCACAATAATGAAACTTGTTCTTATATCTACAGATTTATAGTTTATCTTGTATAAAAAAAAAAAACCAATCATATATTTCCCTGAAACTAAAGCAAAAACAAAACATAAAAAAAACCTATTACCCATTTAATTCCAATTAAACCATTTACTATTTCTATTAAGGCTTTTCAATTCTTTATTCAATTGTTCTTCTTCTTCTAATAATTGACTCAACTCATCTTCTAAAAGAACGGATTTTTCAACCTTTTCTGCATTTATAATCAACAATTTTTGAATTTCGTCTTCAATTGACGTTGGCAATACTTCTTGATGGTGTTCTGTATCCCCGTCATTGCTCTTTTCCTGTCTTTTATTTTCCAATTCTTCAATATCTTTAGTTAGTTTGTCTATTGATTGAGATAATTCATCATTTTCATTGAGTAGTTCTGGTAATGTTATTTTCAAATCAATCATTTTTTGTACAATATCAATGTGATTCTTATTCAAGTCAGTGTATTGAGTTTGTAATGTTTTGATCTTGTTACGTAAATTACCATTGGATAATTTCATTGATTTGATATCATCAACCTTGGCACGCTCTTTGTTATAAATACTTTCAAATTCCTTTTCGTATTTGGTTAACTCAACAGGATCAAGATTTATCTTCATGGAGTCTTCAACTAAAGAATCTAATTTATAATATGACGAGGGATTTGACATACCACTCATATTACTTGCTCTTCTAGACAAGGAAAATCTAGTCTTCTTAGCCGAACCAGGAGAAGCCAACTCGTCCTTGATAAATGCATCATCGATGTAAATATTAAATAATTTATCCTTTAAAAATTCCAACAACTTGTCAAACGATAAATTCAATAAACTGGTTTCATTCAGGACCATGAGATTAACTGCAAATTTCAAAATTGATTCCATACCTTGAGTGACAATGATATCATAGATTCTCAACACAATATCCAATGGGAATTTATAAGCAAAGAATGTAAGAAACCATTGACTAGCATACATTGAACTCTTGATTCCTTGTTTAACTAAATGATTATACAACACAGGAGAATAACTTTCCAATAATCGATCAAACTCATACAATAAAACGTGCAAACCTTTCATTTCTGGACAAAACAACTCTCTTAAACCGTACTCTTTCATCAATGTCACCAATAAACAAAAACATTCAGATTCATTCATATTCATAATTAATGGTACGGCAATGAAAATCATCCCTTGAGTATATCCAACATCCGGATCATATAAACTATAAGCTTTAATGACATTAAATAGTTCATCACTTTTATTAACAGCATCAACTTGAGTGAAAAAACTTGTTCTGGTTAAATCTCTCTTGATAGCCTTTTCATGTATGGAACTTTCCAATTTTAATTGTCTATAAAAATCTTCCATGGAATTTTGTTTTGATTTAGATACTAACTGCCAAATAATACCTCTGAATTCTTTAGGTATACCTGAATTTATCTTTAGGTTCAATTCATCCAGTTGAGTATTAACGACATTATCATAATCATTTACCACGTTACTCCAAAAATCCCAATCTATAGTTTGTCCAAAGACATTACTTCCTCCAAATCCATCAGCTATAGTCTTGATATCTTGAAATGTTTTCTTGAATGTCTCTGCACTGGAATTTATGGATTCTTTAGTTTGGGCGGGTTTTTGTTCAAACTTTAAATTTAATTGATTATGTTTCGATTGTAAAAGATAATTTGTAGTAGATTTATCGTATGTTTGAGTTAAGGAATTCAAATCCTGGATCGATTTACTTGAAGGTGGGATTATATCGGCATGAGGATTTTCATCTAATCTTATGCATACCTGGATAGATTTTCTGTTTGGTAATTTTGGAGAAGTTGATTCGGGTGATGTTGTAGTTTCAGTAGTTTCAGTAGTTCGAGGTGAAGTGGAAGCAGTGGTGGTTGTGTCAGTCATGATTGTGCCAATAATAATAATACAGGAAGCAGGTTTCTCTTTACTTGTTTCTGGGTATTGGCTTTATTTTCAACTATGATTAATAGAGACAAGTAACACGAGTACCACTTTTTTTTTTCCTTTCCTGGTTTTTTTTTTTTTTGGGTTTTTGTTTGGTTGTTTTTGTTTTCCGCTCGAGCAGAAAAAGAAACATCAACATGATTACATAAAGGCACACGGTTGCTGACATAATCCGGTAATAAATTAAATAAATATAACCTTAAACTATTAAAAATATGAACACTCAAACTAGATATAATAATAAAATAAAATAAAAACCTAACCGAACTAAAAACTTAAACTACCTAAATAAAATACCTTCAAGAAGAGGATGTAGAAATCCAATGATAATCTTCATTAACATCATAAATATCAACATTATCATACGATAACTGTTGTTGTTGCTGAGTAATATTCATAGGACGAATAATCTCAGTATCGTTCAAAATAGCATCTTGAAGAACATCATCAGCACTATAATCACTTAAAATATCACTAGAGAAAGAAGAACGGGATGATGCAATATTACTTTCATCAGCACCACTAGAACTTAAAATATCACTACCAAAACTGGTGGTATTACTACTCATAGCAGTAGCATCGTTCGATATTTCATCAACTTCTTCAATAATAAACCCACCAGTGATTCCCTTTTCTTGACATAAAATTTCCAACTTTTCACGATCACAATTAGGAAAATAAACACGCAAGACATTCTTACCGCTAATATACTTAATTGGTAATTCTCCCAAGTCAAACAAATTGGTTAAATCTTTCTTTAAAGTAGCCAATTTCTTTTCAAATGATTTGATGTTGAATAGCATTTCATCTAAAATTTCTTCACTTAAAATAGTTTCATTTGGAATATTTAAATTGAAGTTAATTGGAAAATCAATAAAACTAGACTTTGGTTGTTGTTGTTGTTTTTCAATCGGAATATTTGTAGATTCAGTCTTGGCTAATTTCAAAGTTAATTGATGATGGCCAGGAGTCAATGATAAATTTAATCTTATTGTTGGGTTGAATTTATTTCTCCTGATTTCATCAACGTTTAACCCTTTGTTATAAACCTGATACTTTTCGCGTAAATTATTGAATAATGTACGATAAGTGAACCTGATATTATTATGGTATAATTTCAATCTGTAGCTGTTGTTATAAGCCTGACTAAAGTTATGGAATAACCCACCACCTGATCTGTTCAAATTTTTTAATATTTTTGAATGCCCAGAAGTGTTGTAAAACTTATAAAAGAAATTGTATTTTTTAGTACCTTGTTTAAAAGTCCAATTTTGATAATATTGATAATTGTTAAAACCACCGTGGAAACCCGGATTAGTTGAATAGTTACGTCTAGCTAATGGGTTTCTATTACGTACAGGAACAGGAATAGGTACTGCCTGTGGTTGACGAGCCTGTTGTGATTCTCTTTGTAAGTTCTCAGCCAACTCCTCTAAAGCTCGTTGGATTCTTCTAGAGAAGTTTCTCGTACGAAGAGAAATCAAATTCTTCAACCTCTGAACATTCATATGGAATAGTTAATAAATAGATGGAGTTGCCCTCGATTTTTTTAAGGCCAAAGCAATAAACCGTTGTTGATTATATATGACAACGTCTGTGGGGTTGTGGTGGGTTTATGAAAATATTAATTAAAATTTTTTTAAAAAAAAGAAAAGATAAGAAGGAAGAAAAAGGGTTGGGCTTGTTTCTTTTCCAACAGGCTGTGTGTGTTAGTGTGTTAGTCACAGGGAATGAAAGAAAAGAAAAGTAAAAAAAAAAAAAATGACGCACTACTTTCTTCGGTTCCGATGTGGGGGTGGAACGGGAGTCAAATCAGAGCGAGAGTGCGAAACAGGTTATTTCCGTAACCGGTAAGAAATAACGTGCACGGAAATACGTTTTAACTGTATCGGATATCTTTGACTTGTAGTATTTATTCATTGATACAAGTACCTATGTGAGCATTGTGGATATTGTTACATACTAACAGAGAAATCTAATCCTTATCATGTCATATGTTTAGTCATATGGAAAGTTGCATATATATTCTTCCCGTCTTCCTATATAGTTAAAATACCGTTTCCCATATGGAAAGAATAAACTGCAAATATGTGTCGTCCAATTATTCGACAGGACCAGTGTTTGTTTCAGTTTGTGATAAATCAGTTGCTCCCAGAACCAAATTATCCAAAGCAATGGTAGTTGTACTCTTTCTGTTGGAATTACCATCCTCCATATCGGAATCCTGAGCGGATGCAATATTTGCTTCATTTCGATCATTTATACGACTTCGGCGTTGATCTATTATTTGTGGAAAGGTGTCTAATATTAAAGCTGCCATATATAAAGCGCTTAGCATGCACGGGATGATGAGTATGCCAACTAGAACAGCTGTCTGGTTCGATTTGTCAGGGTTATCTTGATGGGATACTGTTCGGTTGCCGTTTGAGTGATGTATTTTACATCTCATCGCAATTGATTGTAGTAGATAGAAAGAATGTTCACAATTTACTTGGGTTTAAAAATATCTACTTATATGTGGTTCTTTTAAATAAATTTGTATTTCTTTCCCTCATATATAAACAGTGTTGCAATCTTATTTTGAGCAGAAAGATGCATTAATGTTCACGTAAATTTCTCATTAGTGAAAAGAAATCACTTCAAAGGATGTTATCATTGTAGATTGTTCCACCATTATGACGTTGGGAATGTTATAGAGTATGTGCTTGTTTTCGATAGATGGTCCACTTTACAAGTAATCACAATTATTCATCCAATTAATAACTATCCATTGAAATAGGCCACTACGTGCCATGTTGTGAACATGATTATTGAATTACCTTGTGAACATTTCCAGTACAAACTTTGTCTTTTGCAACAAAAGTTTCCTATATAATTTGGAGCTAAGTATCGACTGACACTTCTGCACACATTTTTCATTAGTAAGCTTTCAAGTTGATTCACAAGATAGAAATACGTCATCATAAACTATTCCATCGATCATGCGTCTTTAATCCATACCCAAAAGATCGGAAATTCGTTGTTTTCTTTGTTGTTACTATTATTACTCAAGTATCAGGATTATCACGTTCTCGTTTTTTCTGTGCACCGGGTTTTCCAGCCGGATTTGGGAAATATCAACAAATTGTGAATTACTCCTTTCTCCGTGTGCACCATCTACGTCATGTACCTACAACCAATTCAATATAAATACTAGAAAAATCCCACTTTAAATTAATGATTTTGGTGTATTATTTTATCATCAGTTATTCAAATAACTAAAACTTCCTCAATTAAACCAAACTAAACTAAATCTTCAAATTAAATTTAACTATGAGTTCTGTTAAAGTTGCTTCTTCAAACGAATCTAAACATGAAAGTTTCCGTTCCCAAATGGATGAATTTAATGAAAAATTGATGAAATTTCCAAAAAGCTTACATCATGGTTTACATAAAGGCGCTGATAAGACTTCTCACAAAGTTGCTGATGGTACCAAAAAAGTCTTCAAACATGATCAATAGATGATAAAAAAGTATGCATGTTGTTATCAATAGAGTAAGAGTTATGAGTTATGATTAATTTTAATATATGTTTTAATGGTTCAATCAATTGTTATAGTATTGTAGTCTTGGAGCATAATTGCATGAACTAGCATCACTATATGATTGATGAAGGAACAAATATCCAACCTATCTTTCATCTAGGTGTCTCAAGAAGAACTGAGTACATGCATATTTTTTCTATTTTATTGGAAATCACAATAATTCCCTGTGTTTTTGTATGATATTTAAATCAGTAACTACTATATTTCAAATGTCATATGGTAGCGACATCATCTCAGCAGATGTATGATTTAGTTTCTCATTTAAAATATCCTTGAATTAGAGGTTCACTATACTCATACTTAAATTCATCAAGTATATGACTTAGAATTTAAGTTTATTAAGAAAAAATAAATATTCCGGTAGTGGTAATCTACCAAGGATAATCTTTCCACCTTGGTGGATTCACAAATTATTTGCCCCACAAGGGATTCACCTGCTAAATCGAAATCTTCAACAACAAAAAAATGACTTGAAGCTATGGCCATGATCTGTTCATAACACCATTTATAATCATATTATATACAATAAATAGTTCTTTCCTTATTTTTAGGATCTTTTTGCATTTCTTCGTTGGTTTCTATTTCCTAATTTTACCTTCTCATGGTTCTTTTTTTTTTTTTACACCCGCACGCAATTGTAGACTAAATCAGATAATGTGATATTTTTCTTTTTGGTTGTTCTCTTTTTCCCTTTTTATTTTAATTTCCTTTTCCATGTCAACCACTTTAGCTCAAATAGTTTGATTAATTATTTCATCAATATCATATTTTCTATAATTCATAATTGTTATAATCTACAATAACTACCAATTAATATAAAACATGGGCCATAAAAAACATTCAACTCGAAAATCAAAGAATGCAGCCAATAATAATGGTAACAATAGTAAGATATCTCCCCCTGAACCAAGTCTAGAAATTGCAAAATCATCAAGTACAAATAGTAATAACAATACAACAGATCCAAAGAAACAATCATGTGATGTCAATCAATATTTGTATAACTTCATTAGTTCAGATGAATTTAACAGTTGTTATCCAATAATTGCATTCCAGTCGTCTGTGTTACTAACATGTGTGGAATTGCAGGAGAAGCAAACACCGGAAAATGGTCAAAGTTTAAAGATTCCTGTTCGTGAATTATTGATTAATGCAGAAAAGAGAATAAAAGATTGGGAAGAAAGAGCACGAAATTCCCTATGATGGGTATGGAGTATTTATTAGGTTATACTTTATTCTGTTTTGTTACTAGATTTGTGTGTAGCTTTTTTTTGTTCTTTACATAGATATATACAAGTATAATATGGGAAGGGGCGCATTAAGTACATAAAAGTTTCTTATATGATAGCAACTTACCTTCTAGGTTATAGATAGTTAATACTTCAATTATAGAATCTTTCAATTCTTGAGGAATATTTTTATTTAAAGCAATGTATTCATCCAAGAATGGTAACACCCACAGTACTCTTCCTAAATTATCTGATTTTTTACAAGATTCCAAAATAATCAAAAACAACTCCGGAGTGAAAATCTTACCTTCAACTAGTTTTTGTTGTACATAATTTAATTGGATATTATTTGGATCAATAGAATCAAGTACAATTTTATCATACAATAAATCCACATACTCATGTAAACCAAGATTAATTGATGATTTCATAATCAGATATAAACAATCCCTTGAAATAGTTAATAATTTAGAATCCAATTCAATCCCAGGACATTTCTGAGGTAATTTGAATTTTGCAATTGATAATAATGGACTTTTCAATACCATGACTTCACCTGCCAATTTATCCAATTTTAAAAATGATAACAATTCAATAAATGTTTCTTTATCATTTCTAGTTTCTTGGTATTTACATAACGATGAAAGTATCTCAGGATAGGATTCAATTAGATGGATAAAATGATCTGCCATCAACTGTGGCTTTGATTGTTTAGGGTCCCTTGGAGTGGCCAATACAGTTGGTTGATGTTTGTACTGGAAAAGAGATTCATAAATGATTTGTTGAAAGTTATGTAATTTATAGTGATCAAATTTATCAAGTAGATAACTCCAGATTTCGGCAGTGGGAATATGACCAGGTCCATGTAAAAGGTCTTTAACAATGTTCACTCCTAATTTCGTATGATTCTTATTCTGTTCATATTTAGCAAATGATTCTTTAAATCTGGTAATGTACTTGCTAGAATCATTCTCATACAGTCCGAATTTGACAAATCCATTCCCATCGACTTCCTTGACGATATCAGAATCAGGATGATTTAAAAATTGTGACGATTTAAAGTGAACGAATTTCAATCGATAATCTTTAAAAGATCCAAAATCAAAACTCAGTTTGATTTCTTCCAAATAATTCTTTAATCTTCCATCATCTAACTTTCGTAAAGTTTCTTCAACGTAAAGTGATTCAACCAATGAATGACACACTAAAAGTATTGTGTTTCTCATCTCAATATCATTATATGACAATTTTCCCAATGTTTTTTGTAATTCATCGTAGTCGTTAACACCATTTACATGAGTTTCATTATTTTCAAACAAGGCATCAATATTAGCTTCATCTTTCAAAATTTCAATAATATTATTTCTATGAGATTTAAATTGTTCAGCAAGTTGGATATTCGTTTCAAAATCTTGAACTCGTCTTTGGTTCCGTCGAAGGGTAGATTCGCTTAACTCCTTGGTGACTGCTGGCTTCGCAGTACTTGAATAACATCGTCGTAGTATATTTCTTACTATTATTTGTCTTCTTGAAAACATGGTAATCCGTTGTTTGACTAATAAAAATGATGATAGTTTCTCGTATGATTGAATGAATCTCTTAAGAACGCGAGACAGTCAAAGGAAATTCTTTGACAGAGAAAATTTTCTTAAATATTGGTTACGACACGAATTCTGAAAAAAAAAAAAATAGAACAGGGAAAAAAGCATCTTTAAGGCAACTTCAAGATATCACTAAAAGAAACCGTGGTTCAATTAAATCAGGAATGATATATTCTATTAGAAGACGAGTAAACAACCTGATAAGACTTTTCCACAATAAAAAGCTTATAAACTTGTTTTGTCTGATTAATTTTACTGTGTGGTAAACCAAAGAAAAAAAAAAAAAAGAATGCAATCGCGTGAATATTGAACGAACAATTTTTTTTTTTTTTTGGTCTCGGAATTTTTCATCCATATTATTATATATCATTAAAACTCCAAAAAACACATTCGATCAACCAATGAAGTTCTCTACCATTCTTACTGCATTGACAGCTGTAATTGCTACTGTTGCTGGTTATGAAACCAGTGGGAAACCACATACTGTTGATATTCTTATTGATTATAGTATTAAAGAAACACCAGAACTTTCTCAAAATGACGTGGCTAATTGGGTCAATGGGGACAAATACACTCTTGAATATGTTGTTAGTAACAACGAAGAAACTGAAATTGCTGTTGTTGGTGTTACTGGTCAATTCAAAAACCCAGTTACTAATCAAATTGTTACTAATTTAACCACTGGTCAAGTTGGTCCAATTACTGTTGCTCCAGGTGAATCAATCAAATTTGAACAAATTGTTGATGTTGATTTAATGGCTAATAATTATGAATTGTTCCCTTATGTTTTCGTTGCTCATGATGATTTAATCAAAGTCATTCCATGTCGTGGTCAATTAACTTCTGTTGTTGATGCCACTATTTCATTTTTCGATCCAAGATTAATCCTTTTGGAATTGGTCTTATTGGTTACTTTTGGTGCTGCTGCTTATTTCATTTATGAAATTTGGGGCAAACAATATTTGAAAGGAACTGCTCCTGTTAAAGTTCCTGCTAGAAAGAGTGGATCTACTGTTTCCAAAAAAGGTGCATCTGCAACTGCTAGTGGTTTTGATGAATCCTGGATCCCAGAAGCTCACTTGAAAAAGAACAAGAAAAAGGCTTAAATGGCCACTACATGTTGTACTTTTTTATAGGTAGTAATTACAAACGTGAATTAGTTTAAAGAAAGAAAAAACAATATATAACAATTGTTAACTGTAAAAACAATTACAGAAAACATTATGGAGAAGAATCGTGAAAACGAGCCAATCCATTTATCTAATATACTTCTTTTCAAAGTATCTGGCTACATTGAATCCGATAAAGGCAAAACCGAAACCTAATTCGAAACCAATATCACCACCAAATTCACCGATTTGTCTACCAATAACACCGGCGTACCAAGTTTGATCCATACCTAAAACAACACCAGCAACACCACAGGCAAAACCAAAGACACCGGCAAGACCTAATGGATAAGCTTGTTTATCGTTCCATCTTTCATAATCATAAGCACTCATTTTACCTTTGTACCAAATGAAATGAGATGAATACATCATACTTTCATAAATGGCCAAGTAGTAAGAAATCAAGTTCATGAAATTTTCCATGACGGATTCGAATTTATAATAAGCAGGAATACAAATGGCTAAAGTAGCAGCATTACCACAAAGAGTCCAGAAAACTCTTGGAATCTTACCAAATTGACTCCAAACAGTTTGGGCAGAAAGAGCCATAGAATACATGTTTGGAACATTGTTGGCAACAGTAGATAAAGCCAAGACAACACAACAGAATTGACCAAAGCCGTGCAATGATTTAGTAACCAAAATGGAGTAAACTAAACCACCAACAGAGTATTCGTCATACATTGCTGTCCATTCTGGATCATTGGCAATACCAGTGGCACAAGCGGCACCCAAAATCAAAGTAAACCACAAAGGAAGCAACAAACCCAAAAAGACACTGAAAAAGACTTTGTATGGGTTAGTATTTCTTGGATGGTAAACAACATAATCGGCAGCATAGGTTGACCAACCAGTAGCAAAACCGAAAACAGTACCACCAAAACTTAAAACACTACCAGCGGTAGTTCTACCACCAACAAAGTCTGCACTGTTGAATTTACCAGTCATGGCGAATCTGACAATGATGATGATAAAGATAATCAAGTTTGGAATCCAAGACCATTTTTCGTAAATGTGGATAACGTGATAACCAAAGAAAGTAACCAAAACAGTACAGACAACCAAGATAAGACAACCAGCCCAAGGTGGCAAGGCACCATTATTGACAATGTGCAATAATTGAGCGGAAGACATGATATTAACTGCACCCCAACCAACACAAGCAACGACATTAATTGCCGCAAACAACCTTGTTGCATAATCACCAATTAAAAACTTTGATAAAAGCATCTGTCTTAAACCTAAAGCAGAACCAAAAATAGAAAAGAACCCGACGGAAAAGGCACCCAAAATGGAGAAAAATATAATGACCAAAACAGCTTGACCAAAGGCTAAACCAAAGACAGTTATACCCAAGGCACCCAAGGAGAAAGTAGCAATGACTAAATTGGCACTCAACCACATGGTAGCTAAATTTCAGAATGAAGTATCGGTTTTTTCTTCATCTGACACTAGTTCAATACCTTTAGTTTCTGCATTTAATTTATGGGCAATTCTATCAATGAAATTTAATTGTGTTGTTTGAACTTCAGCATCAGAAGTAAAGTTTTCTTCTTGATCATATGAATTTACTGAAGTTTTTTCAACAGGAAGTGTTTGCTTTTCGTAATCAGCCATTGTGTTATGTGTATATGTGTATGTATAAGTTTGGTGGATCTATCTATATCTAATGTGAATGATAGAAGTTAAGGTTAAAATTCTTGAATTTATTATATATAATTAATATTGACTTTTTATTTGCGATGGAAATGTGATGAATTATATTTACTGCAATTTTGAAGGGAATTAAGTTTGCAATATGTAAATATATAGGAGGTGATAATAATTAATAAAAAGGAGGAAAAGGTAGTTAAGGAGAAGTCAATAAGTAATTATAAAAAAATATAACTTTGGGGTTGAGTTGAAATTTTTTGGGGAAAGGATTGGAGTATAAATATCTGGATTTATGAAAAGAAAAAGAAGAGAAAGATTAATTAAGATAAGAAGAAAGAGGGAATAATTTTTCTATTATATAAGCTCATTACTTTAGACTAAGAAGTTAACGCGAAGAGATTCAAGTTACAAGGAAAATTTTTCTTAAGGCAAAACGTAAATGTGAAAGAGAGTTGAAAAAGAAATTTATCTAACAAAGCCATAAATGCTGCAGTACGGTTTAATTGATAAATGATACAAAATGCAAAGTAAATAGAATATTCAATTTAACTCAAGTAATCGAAAGATACGCATAACAGATTGGAGCCATTCCTTCGGGCCTTCCATTGGATCTGCCTTAAGCCGAATGGTGATATTCATTCAAAATCAATGCAATTAATATACGCTTGTTTATTCGGTTCAGCCCTGTCGAATTATGATATCTGCAAACCTTTCATTGAATAGAATCTTAATCGGAACTACCTTTTAAATAATAAAAAAAGAAACTTCCTGGTCATGATTATCGATGGAAATTTATATTCCCGTTTGACATTTGATAATTCTACTGATTCACTATTGAATTACGACTGCACAACTAGCCTTGTTCATTATTGAATGTTAATGCACTTTTCAAAATCTGGTGAATAAGTACATGACTCCATTTTCATCTCTTCTCTTATCAGGTGATTAATGCTACCATCCCACGGCGTATGGCATTGGAAGTGAGTTGGTACCAATGCAAAAAAAAAAAAAAAAAAAAAAAATAAAAAAGAAATGAGAAAATTCTCAATGTTCCCTGCACATAATAAAATACATTTTATTGAAAGTGCGTAAGCTTATCTTCTTCTGAACAAGAGGCAATTTCATGTTAGCATACGGCTTCAAATTTGATTGGTAAAGATAGAGAGGGTTTTCTACATTGTAAACTGTGTTAGAGGGGTAAGAACTTCTCATAGATAAGAGAATATCACCAATATAGAATTATATTCCATGTCATAATTGTAGCTTTTCTAATTTTTTTAACTATTTTTTTTCATGGCAAAGATGTCAACATGTTGTACCGATTCATCTTTAAATTTCTTGATGATTCTCACAAAGGAAAACACTGATTGTGTAATGAAAATCTTTCAAACGGCGATTTGGGTCTCATCTCACAAAACACTAACTGCAAGTAAAAATTCAATAGAATTTGTACAAGAGTCAGAATGTATAACGAAACAGAAGGATCTTGATTGGTCTAATATTACATTAATAATTTACATAATAGAATACACTTCAATTACAATTCAAACTCTTGACCCTGATATTATTTGCCTTGTTCCATCTCTTTTGCATCCTAATTGGTTTTGTATTTTCCACCTTTGTTCCATTCCGACGGACTACCCGTGTTGATGTAGAACATCAACTCCAACGGAACAATAATCAAACCTGTCTCGTGAGACTTAATTTTCTTGGTATAGACAAATTCGGTTAATTCCTTTGGCTATATCTCTGCCCCTCGTTCTTTCTCCTTAACATATATAATAGAAGACTAATCATTGATACAGCCCCCCCCCCTTCTCCGTTGGAATATGCAACTCTGGATGGAAATTGAAATGTGGGGTGTGTGTGTGTGAAAGATATGTCGCAACTAATTAGATGAACTAAAAAAAAAAAAACTTTTGTTTAAACATGTGCATAACCCGTGATTAGGGTTACAAGCCTAGCCATGTTGCACTACTACAACAAAATTTTAACCCCACATAATATTTTTTTCTTCTAGAGAATCGGAAAACAAAAAAAAACCCTTACAAAATGTTAAACTATGATCAAAAAATAATTTATATTTTTTTAAAATTTTATATTTTACTTATCAAACACTAATATTATTCTTCATTTTTTTTAATAAATTTTTTTTTCATTTAAAATACTAGTTTCATGGTTAAAAATTAATACCGTTTAAAGTTAATAATTCTTTTAATCTATCAACTTCATCTTGTAAAGCTTGTTTTTCACCAACCAAGACTTCAACTTTATCTTCCAATTGATTCATTCTTTCCATCTTACGAGCTCTTGATCTTCTAGCGGCTTCAGTGTTTTTAGCTCTTTTCAAAGCAACTGGATCACTAATGTCATCAACAACAATCGGTTGTAATGGCTGGGATCTTTGCTTCTTGGAATAAGTGACACAACCTAAATGATCAACTTTTGATTTCTTTCTAGGTTTGGCATCCAACATTGGAGTTGGTAAAGTTGAGGATGGATTTGGTGTAAACAATTGAGATTGTTGTTTAGATAAATCAGAACCACCAAAAGCAAACGATTTTTCCACTTCGCTAAATTTTCTCTTACCAGAAGTGACAGATGTAGCAATGGTACTGGCTGCACCACCACACAACTCAGGACTGGAAGCAGAACTAGAAGCATTAGTGGTTGGAGCAGAAATGGTTTCATCGTTAGATGACAACCCATTTGGAGATGCTTCAAGCAACAAGCCTTCCAATGATTCTTCTCTTGGAACAAGAGCATCATCATCTTCGGCACCATCTAAAGCAAGAATTGGATCTTCACCAGCACCAGATACAAAAGCACCAGCACCAGATTCAAGTTCACCTTCTTCAAACAAGGCAACCCAATCTTCCTTAGAGTTGACTTTGGCACCATCCAAAATAAAGTCCAATTCGTCAAACATAGGAGTATGATCGATATCATTGGTTCCATCCAAATTGGTACTGAAAATAGAATCCAATACATCAGAATGGATTTCAAAAGGAGCAGGAACTTTCTTTGACTGAGTTTCCTTTTCCAATTGAGGTAAAGCTGCAATTAATTCTAATTCAGCAGCATCGTGTTTAACAACTTGAGATTCAGTCAATGAATCTTTTTCAAAAATAACAGATTGTGGAGTAGTAGCAGACATTGTCAATGTGGTAATAGTAGTAATAACAGGTATAGTAGTAGTAGTAATAATAGTAATAATCAAAAACTTAACAAAATAATAACAAAACTAATCTAATAGTATATGGATTTGGATAGCAGTAATAAGTATAGGGGGATCTCTCTTTTTTTTCTTAGTAACTCAAGGTAGTAGTATAGCAGACGTCATAGTGGACGGTAAAATCTGGGTAAATTCTATTTCAACATATTTAAAGGGGGTAATCTTTGTAAAAAAACAACAAAACGTTTATCTTTTTTTTATTTGTAATTAATATAAATAAAAAACTCTTTTAATGAATAATAAATTAAAAAAATTTAAGCACACATAGTGATTTAAAATAATAAGTGTATCTCAGTAGGTGTAAATAATATAAGGAATAAAGTAATAGTTAAGCTTAGTAAATTAGTATTAGTATGGGTATAGTTTTGTTTTGTTGTTGTTGTTGAAATATAGATATGGAGTAAAAGAAGAAGAAAAAAAAAACCCAAAAAAATCTTTGGTTTCGAATCAAAAGGGAATACTGCGATATTTTTATATTGCTCAACGGGACCATTAGTAAGGAAAGAAAAAATTTTTCGCTTTTGGTAGCATTCTGGTTTTGTGTGCACACCATGCGTGTACTGCTGTACAAATATTCATATACGAACTTATTTAATAGTACAAAATGTAGTTGTCGATTAAATTTCATTGGACGATTGGTGAGAAAAGTCGTGTTAATTGGCCAAATCTTAATTTTTTTGGTTTTATGTGCACGCATCACCCAATTAATTCCCGCATTCTCCTCTTTTCCTTTACAAACAATAACACCTTTTTTGATTATATGACTCATAGTTAAGCCAGAAGCCTATACTCTTCTTCTTTATTGTTGGACTAGTTGATCGAATTACAGAGACATATTTTTTTCTGTACATGTCGTTATTCGGAGTTTATAATGAACGAATGAAATGTTTCAAACAGAAGTCAAATTTTAAAAGGCTGAAATTTATTTTAATTCATTTCCCACGGAAGGGTAGGCGAGGGTAGGGTGAGGGCACTTAGATTATTAAAGAAAAAAAAATTAATTTGGTTGTTTTGTAACTCCGCCGATACAGGTGTTCTCCTTGAAACTATTCGTATCATCACGTGTACTGGCCTAATGTTTCAAAATTTATTGGTGTAAACTTGAGTACAGGCGCACCGCGTACGCGCGCAAGCGGAAATTTGTTCCCATATTAGGAAGTCAAACCTGTACAATGCCGTATAATTTGAATACCAATATCAAATATCAATCGCAAAATATAAAAACCAAGTTGCAAAACCAAGAAATAGATCTTTACTTTTTGTATAAAATCAAAGAAAAGCCGTGTATTTAAATTAACTCCTGGGTTTCTAATCGTTGTCTTATTTGCTACATACTTACACTTATCTGTATATCTATTTCATTTTAAACCATTTTGGTACTTTGGACTCCTTTGATTTATCAGCATCTGTGGCTGGTTTGCTGGAATTGTTTTGTGATGCAGTATGATGATGATGATGGTGACGACGATATTGATCATCATCAGGCAATTCACCCCGATGGGTTTCTAAAACTCGTTCAGGTAATTCATCACTTTGTTTAATGGTCAATTGACTATTCTTCACGTATGGACCATGCACATTCAAATCTTTCTTTTGCAATTCCCAAATGAGCATAATTCGTTCCTGTTGGAAATCAGGCAATTTGTGTAAATATTCATTGTTGGTCGTGAAATTCATATCAATTGTAGTGAATGGAGGAACACCATTTTTCAAATTGTACTCGTTTATAAATTCTGGTAGTAACAATTCATCAATCTTTTTAATCAATTGACCAAATTTGACTTCACTAACGTTTTCAATAAAGTTAATCTGTAATATAGTACCGTCTGGAAACTTAATTCTTATTTGATACTTTTTAGGTAATGACAGTGGTACCTTATTTTTAGAAGGTTTTCTTTTTCCTGAATTTCTGATCATATTTTGATAAGCTTTGACTTGATTCAAAGTAACCTCATAATCTTCATCTGGATTATCGTATGATTTTTGCGGAGTTTTTGACGGAACATACAATTGTGGAGTATCTTCAAGTTCTTCTTCCTTAAAAGTATAATGGTTTGAATCTGCAGTAGTTTCCAATGGCGGTGGATTCTTAGTTAGTGGTTTGGTCTCTACGTGTTGTGCTTCTTCTGGTTCTTCATCTGGTTCTTTCATCTCAATATCCTTTTCTGATTTTGCATCATTTTCGTATACTGGTGGTATTTCCTTCTTTTTATCCAATTCAACCAATCTCTCACGTTCTTCTTTTTGCTTTCTTAATCTTTCCTGTTCAATATGCAATCTAATAGCCTCTTGTTGCTTTCTTTCAGTTGTCTCTTTATTTTCTTCGTCGTTGCTCTTTCTATAATTCAATCGAATCACAACATTCTTAGAATCTCCAACAATAGATTCCAATGTGACTTGGTCGTATTTTTCAGACTCAATATTCAATTCAAGTATTCTTAAAATTGATGGTCTAGTAAGATCACCTCCAAATTCTCTAACTACTTCATTTAATTTTAATCCATTAGAAATTTTCTTAACTGCACTTCCACCTTGATCATTCATAAATTTAACATTTATATCTTGATTTGTAATTCCCGATGATGATTTCTTTGATGTTTTTAAAACCAATTTGGAATTATTCAACAAGTTGGTTAATCGCAAAGGTAATGATCCATCCAATAATTTATCATTATGATATAATTTCCCTGTATACGATGCCGGATCAATCAGAAATACGGTTAATGCTTGTGAAATCAATTGATTTATTGTTGATGCCTTTGCAATTGTAACCTTTTTTGGTAGTTGTCGTTCATAAATTATATTGAAATTGATTGACGACATGGTTGCTTAAGGTTTGGCAAATAAAGTGTGTGGCAATGAAATAAAAAATCAAAAAAAAAAAAGATTTGAGAGAGAATATTAAAACTATTGTTGGCTTGCAAAATATTTACAACCCCGGATAATAATACAACTAATACAAAATACAAAAACTGATTCAATATACGGCATTATTTTTATGTATGGTATTGTTTGATGACTCGTAAATCAATTGTATTTAATATCCTACAGTATATCTCTGATTCTTTTAGAACAGGTCAAAGCACAGTCGTGTAAGTTGGTCAAGTATGATAAATTGCAACTTTATTCCAGATTTCCATCATCAACAACAACAACAATAGATCAACAAATAATTCACTAAAGTGCCAATAGTGACGAATAACACCAAAGGGAGATACTTAATCCATTTCAAGTTGCACGCAGTGTGCCAGCCACTATATTTGCAGCATGGAATAAACATACTAGAACAACTTCAAATGTTCATAATATATATATATATGTTCTCCCTCGTTTGAACTGTACAATATTATTGAAATGTCCCACTGTGTCTCTAAGTATATATTAATACTAAAATCTCATCAACATATCACTACCCTGTTGTCTATTCTAAAATGTGTTGATATCGGTCTTCTTCATGGTAGTGTCTTTGCTCGGTTTTTTTTTTTTTTTTTTATATTCTTCTCCAACGATACGCAAACCGAAACTAAACAAAAAAAAATTGTTCATCGATTAGAATAAGGTCTTTCTATTCTGTTTATACTTAACTTAAACTCGAAAACACCTTCTTCAACTATGAGTGAGTTACCACCACGTGAAAAGTCACAAAGGATTGTTAATAAATCCAAACAACAAGAATCGCAAGATACGTTAGCCATTCAACGAGAAGTTTTCCATTTATATAAAAATCCACCAAAAGTTATATCAAATGTAAATGAATTATTACCAGGGTTGAATGATATAAGTGATGCTTTTGAAGCATTGCCATTAGATTTAATCAAATATTTTACATTGTTGAAAGAAATCGATGCTAAATGTATAAACACTATCCCACAAATAAATCAATTGATTTCGAATTATATTGATAACTTACATAAAGAATCTCCTCCACCTCCAGATTCAGAGTTACCCAATGGGAAAAGTTCAGAAGAATTAAAGAAACAAATAGAAGAGAACAAGAATAAATTTGAATCAAGAAGATTAACTACTATTAAAAATAAAATTAATGAAATTATCCCATGTTTAGAAGAAAAAATGCATGTTACTAGTGTTGCATCTGATTTGTTGAATAAACATATGAGTAGAATAAATCAAGATTACAAGTTGATTTTATTGAATAATGAAATTCCTGAAAGTATTCGAATTGGTCCATTGAATCATCCAGCAATGATTAATGATGCTGCAAATGGAAATACTAATAGTACCACCAATAATAGTAATTCGTCACAAAGTCAAAGAAGTGAAAGCAGAAGAGAAGCGTTGGCTGCAAAGAAAGCAAGTAAAGAAGATGACCTGGCATCAACCACTACCGGTGGTAAGAAGAAAAAGAAGGAAACAAGTCCAAATAATGAAAAGAGTGGTAGTGCGGGTGCCACTAGTAAAAAGAGAAATAGAGATGAGAGTAAGAATGGAAATAATGGAGGACATGCCAATGGTAATTCGAATAGTAATAAGAAGAAAAAGAAACAAGAATATGATGACGAAGAAGACTCTAATGATGTTTCACTGTCTAATATAACTCAGAATAAGAAATCCAATGATAATAGTGGTGCTTCGAGTAACAAGATCAAAACTGCCAATACAGCTAGCAGTGGTGGTGCTGGTGGTAGTAATGAACCAACATATTGTTATTGTAATCAAGTTTCATTTGGTGAGATGGTTGGTTGTGATGGAGACGATTGTAAAAGAGAATGGTTTCATTTACCGTGTATTGGATATAAAAACCCACCAAAGGGTAAATGGTATTGTGATGATTGTTTAGCCAAGATGAAAAAGATCAAGAAAGTATAAGTAGATGTTTTTTTTCTTCTTTCTTCTTTCTTCTGTAGTATTGATTAATAATAAAATGTGAGTGCAAGATTAACAACAACAGTATTTGCCCAAATGTGAACTATTCACGGATAAAAATAAAGTCCAGACTTTCTGCAAATACGAACATCGAACATTATCCATTGAGCTGAATCAAGTAAGGGAGAGCTGTAGTACAAAAAAAGTAATACACATGAAAACAGTCGCAGATTTTGTTTGATTGTTTCCTAAAAATTGATTAACGACTTGAGAGGAGAGAAAGTGCATTTCATGTGTTATGATGATAATCCTGTATGAATCTAGAAGTGCGGATAGTTTAGGAAGACGGGCGCAGAAAGGGATTTATGAGAAGGAGGGGGAGGGGGAGGGGCAAAAAATGAGAAACGGGGAGTTTGGGGGGAGGACATTTTGAATTGTTAATCGATGGTATCCTAATCATCATCATATTATTACCACAAATGGTATACCTCTCGTATGTTATGAGCCAATAACAAACAATACTATTGCTATGAAAAAATGATTATCACTGATTAGTTGAAAATTGATGCCATTGAAAGAACTTGAACTGTAGTAAGATTATTAATTCGTAGTTGATCTTTTTTTCTTTTCTAACTATTTATTTTTTGGTGCTTTATGGGCATCTGGTGGTGGAAATGTTGATTGGATGGCGGTAGATCTCGTAGTAAGCTTGATTTGAAATGGTGTTAAACTGTGAATCGGCTAAATTTCAGACAAAACGAAAACATGAAATATAAAAAAGACAAAACAATCCTGATGAACATGGAATTTGGGATGTACAATAGGTAGAGTATGTACATTTTATTACGTCAACTGCAATGTAATGTATAGTTTAACTTTGTAATTTTTTTTTTTTTTCATTCATTTGTTCATTTATTTATTTCCATACAAATTTGTTCTGGTAATAATATTGAACAAAGGAAATGCAGGTTTACAATAATAAATTATTCTTTTCAATTATTATATTCATCGTTAAATGAAATAGGTCGATATTATTGATTATTTATTTATTTTTAGGCAAAAAAAGATTTGATGATAAAAGTTTTCCTTGTAAACGAGAGAAATATGAGAGGGATTATGGGTTTTAATTATTAGCCACTTTGCGCCAGTACAATTATTTTGGTTGTTTTTTTCATTCTGTCCTAGTGGCTGGACAAACTCCTTCTTCTCTTTCTTCCTCCTTGTCTTTGGTTTCAATTCTGTCTTGCAATTTCACAAAAACAGACTGATAAAGAATAGATGTTCAAAGTATGATGAACAAGTTTCAGACTACGGAAATGTGAGCCATGCTAAATTTCACCTATAATGCTCATGTCGGTTTTTGTAGCTACTTTATTTGAAGGAGGTTAATTTTTAACGAATTATGCAGAAAGTATTGATTTAATTGAATGTTATTCCACAAGTAGAATTATCAACATCGAAAAATAATATATCAAATTTTCAATGGTTAACAGATGTCTTGTCTTCTATCTCTTCGCCCAAGAACATCGAGACAAGTTCGTCAAGGAACAAGCGCAAGCAAGAAATTGACGGAAATGGAAATACCAAAAACCCCAAAGGAAGGGAGAGATGGAGAGATTAAAAAAAAAATACCGACAAGCAATATCAATGCATAATAATTTTCGTCATTAGAGACTTTTTATTTCTTCTTCTACTTCTTGTTCTTTTAATTCTACTTTTAGCTTTTTGTACAAAGTGTCATGTTTGTCACACTCTGTGTATAGAAATCTAGTTTCACTTAGACAAGCAAGTATCATCATTTAATCTGGCGAACATATTCAATAGAGTTTTTGTTGGTCCGCTGGCTCTTTACGAACATTTGAAAAGAGTTTGGAACCAAACAAAAAAACAATAAAAACGAAGAACCCAATGTGATTAGAATTTGATTATCTAAAAAAAAAAAAAAAAAAAAACTGTATGTGAATACATAGCGCGTGTCACAAAATAAATGTAGTATCCTTCCATTACTTTCACACTACTCCTTTTTCATCCATTAATTTTGATTATTTCATTTGGTATTCTTTTATTCTAATTTTTAAATTTTTAGATTTCGTATCTGCTTGGAACATGAAAGACATATTTAACAAAGGCGTGATAGCATAAGAAGTAAAACCCTCCATCAGCATTAATCTCAAGTACAACCACGAATAAATATCATCTCATTTATTTAGCTGCAAAACATGATATGATATTTCCTGCGGTTGTTAGTCATGGTGAATGACCATATCTTTATTTTAATTTGTATGCTCTTCGTAACTTATACTAGGGCGTATTTCGTTAACCTTTTCTTCTATATAGATTAGGCAATAAAGTGTACATAATCAACTAAACTAAATGCTAAATGCTAAATACTAAAAAAAAAAAAAAAAAAAGAAAATTGTTGTTGTTAATTCATTCACTCATTCACTCATTCATCAGCGCTTGTGTAATTTTGTGTATGTTGCTAAAATAATTTTAGAGGAAAAAAGAGAAAAAGTTGTTTTGTGTAATTTAGTGAAATTCTCTCTCACACACTCTCTGTCTCTCTGTCTCTCTCACTCCCTCTCTGTGTGGGTGTGGGTGTGGGTGTGGGTGTGTCTCCCTGTATTTTCTGTTTGTTCTGTAATACTGTACAATTAAAAAGCAGATGTCGCTATTTTAACTAATCGACGAAAAAGCAAACAACAAACAACAAACCAAAAATAAAAAAAAAAAAAAAAGAAAATAATAAAATAAAATAAAAAAAAAAAATTTTTCAATCCTTGTTTTCAACTTTCAGTTTTTTTTTTCTTTTATATTTATTTATTCATTTATATTCTTTTCAATTTTTCTATTCTTTTCAATTTATTGGAAAAAAAAGAAAAACTTCTTTTGATATAACTAAACAAAAAGAAAGTTCTGTTTCATCAAGAGAAGCCCAATTGGATATAGACACCTTCCTTCCTACACATACCTCCTCCCCCGTTGTATTGTACTTCCCTTTCTCCCTCCCTCTCCCCGCCGTGCCTACTCAATTATAACAAAGAGACCGCAACAAAACAAAATCAATTATACATCCAGAAACAAACTAACAAAATTATTTGAAATTTATCATTAAATCATGTTAAGAGAATATAAATTAGTCGTCGTTGGTGGTGGTGGTGTTGGTAAATCTGCATTAACCATTCAATTAATCCAATCCCATTTTGTTGATGAGTATGATCCAACCATTGAAGATTCTTATAGAAAACAATGTAATATCGACAACGAACAAGTTTTGTTGGATATTTTGGATACTGCTGGTCAAGAAGAATATTCTGCCATGAGAGAACAATATATGAGAACTGGTGAAGGGTTCTTGTTGGTTTATTCCATAAATTCATTGAACTCATTCCAAGAATTGAATTCATTTTATGATCAAATCTTAAGAGTCAAAGATTCAGATAATGTGCCAGTATTGGTTGTTGGTAATAAATGTGATTTAGAAATGGAAAGACAAGTCAGTTATGAAGATGGTTTGGCATTGGCCAATTCTTTCAATTGCCCATTTTTGGAAACTTCTGCCAAACAAAGAATTAATGTTGAAGAAGCCTTTTATGGATTGGTTAGACATATCAATAAAATTGATGCCGAGCAAGAGGCTTCTAAACAACAAGGTGATCAAAATCAACAACAAAACCAGCAATCACATCTTGGTGGTGTAACGAATAATGGTACTGCTTTGAATAATAACCAAAATCAACAAAACCTAGCATCACAACAACAAGCTCAACAACAATCCTCGGCTCAAAATCAACAAGATGGAATAATAGACCAAAATGAATCTGGAATTGCTGCTGGTCAAGCAACCCTGAAAAATCAAGCTCAAAGAAAACAACAACTGCAATCTCAACAAGCTAATTCTGAATCAAAATCTAAAGGTGGATGTTGTGTCATTGTTTAAAATAATTAACAAAATTACCTATTTGTAATTTATGAAAATATCTATATATACAAAAATATATAAATTGAAAAGAATAAAAAAAAAGAAGAAGTAGAACGTAATATATTAAAAGTGCTGATACTGTAATGATACCCAATATAGTAGATAAAGTATTCGTACTGGCTAGTTACCATTCTCTATGTGATCTCTAAATTTTGGCAAAAAAAAAAATACATATATTTGACAAAAGCCAAAAGGTTTCCCTATTTTTTACTATCTATATATCTGATAACAATTCTAATACCTTGACTCAATTTATGAAATGAATAACTATAAAATGTAAAATCAAACTTGCAAATATAAAATCTCCAAATGATCTTTCGGGACTAATACCATTGAATAATTTAGTATTACTTTCATTAGTTTGTAATCTTAAACTAACCAATAAAACAAATTGACCAACACAACTAATAAATCCACCCAAGAAAGCATTGAATGGGAAATTACCAATTAATATAACATAAATAAATTGTAAAACTCCTAAACAAACCAAAAATGTTAAAAAGAAATCAATCAATTTCAATCTTGGAGTTAATGATTTGAAATAATCAGAAACTGTTGTGTCTATGGTTGATTTTAATTCATTGATAGTAGATCCAATACTTGATCCTTGTTTCTTAACTGTTGGTTTAGCCATTATTGTTATTGATAGGTCTTTGTTGTCCAATGTACCGCCTTTTTTTTTTTCTAACTTACACGTTTGAATGAAAAAAAAAATGAAAATGAAAATGAAGGAAAGAGAAAATGAAGTTCTGGCAACCGAAACTGGCGACCGCAAAAGACGACAGCGACAGTCAACACTTACTAAACAGACAAATAAAAAAAAAAAAGAAGAAAAATTTTCCTACCAATCTGAATCGGATATTCACACAGTAATAATTTATACCCACAACTCACATAGCATTAACACTAAGATTGCATAAAGATAATCTCTAACTAAGAATGACAACACTTACCAATACTCCTCAACCACAACAACCACAACAACCACAACTGCAGATACAGACACAACCAGATACTATTTATAACAATAATGAATCTCCACAACTCCGTAAGATCACTCAACCACCAAATTTAAGAATTATCCCACCGTTGAATTTCTGTCCCGTTGAAAAACAGCTATATAGATCGGGTCAACCATCGATGATTAATGAATCATTTTTAAATCAACTTAATTTAAAAACAATTATTTGGCTAGCTAATGAAGAACCAAGTGATGAATTCCAAGAATATTGCTCTGATAGTAATATTAATATTGAGTATATTGGTATGATTAATGATTTCCAATCACAATTTGAATCGAATTATAATAATGTTAATAGAAGTACTATGGCTAACCCATGGGATGCATTAAATGATACTACTATTAAGAAATCATTAGAAGTTATTGTTGATAAATCAAATTATCCAATTCTTATATGTTGTGGTATGGGAAGACATAGAACTGGTACTGTCATTGGATGTTTACGAAGATTACAGAATTGGAATTTGAACAGTGTAAGTGAAGAATATAGAAGATTTACAGGAGCAAGAGGTGGTAGAATATTAGTGGAATTGTTGATTGAAAATTTTGATATTAATTCTGTTGATATAAACTGGGAAAACACTCCGGAATGGTTAAAGTGAAATGAAATTATCGAAAGATTTATCCACGGTAATTGATTAACTGTGTATATTTTTCTTACTAACCAATTAGAAGAAGTAATAAGAGAGGTGTTCCCCCTTTTATCCTGGCGGCCCATAAACACCAAAATGTATTGATGAATTTAATCTAACCGAAACGATGATTCACGGTACAAATAGAGAGAAAGACAAGTTGTTTATATACCACGTTAGGTTTACTAGAAAAATAGGGGTATATTGATAATTAAACCCGTCTATAAAATCATATAGTTTGATAGTTAATCCGTGGTCTGTACACGAACAAAGGGCGTGTCTTGAAATCAAAATTGTTGTATATTGTTGTTCTTAGTTTGCTATCATTGTCAGTTTTTTTGGGGATGGTTTTCCCCCTTTATCAAATTCCACGATAAGCAAAAAAGAGATATATTCTCCACAGTTGAAAATACAAATTGTTACTGATACTGAGAGAGTTAATACATACATGTATCACGTGTGCGTTTTCAAAGAGCAATCTCAATTACATATTATAATCTTTCTATACTTGTAAAACCAACCTCTTACTTTACTTAATCTTGCGTTGTAATTGATCTGGTTATGTCATTCTTCTACAAACACCGTCCCGAACACCGCACCTACAAAAAAAAGAGCAAACAATTTATTTTTCTTCATCTTCTTCTCTCTCTGTCTCTCTTTCTCACTTACTGTTTGATTTGCCATTGAATTTTGCTGTGTGTGCACTTTCTCATACCCACTCACACACACTCTCTCTCTCCATCTTTTCTTTTCCTTTCTATCACATCATAGAAAATATTTTATGATTTTTTTTTTAATTTATTTATTTATTTATACTTTTTTCTATTCATCCCATTTTCTTTCTTATAAACCCGACTTTGGATTGTATTTATAAAAGAAAACTCATCAGTTGCCTATAGTCATTACACATTAAGTATTCATTAATTGTCTATCTTCATTTATTTTGATCATCCTTCTCCCCCTCCCCCTCCCCTTCCCCCCTTGTTTTATTTTGTATTGATTAACCTACATTCATTATCAATTTCAAAGTCCACGCCTCCCATCTCCTTTATTGATAACTCATTCATCAACCATAAACTACTACAGATATTCAACACATTATGGCAGGAACTTGTATTACAACGATTAAATTATTAGGAGTTGGATCTTTGGGATTATTAACTTCATCAATAATTTATCAATCATTATCTGGATTGCCTGATTTAATACACCAATTCAATGCTCAATTCAATAGCAGTTCAATCGATTTTTTCAATAAGAAACTTGATGCTCTCAAGAAGAATATATTTAACAACCGTTTAATCAATGGTGTTTTAGCTGCTTTAACTTCAGGGTTGTTTACTATGGCTTTTAAATATTCTCCTGTGCATGAAAAACATCCGTACTTGGTTTATGCTTCCATCGGTGCTCCTTTGAGTTTGATTGGTTTATACTATAAGAATTGGAAATATGAACAAAAAATCTTGGCTAAGAAAGCTGTTGATTTGTCATCCACTAGTAATAAAGCTCAAGATAAATTATCAAAATCTAAATCTGATGCCGCTGATGGTGAAGAAGAAGAAGCTGAAGTTATCAGTAAAGTTGAATCTGCTGATTCTCTTTTGGGAAAATCATATGTTCATCTCTCTGATGAATCCGGTCTTTCCACCCCAAATGCTTCTCAGCCATCAACTCCAAAAGTTCAACCAAAGGAAGAAGAACAAGAGCATGTTGAAAAATCCCCTGAAGAAATCGAAGTTGATAAAGAAGTTGAAAACATTTTAATCAAGAAAGAAATTGTTCAAGATTTAAAGAAAATCGAATCTGGTTATGTTTTGAGTAGTTATATTTCTGGTGTTAGTTTGTTGATTGCCTCAGTTGGTTTACTTGGTGATTGTTACTTATTGTAATGATCTAATCTCTAATCAACTATTTATTTAAAGCAAAGGAAAAAAAAAAGGCACAGAAAGACAAAGCTAATCAGGTTGCTCTTTTAGTTTACAATGGATATTCTTAGTTGGAATTTTATTATTATTACAATAATTGGATTTTACAACAATGAAGATTACGTCAAAGAGAGACGGTTCTTTTAATCTTCTTGTTATTTACTTCTATTCCATGCTTTCTTTTATTTATCCTCATCATAATTCTTTTTTATTATTATTATTATTTTATATAATTATTATAAGTTATCCTTCTCTTGATTCTTTTTTTTTTTTTTGGCACCTAAGTAGTGGATATTCTATTGTTTAAAGAATATATAAGTTTTGATTGTAAATTGGTCTTAATTTATAAAGTGATGTTCAAATGTTTTTAGAGATTAGTATTGTTTAGGGTTGATAGTAGGGTTTGCTGGTTGATCTCCATTGGCTCCAACTGCCATCTTTGTTTGATCACAAATTAGTCCTTAAAATATCGGATTTGTTAGTGTATTTCTGGTTGGCAAATTCATAGTGCAATACTTCTTAAGAGATTACTAGTAATATTCACTAATTATCCTATCTTCTGATAAAACAATTGAGTGTCATATTAGTTCAATTGGTCAACCATTCATTTTGCAACCCATACCCATATTGACCAAACCAAAAATTCAATATCAAGTACACGACTTTGTTTTTTTTTTTTTAGCCTTGAGTCAATAAATTCAAAATGGAAAACCAAAAAAAATTGTCCATCTCTTAGAGTTTGATTTAGTTAGTAACGCAAGTACCACCACCATCGACATCTCATTACAATGGTTAAATTTTTACTTAAGGTACAAGCTGAATTATCTAATGTTACTGATTTAGAACCTAAAAATACTCCGGATTCACCATTTGAATATACATTTGAAATTGAATGTACTAAATGTCGAACAGTTCATGATAAATTAATTCAAATTAATAGTTTTGAAAAACATGAAATATCTGGATCTAGAGGAGAAGCTAGTTTTATATTTAGATGTAAAGAATGTAAAAATGAACATTCTATAAATATAATTCCAACAAATGAAAAATTAACTGTTGAAGATGAAAATAAATTTATTAATTTTTTGGAAATTGATAGTAGAGGTTTAGATTTTTTGAAATTTGTACCTAATGGAGAATTTCAATGTATTGGTTTAGATTCTGGTACTGTTTTCAATGAAGTAGATTTAAGTGAAGGTGAATGGTATGATGTTGATGAAAAAACTAATGATGAAGTTAGTATAATTGATGTTAAATGGGAAATCTCACGTTCTTAAAATAATCAAGTATATATGAATATAAATATGAATATGAAATGAAATGATATCATCATTATTATATTAACTACACCTCAATGTTGCAAATTGATTATCAATTGAGTGATTTACTGTTGTTACCTATTTATTAACCGTGTATCCGGTTTGATAAACTATTGCTCGGATATGTGTAGTTTGTCATTTATTTCTCGCTTCGTTTATTCTATGATTTTCTCGCGTGGACATTAAAGTTTTCTACTGGGGGCAGGGAGGGGCAAGGAAACCGAAAATTTGTTTGTAACCTTAATCACTCAGAAATAAAAATAAACCGGTGGTTTATCAACAAGTCGGAAGTAAGTTATAAGTTTACTAAATTGTAGGAAGTAATGGTTGCTTTTATAATTATTTGGGTTACTAAAACTGTAATAATGTGAGACATGAAACTAATGAGATTACAAAAGAGACAATAGAAGAGGAGAAGAAGAAGAAGAAGAATATGTAAGTTTGATTTCCATTCTTTCAGTACGGAAGTTCTGGCAAAACTAAAATAAATAAAAAAAATTCACAATACCGGAATTAAAGGGGAGTATTGCTGCAGTTCCTGATACAGGTTTAAATTTTAATTCTGACCTTTTAGTTTTTAGTTTTCTGTCGTCCGTGAATTTATCTACCCTTACCCCCTTCTATATAACCAATTGGTTTTTCTTTTAAACTAAATTAAACTCAATTGCTAATTTATTAAAATTTTCATATCAATTTCAATTTACTTTTTTAATCAATTCATTAGAGAAACATTTGCAATTATATATATCTATATCTATTCACATCATGGCAGGAAACTTGGCAGACGCAATTACTCAACCCCTTAACGATCAATTAAAAAAAGCTGTTGGATCAGGATCTGGATCTTCTTTTCCTTCATCATCAGGTAAAAAAATCATTGAATTTACACCAGAATATTACTTTGCTTGTACATTAGGTGGTATTATTGCATGTGGACCTACTCATGCTTCAGTTACTCCTTTAGATTTAGTTAAATGTAGAAGACAAGTTGATCCACATTTATATAAATCAAATATTCAAGGATGGAAAACAATTTTAAAAACTTCTGGTGATTCTATATTTACTGGATTTGGTGCTACTTTTATTGGTTATGCATTTCAAGGTGCTGGTAAATATGGATTTTATGAATATTTTAAAAAGAAATATTCTGATTTAATTGGTCCTACATATTCTAAACAATATAAAACTGGTGTTTTTTTACTTGCTTCTGCTTCTGCTGAATTCTTAGCTGATATTGCTTTATGTCCTTGGGAAACAATTAAAGTTAAGACTCAAACTACTATTCCTCCATATGCTAATAATTTAGTTGATGGATGGAAAAAAATTGTTAGTACCGAAGGTATGGGTGGTTTATATAAAGGTTTAGTACCTTTATGGTGTAGACAAATCCCATATACTATGGTTAAATTTGCAAGTTTTGAAAATATTGTTGCTGGTATTTATAAATATCTTGGAAAACCTAAAGATTCATTTACTACTTTACAACAAACTGGTGTTTCATTTTTGGGTGGTTATATTGCAGGTATCTTCTGTGCTGTTGTTTCTCATCCTGCTGATGTTATGGTTAGTAAAGTTAATTCTGAAAAAACTCCAAAAGAATCAACTGGTGAAGCCATTTCTAGAATTTATAAAAGAATTGGATTCGCTGGACTTTGGAATGGTTTACCTGTGAGAATTTTCATGATTGGTACTTTGACTGGTTTCCAATGGTTGATTTACGATTCATTCAAAGTTTACGTTGGATTGCCAACAACTGGTGGACATTAGAATTGCTATTGCTAATACTATTACAATTGGTAATTAGGTGTATAATCCTTTCTTATAGATAAAAAGCTAGGTAAACAATATTATATTTTATATTTATACGTCATAGTACGATACATTTTTTACTTTCTTTAGAAAAGAGTATCTATTTTTTATTTTTTATTGTTGCAAATAGTATTCTAGTTCCATACATTCTTGAACAAATCATCATCCAATCTACTGACCATAGGTTGAGATTGAGCTGGTGGAGGAGTATAAGTCATTGGAGTTTGTTGTACTCTAGCTTGTTGTTGAAATGTTGATTGTTGTGGTTGTTGTTGTTGTTGTTGGTTGATAAAACTTGATGATGATGATGGGGAAGAATATAAGGAGAGAATTGATTTCTTCAAGTCTGGTCTACCATTACTTGATATACTTCCACCAGTACTTTGTGCAGATTGAAGTGGTTGGTTAAATAATGGTGCTTGTTGCTGTTGCTGTTGTGGAAGTGGGGGAGTTGGTGCTGAAGTTGTGACTTTCACAGGTGCAGCAGGTAAAGTATTTCTGGAGCTAAATGAACTAAAAGAATTAGTAGAACTAGATGTAGTACTACGAGTAACTGGAGCTGGTGATGGTGTTGCAACTGATGCTGGTGATGGTGTTGCAACTGAAGCTGGTGATGGTGATGGTGCAGCTTTTTGTACAGTTGCAGGATTGAATGATCTAATATCTTGACTATCTTTCCATTTCTTCAATTCATATTTAGTTCTAATGAAATTTTCAATCTTCAGTTGGTCTGGAATGTAACCGTCTGGTAATTTACTTTCCCAATACAAGTTTGCCTTTTGATTACCCCATCTAACCATATTTTCAACTTGATCATCAGTCCATGCGTCCAAATCAACACTTTTAACTTTTGAAATATGAGTACCCATACTTCTATGAACCCCTGAACATCTAATACAAATAAAACAACCCAAACTCCATGATGCCCATCTTGGATTTTTTGATGATTTACAGTCTGCACATGATTTATTTGCTTCTTCTCTTAACAATTGTTTCAATATTTGCTTGTGTTTCTCCAGGTGAGTCTTTTTGGATGAAGGTAATGCCGTGCTGTTAAAACTCATGATTGGACCCAAAAATAAAATGAAACGAATGCAATTAACAAATGAAAATAATAAAATACAAATTAAAAAAAAAAGAATATCTATGATCCGTAAATTTCTAACTGGTAAAACTGTCAAAGAAGAAAAGATACCAAAAGGAATTAAAACCAGTAGATGAAATGAATAGGCTTAGTTATCGATAATATCTAATGAAAGAAATTTGATGATTGAGTGGTGTTGTCCTCAAATCGAACTTTTTTTTTTATTTTTTTTTGTTTTTGCTCGTTTGGGTGTGTATTTCTTTTTTTTTTTTTTTTCTGTCGTTGTTGTTTTTGCCTCGCCTTGATTTCAGTTAGTCAAATAGACGTCGACCTGTAAATCTGTCAAGAAGAAAATTGGCTCACGTGTAATTTGATCACGCTACCGATTTCAAGATCTTATACCATAGTTGACAGGACCATAACTTAATTGGAATCATTTCTCACATAAAGCAAGTAAATTACTATTTAATTATCCATTATTAATATAGATAACGTTCTTATATGTAATCAAGGTGCATTGTTTACATCCTTTGTTTGTACATTGCGTACTCAACAAGAAATGTCTACTTTTTCATTTCACTTTTCAGTGAATTTATTTTGAAATTCTTATTATTTTAAGAGTCTTAATTGCAAACCTTTATTTAAGCATCCTAATATGCTAGAAATATAATGACAATCGATAAAAATCAAAGGATTATAAATTAAATTAAAAAAAAAAACCATTGAATAAGTCGCATGCATTGATTTTCATAACATCGTAACAACAGGGTATGCTCAAATATCAACAGTTCACAGAATAATATTGGTGATGGAGCACCAACACTGTTGCTTCTGAATTGTGTATTACTAAAAACTTGCAACCAAGTCGACTTCTATATGATGTTACATAAAACATTTGTGCTCCCCTTTGTTGCATAAAAATACACTCATTTCTGCATATGATAGCCATGTCGAAAAATAGTGATATAAACTATGTTTGTTTTGTGGGTCATATTTACCAACGTAATATTGTATCTTAATTACCTAATGTAGTTGATTTATACGTATAGTCTCAATACTAGCATAAATACATCTAAATAGGATTATTTCTTTTAGTTATATAATTAAAGACCGTTAATAGCAGTAGAAAATGCCAGCAAAGTAATATAAGTAAACTATATCCCGAAGTAATGATAACACGACTACTAAACTATAGAAATATTTCACCGAGATATTTTGTTGTTTTTAGTTGAACAACAATTTTTTAATTTGATTTTCAGATCTACTTACACATATAATCGCTGATAGCAACGTCGCCACCAGTATATTTACACTCCGAACAACATCGATACATAACCACATAGAGTTTAGTTTTTATATCTTGTATGTACATTGTTTTATAAAATAACTATTATCAACGGTAATGTATGCGTTTTATTATTTTAGAACAGATGTGGTTTACAGTTAGAGACTACCAATTGCTCGTAATTTGCAACTTGTTCCCAACATCTTGAAGCATTATTAATCGGGTAGTATTTAATTTCCAAATGATCACGAGGTAATAAAAATAGATCATGATATAAATTCATATTATACCAAAAACATTTCCAAGGATAGATGAACTATATCTAACTTTTCACCTAGATTTAGAGGTATCTTGTAAAGAACTACAGTATCAACACCAATGATATACAAACTGAATCAACGAGATGAAGCCGCACCAATTATATAAATCATAAAGTTCAACTTAAATCTGTATTGTTATCAGGCTCAAAAAGTCTTAAGCGAATCATTATCAACATTTATTATTTGGATTAAACTTCAACAAAAGAAAAAGTAAATGTTATATTTATGTGGTTTTCTCCCTCGGCATTGCAGCCGGATTTTAATTTCCGGGATTATGTGTCACAAAAAAAATAAATACCTACAGTACAAATTATTTTGCATCGCCATGTTGCAATCATCACGACTTCCGCCTCAAGCAATTACGAATAAAGCTTGTTTTACTTTACTAGTATTTACCAAATAATGGAAAATACATTTATGTTTAAAGATACTTAACCTCAGTCGTATCTTTCAACTATTTGTTGTACACATAATTATAAAGCAAACGCTACTAGGCTTAGATATTCAAAAGGGTGACCCAATCCAATTCCAAAACGAAAAACCGATAAAATCTATGCTGCATATTATTTAAAAATGTTTTCTATTCTATGAATACATCTGTTTTCTGAATTTGGCATAAGCGCAAATTTCACTTTGTTGATACCACCCTAAATTGCAACATCCGATAATTATATGTGAAAAATAACAGAAATAATGATAATACTTAAAATCAGACGTTTACGTGAAAAACAAAAACAACTTTTTAACTTAGATTATATTATTTTTCCTAAATGACATTAATTGTTGTTGCTTTTTTGTTTTTTTTTACTTGCTTCAAGGGTTTTTTTCCTATTTGCACCCTGTCTTACTGTGGATATGTTCCCGAGGACCAGGAAACCTCTTGTAAGAATGACAAAATGTTCCAATTTTTATAAAAACTTAATAATATATCCAAGGTTTTCGATAGTGAAAATGTACCTACTTCATAAAGCAATTTCCAAAAGAAAAACAAGCAAGAAATTACGGAAGAAACGATGGCTTTTTGGAAACTACTCCTTACTGCCTATTTATTGGTCAATCCCGTATTCGGTATCGATATAACTGAAGATAAAGTTGATCGTGGTGCAATTGATCTTAGTGCAGGAGACATCACTATCCACTCTGGTGCATCGTGGTCCATTATAAATAATGCATTGACTTCAATTTTGGGATCAGTAGAAGTACAAGAAGAAGCTGGTCTTTATATTACGCTGACGTCACCTTTGCTTGCCCTTGAAGTTACATTGACTTCACTTATTGATTCTATTACTAATGATGGTGTGATTGCCTTTAATTCTGTCGCTTCTTTAACTTCTGCAACGTACAACTTGGTCGGTGCTTCATTCACCAATAATGGTGAGATGTATCTCGGGGCCAGTGGTTTACTACCAAGTCTTATGTCTATAACTGCTGCCGATTGGACAAATGAAGGTTTATTAGTATTTTACCAAAACCAAAGAACTTCTGGAGTTGTTACTTTGGGTGCTGTATTACCAATTAAAAACAATGGTCAAATTTGTTTGTTTCACGAAACCTATCAACAATCAACACCAATCACTGGGTCAGGTTGTATTACTACCCAAGTGGATTCATTGATTTACTTTCCAAATTCACTTTTATCCGTTGACTCCGCTCAAAGTATTTATTTAGCTGATAGAAAGTCATCGATCATTGTTCAAGCACTTTCAGCTCCCCAAACTTTCAATGTGTATGGTTTTGGTAATGGTAACAAAATTGGTTTGAGTGTTCCTTTAGCTGGTGCATTGGTAACTTCTCCTTACAGTTATGACTCAAAAACAGGTATTTTGACTTTGAGAGCTGCGGTACTTTCTCAAAAGTTTAATATCGGTACTGGATATGATTCCCGTAATTTTGAGATTGTTACAGATACTGCTGGAGGGTTACTTTCAACTTTAAAGGGTAGTGTTAGATATAATGGTCCTGTTCCAGAACGTGAATTACCAGAAGCTTGTCAAATTCCGTGTAAGGGTCTTCCAGAAGCTCCTGGAACAGAACCTTCGGAATATACAACAACAGTTACAGAAATAGGAAATGGCCGTTTTGCTACACGTACTGGTGTTGTGCAAATTTCCACGGATGAAAATGGTGAATGGCACACGACCACATCAATTTTTCCAACCGAGGCAAAACCTACTGTTTTCACATCTACCTGGGAAGTTACTAACAACGAAGGTGAAATAATCACAGAATCCGGTGTCGTCAGTTCATTTGGTGAAATACTCACCACTTTGACCACATTCCCACAACCAGCCAAACCTACAGTTTTTACGTCTACATGGGAAGTAACAGATAAAGATGGAGTTGTTGCTACCGAATCAGGTGTCGTCAGTTCATTTGGTGAAATACTCACCACTTTGACCACCTTCCCACAACCTCCCAAACCTACTGTTTTCACATCTACATGGGAGGTCACTGATAAAGACGGAGTTGTTGCTACTGAATCCGGTGTTGTCAGTTCATTTGGTGAAATACTCACCACTTTGACCACCTTCCCACAACCAGCCAAACCTACTGTATTCACATCAACATGGGAAGTAACAGATAAAGATGGAGTTGTTGCTACTGAATCAGGTGTTGTCAGTTCATTTGGTGAAATACTCACTACTTTGACCACCTTCCCACAACCAGCCAAACCTACTGTTTTCACATCTACATGGGAGGTCACTGATAAAGACGGAGTTGTTGCTACTGAATCCGGTGTTGTCAGTTCATTTGGTGAAATACTCACCACTTTGACCACCTTCTCACAACCTCCCAAACCTACTGTTTTCACATCTACATGGGAGGTCACTGATAAAGACGGAGTTGTTGCTACTGAATCCGGTGTTGTCAGTTCATTTGGTGAAATACTCACCACTTTGACCACCTTCCCACAACTAGCCAAACCTACAGTTTTTACGTCTACATGGGAGGTCACTGATAAAGACGGAGTTGTTGCTACCGAATCAGGTGTCGTCAGTTCATTTGGTGAAATACTCACCACTTTGACCACATTCCCACAACCAGCTCAACCTACTGTATTCACATCTACATGGGAAGTAACAGATAAAGATGGAGTTGTTGCTACCGAATCAGGTGTCGTCAGTTCATTTGGTGAAATACTCACCACTTTGACCACATTCCCACAACCAGCCAAACCTACTGTATTCACATCTACATGGGAAGTAACAGATAAAGATGGAGTTGTTGCTACTGAATCCGGTGTTGTCAGTTCATTTGGTGAGATTCTCACTACATTGACCACCTTCCCACAACTAGCCAAACCTACCGTATTCACATCAACATGGGAGGTCACTGATAAAGACGGCTCTCTTGTTACTGAATCTGGTGTTGTTAGTATGTCAGGGTCATCCGCTATAGTTGTTACTATCTTCCCACGCTACTACGATTATGAGTTCACTGTTACCTGGGAGGTAATGAATTCGGATGGTTCTGTGTCCACTAAATCTGGGATTGTTAGTAAATCTGGTTCTTCAATGAGTACATATACTACATTCCCTCATACCTCGGAATCGGAAGATTATTCTGCTTCGAGTACATCTTTTGATAATGTATTTACAACTACTACTGCAGCTGTAACTGAATCTGATTTTATTACATCTACTGGACTTCAATCTGAATCTCATGTGGTAACTCAATACACAACTACTTGGACTACTACCGGTATTGAGGGTGTTATCGCTACTGAATCGGGTGTTGTCACTAAATCAGGAGCATCTGTACTGACTATAATTACTTTCCCTCGATATTATGATTATGAATTCACTTCAACTTGGGAAGTCACAAATGACGATGGCTTGGTTACCACTGAGTCTGGTGTTGTCCGAGTTTCAGGGACTTCGACTAGTACCGTTACAACATTCCCTTATAATGATGTATCGGAGTTATACTCTACATCGGGAACGGTTGACAGCAATATGTTAACTACTACTGAATCAGTATATGAATCTAAGACTTTTGTTGATGAATCTGGTTTTACATCAAGTTGGACTAATGAAGTATCTGGTTCTAGTGAAGATTCAACTAAGTCTAACTCTTTGGTTGTTGATTCTGGATATACATCTAGTCACATCAGTGACAATTTTATCATGACAGATAATGGTGTTATCGATCAATCTGGTTCATCATTGCGTACACTTAGCACCGCCCCATCAGAAAAATCTGTTCTTTTTGAATCAAACTATGCGCTGGAATCAAATTCGGAATCCAATTCTTTAGCTATTGAAACAGATTTCCCATCAACCTTAGAATCAACCAATAGTTACACATCTGGTATTTCTGCTGTCCTTGAAGAATCTAGTTCCCACGTCAGTACCATTATCGTTTTATCCACTTCTCAACTAAATCCAATCAGCTACAGCTCTACTAATTCCCAATATGAAAATGCAACTGTAAGCAAGTCTTCGAATAATATTGGTATTAAAGAAACAAGTTTTGAAGCTAGCACTGTTACAGAAATTTATACTAATTCAGGTGATAATGGATCTACTGGAAATGGGATTAACCTGACTGAAGTGGAACAATCTATTGATGATAAAACTGTTACTGAAAAAGGTCAAGCAATTGGATCCACTGTTGAAATAACCAAACCAACTGTTTCTGCAATTACAAACAGCCAAACTGCTGGCACACAATCTATTGATGACTACACCACTGATGCTCAAGTTACTGGTGGTAAACAAACTGGTGATCAAAGTTCCGACCAAAAGCCAATTGGAACACATTCAAGTGAAGCAAAGCCACTTATGACGGAACCCAACACAGCTGAAACAAAATCAATTAGTATTCAAACTAAGCCAACTGGTTTTGAAGCCTCTAATGAACAAGAGAAAGGAAGTGATTCTTCAGAAAAGGGGGATAAAGAGAAGGTAACCAGGGATAAAGAAATAACTGCTGATACTAAATCAGTAGCTATTCAGTCTATTGTAACTCAACATACTGGTGTACAAGGCAGTGGAGTTGAACAAGGTCATACCACACCAACTGCAAATGAGTCTACAAGAGTTCAAGAACAAAAGACAGGAGAAACCCAGGGCATTTCTACATTTGCAACAACAACTGTTGTTTCTTCTAGTACTTCTGGTATTTCTTCCACTGGTGTTTCAGTAATTGGTATTGCTGAAAATTCAACTAATAAAATTCAGATATCATTTGTTAGTTTTATCTTTTCATTAATAGTTTTAGCTGTTTAAAATTATTGGTGCTCCGTGTTTTGAAATCCAGTGATGAATTGAAATCTTAATTTGTATTTTTTTATTTTATAGATTGTTCACTATTATTGGATGCTTTATCTATATTTTATTCTTTGTTTCTTGTATTGGTTTAAAAGTCAAGATATTGATTATTCTTTCATTAAGTTTATTATAAAGTGGGTCAGTATTAGAGTTAACTAATTACTTTTTAAGTAATTTTCTTCTCGTTTCGGTTTGCTCTTTGTTATTACTTCTGTATAGGTGTACAGTATATATATATATATACATATTTATAGAGAACAGAAAACATTTAATCAATTTTTTTTGAATCTGATCATGTGACTATATATCACGTTCATAGCTAGATATGTATGTGTAGATTCTATTTTTTTGTTCTTTCCAAGTGCGGAGAATAATTACGACGATAAAGTTAACCTTGTAAATTTCTTTTGTTGGTTGGTTGGTTGGTAGTCCATTGTTTCTTTTTCAATTTTTTTTTTTTTTCTTGACACAGTAGTAGTAGAGAAAATGGTGGTTTTGTGTCAGTATATTCAAGAAAAGGAGGGTGTGTACATTTGTCAAAATCACTTATTCCATGTACAGAGAAAACATCTATAGTGGTGGGTCGTGTGTAACTCACCAAAATACTCAATGAAATAAGAAAGAAACAAACAAACAGAGAGAAAAAAAGAAAAAGATATCACAAATTCTCATTTAATTTCTTTCTTTCGTTCTTTCTTTCTTTCTTTCTTTCATTTGATATATTAAACCCAATTTATTTCAAATTAGAAATCACTACAATTTCATAACTTTTTGTTTTCATTATTACATATTGTTGTTTTTTGGTTTCATTCATTCATTCATTTTTAGAAAGAGAATCCAGGTTAGATTTATATTTTAAAGTATTTATTCTCCATAAATTTCTGTCCGCTAATTAATGGTAATATATCCCGTCATTTTTTGTTGTAACTAATATATTCATTGATACTTATATTCAATCTATTCCATAAATATTCCATAACTATTCCATAACTATTCCATAACTATTCCATAACTATTCCATAACTATTCCATAACTATTATTTATTTTATATATTCCATTTGATTTTTCATTTAGATTTAATTATTCCTTGCATTTTTTTTTTTCTTATTTTGTTCACATTCATTCCTAGTATTGCATTATTGAATCAATTTTTTTTTTCCAATTTATTACATTTTTCATTTATTTATTGTCAATTGTTGTCCATTATTTGTATTAAATTAGTATAACATTTATGATACTTGTATTTACACTTTAACATGCCATATTCACAGCAACTTAAAGATGCGTCACAACAACGACCACTAACAACTGATTATCGAATATATACTTGTGATGAAGTCAAGAGACATGATAAGCCTGATGATTTATGGATGATCATCTATAATAAAGTTTACAATTTAACAAATTTCTCCAAAATACACCCTGGTGATGTCGAAGTTTTATTTGATTGTGGAGGTACTGATGGTACTGAAGCTTTTGAAGATGTTGGACATTCAGATTATGCATATCAGATGCTAAGGCCGTATTTAATTGGCGAATTACCACTACAAGAACATAAAAAGTATGAAAATGTACCAGAATTTTCCATTCCTCAAATCGATAATCCAAGTAAAGAAGAACAAAATCTTGGTTGTCCTCCGAAACAAAGAAAACGAAAAACTAGGAGAAGAAAGAAACAATCTCAACAATTAAGTGTAAGAATTGTTTTATTTGGTCTATTGGCCATCATTTCATTTACATTGTTTTTATATATTCAAAGATTTAAATGGGTTTCTATTTGATTTAAGTTTGTATTGTATTTGATTTTTATTTTTGCTTATATTTCAAGATTTTATTTTACTTTTGTTTGATATTTAATATTTATTTATTCGTTATATTTTGTCATTATATAGAGTTTAATTCGTCTGGTTTATTAATATACTGTTAGTAAAAGATGATGATGTCCATTTTACACATCATTCAAACTTTGTAGGGTGAAGCCGATGTGTACGTTTTGAAGGAAATCAAATCAGACCCCATTGGATTAGCTTTCATCTCTATTATTTTTTTTTTTTTTTGGAAAGAAAGACACGCAACTGAAGAAATTAAAAAATCTGAATTGATCATTTAATTGATTGCCCGCTGGATTTTTGAAATTACAGGTTAATGGTTGCTGTGTTTTGGACTTTCTACAATTTTCTTTATCGTTATCTTTCTCCTCCTCCCGCTGGGATTAGTTTTTAGTCAGCAACTGATTCTTAATGTGAAGCACAACAATCCCCTCCTCTGACTTTTTGCGCTAGTTTTTAGTAAATTGAGCATCTTTATCTAATTACTAAAACGTAAAGTGTACGTTTCTATTCAGATAGAAGCATTGCAAGTTGCTTTAAACTATACACCTCACTAAAATTATTCTTATCTATCGTTATTATATCTTTACAAAGTTGCAATAGTCATTATGTTGCAAAATAATATAGAAACATATTTTGCCTCAGGGAAAAAGAAAGAAAAAAATAATACTTCATCGAGTGTTATTGTAATTATGGCTAGTAACGTATATAAACAAAATCAATTTTTGGTGATTAGGCTAAAAGCCAAAGCCTAATTGATATGTTGCATTCATAATCTATGAAATTCTTCTATTATTTCTTTTAGGTTTCGGGTTTTCTTCATTTTTTTCTTATTTTTAATACGATTTTTCTAGTAATTTAAAACTTATTTTGCATAAAAGTTCCTACAAATTTTATGATTTCCACCAAAACTCCATCTATTATATACTTGTCTACATGTACTAAAAATGGTCCGGTCTAAACAAGTACCTCGTGAACTATATGCTAATATTAAAAAAATCCAAAAATATAATGTATATACCATTAATATGAGAAATAACAATAACTTGAGAAATCAATTTAGGACAAATTTCACTTTCGGATGGAAATGAGGTTTTGAGCAAAATTTCCTCAATCGAGAATTTGGTATTGTTGGGGTGTTACTCCGCTAACCCTATTTTTTTTTTGGCTTCTGTCATATTCAAAGTCAAGAGTTCGAGCCCTCAAGTGTGTGTTTGATTTGTCCAAAGTACACACTTCACCAAAAATCTTGCCTAACCCTTGAGGCAAAAAAACAAAGAAAATTAAAACAAGATCTGTTCACAGTTTGCTTTTATAAGTTACAGTTAATAAACCAGCAAACAGTCACGTTACCACTCCTTGTCAATTCCCCAGAACGCGTAATGTCAGACGAAGAATTTTATTCAGAAGAATCATATGAATTTGAATTTGAAGACGAAGATGAAGATGAAGATGCTGGATCAAACAACAATGATAATGATAGTGATAGTAAGATAGATGAAGATTCATCAATCGAAAACTTGTATTACACAGCTAAAGGATTCAAAGATGAAGATGAAGATAAAGCAATTGAGAAATTTAACGAAATTATCACATCGAAAGATAAAGACTCTGAATGTGATCATTATGAATACGTATTTAAGAGTCATAAACAGTTGATGAAATTATACTTTAAGCAAAAGAATTACGATTCTGTGTTGAATACGTTGAAGGAATTATTTACGGTAATATCTAAAATTGACAAATCTTATTTTGAGGATTCAATCTCCAAGATGATTGTACATTATTCAATTGATAGTAATAATTTTGAATTTTTGAATCAATTCTATAATATTCTACTCGAGAAATCACAATTGAATAACATTAGATTATGGTTTAAAATAAATACAAACTTATTAAACTTAAAGATTGAACAGAAGCAATATCAAGAAATCCCTGAATTATTGAAACAAATTTATGAAAAATTGAAATCATCTAACGAATCAATTCAGAAATCATTCACATTACAAATCATTGCCTGTGAAATAGATTATCTTTCAAAAGTTTCCAACAACGATACTAAGAATTTAGCAAGAATGGGCCAATTGTACAGAATGAGCTTGAAAATTACAACAGCCGTAACCCACCCAAAGATCCTTGCTGTTGTTAAAGAATGCGGGGGTAAAGTTCAATTCTATAGAGAAAATTTTGAAAAAGCTCATGTTGAATTTTATGAAAGTTTTAAAAGCTATGATGAAGCTGGATCTTCATTGAAATATAAATTATTGAAATATGTGGCATTGTGTTCTTTATTAACAGAAAATGAACTAGATCCATTTGAAAGTCAGGAAACTCAAACAATTTCTAAATCACCAGAATTTGACAATTTGAAACTTTTAATAAAGGCATATAATTCGTTAAAATTGAATGAATTCCAAACAATTCTTGAACGACTCAATGATACCAATGATGATTTTTATAAAGATTCTATTTTCATTGATTCATGCAAAGAGATTTTGAAAAACTTGCAAAGTAAAATATTGTTGAACTACATCAAGGGTTATTCTGCTATTAAATTCGAATTCCTTTGTCGTCAATTGAAAATAAATGAACCCGAGTTAGAATGTTTACTTTTAAAGTCTGTATCCAATGGTAAATTCAAGGAATCAAAAATTGATTTTGTCAACAAGGTAATTTTCACAGCATCAGCAGATAAGAAATATTTGAACAGAGCATGCTTCCCTCAAACTTCAACCAAAGATATCTACTATAATGTGAAATTATTAGAATTTGTATCACCACCACCTCCATCAACCTTATCTATAATTCAAGATGATATAATGGAAGTTGATGAAAGTTCAACAACTACTAGCAACAACGGCAATAGTAATAATCTACGTTTGAAGAACACGAATTACATGCACAGATTTTTCTTTGCTATTGACAGACCTACAAAAGCAAAAGATTGGTTTAGTTCTATCGAATCATGGTATATCTTTATGATGTCTGGTATTCCTGCTTCACATAAGGATGAAATTAGTCAAAAGGAACAAGTTATTAATGAGCAAAAGGCTGAAAATATCACTACATCGACAAGTATGAGTAATAAAGCAGAAAGTGAATTGGCTAATTTCAATACAGGGTTATTGAATTCAACGGTTAATCTTGAAGATGACAATAATGATGTTTCAGATATCGAAGAGATTAATAAAGTTGATGTGTTGAATAATTGGTATAGAGAACTTCAGGATTATTTGAATCTGATTGCATAAATATAGAGTAGTGTATATGTGGATAAAAACAAAATGGTACCAAATATCAAAATTAGGGTTCTTTGAACTACAACAAAAAAAAAAGAGGACTCACCGTTCAATGAGAAAAGCTCATCCGAGGAAGAAAAAAACCAAAGAACAAGGAAAAAATTTTTTTTTTCTCTTTCATTCTTTCTTTCTTTTAAATTTCAACTATTAACCTACCAAGGATTAATCAACTGAATTTGTATGTTCATTTTTATATCTATAAATGATAATAATTATAAATGATTAGACTATTACATGCGTTATCGTCATGATTTATACCCTATTTTCAAATGTCTTCGGGTATAAATTTGAAATCAACTAACACCTAGATGATACTATAAATTATTATCAAATTTCATAGAACCAAATATTAAAAATTTTAAGAGGAATATTTGTTACTAACTTAGTGAATCAGGTTTAATCTTGAATAGGATTATTTAAATAAGTCATTAATTATATATATATTCCTTTTTTTTTTTTGGAAAAAATTTTAAAAATAAAATAACGAATCACGTGACTTTATTTTATATTTTGTAGTTAGTGTAGTTATTTTTAACCAGTAATTAAACTCTACAATAAGCAATAATTATAATCAAATAACTAACGTATATATAAATATCTCAAAGGATACTAAATAATAATAAACAAAAACTAAGAAAATATCTTAGATTTATAAATAACCGAAAATACAAAGAACTTGTTCATCTAGATGAAACATAAATGAACAGCCAAAATAGAAAGAACATAAAATTAATAAAACAAATAATCAAATAAAAAAACATCAAAGTGATAAATGATAATTATTAAAACCTCCTCAACAAATCAAATTTATGATTGTATAACAAATAAGATAATTTTAATAAACCGAAAACAACAAATAATTGACCAAAAGAAAAATGTCATTATTAGGACGAAGTACCTAATATGATAAACCGAAAATATTAAAAAAAAACCAGGACGAAATTCATAAGAACAAAAATAAAAAAAAAATTGAAATAATAGCAATAATAAGATTATTGAAAATAAAACAAGACAGAAGTCCAAAGAATACTTACATTATTTAAATGAAGTACAATAAAGCAACTAAGCCCAAGGCATACATTGGTGGTTTGTTATTATTGGAAGCAGCACCTTCAAATGTGGTAACTTGAGCAGATGGCAATGGTCCAGAAATAGAACCAGAACTAACTGGAACACCAGCAACACTTGATGATTGTGCAGCTATAGTATGTTCTTCCAATGTAGTGGCTGGCGGAACAACAGTACCAGTTTCAACACCAGACCCAACAGGAACAATTGGAGTTGGTTGTCGAGACTCAGCACATCCACCTTCTGGGCATGTAGCTACAGTTTCAACTGATTCAACATTTACTGTAGAAGCAACAGAAAGTTCTGGAGTTAAAGAACTTGTAACCGAAGTCTCTTTAGTAGTAGCTGGAGTAGTCTGTTCAGTGGTTGGTTGAGTTTCAACACCAGTGGATTCAGTGGTAGCTGGAGTAGTCTGTTCAGTGGTTGGTTGAGTTTCAACACCGGTGGATTCAGTGTTAGCTGGAGTAGTCTCTTCAGTGGTTGGTGGAACTGGAATGGTGACACTAGATGAAAGTGGACAATAGGTAGTGTAGATTGTCAGTCCAGTTGAAACGGTAACAACACCAGTGGTCTTAGAAGTGACACTACATTCAGTTTCATCGCATGAAGTGACAGGAACAACAGTAGTACTTGGAACCATCACAGTGGAACTTGGCTTAGTAGAAGTCTCTTCAGTGGTTGGTTGAGTTTCAACACCAGTGGATTCAGTGGTAGCTGGAGTAGTCTGTTCAGTGGTTGGTTGAGTTTCAACACCGGTGGATTCAGTGGTAGCTGGAGTAGTCTGTTCAGTGGTTGGTTGAGTTTCAACACCGGTGGATTCAGTGGTAGCTGGAGTAGTCTCTTCAGTGGTTGGTGGAACTGGAATGGTGACACTAGATGAAAGTGGACAATAGGTAGTGTAGATTGTCAGTCCAGTTGAAACGGTAACAACACCAGTGGTCTTAGAAGTGACACTACATTCAGTTTCATCGCATGAAGTGACAGGAACAACAGTAGTACTTGGAACCATCACAGTGGAACTTGGCTTAGTAGAAGTCTCTTCAGTGGTTGGTTGAGTTTCAACACCAGTGGATTCAGTGGTAGCTGGAGTAGTCTCTTCAGTGGTTGGTTGAGTTTCAACACCAGTGGATTCAGTGGTAGCTGGAGTAGTCTGTTCAGTGGTTGGTTGAGTTTCAACACCGGTGGATTCAGTGGTAGCTGGAGTAGTCTGTTCAGTGGTTGGTTGAGTTTCAACACCGGTGGATTCAGTGGTAGCTGGAGTAGTCTGTTCAGTGGTTGGTTGAGTTTCAACACCAGTGGATTCAGTGGTAGCTGGAGTAGTCTGTTCAGTGGTTGGTTGAGTTTCAACACCAGTGGATTCAGTGGTAGCTGGAGTAGTCTGTTCAGTGGTTGGTTGAGTTTCAACACCGGTGGATTCAGTGGTAGCTGGAGTAGTCTGTTCAGTGGTTGGTTGAGTTTCAACACCGGTGGATTCAGTGGTAGCTGGAGTAGTCTCTTCAGTGGTTGGTGGAACTGGAATGGTGACACTAGATGAAAGTGGACAATAGGTAGTGTAGATTGTCAGTCCAGTTGAAACGGTAACAACACCAGTGGTCTTAGAAGTGACACTACATTCAGTTTCATCGCATGAAGTGACAGGAACAACTTAGAAGTGACACTACATTCAGTTTCATCGCATGAAGTGACAGGAACAACAGTAGTACTTGGAACCATCACAGTGGAACTTGGCTTAGTAGAAGTCTCTTCAGTGGTTGGTTGAGTTTCAACACCAGTGGATTCAGTGGTAGCTGGAGTAGTCTGTTCAGTGGTTGGTTGAGTTTCAACACCGGTGGATTCAGTGGTAGCTGGAGTAGTCTCTTCAGTGGTTGGTGAAACTGGAATGGTGACACTAGATGAAAGTGGACAATACCTCGCAGGGGATTGTCAGTCCAGTTGAAACGGTAACAACACCAGTGGTG